TTGTGATCTCTGCAATTCTCTTCAATGTCACACAAGAAATGCTTTTAAAAAGTGTTTTTTTTCATTATTTCAAGGTTTATCAATGAAATTCATATTTGAAATACTTTTAACGCCAGCTGTGCAAGCTTTTCAACAAAAATATTAAAGGGTCAAAGATATTCGAAATGAATAAATGAATTTCATTACCATTCGCGCTACTCTTGTGTAAGATAAACTTGTACATGAGATCATGTGCACATAAAAGTATTTCCAAAATCTTTCGTATAAAGTTTGAAGAATAAAATTACAGATCATCTTAAATTGCGCACAAATATAAATTCAGTAGGAAAACAATGAAACTGAAAGTGCTATTTTGTTCGGTTGTGTGTCAGACGTAAGCATAAACTTATTTACTTGGTGTACATAAACGCTAATTACCGAATTATTATTCTTATTTTCTGTTGAATGGGGTTTCTCCATAAATGATGACTTTTGCAAAATGAATTTTCTGAGTCTCAAAACTAATCCTGAAGCACACGTAATAAAATATCAGACATCACAACCACAAGAACCCCGCCACTAAGCTCTTTGCAGGGTCAACTTTTTTAACAAGTTTTTTAAAAGAAATGAAAGAAAATTTTGAAATTTAAGCCTTCGCGTTTGAATTTGGTGCAGGTTATGAAAGTATTTTGAATCGAATTAATAAGTATTGATTTTGCACACACATTAAGTTTCATAATTTAGAGTAATTGAACATCTTGATTATTTTGCAATTTTTTTGCTGAAGAAATAAACGAATTTGGCATCAATCTCCGGAATATTTACGCAGTTCTTCATTTGATAAAGGAAATAATGAAACTGGAAATATTGCTTAGTGATTTGTCTGATTGTGTGATATGCGTAGCATAATCATTATCCAGAAGCAAGTTTGATATTTTTGAATGATCATGATTTCGAGGTCTTAAATTTTATTTTTATTGATATGAAGCAATATGATAATTCTAGATATAAAATTAAAATCTTAACTTCCAATAAAAAATTGTTTCGATTTCCTAGATTTCATTTATGAATTTATTCATTGAAAATCTTCAAAACACAAAGTCTAGAAAAAAGGCTATTAAACTCTACAAGGACTTTTATTGATGCAGACCGTTGTTTTGACCAAATCTAAATTTTAGACAGTCTCAAAATAAATATTTATTAAGTCTGAGAAGTTTAACAATTTACGAGACATCGTAAAGTCATAATTTTTGAATATTTGCAAAATTCTGTGGTTTTCCAAATTTTGTGCAACCTGTTCAAGCAATAAACTCTAAAATTCGAAACTCCTTGTTACTATATATCACTAAACAATAGTCTCACGGATAGCACAACATAGAAAGTGTTATTCCTGCTTGATTTCAAGAACAAACAATAAAAGAAGTAGCTTAAGTCGTTTAAAATGCAAAAGATTTAAAACTCCGTATTTTAAATTTATTTATTGGCTTTTAAGGCATTAGAAAGCATTGGTTTGCAAGACCTTAAGTTCTCAACTTTAGTATTCCAGATTTAAAGTGGTCATTGATAAAACTTGCAAAGTTTCAAAGTCTTTCAGTAAAGTTTCAAAAATGTTTGTTAAAGTGGAAATTTCAGAACATTTTTAAGGCAAATAAATTAAACAAGACTTCCTAGTCTACATCTAATAAAGGAACATCACTTAAGTTGTCAAAACAAGATTTTCTTTTATAAAAACTTTTGTTTAAAGATGATATGATGACATTTCTATTATATTCAATCTAAAAATGTGTCTTTAGATCTTTATCAACTAAATTCTTACTTATGATGCTACTAAAAAGCTTTATCTGTTTATTATTCAATTAGCGTCATTTTGAAAGTTTGCAATATTTTTATTCTTTAAAAAATCCCCTTTTTAAAATCAATAAAGTGCAAATGATTAAATATTTCAACTTGAATATCCAACTTAGTGCCTTAAAACAACTTTTCATAGCCATGTTGCCAAAATTCATAACAACCCATAAAGAATCTTATCTAATGTAATCTGAAACTAAATTTAATGCTTTCAAGTACATAAAACAAAGCAAATAAAACATTTTGTGAATCTTCAAGCTAGTCAAGAAACTATTTTGGTCACTCCTGCATGAAGCAGTAATGAACTTAACATCAGCACATTGTGAAATCGAGAGATGTGTATAATCACAATACTGATTTTACATCTTTTTCATTTTATATCTCGCATATAACCTTGGTTCTGAGACAACAACACTGACTGAAGCATTACATTCGAGCTCGTCTTCTCAATGAATGAATGAATGAATGCTGAACATATGTATGAAAATGATTTTTGTAGGACAACAGCATTAAATTTTAAAGTGAATGACAACCTAGTGTAAGATACGTGAACCTTTAAATTTACATTTTTTCAGCCTATCAAACATCAATCGATCTTTTCGATCATAAATTTTTCCTTTATCTTACTTCCGATTTTATTTTGACCATCAAATAAACCAGTTATTAATAAGCGTAGACTTTGTGTTTTTATGACAAAAATGTAGTATAAATAGTATGAATGTAAATTGATGCATTAATTTACAAAAAAAGCTTGAAAGTTTTGTTGTTCAAGGGTTCACGTGCTTGTAAGCGAGGAGATTACTACTGACCGAGCTAAAGCTGAAACTAGACATAGTTTAGAAATTTCAATTTACACTCTTGTTTAAATTCATATCCGATTGAATTTAGAGCTCGAAATTGACTAAATTGGAATTTACTTTAGACAATTCAAGTCTACTTCACGCACTGTAATAAATAAAACCTTCAACCTTTGTCAATTTATTGATAATTTTATGCCAATTTTATACGTGCTAAAATGAAATGTAAAAGGCTCTGGGGACTCATCAAAATATCCTTTAAATTAAAAACATTCATTTCTGACATTTTTAAACAAAACTTTACAGAAGTGAAATTTTTATTGCTTACATTTTGACAATGCAATAATTTTTATGTAGAAATGGAATTTTTCATCGTTTAACATAACATCAATCAATTTGGTATGTCCATAATCCGAAGATCGATTTATTGCTGTTATTTTTTGATGGATGTGTAAATTATTGATGCGGCAAAATATTAAAGACCCGAATTTAGTGATGAGGATTTGAATTAAAATTAAGCTAATCAAGTTAAGATCATCAAAAGTTCCCTTTTTATATCCTAAATGCTTTCTTCTGATCATCTCAGAAAATTGTATCTCTGGTATTTACAAAAATTCATCAAAGCTTTAAATCTTAACAATAACTTTTAATCCATTTAAACGTTTATGTTCGCTTTTGGAATGTACTTTGGAAAGTCTTCTGTTTGTTGATAAACATACATGATTCGGTAGTGTTCAATGTTCAACATCCATGTAGTTTGTATACAGTCAGAAGTATAAAATGAATATTTAATGATAAATGGTGTTCAAAGTTTGAATTTTGAATCTTAGAATTACTCTCCAAATCCCAATGATTCGCAATTTATAACATATTCAATAAACTTTGGTTTGTGACTACAATTATATGCTTTTCGTAAAATGGTTACTCATTCATGTTTTTGGATACGTGCAAAATAACGAAACTTCTTCATCACACGCAGAATTTCTTGTTTTGAATCAAGAAGTAATAAAAATTCAAAAAATCTTAAATAACAGTTCAAATACTCTTATCTTACACATGGCATTTTGCAAACTTTCCTGATCCTCGTTTTCGGAACCGCTAATTATTCCTATTCTTTGTCTTATTTTCTTTTTATGCGACATCATCCTACACAGACATAAAAAAATTCTTGATTCCAATACAAACTTGCAAAAAAAATTGAAGATACATCCGTGAATTAATTAATTTTAAAATTTTTAAATGCAAAGGAATTTTTAAAATCAAATATTTGAAGACGTCTATAGATAAATGCTAGACGAGGCTGTTAAACTCGTTGAAGGATATTTAATGACATAAATTAAAAGCCATAAAATAGCTTCCCGAGTGTCAGACATTTAAAATTGTGTTTTTGAGATTTTTGGAAGAGTTGTCAGCATATGATGGCTAGTATTTAGAAGGAATAAAGGATTTAGTGATGTATGGATGTCAAAAAATGGAAATTGAGTCGGAAAAAATCATTAAAATTTAGATTTTGAAGCATGGCTTAACTTTAGGGGTCGCTAGCCCATCTAATCACACAATATCCATAAAATTCCACAATGTCCATAAAGAACAGCATGAAAAATGTTTTCTATCTATCAAAATGCATCAAGAAACACAGTAAATATTAAAAATTATGAACTTTATTATTCAAAAGTAATTATTATTCAATTCAACGTGAAAGTGTAAATTTATGCATCTGTAATTTCCATTGTAAGCATGACATTAACTCAACGTCACATCAATATAGTTCGTTTCATTTACAAAAGTCGCAAGTAATCAGTGCATTTTTAAACATTATAGAGGCAAGGTGGCATTTTTTTTCAAAATCGCTCTCGAGCGTCAAAAATAACTTTTTCGCGATATCAAATTTATTTTATGTGACACAAAAAATATTAAAGCTAGTGGAAATTATTCATAAATAAAACAATTTTTTTTTGGTGCTGTAAAAAAATCTGTGCGAAGATATCCAACACAGCCAAAGCAATATAAAAATTATTTTCAAGTGAAATCCCACCACTCTGCATCTGAAACAGCCGAATATTATAAGCTTTGGACCTTTTTAGTAGTCGTTGATGTGAAACGTAACGATTGTGCGACCACAAACATTTTCACTGTAAAATAAGTTTTTAAACTTCAGTTCTGTTTAAGGATTCATTCCATTCAGACGTGAATTTTTTTTTGTAAGGTCTTTAAATAGTGGAATTTAAAGTCAGGGCATTTATCCCTGCATGAATGTTGAGTTTACTTGAAAATAAATAGAAATTTTATTGGATATTTCATTCCAAAGCAGTGCTGAAGCTTGAAAGGACAAGAGGCTAAGGCACCTTTCACTTAAAATAATAAAAAAAAAAAAAAAAAAAGAGTTATAAAGTTCAGTGTCATAAGATTGTAAAATAATAATTAATTCTTGATTATCATAAAGAGGAACGAGTACGAAGTTGTGATAAAAAGAAAGAAGAAAAGTGAAAGGACAATAATAATAAAGATTCAAGTGATTTTTTTTTTGTTTTTTGTTTCTCAACTTCTTGTCAAGGACATTGCTGCGGTAGAAATATTACCGTATTCATATTTAGCTGTTCAAAAAAAATAAAATACTATTTTCTCAAGGATTTTGAAAGGTATGTTGAAGATTTTTCTCCTCATGAATTACAATTGAAATCATCGATTAGCACTCGCGTATAATTTTTGATTCATGTTTTCTTAATTCAGTGTCTGGTGAACTTTGTGTTCATTTTGGTAATACATTCAGTTTGAAGTTCTAGGGATGCGTAAGCACAGAGATAGTTCTCATGATTGGCATTTTAGAAATGATTTGTTCAATAAATAACACAGTTGCTATGAAATTGTTATAGTCACGTTATCGTATGTAATAAGGTTCTATTGGTTAGACCAAAGTGGCTACAAGATAGTCGTCTTCTTTGCTTTTGCAGACTGTCTGACAAAATTGTCTCATTAATACGAAAACCATAGCCTTAAAAAACAATTCAAAATTTTGATTAAAAAAATCATTTGCTTCTTAATTTTCCCGCCATCAAAAAATGTTGACCAACACTGACTCAATTACATATAGCATATTGAGTGAAAGATTGAATTTTATGATGCATTCGTGACTTGAATTCATAGCATTTTATCCCTTTCGAAATTTTATTTTGATTTAAAACTGTTATCAAATCATTAATAAACTTGCTTAAGTGGCCTCGAGGGAAGCTTCTGATCTTTGGCGAAAGTATGAGCTTTAAATTATGTTGATTACGATTTATAAAGCATAGATTTTGATACTATATTTCTAGAAAAATCATATCATGTCTCCTTCAAGCTTTATAAGGCAGATCTTGATACGAATTCATCGAATTAATTTTAGTCGATCGAAAAAATCTGTTGAAAATGTGAGTTACGAAAACATGTCAATGCCAAAAAGCTCACTCACTATGTGTAACATTAGAAATGTTTTTATGGGATTACTCTTAACCCTTGAATTAGCTTTAAATGCTTTAAATTAACAAGATCGATCAAATTTGATTGAAATATTTTTTATGTTGCGAGGTTAATTCCAAAATTCAGCAATATCAATAAATTTCTAATCTCTAAAATTTTGCCGAGCTTTTAAAACTTTCATAAATTAAATAAAATGCCGGACATCTTCCGAGACTTATTGACTATATTAAAAATAACTCATGACACCTTGAGATATCTTCATAACAGGTGTAGCTTCAACATTTCCTCACACTATGTATAATTTTATGATTTAAATCAATATCACTTGTTTGGCATTGTTTGATCAAATCTTGTGATTCTTTTGTGCGAATACTTAATTGGATATTCGTAAAGATTTGATTTAAATGAATAATTATTAATTAAATTTATCTAGAATCTAATTGAATCCAGATCTTTTTCAATTAGATTAATTTATTGATTTTAAAAATCTTCTGATATAAATTTAAATCAACTTAATCCAAAAAGACCTCTGCCTTATCATAATCAACGTGAATGTAACTCTCAAAACCTTGTATACAAAACATCATGTAGCACTCTTATGACATGTCATTTTCTTATGAAACCAATTAAGAAATTAGCTTAATTTGTAATTTGTTAATTGATGTATCTGCGTCTCAAGCTCCTTACATTTTTGGTAACCATTTTCAAATCAATACAGTCAAATATGTCAGCTAAAAATTTCAATAAAAGATGCATTCAAAAGACTTATTATCAAAATTCAAGGACAAGCTATTTAAAAGTGATTTTTACCTAACGGATTAACAATCTGTTAAGTTATTCGGACAACATTTATGGATCTTGTGCTGAAATTGTTCAGAACTTCCATATGAAGATTAATGAAGATAACTATTTTTGGACTGTCTAACACAAAAATGTATGAACTGTCTTAAATGTTTAATGGTTCATCTAGAAGTGTGGCATTTGCATTGGATTTTGGAGGAAATGTTTATCAAATGCAGTTCTGGGTCCGTTAATAAATGATGGTAAGGGTAATGTTGTCAAATTCTCAAGGTTATGTGATGAAGATATGGAAATCGAACCCTTGTGGGTTCCAGTTGTTGATAAATGTTGTCTAACCATTCGTCCATAGAGCCCTTACTCAGGTAATAACAGATTTATCTTTAGATATATGGCTCGATATTCCACAATCCACTATGCTTAGACTCACGAGGAAGTCATTTAATTCCATTTTTTGATTGACATCATTTAGAATCGACTCCTTCAAGATAATAATTTTCTATGTCTCCATCTTACATTTTAAGGAATAAAATTTCTAATTTTGCACAGTCTGACTTTCGTAAGAACCGCTTCCATTTTTTGCATATCAAAAAAAAATCAAGTTCATTATTTTGCATGCGTCATTTGAATTTTAAGTATCAAACAAAAAAAAATCATCTCAAAAAGCATTCAATGGATGCAAAAATGTTTATCTTGAGGATAGTTTGTCAATGACACAAATTGAAAAAAAGTTGAGAAATCTACTTGAACACCTCCTAGGTATGAGTACACAATTATTAATATTTTGTTTTTATATATTCGTGTACGATTGAGTATAATTTACCATTACATACTTCAAATTACCAACGAAAAAAAAAATCTTTCTCAACTTTAATGTTCATTCATTTTTATCTCAGCAGTGCCAAGAAGAAGAAGAAGTGAACATTAAGTATTACGACTCCCCAAATATTTTTCAAGGTTAATTCAAGCCAAAAAAAATTGATTTTTTTCTCTTCGGACTATGTGCAATTACGATGTGGAATTACCAAATGCTGATTTTTTTTCGTCTACCAAAATCTACGCAGAAAAAAAGATTTCTTTTGCTCCATTCCAAGCATGCAAGTGAACACAAAAATATTGCAAAACACCAAAAAGTGCTTAATAAATGCTGATTTGTTCACCAAAAAAAAAAAAATTAAATTTAAATTAATGAAGAAAAGTATTCACTTAAGGTCATGTGTCTCATTTGTTGCCTTTTGTTGATGTTGATCTTGCAATGATTTTGACACATTTTTCTCTACACATGTGCGCGAGTAATGAAAGTGAAGTCATTGATGATTGCAATAATTAAATTAATTTTTTTTGTTGTGTCTACTAAGTGTTAGTGTTTGAAAGTGTAAGTAATCTTATGATCGGTAAATGGCAAAGCTGATTAGAAGATTAGCGAATTATTTTCATAAATGTTACAGCAGAGGATACGTGACTTTTGAGATATTTTTGTTGTTTGGTTTCGGAGAAAATTAAGAAATTTAATGGCTTGATCTTGGAACAGTCGGATTGAGTAAATTTGGGATTTTCGAACTTATTTTAAGAACGTTCTTTAATTTTTCATGAGTTTTGTTAACATTTTAATTTTTTTTTGTTTTATTTCTTAAATCTATTGTGTATGAACAAATTAATTTGAAAAAAAAACAATTCAGATCTGTTCACACTTTGGATCTCAAATCACCAGAGTTCAAAGTCAATGTGAATCTTTCGTCAATTTTTCAATACAAACTGCCCTAATCGATTTCGAGCTGATCGGTAAATCCTTCAACTAAGCTGCTTCTTGTTCTTCTTATGATTTACGAAATTTTTAAAATATTCTTTATTCAGCATCAACATTTTATATTAAAATTCTTTATTTCCTTATTAACTTTCCACATTAAACTCCTCAAAACAAAATCCAAACCAATCAAATAAAAACATCTTCAGAATTAGCAAAATCCAAAGCAAATTAATAAGCTCACCAAACTAATGAAGCAACATGTGCTGATGAAAACAAATTAGACCATCTTCAGAATCAAACGAGTGTTTCGTTTTCACATTATTGTTAAAAATCACATGTGTTCACACTTTGGTGCTTAATTTTGTTGAGCCAATGAAAGAAAATGTTAAGTTGTTAATAAAATTAATTATTTTCGAGAGAGAAAAAAACAATAAAGTGACAAATTTTTGTTCATTTGGGATTCGGACTGTTGATACATCATTAAAACTTTTTCAATGGATTTTTCGAGTATGTTTAAAGATCGTGATTTTTGAGTGTGAATATTCAAGTTTAAATAGATTTGATTCTTCAGAATTCGTGATAAACTGTTAATTTTCATCATGCGTGGATAAAGAATGAATCCATCCTAATCATTAAGAATGTCAATATACATACTTCTTGTGGTTGAGTTGATTTCTATTAAGCTTCAATATTTTAAGTTTCTGTTTCCTTATTAATCAAATCAAGACAAAAAAAAATCCTTTATGAATGGCGATAAAAGCTTTTTTCCTGTGATTTTAAATATTTAAGGAAGTGAAATCTCTGAAGCATCAATTTATATGCAAGAATATTGAATTAATTTTGTTAATTATTCAATTTACAAATTTAAGGTTAAATCCAGTTGAATCATTTCATTTGAATAAATCTTTTTTAATTTATTTCTAGTAAAGCACATAAATAATGCATAATAAATTTCATTGTTACAGTTAATTGCTGGATTTAAATTGAATTTGCGACACAAACTTCACGATTGGGATTCACAGAAGAATTTCTTCTAAAACTTTGAAATGTCTGTCACATTATTTCAGTTGATTTGCATTCAAATATTAAATATGACTCAAACAACTGGATTTTCCCAAAAGCGAATGTTTAATTTCATTACTTAGGACGCAATTCTACCCGGATTATTATTATTATATCTTCCAAATGTCTTAAAGAGTGCTACCTTAATTGATCATTTTAGATTCACTCATGAAACTGATTTTGTAGATATTAAAAGCTTGAAAGTCATAAAAAATCAAAGTACAAGTGTCTGAATGATTTTTTGTACAAAGTAATTTTTTGTTAGATTTCTGTAATGACTCTTTATAATTTTCTGTAACTTTTTTGCGTGGTTGGTGAGTTTTGGAGATCATTAAAATTTCTGGTTGGATGATCAAATTGTTGGGTAATGTTAAGATGATTTTGTTTAAGTGATTGAGGTAGAAAACTAATTGAAGAACGAGAAGTATTAATTGATGATCTAAACTTCATAAGACAGAAAGAACTATATTCCCAACAAAGTTCAAAGTTTTAAACATTTTCATAAACCCAAATTTATTTATTTTCCCACTCAAAAGTAAATTTTACCGTATTAAAATTCACCTTACGTATTTTGCATTTAACACAACCTCTTAACCTTTTCCATATCAACCCAAAAAGTAAAAAATTCATAGCTAGTAAGCAATAAAAAACTATTTTTTATGAATTAAGTTACAAAGAATGACGCTATTTAAATTAATTAATGAGCAATATAAGCAAACGTTGCAACAACGCCGTGCTAACGCATTAGCACAGATTAAATCTTTGTTGTTGTACTGACAGTCACACGGTTGGACATAAACAATATAAAAGCAAGATGTGACGAATGTCTGTTTACTGCGACAATTTCTTTTCATGACATTATTTTTTATCTCTGTGAGTGTTGCTGCCGATTACACAAGAGTCTTTTAGTCATCTGCAAGGTGTGTGTAATCTACAAACAGCAACATAGACTGATCATCATCATGAATTTTATTGCGGACGGAGATTTCTGTCAAAAAAAATGAAATCTATGCGACAGACAAAAAGTAACGAAAAATTGAGAGATGAAGCATGAGTCAGGGAAGAGAAATCTCACAGATTTCGTGAGTCTGGGCTATTATGATTTAATAGCCTCACTGTTGTGCAAATATTATTTTTGGCTATTATTGAAATTTTCCAATTTTCCTTCTTTCTCTTTTTATTTTGTTGTTATGCGATAATCATTAAATTTGTGTCGTAAATCAGTTGCAATTATGGATTAATTTTTAAATCTCAACTCAAAAAAAAAGTCTGACATCATGAAATCTGAATATTTTGCAATGTAAACACGCATGCAAGTTGAATTATTTAATATGGGCAAATTGATTTTTTCACAGTACATTAAGTCGCTGATCTCATTAGGCTGCTGAGCTTTGAGATTGGCTGAGACAATCTTAATTGAGTTTGGAAAGGATTTGATTTAAAATAATATTTGCGTCATAGATTTGAGTATTTATGAATAATTGGGTTAATAAATTGGATTTTTGCAAAGCAAATGTTCATCAATTTGAGTCGTAACCCGTTGTCTTCTATTAGCTTCTAATCTATATTGAAGAATATTTAAATCTAATGTTAAACGTGTAAATTCCTAAAATTTTAACTCTAAACCTACTCTCAATCTCATCTGTTTCCAAAATTCCAACAAAGCCACAAAAAATGCACAAAAATTGTCACAGATCCCACAAATGCATCATAAATTCACCCTCAAAACCCACTCAAATATGAATAATTTTTAAATACAAAGTTTCTCTTTAAAATCAACCTTGACATAATCATAATGGGAACAAACAAAAATGAAACCAAAACTCAAGATTATGAAGAGAAGTGGCTGATGATGATGATTTTTTCTGCTCAATTATATAATTGATGCGAACCGACTTAAGTGGACATTTATATCTGTGTGACTAAACTATATTACTTTTTTTTGTTTTATATCAAAAAACGTGAATCTAACTGATGCTTAAAGTTTGCAAAAAAAATGTGCGAAAAATTCATTGATGAAGTTTTTTGGGCTTGTCTGTTGTTGCTGACCATTTAATGATGTTCAATAGTTTAAAAGACATGATGTTAAAAACCTTTTTACAGTAAAAAAATATTAAACTTCCATTATTCCATTGATGTGATTTGCGAACAAATCCTTCCAATATTGATATGCTGTTCTTCAACTAATTCAGATGTTTACAAACTCCCAAGTCGAATATTATCAAATGATAATAAAAAGAACGTGTTATTCAAGTCTGCAGGTTCCATTTAATTTGCAGAATCTTACTGTGATCTTCTTCAAGGGTTTCTTATCTCCCTTGAAGGGAAAATTGTGACCGTGAATCTGTTTCATTATAAAATGTTTAAAATTCATTGAAACTAGACTGTTGCTAAGCATTTAAAATTTTAAGAGCTTCTTAATTAACTCAATATTATGGCAAAAAGAAGACTTTATTGGCTACAAAATCTGATAGTTTTGGATTAGATTTGGAAAATAATAATAATGATAATAATAAAAAAAAAAACAAACAATATATATTTTGTTTTAAGTTGATAGCTGGAAGATGAGTTTTGATTTAAACCTAAATGTTCTTTAGCTTATCCTCTAAGCAGATTTGATATCATTAGAAAATAAAAAGATTTGCTTAATAAACTTAAACATTGGTTTCATCTTAATAAATAACAAATAACGTCATTTAATAATTTAGACTTTCCGACAAGCGCTTTACGTTTTTAAAGTTCTATGACATCAACAGATTAGAAAATAAGAAACTTGTATGGTTATATATTGCACTCATTAGGAATTTAAATGGCTCAAGATTTTTTTTTTCATATTTTGAATAAATATATTAGAAATCAGGGGTTGTATTTTGGATTTTCATCAAGAACTTAATAATGAAATCTTTTTACCGAAACTCGAAAAATCTCAAGCATGTTCAAAAATTGTTAAGAAAACAAAATACAAATCAAAACAAACAAAATTTGAACTAGTTTTTTAAAGATGATTTATATGAAAAAAATTAAAAAAAATACTTCTGAAAATATTCCCGATTCAATCCAAGTCAAGATATTGAACCATTTATATCCGGCTTTAAACTTTAAAATTTTCATTAATTTTTTTTTTCTTTTGAGACAGCATAAGAAGGAGACACATGTGAGCCAAAGAATCCTTTACTTGTTGTAAATTCTGTAATCGATTATTGTGTTCTAAAGTTGAATGAACTTACTTCAAAAAACAATAAAAAAAAATTTATGTCGTGCTTTTTGATATTTATTTCAAAAATATTCATAATTGAATTAAAAGTGCAAATAAACTTTATTCTTAAATAAAATATGACATTTCAATAAGATCCAAAGAGTTATCATTTTGCATTTTTTGATATTTGAGACTTTTTGAATTTTTAAACATGTCTTCATTAAGTTTTCTAGATTAAATAACAATAAAATTGTAAATGTTTTGGGGAATTATTTTAAAAAATAATAAAATTTATTGATGTTAAGAATTGTGAAGTTCACGTTTGTATCAATATAAGTGACAATTTGCCATGATTGTAAACAAAAAAGTCAATAAATGTCATTAGCGAATGACCCATAATCAAATCTTATTTCTTTAAATTGATAATTTTCTAAATGGCACGTGATTTTAGTTCAACTGACTTATAAATAATCAGATATTAAAGAACAAATGAATAAAGACTCTAATCTCATAATTAATTGACCTCTACAGAAAATCTTTCTAAAATTTTTAACTGAGAAATTTTGAGTAATATCAAGCTGCAGTTGTGGAATCTTTTTTAAAAAAATCTTAAAAAATTATAAAACCAAAAGATCTTAAGTGTGGTCAGTTATGAAAGCAGCAGTTAAGTTATTAATGCCACCTGCCTAATAAAAAAATTATTATCAAAATAAAAGAATGATGAGTTTGACATTCATACAGAGATTTAAAAATAATTCAATCAATGATGAATTTAAAAACATTATTTTCCTTCGTTTCATCAATGTGAATGGATGAAATTTATAAACATTATTTTCGACTGCAACAAAATCATAAGCGGCATCAAGCTTTGAAAGTCAAATCAGACCTTGTAAAAAATGTTCATTTACTTGATAAAATATATTGTGTCAACATATGAAATTCCAATCCGTGATATTGTGCAAAGAACTTCTGCAATTAATCAAAATAAAATCCGTAAAAACCTTCGAAGTTATGAAAACATAAATTGGATTGTTCATAAGTGATTTCCGTCAATAAATGTTGATTTTTAAGATTTCATTTCTCTCAGTTTTATTTATTTAAATGGAAAAATGCATAAAAACTATTAGACGTCATTTAAGAATAACCCACAAACACTGTACTAATAAGCTCTGTCTTAAAACTTAATAATGATGTGCTCCACTCATAAATCAATCAATGAACAAACAAAAACTGCTTTACATCTCGTCGACCTTGTGAGAAACACACAAAAATGCACACACATGCATATGACACTTAACAGACCTAATAAGTTCAAGATCAACCAAATAGAAATCTATAAAATGAGTGGCATTCCAATTACGCAAGTCTCACTATTGGCCCAAAAAAATGTGACTCGTTTGAAGAGTTTTTAAAGTTTGTAGTCATAGAAAACTGTCAAAAGACCAGCTTAATGTTGCGTTGAGATGAAAAGAAAAAAAACAATCTCGCAGCCACAAAAGTAAAGAGTGTTTTTTTTTTTCGGTACCAAAAAATATATTCACATGCTTACTAACCAAAATCTGGTTCTACAACAATTTTTATTTTTCGTGATAAATGTTGAGACATAAAAATTTTTTTCTCTTATTTTTTTCGCAGATTAGTTTCAACAATCGTCGAGTGAGGACCTAAGACGAAAAATTCACATTTAGTGAATAAGGATATAAGACAAAGTGTGTGTTCAGTGACAGCATCGAATGTCGCTATAGATTATAAAAGATTATATTTAGAATAGTCAAAGAAGATTTAAGGATTAAAAAAAAATATAAATCAATTATTAACACAAATCTATTAAAAATGGAGAATAGTACAAGCACATTAGGATATTATTGGGATTATATCTTCGTGGATCTGGCAGGTGTGTAAAAAAAATCTCATCCGTTAATGCGAATTTTATAACCAAAAACTTTTCTTATGTAAATCTTAGATAAAAGAACCAATGACTGGCCACTGATCAAATCTCCACTGCCTGGATTGACACTTATTGGACTTTACTTATATTTTGTCAACTCATGGGGACCACGATTCATGAAACACCGTAAACCATTCCATATGCAAAAGTTATTGATCGTATATAATTTCTTACAAGTACTGGTCAGCGTGTATCTTTTCGTCGAGGTAAGTCACGAGACGTGCAAATTAAAAATTCCCAGAAAAATTAATTCTTTGCCTCAATTTAGGGAATGAATGGAGGATGGCTCAGACATTACAGTTGGAGATGTCAACCCGTCGATACATCAACAACCGCATTAGGAATGAGAGTGAGTTTCTATATCCATATAAAGTAGCTATCCAAGGGAGTCGCAAATCGTAGAAGAAAAACTAGTTTAAGATATTCCAAAAAAATCGTTTTCATTGGACTATATGCCTTGAAGATATGCTAATTATGAAATCGGGAAATGTTATTTTTTGAATTTAAATTCACTGCACTTTTGGACATATCCTGCTTTTATCAAATTTATGTCTTCAAAAAAAATTAATGTCAATTTTTTTCCAACAACAGGAAGCTCGCGGCTGCTACGTATACTTCATTGCTAAACTCACCGAACTCTTAGACACAATTTTCTTCGTATTAAGAAAGAAGGACAATCAAGTGTCGTTCTTGCATTTATATCATCACACAGTTATGCCAATGATATCATGGGGCTGCACTAAATATTTCCCTGGTGGGCACGGAACCTTCATTGGTGTTATCAACTCATTTGTACACATTGTTATGTACTTCTACTACATGTTGGCTGCTATGGGACCAGAATTCCAAAGATACTTGTGGTGGAAACACTGGATCACAAACTTGCAAATGGTAAGAGCCTGTGGGGTTACTTAGAGACTTAGGAGTTATGTTTTACTGCTTCAACGCCCTCCTAGATACCAAGTTACATGACAAACAAGATAAAATCAATAGCTAGTCAATTGTAGTGCTTAACAAGCCGTCAAAGGTGCTCATTGAATGTCAATGCATAATATTGTCTCTTGAATATATTAATTTAACCTCAACTCCCGCCGTTACGCACCAAAAAATTTATTGCCAATTTTAACTTAACAACGTGAAAATTCAATTAATTAAAATAAATTATTTTCCATGTTTACGATTGTCACAGATTCAATTTGGTATGGCCTTCTTGCACAGCGCTCAATTACTTTACACAGATTGCGGTTATCCAAGATGGTCTGTATGCTTCACATTACCAAATGCCATCTTCTTCTACATGCTCTTTAATGACTTTTATAAGGTAACATTATTGTTATTTAATTTTTTTTTACATAATACTTAATAATTTTTCAATCTCAATTATGATGTTACAATGTCAGTAATTTTTATTAATCTACTTCTTCTTTTCTTTCGACATGCGCGCGCGCAAAAACAGAAATCATACTCAAAGAAAGGTAAAGGAAAACACGGCAAGAAAGTGAAGCACGCTAATGGTACCGCAAATGGAATCACACATGACATTAATCATAATGAGACGAAACCCGAGGAAGAGAAAAAGGAGAAGTGAAAAATTTCACTTTTTTATAGATAAGAGTGTATAAAAAAAAGGAAAATAATTTTTTTTCGTGGACTGGGATGGACAACAATGGAATCCATTCCGGTTGATTGATTAATAATTTTTGTGTAGTGTGTAAAGAAAAAAATCCCGGTAAAGAAATATTTTTAAAATTTCTTCAAAAAGGGGTTGTTCATGAGTGACGTCTATAAAAAAATAATAAGAACCTGCCTGTTTCTTCCTATATCCTTTACAAAAAAATCATTCAACATAGTGTCCCAAAAATCAAATTCCTTAAAAGTAAGACGTCATTTATGAACCACCCCTGCTTGGAATTTAATGATCTTGGGCTTTATAATCATGATTTTAGCAAGAATGTACCAAAATATAATCAGCCTCCTGTTTTGTTATTTTTAGAAAGCACAAGAAACTTAAGTTTATGATGGAAGAATACATAGCTTTGTTCTACATATTTTTTAAGAACCTTGTGGATACAAAATGACACTAGCTAGTCAAATTTCAATAAAGACTTGATCAGCATGTGCCTTTTTTATTTACACGGATCAAAACATTCATATTTTAAAGTTCCGACATCATATTAAGATTAAAAAAAGAAGTCATTTAAGATAAAGGAAATTTCTCAGTGCAATATTGATTTTTTCGTTCAAAATGAGGCAATTTGCAGGAAGTTGCAGCATGAAATTGTCGAATGTTGGAGAAAAATATAACTTTTCATTGTAAATCATTTCAGAATAAATTTAGATAAAAAGTTAATTATGGAAAAAAAGATGCAGCTTTAATTTTATTCTTTTTCAACTTGTCCAACCACTTCCTATCTTTATGATAATTATCGACATTCTTGACAGAAGATTCTAAGTTCTTGAGAGATTCTTTCCTATAAATTTTATAAATCTTTATCAATTTAATTTTTCAATTCCAAAACGTGTAGCATATTTAAAAATGACACAACAGCAAGTTATGAAGGCACAAATTTGAATATCCACACCCCAATGTATTTGACAGAACAAGATATATGCATCTAAACTTTTGCTGACCAGCTGGCTAGTCAGCTGAATAAGGAATTGCATACAATTGTGAAAGCATTTTTAAAACTCTGGAAGTTTGGAGGAACCTGTTTCCCTGACCACATATCTGTTATTATTATTTGTACAGTTTTAGATGTTATTCTGAATTCTGTCCTACAAGCTATAGTTAATTTTTAAATGTGCAAAAATTTAAAAATGGATTTTTATTCGTAACTTGATACTGGATACTTGGACAATAACATCAATAAACTTTCCTATTTAAAATTCAAATTTTTATTGAGATTCTAGAAGGATCAAGAACTTCAACTTTTGAAGGATAAAATGCTTGCAACTTACAGTTTAGCTAGATAGCCAAAGTTTTCTTACTTTCTTCAGGTTAAATTGATAAAAGCTTTATGTTCAATGTAAATGACAAGCAAGGGTCTATTCAATATTAATAAAACAGTGTTCACACTCTAATATTTTAGTCAGTTATTGTTGTCAGAAAAAAAGCAGAAATGTCAAAGTCCATTTTTATATGTCAAAGCAATTTGAGGGTCGGTTGGTTTAATTTTTCGCTTAAAACAACATTTGTTCTTATAGAATCAATCCAAAATTTTAATTTGCAAGCAAAACATCCTTCAGATTCAATCTTGATCCTTGTATTGACTTGTTTTCCTAGTCTGATCCTTTCATACTTCCTGTTTACTGGTACACAACATTAAATTGCTCTAATGTGTTGATATTAACTTAACTTAAGTGTCATAAAGCTTAAAAGGTACTCACAAAATATGTAAAATTTAAATGAAAGTTGCATTTAATTGTTTTTGCTGTCTACAAACCCTACTTTATGTCTTACTACCTCCTTACTTCCCTTTAGCCACTTTAAACTGTTATACAGCTTCTAACCTCCCAATTCTTTTGCTCCTAAAATCTAAAGCATCGATGCTCAATTACTTCAAAGTAGAGGTTGAATCCGACTAAGATTTTGTATGAAGTCGAATAATCATTAAAAGATCTTCGTCAGCTTCGTTCTCTGCTGCTATGTGATAACGGATAAACAGTTTATATTTTAAAAATTCCATTTAAATTAAAATAAAATAAATTGTAAAAAAAATAAATATTGGAAAATTGCTACTTTACTTTTGTAAATCAATAATATGAAGATGCAAAGCTATAATTTATTTCCAATACAAAAAAAATATTTTTTCATAAAATCTACTTGATTAAGACTTGATGTATAATATGAAGGAAAAAAAATTGTATTTTAAAAAATCAATAAAAATCTACTCATTTATTTAGTAAAAGAAGAAAAACATCTGTGATTTTTTTTAAAGTTTTGCAGCTTAATTGTACTTTATGAAGCACACGTGTGTTGACCATTCAAAGAAACGTTTCTTCATAAAACCATGAAAGTATTTTCAACACCATCTCATCAGCTTTTTTCGGCAAAACGAGTTTGTATTATTTATGCAAACATACACGACCATTAAGATTAGATCGAATAGATCGACTATTCGCTTACTATCAATGAAATCATTCGCATCTTTTTCTCCCTTTTTATTAATTCATAAGTTTACAGAATTATAGAAATTAGTTTGAATTTTATAGTTTTTGGGTAGATCTGATTTTCTTGTTGATTTTTGAAAATATTTCACAGCTTTTCGATTTATTTTTAAGTTAAAAAAATACTGACTTATTTATATGATTTATTACAAGAATGTCCAAAGCTATAACAGCCTTTTGGTATGCAGAATGATATAATAATGTGCTCATTAAGTTCTGATAATTTAAAAACGATTTCCCCTATGATATGCCAAGAGACGATGTCAACGTTGGAGCAAAATAAGTTTAAACTTGTTTCGAATGTTTTTCGAACAAAATTTCGCAATTTCGAAAATCATATTTTTTATGAAAATTTTAACTTTTCGCAATTTTTGACTTAATTCACTTATTATTTAGGAATCGAATCCTTCTACTATGTTAATCAACACTCATTTAATCGTTTAATCGATGATAAATGCAGGAAACATTAGTTTAATATGATTTTTTTCAAAAATATTCAAAAAATTTTGTTGTTGTTTACATTGAAAATTAAAATGTCATTAATTCACTTGCATTAATTGTTTAGCAAATCAGTAATGATTCATTATAGTTGAGTGGATTCTTTTAGCATTTTGATGATGAAAAACAAATATGTAAACCATTAATTAAAGAGATTAGACATTAATAATTTAACGTGAAAAAAAAATTTGAACTCATGCTCGAAAATAAGGTCCCAAAAAAAAATCAATATCGAAAATAAGGACTCGTTGGCGTACCATAGGATTTCCCAACTTTAAATGCCATTAAGCTCAAGCAATCTAATTGATATTCAGTTTTTTCCAGTTTACCGGTTCTTGATCAAGATGATGTAAAATCTGGATTCTGGATGTAAGATTTTTGTAAATTTTTACCGATTAGTAAATCTCTTAAGATACCTACTCAAGCTATGAAACTCTTTCAAATCATAAATTCATATCTAAACAAGATTGTTATCTTAAAATTCCTAATTTTAAGTTGGAAATTTTTCGAATGCTTTAATAATCATGCAAAATTTTATTTATTTCGACAACATGCCTACACACCTTACAGCAAGTTATTAATCAATGCACAAAGATAACATATTTCTCAACATATCAATCTCATAACTTAAATCTTATATATTTCAAATATATGAAGAAATAAAGGGCAAGCTTAATCAAGTCCATTTGATTTTTGAGCTTATTAACCTTGCCCTTCTTTTGACTCTAATTAAAATATTAGACATATCATACGATTCATTGTCCTTGTGTTAAAAATAATGTCCTAATTGAAAAGTCGTGAGGCAGAGTTGGTGTTTAATTTATCACGCGTAGAATTGATTGATCTGATAGCTGTTAAAGATGCATTTTCACACTTATTTATGTTTCGAGTTAGAAGTGGATTTAAATTAAATGTGAATTAAGACAATTAATTCATACAAATTAAAAGCAGACATAGTCATGCCTTTATTACCGAAATTATCGCTTTCTGGAAGTATCATCTTCAAATTTCTAGCTGAAATATGGATTTCTCGATATTACTTTTTGGAATATTTTATGTCCAATAGATTTTGCTAGTTTCAAAGCTAATAGACTCAATCATCAAAAGCTAATGACCTTTGATACAAGCTAGTGTTTATTATCAAGAATCATAAAATCGCTATAATGAAGACTGCATCATCATCAGAACGTAGAGATGACAAAGCTGAAATTAATAAACAAAAACATCTCAAATTCTGAATTTTTTTGACTCATCATTCAAATGAGCATGCAAAAGAGAATTGAAAATCATCAAAATCATCATTTTCTGAATTTTGCTCTATAAATTTCAACACCAAAACTCAATGTCCAACCCACTTTCCCAAAATTTAAGTACCGTGAAGATTCTTCAACTTACAAAAAGACTTAATTTAATTAAATTTATTTCCAGGAAAACCTCAACAAATGAAGTCATTAACATTGTCTTAAGGTATTTACATACCACCTTGACATAACAAACGGCAGCAAAAGTTTTTCTCCATTTTAAAACTGATTGAAACCAAATAGCAAATTAGCGTAAAGATGATAAAAAAAACTGTTGGTGTCATATCGTCTATCTAATGCTGTTTAATGAGACATTGTCATCTATAGTCTTGGTTAATCAATTATAAGGTTTGTCAATCACATATGTTTGAGGTTTTTCTAAGAAAGAGTCTGCCATAGGCATGTCAAGTAGCTGGTTGCCTGCTTAACCTGAGTTTGTTTTCCTGTTACTGGTGTATAATTCTTTTAAAGTTCTTATGCGTAACTAAACCTTATAACAATGAAATAGGTTCCACCCTAGACCTATCAAAAAATAAATATTATAATAACGATAATTTATATGAAGGACTCAGCAATAAGCATTTTTGTCTGAAGATCAAACGGCTTTGTCTTTGCATCACACATCAAGTTCAGTGATGTAATATTCACTTATGAAATTAATTAATTTTTGTCTCCGCGCGTTTTAAATGAAATTAAGACTTATTTAACCAACAGACGCCCTTTCTTGCTGCATATTCAAATTTGACGTAAATACCGAAAAACTTCAGAGCAGCAAGAAAATCCAGTTTCGATATAAATATTTTTGATTATTGACCCATACGTGCGATACAAGATCATGAAAATTAATTGAAAGTCAACTTGAGAAATTGCTTAACAGACGAAATAAAATTAATGGACCTTGAACTATTATTGAGTTTACATTATAAAAATTAGCATTCATCATCGAATTAATAAAGCGAGACAATGAGATGTGATTAGTAGTGAAATTTTCAGGCAGTGACATGTTAAAGACGCAGTTTTTAAGTTGAAGATGAATGCAGTTTTCTCAAGTTTTTTTTAACAGTTTATCAAGATCAAGACATACCCTGGTTGCATCCCAGTTTGGATCTTGATGCTGTTTTTTTATGGTTTGAGGTAGATATCTCCGGCAAATTATAAAAAGGTCACAAAGATACCTCTCTTGACTTATTGCTTAAGATAGCATTCAAATTAATTTTGGACTAGACTGATAATATAAGCTTTTAAGGACGAAATCAGTATAGATGATTCGAAAAACGCTACAAGATTTCCTAATCAGACTTGAACCCATGAAAGTTGTGTTGACTTTAAGAATATTTAGATAAAAACCCACTTAAGCACTATACCAAACTCGCTTGATTACATCTATGATCAAGTCTGACAAAATTGACCCCATATGCTTCATAAGCACCTCAAAATGTCACTCGTTATGTTATAACATTTTAATACAGTAACCATATTAATTAACTTTTTCCCATCTCATCACTCGTAGAGAAAGCGAAAAACAAAAAATAAATTAAAACATTGGAGTGACTATAAAATTTTATGTCCGATGACAACGAACGAAATATTTTCGCGACATCATGATGATAATTATGTTGAAGGGATCCAATAAATCAAAAAATTGATTATTAATCAATTAATTGTTAAAGTCGCTGGTTTTACATTATTCAATAACGTTTAAATATCACGAAAAAAATTTATTGTTTATTTTTATTATATATTAAATTGAATCAAGCAAGATTGTCGTTTCCATTCGTAGTCATGCATTTAATTCTTTTCTTTTTTATATGCTCAATTGAAATAAGAGAAATGAGTTTTTGTGAATTGTTGGGCAAATATTTTGATTGTGCCTTAGGGAATATTAAACTCTTGGTCAATATTTATCTTAATTTTATGAGTTATTGAGATAAATTGTTGGATATTGTTTAAAGGAACAAGTACTTTATACGAGCTATTGAATAATGCTGAGGAATCCCCTAGATGCGATTAAATGTTATAGTTGTAGATAGATGAATGGACTCGAGAAATAAACCGTGGCAATAACATTCTTATGGTAGCCTTAGTGTTTCGATAATTGACACTGCTAAACCAATTGTCAACAAAATATATTTCAGTAGATTAAAAGATCCCGTAATAGACTAATCATAAAGTTCCCAATACTATGTCTAAGAATCAATACATACCTCTCATGAACAAATCTCTGCAATCACAAACAAACACAAACGGCGTTCCAAAGAAAATAATTTAAATAAGTTTTGAAAAAATCTTCAATCACCTTCAAATGCCAATTTTTTCACAAGTACTTCTTACATTTAATGATGGCATTTGAAATAAAATATGCAAAAATGTGACAATCTTCGACTTGACATTTCAAAACAAATCTTTTATCAATTATTAATGTGATTGCTTGGTTTGAAATTTTTATTGATTTTTTTATTGGATGTTAAGTTTGAGTTTTGCGAGCTTTTGATGGTGCTGAGCTTATTTAACGAATGGGAAAAATTTGAAATGAAAGCTTTTATGCTTACAAAGCTGTGTACCCATTGATGATACTCACGAAAAGTTAAGCATTTGATTTAACTCCTAGTAATTAAACTCTAGGTCTAATCATGATTTTAAAGTCTATTGAATTTAAAACTTCTGGGTGCCTAGTTTAGGTCAGATAGCTAGTCAGATATCAGCTATAGTTGACCCTAATGCTCTTTGGGGTGTGATTCAAATTTTACTTGGGTAGGATCGCTCTAGAAACAGGCTCCAGGAATCTATCATACCTTAACATCATGAAATTAATTAATTATTGCAATTTGAATATAGCTTTATGACTGCAATGCCATTACCAGCTAATTCTGAATTAACAGTGTCATAATCATCAATAAAAATTAATAACAAACTTAGTCAATAAGCACGCTTAAAAGAAATTAATGTAAAAATATGGCAATATTTATTAGACTATTTAATTATCAACATAGACATTTACAAAACATACATTAATGACATTTCTATTTTTTTTAAAGCTAATAACTAACATTAAATGTATTTAATACATTTGATTGCGTGACTAAATTCTTTCTTTTCCCACTTTCCACCTTTTTACACATTTATTGTGCAATCATCCAAATAAAATTTTATTAAACGTAATGAATTTCATCATCGTATCAGCTGAGTACGGACACCATGAGTAATTTTTGTAGCATTTTTCGAAGTCATTTTTGTTGTTCTTGTTGTATCCTTGGCCTTGCTCATATGCTTTCTTGAGCTTCTTTGGTACTTTGACGTTGTCGATTGTGTTTCTGGAAGAAATTTTGAATAGATTTAAGTTTTGAGATATTTTGCAATCTATAAAAATCTAGATCTAAGCTTGATGATTTTTTTTTGAATTATCAAGCATAGACCTAGATCTCTTTGTAAATTTGATACATAACAAAAAAGCTTACGTAATGAACTCATAAATCGCATTTGCTTCGTCATTCTTTCGTTCTGCTCCAGCTGATAGCTGACAAACTAGGGATAAGGCGCAGCTGAATGGATCTCGATTAAGAATTTTGTCCCAGTCAATTTTCTCTTCAAACTCTATTTCTTCCTTTGTTATGTTCCGACTAAGATTCGTAAGATCTCTTTTTCCAAGCAGTAGACGGGCAGCTATAATAAAGGTTTTAAAAAATTAAATTTGTGGATTGTGGATTATAAGTTTTAAGAAATTTGTTGAACATTAAGCTAATGTCAGGTCTGAAAACTTTGAAATTTGTTCAAAAGTATTCTCAATTGTTTGTGAAGTTCGAATGTTTCCAGCTTGGATCTAAAAATCTAATGCTTCGTGGTTCTGTTTGTAATTTTAGCAATCCTGTCACAGCCAAATACCAGAGGAAAACGTATGATCTTTAGTTGCCAAACAGCACGTTATTAATATTTTTGGATTTTTTTTAAAACACTTTAATGAAACAGAAACTTTATGCTTCAATAAATTTTATATTAATTATTTTTCTCCTGTCTACGGGTAACCACACACATGCTTTAATTAATTATTATTATTTTTAACCAATTATGACACACACTTCCCATAGTTCATTCTTTCACTTTCACATTGTTATTATACCAAACTCATTAATTAATTTATTAATAACTTGACTGCTTAAGTCGACTAAACTTGAACTCTAGTTCTTCTATTCGTTCTTAATAAATTACGATCTAAGATTTAAAAGATCTAGATCTGAATCTAATAATTGTTTAATTTTCTGTGACAAATCTAGCTCTCCGTAGTTTAATGTCTGTCTATACTTTACCAAATTTCGATCCTGCTTGAATTTTCATCCAATCCTGCGCAAGCAAATGAATTGTATACAAAGCTCCTAATCCAACAACCAGAAGTAGAACAAGTCTAATGCCCATTTTAGTTCCTAAAAATTTCGAAAATGAGGTGAATGCAGAAGTTATTGGCATCAAATACATCAGGAATAGTTTTTTAATATTTTTGATTTTTAAAGTTTTTTTTGGATTTTAAAATTTTTCACTTTTTTCTTCACTTTAAACTTTTTTTCACATCTCAATAATTAATCATTAAGGATTGGAACTCTTTAGAATACGTTTGCACCTAATGAAATGTCTTTTACAACTGAATCGAAATCGCAAGTGATTCCTAATAAAAATTGTAATAAAAGCAAGCATAACATCTAGACGTACCTGACTTCGTAATGAAAAACTCGCTTTTCTTCTATTTACTTAACAAAAAAAAAAATCGCACCAAAAGAAGATTGAACTCAACCAGCCACGCGTCTATACGATATAAGTTTTGCTGTATATTTGCGGAAAAATCAAATCGACTGGCAAGCAAATTTGAACAACGATGAGAGCTTTTCTCCAGATAATAAAATAGTAAATATGAAAACTTGTTGGTAAGTGTGCTATTAGAGTAAGCACAACAAACATATATGTTCAATTGCATAATTTTTATAAAGAAAAGTAAAAATATAAAAATAAAAGTAGGTGCATTACTTACCTGTTGCCTATTGAGGAAAGGGGATGTTCTTAAATGACGTCAAAGATTTAGATGAAGTTAAGACTCAATAAATAGGATTAGATCAAATCTCTGGTTATCCTTCTTAAAAATAAGCTCCAAAAATCCAACTTTTCAAAAGACCTGATTCCCAAGCGACTCCCAAACTAGTTGCCATTAAAAAGTGAATTTCATTTCTTTCACTGTGTCATTGCAAATTCCATTCAGTCATCGCTTGTTCCCTGCTGATCATTATGCACCATCTTCGGTCACGATGCATGCTGTAACATTTTTTCATCTTTGTCACTCTACTGAATGCTTATCGTTTATTCCATGAATGTTTAAGCTTGTGTATTACTTTCTTTCAATTCAACTGCATTTCTGCATCTTATTGCATAATTTTAATGCTGAATGTAACTCATTAGACCATTGGCTATTTATAAATAAACAATCGTAGCCATAAACTTGAATATGCTTATCTTTCATGCGAATAATCATAATTATTAAGAAAATGAGTAGCTGAAATTAACACCTACTTTTGTCAATTAGAGCTGTAAACATCGATGCATGATGTATTATTAATTAATTGAATTGTTATTGAGGATATGACAGCTTAGAAATTAACTTATCGACATCTTGATTAAGTTTCATAAATTACTCATAATCATGCACTTACTAGCATGTAGTTAAATAGTGAAAAGGGGAGTTATACATAATCTATTAATGAGCCGTTTAGAAAATAAATTCATCATGTCTTACAGAAAGTGCAAAGATTAATCATGGCTGCAGTTAAAGTAAGATAGATGCAACATTATAAATACAGCTGATTAAAAGCTGTCATAACAATAAAATTGATATTATGATAAAGTTGGCACTTAATTTCAGGAAAGGAACTAAGGGGTCATTCACTTATGACGTCCAGGGGGGGGGTCAGACAGAAAAGAACAAAAGAAATTCCTGGAAATGATTAAGGCCAAACAAACAGAATCAGAAGCTTTAAAATAATCAAAAACCTAAATTTGATTCGCAGTAATGGATTAACAATGATGACACAGCTATTAAAGTTGAAACAAAGTGATAATATTTAATTTGGCTTTAATCGCTGTTTTCACTTTCAACCAACTGTTTAAAGGAATCTATGCATTTAAAGGACATCCAGGACATGATTAAGTTTTCATTCAAATCACAAAAAGAGTACTTAAAATGACTTTCAATAGATGGAGCTACTAGTCACGTATAATACTGTAAGTAACAGAAACCTGTAAAGATGTAGAAAACTGATGTGGTTTGTTTTGATTTCTTCTCTTTCGGCATCAAATTTTAATGATCTGTTTTTTGTAAAATTCTTTTTTTCCTTAATTGTAAAATTTTAGATTATTAAGTTATATTAAGTTGAGGATATCAAAGCATTTGCAAGTTACAAGAGTATATCTGTGAGTAATAAATGACTCGCTGTTCCTTTTTAACGTCTTATAAAGTTTTAATTTGTGTGTTTATAGTCTGGTTGGCAGAAATTTAGTTTTAAAAGAAAAATATCAATTCAATCGTCATTATGCCAAAAGTTAAGGTTAAGATTAATGTTAAGGAACGCTTAGAAGACAATGTTCTGGATCTAAGCTTGTTGGGTAAGTTTAATTAAAATATTAATTGGAAAATAGTTTTAAAAATTCAATTTTACATTAGAAATTGAGGATATTCCCGTACGTGATATCGCAGAAGTAAAACGAGCAACTGTTCTGGATCTATCAAGCAACAATATTCGATTCATACCGGTAAGATTTTCATTGTACTTCCATCAATAAATCCAAACTGATTTGTTGTAACTTCCAGAAAAATTTTGGAACTCATTTATCGCATATATATCGTATTGATCTAAGCAAGAATCAGCTTCGCTTTTTGCCTGATGACTTTGGAAACTTAACGAATTTGAAGCATTTAGATTTATATAATAATCAGCTTGAGCATTTACCAATTACATTCGGTCATCTCTCAAAATTAAAATACTTGGATCTAAAAGCTAATCCACTAAATCCAGCACTACAAAAAATCATTGGACCATGCATAACAGGTAAAGATTGTCAAAATGCGGCAAAGAATGTCGTGCCTTATTACATTGATTTGGAAAAGAAATTGATATATGAGAAGAGAAAGAAGGCTGAACGGGAAGAGAAGGAACGCGAATTAGAGGCAGAAAGACAACGTGAAGAGAAGCGACTTGCTAAAAAAGCAGCCAGAAAGGAACGAAAGTTATTGGAGAAACAACAGGCTGAAGAAGAAAATTTGATCAGCAACGACAATGAAATTAAAGAAAGTTTATCAGACGAACCTGAAAGCAATAATAAGCAGAATGTGTCAGTCAAATCAGTGCCATCCACGTCACTAAATTTTGTGAAGCTTATCATAAGAATATTCTTATTCTTCTTCATTATTATCATGCTTGGTGCAATAATCTTTAAATATTTGCCAACACAATTCAATGCCATAACATCATTCTTGTCTGATCGTCAACGAAAAGTATTTTACAATTTATTTGAAAGAATCGATGAAAGTGTTCAATATTTTACTAATAAATGAGGATTATAAATTGTTAAAATATTAATGCCAAACGGTTTTTATATCTAGAATAAAAGAGAGAAATTTTAGAGCTTAACGGCTCTTTTTACGATTGCTGATAACGATTCTCTCACACTTTCTCTCGCAAATTATCCAAAAGTATTATATGGGTACGGTCTGGAATTATCGAGATGATGGAAGCGCATTTAATAAGAATTTGAGTATTTTAAAGTTGTTGCTAAACTAGAGCATTAATATTGTATTTTCTGAAGGATAGGCTCTATTGTGGACTCAACAATCGCTTATTTTGTATTGTATATCCCACCCCCTGTCCAAAGGTTAAACTATAGCCCGAAAGTCGTTACTAAAGTTCAGACTCTCAACAATCTTATCCTTAATTTTGAATTAGATTAAACCCTAGTCCCAGCAAAGTAGCTACCACTAAAAGATCTAGCTCATATAGACAGCCGATGCAGCTTCAAATCACCCACAGACCAGAATCCCCACGCAAATTTCCCGGAAGCCCCCACAAACGAAAATTACGGGTACAAAATTACACGTACATTTTCAAGTGGTGTTTCTGGAAAACAGTGTTTTTCATAAACACCACATATATTTCCAAGTCGTGGATAAAATCACACGTGTGTTTTTATTCACCACGTACAATTGCAAGTGGTGTTTCTGGAAACACGTATGTTTCATATCACCGAGAATAAAACATAATTATTTCACTATTTTTCATATTTCAAAATAAAAATACACTAATCTCCAAAACGCCCACAGACAAAATTTTCGGGTGATATGAAAATCACGTGTTTCCAGAAACACCACTTGCAATTGTACGTGTGATCACACGTGTGATTTTATCCACCACTTGGAAATATATGTGTTGTTTATGAAAAACACTGTTTCTGTGGGTGATTTAAAGCTGCATCTAGACAGCCAACCCAAAATGCACTTTCCATTCCACTTTCCATAAGTTTCAGTGTATTAGAATCCCGCATAACAAAGGCAACAAATTGTTTGTAAACACCTCTTTAACATTTTTCCATGAAATATTCAGTCACTCTCAAAGTCTGTTCTCGTCAACATGAAAGTAAATAATTTACTTCTATCAGTATTTTTGGTATTGAGTTTCAGTGTTTTAAGTGCATTGTCCTCATTTAATATCCCTCATATCATTAGCGCTAATGATGATCAAATAATTGACGAAAATTTGATAGATCAAACAAAGGATTTTAAGAAATTCGAGCCAACTTGGGAGAGTTTAGATGCAAGACCGCTGCCTGAGTGGTATGATAATGCGAAAATAGGTAAAAAAGTTGTTCTTGTAACTTAAAAACTTTATCAAACAAAGAATTTATATTTCTTTAGGTATTTTTCTCCATTTTGGAGTCTACGCTGCGATAAGTTATGGAAGTGAATGGTTCTGGAACAACTGGAAAAATGATAAAGTTCCTGAATATGTAGATTTTATGAAGAGAACTCAAAATCCATCATTTACTTATCAAGACTTTGCCAAATCATTTACTTGTGAACTTTTTAATGCAACTGAATGGGCAGAAATTTTTGCTGATTCTGGAGCTCAATATGTAATCATAACAAGCAAGCATCATGAAGGATATACACTTTATCCATCATCTTATTCGTTCAGTTGGAACTCTATGGATGTTGGACCTAATCGTGATATTTTGAAGGAACTCTCAGACGCTGTGAGAGAGAAGAAGTTAACATTTGGAATCTATTACTCGCTTTATGAATGGTTCAATAGGATGTATCTCAGTGATAAATATCATGCATTCTTTCAGCAAACTTATGTAAACAACAAGATGTGGCCAGAACTTCAGGAGATTATTCATCGATACCATCCAGAAATAATCTGGAGTGATGGAGATTGGGAGGCTCCTGATGGTTACTGGAAATCTAAAGAGTTTCTTGCATGGCTGTATAATGAAAGTCCAGTAAAGAATACAGTTGTAACTAATGATAGATGGGGCTCTGGAATGCCTTGTAAACATGGAGGCTTCTACACTTGTACTGACCGTTTCAATCCAGGAAAATTAGTCGAGCATAAATTTGAAAATGCAATGACAATTGACAAAAAGAGCTGGGGTCATCGATCAAATACAGTATTAGATGATTATTTAACAAAAGATGAACTTATTAGAGAAATTGTTTCAACTGTGGCCATTAATGGAAATATTGCAATCAATATTGGACCAACAATGTACGGAAAGATTGAACCAATCTTTGCTGATCGACTCAGAGACATGGGAAAATGGTTGAGAATCAACGGAAAGTCAATTTACGGAAGCAAACCATGGGCTCATCAAAAAGAAGGAAACGACACGTGGTTCACAATGAAACATGGCGAATCTCGAGACAGCGTTTTTGTTTTCATTTTTGAATATCCTTATGACACTAATGCTGTATCAATTGCAAGTCTAGCTGATTTTGTAGATTCATCAAGTAAAGTTAAGTTGCTTGGATACTCTGGTATAGTCAAGGTGAGTTGTTACGTGATTTAGAATTATTTACACCTGCAATCGTGACTAGAATTGCATGAACATTTTTAAGGCACCAAATTTTTCGATAAGATCTAGTTTTAAGCATAAAAATGTTTATAAGTCACGATTTATGTGCCGGCTTTTGTGAAATCCGGAAGTTTTCTTTTTCCAGTGCATTATGGCTGCAGAAAAGTTTCCTTCGGATTGGTTCTTAAATTTTATTCATGAATCATCTAGAACAAATCCTTTTGTGGTTCATTTTGGTGGCAATGCACATTATACTGAAATTTTTGCTGCCTGAAATTTATGTGATTTACAAATTTCTTCTCTAATCTCTTTCCAGCATCAACTTTCTGAATCTAAGAACGCATTCAAAATTCAATTCCCAGAAAAGCGATTCATCGATAAAGCCGGCTTATTTTCTGTGTGGACATTTGAGGTCGACATCCCAAAACAAAAATAAAGCATCGTGTCTCCTTAAAGCTATGCAGCCATTGCGTGCAATATTTGTTCATTAATAATTATACATTTTGTATTTGCTTTAAGCATTAAAAAATATTAGTGAGATCCATGCTGCTTTTTTTTCATAAATGAGTAATTTTTTTCTCACAACATAAAAACGTGTTTTCTATTCTCTCGCATGGATTCTCTTCGTTCCTTACGAATAGATTCTCAATTCTCATCTACCAAAAATTGACAAGAAGTCAACGTGATCTTCTGTTTATTCCCATAAATGATACTTGTGGAACACGTACAACAAGCGGATGACTTGATGACGTACCTTTACTTCAATACTCATCGTGACAGATCTTAAATAAATATTTTCAATAATAATAAAAAAATATGTTTTGCGATAACAGAACTTTCTGATAAAATAATGAAGGACAATTTATCTATCACAAAAAAAGCAACGACAATCTCAAATGCGCATACTCTACACATTCGTTTGTACGAAAGCTGAAAATAAATGAGACAAAAGAGAGAAAAAGAAGTAAGAAAAAAAAAATTAAAGGCACGACTAAAAAAATATACAGAATGAATATCCATTTCTCCATAGATTTTATTTTCAGTTGAGTTTTAGCCGGCAAGCACTGAACTCATAGAGTTAAAAATTAAAATATATTTTCAATAGGAAATACAAACTTTTTTTTTGTACACTAAGCTGCGGTGTTAAAGTATAAAATTTTGTACAGCAGAAGTAAGTTGACATAACAGAATGAAAAAAGAAATAATTGGGGGCAAAGTAGAGGAACACGAGAAAAATTGATAAAGTGAACATGTGTTATAGAAAACTTATATTTATTTAAAATAATTGGATTAGAAATTCGTGGCTACAACATCGCATTCAAAAGAATCAATAAAGTGACAAAAGTGAAAAAGTTGCCACGTGTTTTTTTGGATATACTTACATCGATATATACGTTGTTCAAGTACAGAGAGCGAAATTACTTGAAAATCAAACTTTAATTGTAGTTGGATAGGAGGAAGTCAGTTCGTCGTAAAAAATATAAAAATCAAACAAATGACGTAGTCATAATTTTTTTTCTTGTAGTTTTTGCCACACACCTCTTTCGCTCATCATCCATTGTCGATGCAGCCTACAGTCTTACGTGAATTTAATAGTACAGGTAGACTTTAGGGTCAAAACTGCTTTAGTTTTTTTTTTGCGGCGCGCGATTTATTTTTAATCGAATAGTGAAAGAGTTCATGAAAGAGAATTACACAAAAAAATAGGATTGAAAGAAATGTTCTCTTGTGGTTACCGGTCAGTTGAATTATTCAGTATTTGTTGAAGTGAAATAAAATGGAAAGAAGAAGAAGTCAAAAAATTCTGGTTTTGTTGCAAAGTCATCGAAACAGTACTTTTTTTGAGTTTTAAAGGGGTTAATCATAAATGACTTCTTCAAGAAATTTTCTGATCATTTGAATCTTGAGATTTAAGGTTATGTTTAATCTCCTTCTAAGTAGATTTTTAGAATTACATAGAATCTAGATCAAAGATTTGGATTTGAGTTTAAATTAGTTTTTAAACACAGATCTAACATTTTTAAGACTAGATTAGCTACACGATGGCAATGAACTATAATTTTACTTCAAGCAAATCTGAAAACTTTGACTGAATATTAACTTTATTGAAGTAAGCCATAAAGAAGAGAAATCCAAAAAATTCAGTAATTGGTAACCAAAGGATGTAAGTTCGATTCCAACTGTTCAAAATTTATGAGAATCTCAATTAGTCAAATTAAGATGCTTAAAAATCTCGAAGTAGAACAAATGTAACACAACCAGACTAGTTTATAACACTAGACAAACCATCTTGAGTCCAGCTTAATGTCAGCCTTACCCCAGATTACTATTAGACTACAATATACAACCTGCTGTTAAATTTGTGTTAAATTTGTTTTTTACGTTTAAAACTGACTTAGTCTCACCTCTAGTAAAAAGTAATATCAATATTAGTCATCACTAATGAACGAACCCCATCCAATTTTCTTTCTTAATTTATTTGCCGCGCCTATTAGTCTTCTGCGAGTTTATTACCCCCAAAGAAAATATTGCGTGAGCGATACATATTCAGGAAAAAAAGTGATTATGCTTTATTCGCACTTAATAATGTCTTACATTGTTTAGATTTATCAACATAAAATTTCGTCATACGAATCATATTCCTGGTTTTTGATCAACCAGACTTCAAGCCACATGATATGTATTGTAAAATAATATAATCACATGTTTCGCACATGCTTGAATTTAAAATTCATTTAATAAAATGTGACAAATTCATAAAACCATCAACAGACAGTCACAATTGTTGGAAAAACAAAAAAATTGTCTGTTCTCAAAAAAATCTGTAAATTCTCGCCATTTAGCGCCAATGACTTTTCATGTTATTTTTATTACCTAATTCTTCTTTTTCTTCATTTTTATGGTCTCACTCTCAAATTTCATCCATCTATGGCTTCATTTTTTGTGGTATTTTCGGTGGTTGTAAATTTCTAAATCTGTCATGTCTTTCATAGTATAAGCAATCGTAGATGAACATGCAAGAATTTGAGGAAAAAATAGTAATTGCCATGTGACATCCATCATCATTTTATCATGTTGTTTTTCGATGTATTCGTCATCCAAGGTCTTTGAAATTTTACAGATAAGTTTTTGGTTTTGAATTGTCTAGACTAGAATTAAATATGTTTTACATGAAATACTTATTAAAATTGCGAGAGCATCTTCATAATTTGTATTATTTTTTGGATTTTTGAGGTTTTTTTGTATAAGATTTTTAAAAAAAAATGTATTATTTTTTGGGATCTTTTTCTATTCTTTTTCAAGTTTGAACACCTCAAAATAATTAAAAAGAGAGGACGACACAGTTTTCAAATACTTAAAAATATATAAACAAACGATAAAAGAAGTAATTTTTGTGCTACGCAAAAAAAGCACAAGTGTCACTATTGAAGCTTCAAATTTCTTTATTTTAAAAGAACAATTTCAACAAAAAATAATATTTGCAAATAATTAAGTAAATGCGACATGAAGAAATTTTAATTTCGTTCTTGAACTATGCAAAGGATGTGATGTTAAGTCGATTTAATATTCGAAAATGTGAAATTTGAAGGTTGTCTTAGAAAATTAAGTTTCTCTATTGAGAGTGAATTACTTAAGACTGCTTAAGACTAGATCATTCATCATTAAACTCTAATATGAACTTTTTACAATCACAAAATTAACCTTTACTTAGATCCTTCTCTGAAGTAAGCAAGTTGATAGTCAGCCTAGCCAAACCAAACATTTTTATTGACATTCTTACAAAGTTAACATTAATTTTGACAGTTATTGATTACTTAAAAACACACAAATTGATCAATAAATTTCAATAATTGAAGACTCAAAAGAATTGCCATTCTTAAAGAAGAAGGTCGTTTGTAATTTCCCTAAGCAACAAAGCAACAAGGCATATTCCACCAAAATATCTCGAAAATAAACCTCGGTCATTTGATTCCATTAATTATTCAACAACAAAAACTACCATTAAGTGCCATTTGAGTGGGTTTAAATGTTTTGTTTTTACTATAAAGCAGATAGAATCAACAATGTGAGTTATGACTTGCAGAAATTTTTTATTGTGCCTTATTGGATTTCATAAACTTCTGGTAGAATTTCACAATGTTTTCAGAATTGTGGAAGGATTGTAAGAATCTGTACTGTATATGATGGTATCGCTTCAGCAAACAGCTAGATTTGGGCTTGATTTAATATAGAATCGGATCTAGATTTTTAGGGATTAAATTGTGCTTTTGTATTGATTCTTGAATAAGAATCGAATCCTAAACTTAAGGTTTTTAATCGCATAATCCTACCTGTGAGTTATTGTAGAGAAACGCTGGGGTATTAAGCATGTAATAGTAATGCTCAAATTTGCGTAATTCAGTTTTCTCGCATTCAAACATTTTAAGCATCATTCAAACAAATTCAAATCATTAATAAGAATCCAAAAAGAACAACTCATAAAATGTTAAGAACTGCCAATGAATCAGCAACATGCGGAAATAAGCATATCATCAATCCAACAAAAAAACTCCTACTGTCATACATATTTCCAGTCTTATCAGGCGCCGCACTTAATGATAATTTCTTTGAACCAAAATAGAGTTCTTTTTTTTCGAAAATGTCATGATGACGCATGAAGGAGTTTCTTTGAAATGATGTCACTGACAAAATATTTTTGTGTACATATTCTTTTATTTATCACTTATTTTCATTGACGTAAAGCACATAATACAATACATTTATGCAAAACAGAACTGAATTTTCTTTCTAAATGTTACTTGAAGTTCAACAGAATTAAAAATAGTGTGAGCTATAAATAGTCTGCAAGCTATACATATATAATTTAGAGCAACGATTGGAAAATTATAAATGAGACTAACATAATGACTACACGTCTCGCCCTATATTCTGAATTCCTCAATATTTTTTTGCCAACGCATATTGTTGAAAATTAACGTATCATGCTGACCACCGAAAAGAAAATGTGATAAACAAAAGAAAAAGGTAGAAGGGGGGGATTAAATATTCGGGCTCTTTAAAAAAAAAATTCGGCTGATGCAATCGTGCTCGATTCTTTCATACTTTATGTTGTGCATGGTATTAGACACTTTATTTCATCATGCATAAGTCATTTCAAGAGAATTTTTTTTAGAAATTCGCAGACGCAGTCTTTTTTCCTTGAACGAGTGTGTGTAGTTTTTATTTCACCTCCTTTGCAATGCGGCACTTAATGATGAAAAATGTATTGAAGGTTTCCGAAGAATTTGTCTGTGTTTGAATCAGACTTAAATTAATTTTCAGTATATATTCCCAAATATAAGCTGCTAAATCAATCAATGAATTGAAAAGTCGCAGTTTTCATTAATGCATCTTGTAATGGGTGATTTGTTAATGATGTCTAAGTATAAAGGATGTTTTCTGGGTCAAATAGTAAGTGACTCTCATTAGAATAATAATTTTGATTGAAAATTGAAATAATGATTCCAAAAAAATCTCATTTTCTTGTTGACATCATTTTTCATCGACCCCATAATGTAATTTTTTTCCTCTCACAAAATGCTGTAATATAAGTACAATAAGTTTTATTTATAGTCTTATGTATTACTTGTTAGTAAATAATGCTAATTTCTATATTCTCTAATCTAATTATTCTCGTTTACTGTTTGCTGTAAAAAGTGTGTTGACAAGATTATGATAGCTTGTTTGATGTTGTCAGAGTCTTTTACAATATTTAAATTACTGCGCTGCAGTAACTCAAATGCTAATTTCTAGAAAGTAAAACGCTCGTGTTTTGTAATTAGCTTCAAAGTTGATTACTATGGAGTGAGTGGAACTAAGCAAAAATCAGGTCTGGAAAACGAAAGGAATATAGCTAATATCAATCAGAATTCTAGCGAGCAACCCTGACAAGTGCTTAAGAACAAAGATTTTGTCATTAGCTGGACAATCCTTGACACACAAACGCATTTCTCCTTGTAATAATTTTTTAAAACGATTTTCTGATAATTTCCGATTCATGTTCCTATATTTTCAAAAATTGGACATGAATTTGTCACATCTAATGTTCGACAACCGGAAAAAATCCAGAGCATGTACCGTGAAAATAATAATCAAGCAAATGTCATAAACGTGTAATGAGCAGCCGCTTTGCTTCTTTTACCGTTTTGTTCGTTGATAAGAATTGGGAAATTCACTGAACACAATTCTAGTGCAAACTAGTAAAAATTTAATCGGTAGCTTTGATTCTAGACTCTAATTTCACGTATTTGTATCATGAGGAAATGTCAAGCATATGGATTGATTTTTATCATAATCTATACCGCAATATTTTTGTAATGAACGTCCATGAAGGGGATTTAAATGAAATCTTACTATTAAGACCTAAGTCTACCAAAAAATAACCACTGGGAAATTTTCTACCGCTTTGCTAATTATTTAAGAAGTTCCAAAAAACCCACAAAAAAAAGCAAAAGCACAAAGCTTCAGAAACATTAATTTTCATAATATTCTTAATTAGCAAACAGCCAACAAATTCTTTGTTACGTTAAGATTATTTACAATCTTCTTGAGTTGGATGTATTATTGGAAATTGTGAATCATTGACCTATTGAGTATGCATGCAAGAAAGAATGTGGTTCTTTTAACATTAGTGAAACTGATCTTCTCATTTTAAATTATTTTGAGCTTAATAAGTTCGCAAAACTTGAGCAAAATCATGACAAAATAGTTGAGAAATCAGTTTTGGAAGCAGTAAAAAATATTTCACGACTGAGGCAGGATGAGGGTGATTTTTTGTGTCATCATGATGCATACTCATGGCAGAGCTTGAAGTCGATTTAAATATTGACAGAATTTGTTGTTCTTGGACTAGACTAGACAAGATTAAAAAACAAAATCGAATTAAGATCAATGCACAGCATTTTTCTATGCTCAATGATGTATAATGAACTTTCAAGGCTTAGCTAATAGATTTAGCTAAACTAAAGTTCACCGGTTCTTACTTAACAGTCAATAAGACACCCCTTTCTTCGTGACATTGACACAATACTCCACAAACTTTTTAATGCATCACATATCATATTAAAAGAACTGACTTTGTATTTCATATCGCCCATGAAATTTCAAAAATATATAAAGTTATTATCAGTGTCATCGTGATTGATAAGAGCTTTCTATATTTGTTTAGGTTAATGCTCCTCATATATCAACAAAAAATGTCAAAGTAATGAGATTATAATCCAATTTAATACTCATTACCAGATAAGACTGCAACAATACATTTTAAATCCTTTGATTGCTTTCTGATTAAAAGAGTAAGATTTTTATGCATACTCATGAGGTTTTAAATGCAAATATGCGAAATTTATTCACATAAATTGAGTGGAATTTTTCCAGTTCAAATATTTGCTTTGGGATGCTCATTTGCTTGAATAATTTCCCATATTTCGTCTAGAGCTTGAATGATCAAGTAAAGATCACCTATTTAAAGTTGCATTGTCACTGATAAAGTTGTGAATATTATTTAAATTGCGCGTGAAAAACATAAATATTGTCTGCTTAAATATTTAAAAGGTAAACCACAGGTGCACAAATAAAGAAATTTTGTCAGCATGTGGTAACATTTTTGATGTGATAAAAGTGATTTAAAATTATATCATCTGATAACAATTGTCTGATAAAGAAAGTCATCATGATATTTAAATGTGAAGCTTTTCTATGAGCATCTTTAGTATTTTAATAAAGCTGTAAGCTTCAAGTCAAGTTTATAGTAAGTTAGGTGCTTGATTTGAATTGAGTTAAGTTATGAGTTAGAGTTTATTGAACTGAGGTCAATATCTTAGATTCTTAAAAAGTTCCCAAACTATTTCTAGAAGTTTTATGTTCAGGATATAGAGTTGCGCCTTTACTAAGTGTAAAGATTCAATTAAAGTGCTCAAAAATAATCAAATTTGATCAAAGTATAATTCTTCAGTTCTGTATACTTAGTATACGTCCAAGATCAAGCTAGATGTTTAAATCGTTGATGCCTTAAAACTGTCAAAGAAAACTTGTTATATTAGAACAATAAAATCACGATAATTTCTTCAGAGTCTTACAACAAAAATCCACTTATTTACAGAATTGAAAAACAAGCCGACAAATCTCAATTAAACATGACGTCAATTCATTCATCGATGTCACATTGCCCCCGTCCTATAACACAGTAATTAAATGATAAAGCTCTTGAATTTTATTACTAAATCCGGAATAAACCGTTCACATTCTCGTCAATTGATATTTAGAAAATCGGAAACTAATCCAATTTCTCAAATGACTCTTAATTGACTTTAATTACTCACATTTTTTCATCAATGAAGAACTTTCGATTTCAGATCAATTCAATCAAAAAAAGTCCCCTTGAAAGTTAATAAACGAACGCAAAGATGGTAAATGTATGTCAATAATACGATGAAAGTTTATCGATCATAATAACAGCAATTGTTGTTCCATTTCAGGAATATACAGGTCCGCCACCTCAGGAACTTGAGACGTTTTTACCAAAAGACCAGAAAAAAGGAAGTTCCACGTAAGTTATTATCATTATTTTACACTTTCACACAACCTGCAACATGCTGCTTAAAATCGAAGAAGATCTACCTTTACAATGTTTCTTAAATAAATATATTCGTGACAGAAAATCTGATTTATTAAAGAATTATTAGCGACCAGAGTGCAGTCAACCTTACGAAAAAATTTATTTTTAAATTTACATTCTCGATAAAACGATCAGAGATTCATATTGAGATTCATCTTACAATTAATTGTGTCCGTGGCAAATGAAAAATTTCCACATAAAACCAATTCATTGTGACATTCACGAATTATGAGACACAAAATATTACACCGGGCTTAAAGGCTCTCCCTTCGTCTCTTTTATACACATTTTTCTGCACAATCAATTTTGCTTTCCTTCATTTTTCGTCTGCTTGGGGTTATTTTTGAAAATGTTGGTTTTGGATCTATCAGTTTGGGATGTGAAGGATTTTTTGATGATTTTATTTCTGATCAAGAGATTTTTTATGTTATTTTAAAGAATCTTAACATTGTAATATCAACTCTTTATTGAGCTACTTCATTATATTAACCCTTATTAGCCACAAAACAAAGTTGAACACATCTTTGAATCAACTCTTCTATTTTGGCGCCAAAAATCTTAAAAAACACATTTGATCATATTCTCGCATTTCAATAATACAGAACTGTAGATATTAGGGTGCAGAAAGTATAAATCTAAGAAGCAATAACATTTTTAATTTATTTGAATTGAAATTTTTAATTGATTATAATTAAGATTGCAAATCATCTAGATTTTACCAATATCTTTGTTCCAAAACATCTTATCACAAGGTTAAAGTCTTAATCCCTTTGTAAATCTACAGCAAAGCTGTAAAAGTTAAGAATATTCTAAATAGACATTTTAAAACTATTTCCAAATCAGACTCTAAGTCTAGACATTTCCAAAAACTAATTCAACATTTTTAACCTCACATCTGAATCTTTAAACATTTAAAAATTGCATACTTGCATGCTCGTATATGAAAAATTCACTCAAACAAAAGAAAATGCACCCAGATACACAATCAACAATAACTTTCAAACTCCTTCCATTCTCCTCAAGAAAACTTATAATTTTTAAAAAAAAATTTTTCTCTTAAATTAAACGAAAAGGAAACGTTCACAAATTCAGTCTTCAATAATTTACACACAAAAGGTGAACTGACTACTAACAATAATACAGTTTAAAAATGAACGAGGCAAAAAAAAACAACGTCAGTTGAAATTCTTCATGCTTTTTCCATATTTTGCATTATCAGCAAAACGTATGATGCACAAAAATGCACAAATAAACAAGAAGCAACATGAGACCATGCAATTTTTTTTATTTTGCAGACTTTCTTGAATTCACTTTTGAAGTTCGTAACATTGTCAGTTTATTTTCGATCGTTCTTGTGATTGGAGGTATCAATAAATTGCCCTTAATTTTTGTTGTGTTTTTTTCGGTCGGGGAAATATATAATTGTGCACTTGTGAGAAGAGATGTCTATGCGGATGTCTGAAATCTGTTTAACTGAAAATAATAATAATGAGGAACGGTGCGTGCAAGGCTTAGACCTTAAATTGAATTTTGTGGATTTTCCAAGCAATTTGATTTTAAATCATTTTGGATTTTTTGGCATAGTTTATTGAAATATTGTTCAAAACTTACAGAAAAGTCATTAGAGACGAGTTGTACGACGCAAATTGAAGCATTTAATTAAAAAGCACTTTACTCTTACAATATGATGCTCAACTAGCTTTACAATTAAATATCTAATTGCCATAAATAAACATAAAAATCCTCGAATTGCATTTTAACGCCAAATTAAATTATTCATAGTGCAATAAACTAACAGAAACGTGCCGAATTGAATAAAAATATAAAGTTACGACTATTTTTCTCTAGGTATAAAGTAGCACCGGCATCAATAAATGTCGAGAAAGGAGCTTTGGCTGATTATGATCCATTTAGAGAGCGGAAAGTGGATCATCCAACGTCAGATATGGACACATTGACACATTTGCTCAAAGCATCCCTTGGAACAGGAATTTTGGTAAGAAAAAGTGAAAAATTTTTGAATAAAAAGAAAATTAATAAAAAGTTGAAAAAGAGAAAGTTTTAAAATAATTCAAAAAATCTCAAAAGTTTTCCAAAAAAAAAATGAAAATTATACAATTGAGAAAGTTAAGATTTTAAAAAGTTTGATTTTTTGAAATTACCTAGTAAAGTTAATTTTGAAAAATTAAATTTAAGAATTCAAAATAATTTGAGAAAATAATAAAAAGTTAAAAAAAAATGAAAATTTCTAAAGGATTGAAAAATTAAAAACAGATTAAGAATTGAAATCAGAATTTAAACACGCAGAAAAAGTATAAAAATTGAATTTCTGAAATTGAAAAAGTTAAAAATTTAAAGAAAACTTTCAATTTAAGAGGAAAAAAAACACAAAACAAATTAATTTCAATTAATTTCCTTTAACAGGCGATGCCGATGGCATTCAGTTACTCCGGTCTCGTCACTGGTATCTTTGCAACAATCGCAACCGCTTTAGTCTGTACTCATTGTGCGTATGTTCTCGTCAAATGCGCTCATACATTATATTATCGGTCTCGAAGAACGACTATGAGTTTCTCGGAAGTAGCCGAAGTTGCCTTTCAGAACGGTAAATTTATTTCAGCCTCATTAATATTGATTAAAATGTTTTTCCTTTTCTTATATAAAATTAATTTAAAAATCAGAAGTGGTTTATTTCGGACTGACAAATGTCTGGTTTAAATTAATTTAAAATTTCCAAAAAAATATTTTTCTACAATTTAGTGACATGTGTTGAATAATTTATTTCTTATCATACAGGACCGGCATGGGCAAAACCATGGGCACAATTCATGAAGCATTTCATCAACTATGGACTTTTTATCACTTACTTTGGTACCTGCTCAGTATACACTGTCATTATTGCAGAAAACTTCCAACAACTTATAGAGCATTATTTCGGCTGGAAAGGTGATCCGAGAATCTTCATCTCAATGCTGCTAATTCCATTGATTTTACTCTCATGGGTGCCAAACTTGAAATATCTTGCTCCATTCTCAAGTGTTGCAAACGTTTTTATGGGTGTTGGATTGTTGATTACATTCTACTACTGCACAACAGATATGCCTCCAATTAGTGAACGTAAACTGCACACATCATTGATTCAGATTGCGCCATTTTTCGGAATCGGTGAGTTATCAATAACAAATTCATTTCTACAGTAGCGTGCAAAAGTGAGTGGACAGAACAAATTTTTTAATAATTTCGTTCAAAAAGTATCTTCCACTGAACGAAATCACTTCAAATTTTCACAGCATATCTAATTTTTGATGAGATTTCATATGAAAAACAAATTTTGTACTATAATTAAGTAATTTGAAAAAACCATTAAATATTCAAAATCGATAACGTGCAAAAGTGAGTGGACAACTTTCAATGACAAAAAAATTTGTTAATAATTTTGTAATAGTAAAATTTCAAGATGAAAATCAAAAGTATTGACGATTTTCTTAATTTACGTTCAAAAGTTTTCCACCAAAACCACGTGTTTTCTCGATTTTTCTTAAATTCAAAATGGCTACTATTTTTAATGACTTTTAAGCAAATATGTCATTTAATTCAATCTTAATTAACTTAGACTTAACTGATTTATATAGTATTTTTAATAAGCTTTCAGAATATATATAGTTTATTGTAGTAAAAGTTGATATTATGCAAAAAAATTATAGAAATATTTTTTTCATTGTCGATTTTCTCACAGTGCAGAACATTAAATTGAGGAAATCTTGATAAATACTTTGAATATATAAGACTTTTTGGTATCAATTTATTGCATTTTATTTGTACAACATTATATAAGTAATTTCAGTTTGTTAAAAAAAAATTATCCATCAAGTAACAAGCTGTCAAATAGTATGTCAATTGAGCGTCTCAGATAATGAAAAATAATTTTTTTGCAAAATATACTTTCTGTCTTGAAAACTTTATACGTTTTCATTCGTAACGCATAATTTTGTTAAAATTTAACATTTAAAAATTACTTTCTGCAACAGATATTCATTTTAAACAAATTTTTCAAAAATTTATTTTTCATTTTTTGAGAAGCTCAATTGACATACTATTTGACAGCTTGTTACTTGATGGATAATTTTTTTAGTAAACTTAAATTACTTATATAATGTTGTCCAAATAAAATGCAATAAATTGATACCAAAAAGTCTTATATATGCAAAGTATTTATCAGGATTTTCTCAATTTAATGTTCTGGACTGTGAGAAAATCGACAATGAAAAAAATATTTTTATAATTTTTTTGCATAATATCAACTTTTACTACAATAAACTATATATATTCTGAAAGCTTATTAAAAATACTATATAAATCAGTTAAGTCTAAGTTAATTAAGATTGAATTAAATGACTTATTTGCTTAAAAGTCATTAAAAATGGTAGCCATTTTGAATTTAAGAAAAATCGAGAAAACACGTGGTTTTGGTGGAAAATTTTTGAACGTAAATTAAGAAAATCGTCAATACTTTTGATTTTCATCTTGAAATTTTACTATTACAAAATTATTAACAAATTTTTTTGTCATTGAAAGTTGTCCACTCACTTTTGCACGTTATCGATTTTGAATATTTAATGGTTTTTTCAAATTACTTAATTATAGTACAAAATTTGTTTTTCATTTGAAATCTTATCAAAAATTTGATATACTGCAAAAATTTGAAGTGATTTCGTTCAGTGGAAGATACTTTTTGAACGAAATTATTAAAAAATTTGTTCTGTCCACTCACTTTTGCACGCTACTGTATCTTAATTCTTACCTTTTTTTCGGTGAGATAGGTAAGTTCTGTTTACAGTTTACCTTATCATCGTTCATATTGGCATATTTATTAATAAATACTTTGTTATTCATTTTGATAATAGTTATATTCGCTATGGAAGCAATCGGTGTCGTTATGCCACTTGAAAATTCAATGAGAACGCCGCAACACTTTATCGGAATCTGTGGTGTACTTAACAAAGGTATGGGTGGGGTTACAATGGTATACATTTTACTGGGATTTGTTGGATATGTGAAGTATGGCAATGATGCTGCTGGATCTATCACTTTAAATCTTCCAATTGAAGAAATTCCAGCTCAAATTGTCAAAATCTTAATTGCTTTGGCTGTTTATTGTACATTTGGACTTCAATTTTACGTATGCCTTGAAATCGGTTGGGACTTTATCAAAGATAAATTTACAAAACGTCCATTGATGGTTAACTACATGATGAGAACAGTTTTGGTTACTGCTGCTGTACTTTTGGCTGTTGCTGTGCCTACAATTGGACCATTTGTTGGTCTTCTCGGTGCCTTCTGCTTCTCAATTTTGGGATTACTTGTACCTGTCTTTATAGAAATGGTTACATACTGGGAGCAAGGATTTGGAAAATTCAATTGGATCATCTGGAAGAATGTTATTGTCTGTATTTTTGGAGTGTTGGCATTGATTTTTGGTTCAAAGGATGCAATTGCTGATATCGTCAAGCTTTACTCAAATAATGGATTCGAAAATGGATTATATGAAACAACAGCGGGAGCTATTGACGGATTTTTGGAAACAACAGCCGGACCATTAGCGTAGAACTGAATTTTTTTTAAACCACGACCATCCTCAACATTCAAACTAATGTTATCATTTTAAAAATTGCAAGAAGAATATACGATTTCACGTTTCAATCTAAAAAGGAATAGGATAGGATAGATTGTAATGATATTAATAGTGTTTGTAGTACTTAATTTGAGAAGTTTTGTAAGATTTAAATAAATTTTTTTTGGGGTCGTTTACTTGCTATATGTGCTGTGTTGTGGCACAACTTAGCTAATTTTTGATCGTCAACATTAGAAGTAAACTTTCATTCAGTTTATTGAACCCAAAAATTACTTTTCAAATGAAGTTACTCGAATATTTACAAGAATGCAGCATTTTATGAAAAATGTACTGCACAGCAGGTGTGATAATGCAGCCTGTGATTTCAGTAGCCGAAATTATTCAAAATAAGATTCAACTAGGTAATCGAGTTGAAGACTGAAAAAAAATTTTAAAATGAATTTTTTAATCAAAATTTAAGCTAAATTATGAATAGTTTGAAAGGATTTTTGTGCTGCTTAATATTATTATAAATATAAATGATCTACATGTGAATTCTGAAAAAAATGCAATTGTAATTTTTTAAACAAACAGCTTTTTAAGCATTATAATTATTTAATAAAACAAATCATTGAAAGTTTTTTTTATAGTAATATGATAAGTACGTGTTGATTGCAAATTCTTCATTTACATTCCAATCAATTTTTCAGGTTTGACAAGTGAAATTTCAATAAACATTTGCATATGATGCAATATTGTATCAAATGAAGGAATTACAATTTTAAGTTGTGTATTATACAGTTGTCGAATTTCAGCATGTGCTGATGTCCATGAATTTGAACTTGCGATGATTTCTTAATATTTCAATATTCTTTAACAAGGATGTGATACAAAGTATTCGGAAGGAAATTACAAATGTCAATAAAATCCACGTATTCTTCGAGCTCCTACAGACTTGGTTAAGAATGAGATTTAGTTTTACTTGGGATAGCTTTCCTTATAGAAACTTGCAAAGAGTTTGTACTAGTTATCCTACCTGATGTAAGGTTCAACATACTCTTTGATACAATGATGCTTGATATCCCATTGTTCATCCAGAAGCTAAGGGGCCGTTCACTCATTACGTTACGCAAAAAAAAAAGACTTTTTTCACCCCCCCCCCCTTGTTACAATATGTTACAACTCATAACCCCCCCCCCCCCCCTGAACGTTCATAATTTATTTTATCATTAAAAAGGTGGAAAATTTAAAAAAAATGTTTTTGGTGCGAATTTGTAAACAAATTTTTTTCGTGAACTTTTTTTTTAAGACAGACGACAGTTAGAACGTTACATACTTCTTGACACCCCCCCCCCCCCCCCCTTATTACATTTTGTTACAATTTTTCAAACCCCCCTCCCCCCCTAAAATGCGAACGTAATAAGTGAACGGCCCCTAATCCAATTTTTTTGTTTAAAAAAACAAGTTAAAATTTTTCAGGAAAGAAGTAGTTCGTTTTATTTACGGTAGAGCGTGTTTACGGGATTTTAAATATATTTAATGGTAATTGTATTTTAATACTATGGACTATTCTGCGTTTAACCTTAAAATCTATTCTATTTTGAATATTAATTCTTTTCCTTTCTTGCATTTACTTTTGTTATTGACGGCTGATTAAGGTTGTTGTTCACCTCAACTTCAATGTTCAGCTCAGATTTTTTGGAGTCTTCTATCTTTGTTTTCTTAGATCCATAAGCTTTCATGTAGAAATCGAAGAAAAGAGCAAAGATAAATGCGTTTTGAGGAAGCATGAAGAATGAAATGAACTTTGGGAATCCACAGTCGTTTGATAAGATTAGGGACAGCCAATGCAGAGCCATCAAACCGAATTGAACCTAATATTACGAAATAAATGATTTGTTTTTATAAGTTTGTTTCAATAAGGGTCATTCGGATATCACTAAACTCAATAGACTGTCAATTAAGATCTTCCTCACTATTCGTTACGTTACATCCAAACAACCCTACTCGATTCTCACCATTTGCAACTGTGTAATGTACTTCTTCCAGAAGCTCTGCTTGTATTTGTTATCAACTGTCGTCAGATAATAATAGAAGTACATAATTACATGTACAAAAGAGTTAATCCATCCAGTAAAGACGGAATGACCACCAGCAACGTATTTAGTTCCAATCCATGTTAATGCGACCATTCCAGCGTGATGATAAACATGTAAGAACGACACGTGAGAGTTTTTCTTTTTCAGCACGAAGAAAATCGTGTCAAATAAGTCAAATACTTTTGTTAAAAAGTACCAATGTCCAAATCTAGCAATTCTCATAGCAACAGGATCGTAAGAATAATCAACAGGTTCACAAATTATGCTATAGTTTCGTGCAAAGGTTAATCGAAAGACGTCGACCGTTAGAAACAAGCAGCATGCAACTTGCAGCAGATTATAAGTTTTTATGATGAAATCCAGCTTGTATGGTTGACGCTTTTCCATCCATTTTGGACCCCATTTGAGTACGATGAATAAGTAGATCGCAATAATGGCAATTGGCTTGAATGGACTTGACATGAAAAGCCAATCTTTGACTCTCTTATCTACCATATAATTAACAGTTATTATAAATATATTCAACAAAAAATTAATAATTATAATCATTACCGTCCCATACGTTATTTATCGTCCAATATACATCAATTGCATTTCTGATCACTAGTGCCATAATGGTCTATTAAGGCTAATTTATTCCTTATTTAAACTTTTTATTCCTTTAAGCCACCCGTTTTGTTAAACTTACAAATCAATAATGAAACTAATGAACAAAATTTTATGCTTTTCATCGAGTGTTATTTTCAAGGAATGACATTTAAATTTGATTCACAAAAAAAAATAATTCTAATTTTGTGACATGAAAGGTCACAACGGAATATTTTACTTCTCATTCACACCTAAGGAAGTTCATTACATTTGTGACACTTTTAAGTCACCAAGCGAGCTAGAATTTGTTGGGGATTTTTATGTCTTTGATTAGGGGTTGCTCAGCTTATGATGTCTATTGTTAAGGTGGTAGGTGTCTGAAATTTTAAAAATTAAAATAAGGAGTGCTTGCTTTTACGTAACACAATTAGGGTCGTTTTTTAAAAATGAAATTCTAATGAATTCAATTTTTTTGAACTTATTGTAGTGTTACCGGTAGTTCGAAAAACCGTTAATTTCGTTAAATTTTGAATTATGTACTAGATGAAAATTATGAATTTTTGAAAACCGTTAAGAATTTAAATTATCAAACTCCGTTAAAATTTGGAATTTTAAAAATCATCATTAATAATCCAGATTGCATACTAAAATAATCCCGGACTTTAAAGTCTGCAAAAACTCAACCAGCAAATCAATTTAAAATCTTTAATTTAAAAAATGTACTAGATTAATTTTAAAATTACAAATTCAAAATCTTAAAATCTGTTGACGATTTCACTTAAACGAACTTTTATCTACAAATGTGTACTTTTCCACACAGATCTCAATGTCACATATTATGACATATACCGCATCTATTCAGATGCTACTAGTTTTTCATAATTTTTATATTATCTCAATTAGCTGGTGCTAATTACTCTCAAAAACATACGCTAAACGTGGACACAGTCATCTATCGAACTATCGATCGTGTGTTGTGTACGATAAAAATGAAATCATTGCTCCGATATCTCTAAGTTTAGTCTCATTTTATTAGTCTATTAATTATTATTGGAAAACCTACACATGCATTGCATATCTACGATTAGAACTCAAGAACGTGAAAGGATTTGAGCATTGAATAATATAGCTACATACAATAAAGTTATAAACGTGAAATGCGCTTGAACCTAATTTTTCCGTATTATTTTTACAGTGATTTTTGATAACAGAGTGCCTGTATAGTTATCACAAAATAAAAAAAAATTCGTATGCTTGATTCATTCGTACGTTTCAGTGGTATTTGTTAGTCATCTTTCGATGGTTACAAGGCAATTTCTTAGTCAAATTATTGTGTGCTTTATAAAATTGTTATATCTTGATCTGCCTTGAATTCCTTGAGAATGGACATAAGTGCTGCTAAGACCTTAGTGAATCTAGTGTAATATATAGCCAGCGTAGATCAGTGAACAAAGAAATGTCAAGTGTAATGCTCATTGGATCTAATTAAAGAGTATCAATTTTATAAATGAGAAATCAATCAGGCTTAAAGTGATTATATCCAATAAGTGTCGTGCTAGAACTAAAATAAGCCGGTTATAGAAGTAAACATTCAGTCATAGATAATGAAGTTGTTCGGAACAACTCCGACTGATATCTCTCCAATTCCGAGTCCAGATAATGAGAGATCGGGAAGCTTCAAGTCAAGATTCTTCAATCATTATATGAATAATCAGAAAAGGGAGCACAAATCAAGTGAGTTTTAATGCAAAATTGTGAAAGTGAAAAAAGTAACGTTTGCTGAAAATTTGAAAATATTTTCTCGCAATTCAGCAGTTTATAAATATTGAAAACAGCATGAAAAATGTTTAATAGAGTCTATTTGAGCGTTAATTAAATAGATAAAGTGTGTATAGTTAACAGCGAAGCTATAAATAGTCAGAATACTGAAGAAATTGAAAATATTCATTACAACGGTTTCTCAAAATTTAAATTTCACTAGAACCTCAGAAAACCGTTCAACTAGAAAATCAGCTCATCAAACTTGACAGATGAATAATCTGTTAATGAAGTTTATAGAGCTATTAAGCTATTAATTAGAATAAGACTCAAAATGATAGATAAATATGCACAATATAAATAGAAGTGTAAATCAAAAAGTATTAAAAATCAAACAAAAAAGTTTCAAATCAGGTAGTGGTGACAGACTGACTAAGGACGCATATAATCAAGATTGTAGAACTAAGTTTAGTGTGATTTTTAAGAAAAAGTTAATAATTAATCAAAAAACTACTGATTAAAGTACATTGTAATAGTAACTAGGTTCTTATTTATGAATTGCAATTACTTAAGACGATTTTAGCCCTAAAAGATGTCCACAGGTACGATAAAAAAGCATTAATTTTGCAATATTAAATTTTTTTCGCAAAAAAAGAATCATAAATGATCTAAAAGAGAGAAAAAAGATCAATGCATCATAAAATATGCCTGCTTGTGCTAAAACAGTCGCAATAGACTCACATTAATTCCATTCTGGATGTTGTGTAGTGGAAAATTTATGAATTATCCAAAAAAAACTTCTTTTTTTATTGATCCGCGAAAGTGTAAATTTTTTTGCGTCATTTTACGATACATCCAGCATTTATTTCGTGCCTGAAAAGACGATGGATGTAAGAATTGGAACAAAGGAGATAAATAAACAAAAGAATAAACAGCGAGCGGCAATATTTGGTATATGATTTCCCATACAACATCAGTTCTGTATGTCAATTGTCGTCTTGCTATATTTATGGCAAATCGGAACTTACAATTGCTGAATATAGAAGAGAGAAAGAAAGAAAAAAAAAAACTTTTTATATAATGCAGAGCATTATCTTCACATCATAGCGATAAAAAGTGCTCAAGGTCATGCAATTACTTACTTTTGTTATGTTTATTCAATGAATATTAATTATTTGACATGTTTGAGGACCGTCCATTAAGGCATAATGTTGCAAATTCCTAACGTTTGATGGTTATGTTTACAATCAGCATTCTACGCATAATTATGAGCCATCCCGAAAGAATAACTAATTTTAATGATATTTTAGGTCATGGCGAAACAAGCTGGTGCTTTTCACAAGTCAAAGGCGCTTTAAATGATGATATTACCGATGCCGATGTTATTTCATGCGTAGAATTTAATCATGATGGTGACTTATTGGCAACGGGTGATAAAGGTGGACGAGTTGTTATTTTTCAAAGAGATCCAAACTCAAAAGCTGCAAACCCACGTCGCGGTGAATTCAACGTTTATAGCACCTTTCAATCGCACGAACCCGAATTCGATTACCTAAAGTCACTGGAGATTGAGGAGAAAATTAATAAAATTCGATGGCTTAAGCGTAAGAATCAGGCACACTTCCTATTGTCAACAAATGATAAAACAATAAAGCTCTGGAAGGTGTCGGAGCGCGACAAATGTATAGAAGGCTATAATACAAAGGAGGAGACTGGACGTGTTAGGGAGCCGAATCAAGTTACATCATTACGTGTGCCATCAATTAAGCCGATGGATTTGATGGTTGAAGCAACACCGCGTCGTGTCTTCGCAAATGCTCACACCTATCATATTAATTCAATTTCAGTCAATTCTGATCAAGAGACATATCTCTCAGCGGATGACTTAAGAATTAATTTGTGGAATCTAGAAATAACAAATCAATCATTCAATATTGTTGATATAAAGCCATCAAATATGGAGGAATTAACGGAAGTAATAACAGCAGCTGAATTTCATCCTCGTGATTGCAATTTATTTGTATATTCAAGTAGCAAAGGTACAATTCGTTTATGTGACATGAGATCGTCTGCATTATGCGATCAACATGCAAAACTCTTTGAAGAGCCTGAAGATAATGAAATGAACAATAAGAGCTTCTTTCGTGAGATTATCAGTTCGATAAGTGATGTTAAGATGAGTAATTCTGGACGTTACATGATGTCAAGGGACTATTTAAGTATTAAAGTTTGGGATCTACATATGGAAACGAAACCGGTCGAGACTTATTCGGTAAGTTCTCATCTGTCTTATCTATTTTATTATCCTTATTTCTACGTCAGCACCAAACCTTGTTGACAGTCGTCATCGCTGTTTACACTTTTATTATGACTTATTTTTCTTTTTAACTCGAGCCCATTTCCATTGAATGATTTTGTCGCTATGTAGGTCACTTTGACTGTGTGACTACTAATTCTTTTTGTTTAGCGTAATTTCTTCAATAACTAGCGAGTCACGACAATTAACTTCATTTTGTCCTTGCTTTGTTTTTGCATCCTGTTTAAGCCTTCATGTGTATGTCATTGAATATGCGCTAAATCTGCTTTCTAATCCTGAATCATTGACAATAATACAATTTGTACTACACTTGAGAATCGCAACTCGTTCCTCATTAATTGACCTAATCTGTTCATGGAAAAAGCGCTCAAATCACAATTTTATTTATTTTGTATTGATAACAGCTAGCTATTGTGCTATTTCTAATGTAATTTTTTGTAAACAACATTTTCTTATTTTCTTATAGGTTCATGAATACTTGCGAACCAAATTGTGTTCGCTGTACGAAAACGATTGCATTTTTGATAAGTTTGAATGTTGTTGGAACGGTAACGATACATCAATAATGACGGGCAGTTACAACAATTTCTTCCGTGTCTTCGATCGCAATACAAAGAAGGATTTAACGATGGAGGCATCGAAGGACATAATTAAGCCGAAAACTGTTCTTAAACCTCGTAAAGTATATACAGGCAATAAGAGAAAAAAGGACGAGATTAGTGTCGACTGTTTGGACTTTAATAAGAAAATTCTTCACACAGCTTGGCATCCACTTGAGAATATTCTTGCTGTGGCCGCAACAAATAATTTATTCATATTTCAAGATAAGTTTTAGCTAACCTTGTTCCACCATCTATGCATCAACATCCGTTTAATTATTACCTAAATTTTTCCATTTTTTTTTTCTCGTCGCTAATTTGTTGTCGCGATCATTTTCTTACTCCTTAATTTTATTATTAATTAGTTTTTATACTTTTCCCACACACACACAAACAAAACTTCTTTATTCATGTTTTTAGTACATTAAAATTTGTTTTTTTTTTTAGAAATACAATCACATAAATTCAAAATCTGATCCATTATCATTTTTAAGATATAAAAAAAATGAATAACAATTTTAAGAAAATTGTCGCGATAACGAGTCTATTTCAATCATTAAGGACATTGTTGCATTTTTAAGTGAATCTAATTACATCTTAAACACGATAGTAAACCCAAAATGTACATTGGTTGATCATCATTGTCTCGTGGATCTCAAAAAGTTCTGCGTTACATTTCTTTTTTTGCCGAAATATTAATTTCAAAAAAAGTTTAGAAAAACTCGTTGTATTTTGTAAAATGAATGAATATGAAAAATAATTTCCTTAATCCGCGCTGAGATTTCTTTATGCAAACAAAAAAAACCAGCACACACTCAGTATAAGAAAAACAAAAGTTTAATTGATGAAAAAGAGTAACTAGTAAAAATAGGATTTTTAATTGAATAAATATGATAAAAGATTGAAGACTTTTCTTTCAGTTGTTATACGAAGAAAACACACTCATTGTAATTTTTTTCTTTCCTTTAAAATGGGATATATAAAATATAATTATTAATTACACTTTTTTAAGACCTGATTGAATATGAAAATACAGAAAAGATTGAGATAAAGTCACATATTGAAACAATTTATAATGTTGCTGGATAGTTGTGTACTTTTTGGGATGTAATTTCTGGTTGTTGAAGGGTTTTTGTGATTTAACGGTTCATTAAGAAATTTCAATTTTTGGAACGTTACAAATGTTGTGCTCTGAAACCTTACAAATTCTCTCCAAATCGAAATACACTCAATTCTTATTTAAAATCATACAATTCCTATAAAATCGGTACAAATTCAATTTAAAACCATACAAATTCAAATAATTCTTTGAAATCACACAAAATAGCTTTAATTTTTAAACTTTTGTAGGGTTCTCGTAAATCTAATCAATTCAAAGATCTCTAAATTGATAAAATTTAATCACACTAACGGAAAACTCTACAAACCAAGAAAACCAACTCAAAATATGCACAAAAATGATCCACATTTAAGAAATATGAACACAAACGAATTAAAAAAATATTTTTCCAAGAAATTATATCAAGATTTATCAAGCTTAGATGAGACGAAACTGTATAGAATTGAGTATGTTCTTGCTTTAAAATATCAAATTTGTTTGTAAATCCTCGGAACATAAAAAAAGTAAATTTGCATTTCCCTCGCAAAGGAAATGCGTTTAAAAAACTGAAAGAAAGTTTCTGGGATTTCTGAAAAATTCAATTTTTCACTTCAGTGATCGTTCAATAAAGAAGAAAAAAAGAAACTGACAAGAAGACTGTTTAGGAAAGGATTTTATACTGAAATAATAGTTGGTAATGACTGTGTGTTAGGATATAAATAAGAAAAAAAAATTGTTGAATGACAGTAAAGGGAAAATTGAATGATATCCCATGAAATGGAGCCAAAATTTCTGCTGATGAAAATAAAACAAAAAAAAAATTTAAAAAATTTGCTAAATTGACGTGAAAAAAAATTACTAGACTATGTTAAGATCCTGATAAAAAATTTAATTAATTGTTGGTTTGGAAATAAATTTTGAGTTTTTGATTTCGAAAAATTATGAAAAAAAAAATTAAACTGCTAGAAATGAAACCCCCTTGATAACATCCAACCCCCCTCCCCCCTTAGATTCTCAACAACCACAGAAAAAAGACCAAAAAAACAAACCCTTCTTTTGCTTTTCGCCATTTAACGTAAAGTAGATCTTTAAAAAATATATTTCAATTGTGAATTAAACTTTGTGCCTTCTTGCATGTCTTATTGATTAATTTATGGATGTCATTCTACCTTAAACTAGCCATTTGTTAAAATAAAAATATTCCTACAATTTATTCATGTGTATCATGCGAGGAGCTATTTCAGTTCCATGGAACTGCTTTCTAGCACAAAGTTTAATCACCTTGAAATGTTAAGAAGGAAAAACACACAGCCTTGCAGGAAATTATTAACTCTTATAATGACAAAAAATAGTTTGCATGTTTCATAAAAAATAAAGGAATTGAAATTGGAATCGATTGAGAACATTTTTTTGTGGATTGCTTCTTATTTATTGGGTATTGATTTTGATAGTCTCAAGTGGCTGTTTAGGAATGAAGGTAGTTAGAACTTCAAGTTTCAGACTTTTCTATTGCAAGAAATGTGCATTTTAGAACAGTATGAATGTTTTGTACAATTCAAAGCCATACAAATGTTAATTTTTTCTCAACCTCACAAATTATTAATTTTGAACTCTATAAATGTTTCTATTTAGTATGAGTGCTCCAAAACCCTTCAAATGTTTTATTTGAAACCATACAAATAAAATAAATTTTTAAAAGAATTTGAATTGTTTTTCCTGAAGTTTAAACCCAAATCAAAACGAACAAAACCAACTCAATTCCCACCATTAGTCAAATAAATCAATCAAATCACACTCAGAACAAGTCAATAAACGACCTTGAAGTCTAAATTCATTGAACTTTATTTGATTTTTACATGTAATCTAATTTTATACCCCAAAATAATCAACAAAAAGGTTCGCAACTGTCACAAACTTGATATATTTCCCTATCAGCTGAACTCATGGAATTAATTCTCTTTCTCAGTCTGACCACTTTGATCTCTATAAATCGAGTCGATTTCAATTTCACTTCCTACTTCACACACACTCAATATTTATTTTTCTTCTACAAAAAATGTAAACATTTATAAAATAACATTCGAGCAGTTTGTGCGATTGTTTAAAAAATTAAATTCAGGGTTGGGATGTGGTTTACTGGATGTTGGTTTTGTATTCATAATAGAGGTTTAAAGACTATCTCTTTCTTAATAAGTAAAATTCTAGTGACTGGATCTAAGCTAGGATAAACTAGAGAAATCTGATTCAGAGGAACTCAACAACATCTCACGAAGTATATGAGACTTGCTACTATGGCATACCTATTAGTTCTTTAAATAATATCAGCATCCAGTCATTAAACCCACAAAAAAGCTTCCCAACCCTGCATTAAAAACTTACAGAGGAAAGAAAATGTAACATAAAAAATTATTGCATATAATCAACTATCGAATAGCAAATGGAACCTAATTAATTTTACAGGACAAAAATAAAAAAACAAGATTTTACAACAAAACAGAATAGAGTAGACGAAACAACCCCAAAAAAAAAAACACTTAAAGAGATACAAAACTAAAGCTTTTCTTTTCATTTATACAAAAACTTATTCTTTCGGCCATAATAAAAAAACAAAGCATAAAGACAGATGTAGATAAAAAAATCTTTTTCTCATAATCTTCGAGAGAAACATATAAAAAAGAAAGAAATTAAAGAAGAAAATAAATGAGAGAGCAAGTTACATTCATTTAAAAAATTACAACAATACAAAAGAATTATGAAAATTATTTACTAAAAATGAAAAATTAAAGAAAAAAAAAATTGATAAAATAAAGAATGCGATTTAAAAAAATCAGACTTGAAACTTTTTTTTCTCTTTCTCCTCCATGCTTGCCCGCCAAAAATGAGAGTTGATACCGAGCAGTAAGGTAAGTTTGTTGCAGCATGCAAGAATCCTATTAAATTCATAAAATTAAGTTTGTTTCTACAAATTTGGAGAGTTGGAAGATTGTCTTTGTGATACTTTGAGATTATACAAGAAGGAACTAGTTATAAACTAGTCAGTGTTGCAAATGTAGATGTCTACACTAGATGAAGAATGTAGATTCTTCAATAGTTTTTGTCTAGCTAAGAAACTTTCTTCATAAAGATCGATTCTACATGTAGAAAGAAAAAAACCATCTACATGTAGATTGTGTCTACATGTAGAATCTGTCTACATGTAGATTCGATGTAGATGTCTATAATTCTACATTTTTTCCAGGTCTACATCAGAGAAGAATGTAGAATCGTAGACATCTACATTAAATCTACATGTAGACAGATTCTACATGTAGACACAATCTACATGTAGATGGTTTTTTTCTTTCTACATGTAGAATCGATTTTATGAAGAAATTTCTGTCTCAGAATTTATCTGATCCAGACAAATAGCCAGAATGCAACACTGAAACTAGTTAAAATTGCACTTTATTGCATTTATTGACGACATACTGTCCGGAAGTAATTCACATTTTACACTTTTGTATTTGTATACATATAAATTAGTATTATGTAGGATCAAACTTCTAATCTTCATATCTAGGTTTCAAATAAACTAAGGCTCTCGTTTTGATCTTCTGTAGGCGTTACGTGATACTTTTCAGGTCCGTTCTATCAATATTCCATTCGTGGGTAATCTTGTAGCTCTCGTTCCTATTTCTCCCGCTACACTTCAAGTTCCTGACCCGTTCCTTAATCCAACGTTGCCCAAATGCCCAAAAGCAGAGATCGAAGCCGATTTTTTCGGCTTAACTCAAATTTTGATTTTTTTGATAGAAAAGAGCCATTTTACTACCATTTTAAGTATTTAAATTGAACTTTATATGCTTTACTATGATTCTGTGTAATATTTTGTCAGCATGTAGCTATAGTAAGCTCAGAATTTCAATTTAGCCGATTTTAAGCCGATCGGCTTAAATTTCGGCTTAAAATCGTTTAACTTGAAATTCTGAGCTTACTATAGCTACATGCTGACAAAATATTACACAAAATCATAGTAAAGCATGTAAAGTCCAATATAAATACTTGAAATGTGTGTTAAATAGCTTTTTACTATCAAAAAAATCAAAAGTTGAGTTAAGCCGAAAAAATCGGCTTCGATCTCTGGTTAAAAGTCATTAATACAGCAATTTAAATCAGAGTTGCAATACAGGTCGCCTGTCACAGGCACAGGTGACAGATCCGTCACAGATGTTGAATGTCACAGACACTGCTTGTTGACAGGTGATTGCCTGTGACAGATCGCAACTCTGATTCGAATAGTAAAAGTATCAGAGATACTTAAAAGTTTTGAAAATTTTGTAAAACTACTTGAATTTTTTGAAGGTAAGCTGTTCAATCTTCTAGTTGGATGAATGTTATTAGTCTTGTTCCTAGATTCACCAAACAAGATTTTATCCTTCGCTTAGGACGCTGTCTTGTTCTTCTCTAATGTCACACACGCACAGTTTTATGAGTTGAGCTTTAGAAACCCATCATATTTCAAATGTTCAGATGATGAACCAAGAATATAAAACTGATCAAAATGATCGAAATATAATTATGAATTAGGTTTTAGATGAACTTATTTTATTTGTTCTTAAACTAAGTTTGTTCGACGACCAAAATCTCTTAACTTCCAAATCACAATCTACAGAACAACTTCAGCCAACGACATAACGGAACTAGTTGTACAACAAACCAATCGTCCAAGCATCACTCGGGACGTATATTAAGCATAAACTTAACAAGACTCTACGAATGTATGTGTGTTAACAGAGCAAGAAAACAAAAAAATAATGCGAGAGTAAACGAAGATTGAGAGAAGAAATAACTAAGTGCCAAGTCAACCAATTCCATCATTATAAAGTGGTAGTCAGAAAAACAAGTTCAATCGAGCTGCTAGTGTCTTAAAATAAAATGTAAAAGAACTACAAATTTCAGTCATTCTACAATTACTTTCTTAGTTATTAGTTCATCTAACAATGAGAATCCATTTAAGTTTAGTAAATAGGAAGTGCCTAACGATATTTTTAGTGCTTTTATTTTTAAATTATTCAGGTGAGATTGTGTGTGGATTTTTAATAATCGAACGAAAAAGAAACTTTCTTTCATGGATCAATGACGTCATCATCAATTCAGCTTTGAAACGCACTTTGTTGGATATAACTTTTTGCAAAACTTAAGTCTTCTTGTTCGTTAATACTTATTTAATAAAATCTCAATGACAAGAATGTATTGTAACGAAAGAGTTCAATGTCACAGACACTATTTTTTTTTCCTCCAACATCATTGTTCCCCTATGACTGTAATATAGAGCAATATCTTGCTTAACAAGTTTCACTTTCAACTTTTATTTTACGCTCTTATTTTCTGCATATTAAAATTTCCATTTCATTCGTTTTTTTTTATAATCTTTTTTCCTCCACTTACTTACTACATATTTTTAGATTGTCAAGAAGATGAAGATGGTCCGTACAGAGGGAAATTAATAGGAAAATTTAATTCTTATCATCATCAAGTTGGTGGTGATGTATATGCTGTTGATGCTACAACTTTTCTAATTGTCAATTTTAATTATGATGGAAATGGAATTGACACATTCTTTTGGTCTGGTGCCTCAAATCGACCTGGTCCACAAGGTTTTATTGTGCCTAATGAGTTTGGAAAGTAAGTTGAAGCTTATTTAGATGCAATCTAAGTGAATTTTTCTCAAGATGTGGTTTTCGAGCGATAAAAGCTTCGTTGTCCAGCCATTGTGATGTTGATGACTCTAATTAACTGTCTATGGCTACCATGTGTCACCTGCTGACGTCATAAAGTCAAACCTTCTATACATTCATGTGCACTTATGCAACCTTAATCATGCTTTAATCTCTCCCTATTCCAGAACAAACATCCTAGAACGTTACTTTAACAAAGAATTCACAATAAAGCTCCCAGACAACAAAGGAATCACTGAAGTCAAATGGCTTGCAATCTACGATCTTGGAGCTCAAAACACCTTCGGTGATGTCTACATACCTGAAGAGTTTGATCCACCATCTCCACAGAGAGTTGGAAGCTTCAGTAAAATCAGCCATAACGTGACAAGTGGAAGTGCTGAAGTTCTTGACTCTAAAACCATTAAAATCCCAAACTTTTCGTATGACGGTCTTGGGAAAAAAGTTTATTTTTGGGCTGGTGTTGGTGCTCAGCCATCAAATAAGGGATTTAAAATTCCTGATGAATTAGGATAGTAAGGAAGTTAATATTTACTTAAGAGACATGACTAACGTTTTTTTAATCGATAGTTTGGATCCAATTCGTGCCTATAATGAAGAGACAATCATGCTTGAACTTCCTGGTGAGAAGACAGTCTTTGAAATCGATTGGATAAGCATATTCGATGTGGAAACGAATGAAAACTTTGGATCAATATTGATCACCGCTGGTTTAAATGTTCCTCCATCTTTAACTAAAATTATACCACATACATTGGCATTGCCAAACTGCAAGCAACTCCACAGAGATCTCCAAGTTCAATGGGAAGTTTTTGGACCAGCCATTACAATGGTTCTTAGTGGAAAAGTCGATGAAGATGACTACATGGCTTTTGGAATCTCTGGATCGGACTCAAAATCTCAAATGCTTGGTGCTGATGTTGCTGTGACTTACATTGATGGTCATCTTGGAAAAACTATTGATTATCGTGTTGATGCAATGTCATCATGTGTTCAAGTTTTAGGAGCCAACAAAGGATTTTGTAAGGACTCTGAAGTTGGTGGACAGGATAATTTTCAAATGCATACAGCAATGCGTGAAGATGGAATTAATAAAATCACATTCAGAAGATCCCTTATTTCATGTAAGATAGTTTTTTCAACGTTAGTCATGCTGAATGTATTCATAGAAATTTTATTACTTTACAGCTGACTCACTAGACAAAGAATTTGTACTTGACAGGCCAATTTACGTCATTTGGGCTATGGGAAAACTCGATACGAATAAAGAACCGTCATTCCATGCAGTATATCCAAAAGGAGATCTTATGATTGCTTTCAACACTTCAGAACCGGTCAATGACTGCTATAGTTTTACGGAAGTTGTGCAAAAACCAGAAATTGAACTTTGGGATAGAGTTCATATTTTTGACAAGACATTGAGAGTTTTTAATGCAACTATAGGACCATCTGGTGGATATAAAGGATATTTAGGAATCACTAAGCATGTATCGAATAGCTTAGCATGGTACATCAATGGCGTTTTATCTCCTGGTAATTTAAATCATATTCAAAATCTATAAGTAGCTGAATACGTAATTATTTCACAGAACTATACATGCGCCGTGGCCTCACTTATGCATTCAAAGTACGAGGTGGAAACAATCCACACTCGACTGAACACTATCATCCATTAATCATAACTGATGAACCGATAGGTGGCTTTGATCGATTGAGTGATTCAAATCAAAAAGAAGTTCGAGTATTGGCAGGTGTTGAGTTCACCAGAAGAGGTCGACCGAAACCAACAGTTGCTGGTCCATTGTGCCTTTTGAAATATCCACCAAATTATGACAGGCGATTAGATGATAATTTCCTGACTTATACTAAATTCCGAAAGAATCTCATTGCGGATTGTGAAGGCGATGAAGCAGCAACGATGCAAATTACTCCAAATTCTTCTTGGCCTGATATAGTTTATTATAATAGCTTCACACAGCGTAATATGGGTTGGAAAATTCATATCGTTGATAATTACATAAGACCAGGACTAAGTCATTCGACCCCTTTGTATACAAGCACATCAACAGTTTTAATAATTTTATGCTTAATACTCAACACGATTAGATCAAATTAATAGACACTCTTATTTATTCCTATTGTTCTACCATCCATCAGTCTCCAAAAAAATGCTCTCATATTTGTGATTATTGTGACATTTTGTTAAAATGCATTGAAATTTCCATCAGAAATTCACACAAGTCAATAAAACTTAAACTAAAAGAACTTAAATGTTGTGTGCTGTAAACCTTTAATTATTGAAGAAATTATTTCCATCAGTCATTTATTTACTTAAGGAATCAAGTCATAATTACTTGTAGAACAATCATTAGTGCTGTAAAAACAAGGGAAATTTAATTACAATTTATAACGATGATTTTTGAGTATTTGCAAGTCTTAGTCATACAGAATAATATGAAGGCATCAGTAGCTTACTTGATATACACACCTTTAATGGTGCAACTTTGTTAGAATTTAAAAGAAACTAAGATGCAGACATTTCTAGTATCATTGCTGGTGCTTTTAATTTTTGGAAATACTTTGCAAGCTGATCAATCTATAAACTATAGACTATTACCAACTCAAGGAGATTCTGTTAATCAAAATTTCATAAAAGCTATAGAGACTCTTGTCCACAGAGCTTTAAAGTATTACTACCAAACATGCTACATTATATCAGCAGTTAGTGACGAGAAGGATGAATATTTCATAAATTTTAAAACTGAGTTGCTGACAACAATCAACAAGAACTATGGAATTAGATTAGAAACTATGGATTATGACAACTCAATCATCAGGAAGGTACGACAGAACAGCATTTTCTTACTCGATGACATAGAGAACTTCCACATTGTTGAAAAGACGATTATTCCTGAAAGATATCGAATGAATGGGAACTTCCTATTTGTCCTAGTCGATGGATATTTTGATGAACTTCAAGAAATTTATGATACTTTATGGAAGAAGAACATCTTTAGCTGCTATGTGATTTATGAGTACGGAAATGAAATTATTCTCAATACATTTCTTCCATTCGAGGATTCATCAGCATGTGGAAGTACTAAACCTAAAATTATCTCTAAATTTGTGAATGGAAAGTTCGATAACAAAGTTCTGCTTACAGGAAAGCTTCAAAACCTTAACGAATGTCCGATAAGAATGATTGCTTACCTAGATCCTACATACATCAGAATGAGAAAATTCAAAAATTCATCTTATGAACTTTATGGACGTGGAATTAACTTTATCAACGTCATATCAGCTGCTTTGAACTTCACAAATGAGATAAGTGTGGCAAAAGGTGAGCTGCCATGGGGTCTTGTATATGAAAATGGAACTTGCACTGGAAATTTTGAGGAATTACGAAAGAACAGATATGACATGGGACTAGGTGAATTTTATATGAAAGCAGTAAGGAGTAAATATTTTGATAACAGCATAACACATCACACAACTCCAATGGTCTTTATTATACCGCCTGGAAGACCATATAAAGCAATTGAGAAGATGTTACAGCCTTTTGATCATGTCGTATGGATTATATTACTGATTACAATCACGATAGCAATTACCATCATTTGTGTCGTAAACACACGATTTAGGAATCTCAAGTCATTTATCTACGGACGAGGCGTGAAATCTCCGGTTATGAACATTCTCGTTGGATTATTTGGCTTACAGCAAACTGTTTTGCCAGGGCGGAATTTCTCAAGATTCATACTGATGAAGTTTCTGATTCTATGCCTCGTTTTGAGAAGCATATATCAAGGTTCACTATTTCAATTCCTTCAATCAGACAAACGTCACCGGGAAATTCAGTCAGTTAATGAAATGATAAAGAAGGATTTTACGTTCTACATGTACGAGACAGGTGCTGATGTCTTACAAAACCACACTGAGATCATTAGTCGAAAACAGCCGATGAATACCACAGTAAACTTTATGCTTTATGCTCAATTAAATGGCAATGAAAAAATTGCTGCATTGGAGTCATTAATGACAATTGAAGCTGAAATTTATAATGGATCAAATATCAAGTACTGCAAGGAGTCTGTAGTGACATTCAACATAGTCTTCTACTACAGGAAGCATTTTTATCTTCGAGACGAAATTGACAGGAAAATTGACAGCTTACTATCTTCTGGTATTCTTGATCACTGGGTTAAAAGTTCATATAAATACTTTGGGTACCGCCACTTTAAAGATCTTCAACCAAGAAAGCTTACTCTTGATGATCTCCGAGGACCCTTCTGTGCTTTGCTTATATTTCACTCAGTTTCGTCGATTGTTTATTTGATGGAAATGATAATCGATAGAAATAAGGTCAAGATTTTAGAGAAAATTGGCAGATACAAACCCAGAATATTTTTAAAAGAGTTGGGCATACAATAAATATGATTTTTGATTGCTGATCTATTTGTGGTTATACTCTTTAAAAATTAAATAAAATATTCTTTCGATTGACTTTACTTTACTATTGACAAGCTTAAATGTTTTGAACCAATATAATCGACGATGAAAAATAATTCTTATCATTAAACATTTAGATGTCCTTGCCATATTCACAAAATATTCTTATTGTTGCCTTAAGCAATCAAAATTCATTGAAATTGATAAGGTATAAGAAAGCAAGTTTGAACTTTACCAATGGAAGGAGTTATTTAAATAAAGCAACATTTTGTGAATTTCAACCATGCATGGTTTGAAGAATTCATTTATTTTTTACTTTCGGAGAATTGTGGTAAATCCGATTTCAAACAAAATGTCTCGCATATATTTGAGCCACCATCATAATTCATTTTTTTAATGTATCTCTTGGAACATCGTTGTAGTCCTTCTTGTTTTCCTACTCATTTTTAAACAAACGACTTTCGGTTCGTTCAGTAATGAGCGTAGGGGAATGACGTTGGGGTTCAAGGAAGACGTAATGCATGTGTGAATCTACTGCAGGGGTTTGAAAGAAAGGAATTTAAATATTTTTTATATTTACACCGTTTTCACGTGTGAATCTATTGTTCAGATTAAAAAATCAGTTTTTTGAATTTTGTGAGGATATGGAGCAAAAAAAATAAAATGTTCAGAGATGAAAAGTTTGTGCCTTGAATTTCACATCTTTTGCAAAAAACAGATTTCAAATTGGTTGGGGCATTGCTGAGAAAATCGCAAAATGTGCTTTCTGTAAGCAAGATAACAAGCAAGTTAATCAGCAAGAAATCTCAATAACGAGACATTGTAGAGACTTCTAGTTTTTTACATTTGATCCGTGCTGCTCTACAGAAGAGCTGTATTGTTTTTAGGCAAGGTAGGAACAGCCGTTGCTTCAGAAAAAGCAAAAAACTTTCCTTTCTTACGAATTTTTCAAATTAAAAGTTCACTGTGATTTTTTTTTAAATTAAACTTTGGATGAAAAAATTTTTTTGAGCAAAGAACCAAGTAGAAAATACATTTTCAATTTTGGACTAGGGGCGACCCTAGTCAAAATCAATTTTGTCACTTTTTTCTTCGAGGGTTTATCCAAATGGATTGAAACTTTGCATAAATGTTCTAGAGCTTAAAACAAATACAAATAAAACATTTTTAAAATTTTTTTGAGCGAAGAACCAAGTAGAAAATACATTTTCAATTTTGGACTAGGGGCGACCCTAGTCAAAATCAATTTTGTCACTTTTTTCTTCGAGGGTTTATCCAAATAGATTGAAACTTTGCATAAATATTCTAGTGCTTAAAACAAATACAAATAAAACATCCAAAAAATTTTTTGAGCAAAGAACCAAGTAGAAAATACATTTTCAATTTTGGACTAGGGGCGACCCTAGTCAAAATCAATTTTGTCACTTTTTTCTTCGAGAGTTTATCCAAATTGATTGAAGCTTTGCATAAATATTCTAGTGCTTAAAACAAATACAAATAAAACATTTAAAAAATTTTTGAGCAAAGAACCAAGTAGAAAATACATTTTCAATTTTGGACTAGGGGCGACCCTAGTCAAAATCAATTTTGTCACTTTTTTCTTCGAGGGTTTATCCAAATAGATTGAAACTTTGCATAAATATTCTAGTGCTTAAAACAAATACAAATAAAACATCCAAAAAATTTTTTGAGCAAAGAACCAAGTAGAAAATACATTTTCAATTTTGGACTAGGGGCGACCCTAGTCAAAATCAATTTTGTCACTTTTTTCTTCGAGAGTTTATCCAAATTGATTGAAGCTTTGCATAAATATTCTAGTGCTTAAAACAAATACAAATAAAACATTTAAAAAATTTTTGAGTAAAGAACCAAGAGGGAAATACATTTTCAATTTTGGACTAGGGGCGACTCTAGTCAAAATCAATTTTGTCACTTTTTTCTTCGAGGGTTTATCCAAATGGATTGAAACTTTGCATAAATATTCTAATGCTTAAAACAAATACAAATAAAACATCCAAAAAATTTTTTGAGCAAAGAACCAAGTGGGAAATACATTTTCAATTTTGGACTAGTGGCGACCCTAGTCAAAATCAATTTTGTCACTTTTTTCTTCGAGGGTTTATCCAAATAGATTGAAACTTTGCATAAATATTCTAGTGCTTAAAACAAATACAAATAAAACATCCAAAAAATTTTTTGAGCAAAGAACCAAGTAGGAAATACATTTTCAATTTTGGACTAGTGGCGACCCTAGTCAAAATCAATTTTGTCACTTTTTTCTTCGAGGGTTTATCCAAATGGATTGAAACTTTGCATAAATATTCTAGTGCTTAAAAACAAATACAAATAAAACATCCTAAAATTTTTTTGAGCAAAGAACCAAGTAGGAAATACATTTTCAATTTTGGACTAGGGGCGACCCTAGTCAAAATCAATTTTGTCACTTTTTTCTTCGAGGGTTTATCCAAATGGATTGAAACTTTGCATAAATGTTCTAGAGCTTAAAACAAATACAAATAAAACATTCTTAAAATTTTTTTGAGCAAAGAACCAAGTAGGAAATACATTTTCAATTTTGGACTAGGGGCGACACTAGTCAAAATCAATTTTGTCACTTTTTTCTTCGAGAGTTTATCCAAATTGATTGAAGCTTTGCATAAATATTCTAGTGCTTAAAACAAATACAAATAAAACATTTAAAAAATTTTTGAGCAAAGAACCAAGAGGGAAATACATTTTCAATTTTGGACTAGGGGCGACTCTAGTCAAAATCAATTTTGTCACTTTTTTCTTCGAGGGTTTATCCAAATGGATTGAAACTTTGCATAAATATTCTAATGCTTAAAACAAATACAAATAAAACATCCAAAAAATTTTTTGAGCAAAGAACCAAGTGGGAAATACATTTTCAATTTTGGACTAGTGGCGACCCTAGTCAAAATCAATTTTGTCACTTTTTTCTTCGAGGGTTTATCCAAATAGATTGAAACTTTGCATAAATATTCTAGTGCTTAAAACAAATACAAATAAAACATCCAAAAAATTTTTTGAGCAAAGAACCAAGTAGGAAATACATTTTCAATTTTGGACTAGTGGCGACCCTAGTCAAAATCAATTTTGTCACTTTTTTCTTCGAGGGTTTATCCAAATGGATTGAAACTTTGCATAAATATTCTAGTGCTTAAAAACAAATACAAATAAAACATCCTAAAATTTTTTTGAGCAAAGAACCAAGTAGGAAATACATTTTCAATTTTGGACTAGGGGCGACCCTAGTCAAAATCAATTTTGTCACTTTTTTCTTCGAGGGTTTATCCAAATGGATTGAAACTTTGCATAAATGTTCTAGAGCTTAAAACAAATACAAATAAAACATTCTTAAAATTTTTTTGAGCAAAGAACCAAGTAGGAAATACATTTTCAATTTTGGACTAGGGGCGACACTAGTCAAAATCAATTTTGTCACTTTTTTCTTCGAGAGTTTATCCAAATTGATTGAAGCTTTGCATAAATATTCTAGTGCTTAAAACAAATACAAATAAAACATTTAAAAAATTTTTGAGCAAAGAACCAAGTAGGAAATACATTTTCAATTTTGGACTAGGGGCGACCCTAGTCAAAATCAATTTTGTCACTTTTTTCTTCGAGGGTTTATCCAAATGGATTGAAACTTTGCATAAATGTTCTAGAGCTTAAAACAAATACAAATAAAACATTTAAAAAATTTTTGAGCAAAGAACCAAGAGGGAAATACATTTTCAATTTTGGACTAGGGGCGACTCTAGTCAAAATCAATTTTGTCACTTTTTTCTTCGAGGGTTTATCCAAATGGATTGAAACTTTGCATAAATATTCTAATGCTTAAAACAAATACAAATAAAACATCCAAAAAATTTTTTGAGCAAAGAACCAAGTGGGAAATACATTTTCAATTTTGGACTAGTGGCGACCCTAGTCAAAATCAATTTTGTCACTTTTTTCTTCGAGGGTTTATCCAAATAGATTGAAACTTTGCATAAATATTCTAGTGCTTAAAACAAATACAAATAAAACATCCAAAAAATTTTTTGAGCAAAGAACCAAGTAGGAAATACATTTTCAATTTTGGACTAGTGGCGACCCTAGTCAAAATCAATTTTGTCACTTTTTTCTTCGAGGGTTTATCCAAATGGATTGAAACTTTGCATAAATATTCTAGTGCTTAAAAACAAATACAAATAAAACATCCTAAAATTTTTTTGAGCAAAGAACCAAGTAGGAAATACATTTTCAATTTTGGACTAGGGGCGACCCTAGTCAAAATCAATTTTGTCACTTTTTTCTTCGAGGGTTTATCCAAATGGATTGAAACTTTGCATAAATGTTCTAGAGCTTAAAACAAATACAAATAAAACATTCTTAAAATTTTTTTGAGCAAAGAACCAAGTAGGAAATACATTTTCAATTTTGGACTAGGGGCGACCCTAGTCAAAATCAATTTTGTCACTTTTTTCTTCGAGGGTTTATCCAAATGGATTGAAACTTTGCATAAATGTTCTAGTGCTTAAAACAAATACAAATAAAACATTTAAAAAATTTTTGAGCAAAGAACCAAGAGGGAAATACATTTTCAATTTTGGACTAGGGGCGACACTAGTCAAAATCAATTTTGTCACTTTTTTCTTCGAGAGTTTATCCAAATTGATTGAAGCTTTGCATAAATATTCTAGTGCTTAAAACAAATACAAATAAAACATTTAAAAAATTTTTGAGCAAAGAACCAAGAGGGAAATACATTTTCAATTTTGGACTAGGGGCGACTCTAGTCAAAATCAATTTTGTCACTTTTTTCTTCGAGGGTTTATCCAAATGGATTGAAACTTTGCATAAATATTCTAGTGCTTAAAAACAAATACAAATAAAACATCCAAAAAATTTTTTGAGCAAAGAACCAAGTGGGAAATACATTTTCAATTTTGGACTAGTGGCGACCCTAGTCAAAATCAATTTTGTCACTTTTTTCTTCGAGGGTTTATCCAAATAGATTGAAACTTTGCATAAATATTCTAGTGCTTAAAACAAATACAAATAAAACATCCAAAAAATTTTTTGAGCAAAGAACCAAGTAGGAAATACATTTTCAATTTTGGACTAGTGGCGACCCTAGTCAAAATCAATTTTGTCACTTTTTTCTTCGAGGGTTTATCCAAATAGATTGAAACTTTGCATAAATATTCTAGTGCTTAAAACAAATACAAATAAAACATCCAAAAAATTTTTTGAGCAAAGAACCAAGTAGGAAATACATTTTCTATTTTGGACTTGGGACAGGTCTAGTCAAAATCTAGTTTTTCACTTTTTTTCTTGGTACGGTGTGAATACATCCGCATTGGGTTTCTACCCGATACACTAGTTAATATGAAAAATGTTATATCAGTATCGATTTTCATCTATCCTTAACACATTTGAATCCTTTTACCTTATATTGATGCATCAACAGTTTCATGTAATGCAGCAGATCTTGTACAAAAATGATGTTGTTCTTAATTCCATCTGCTGTCAGTTCAGATGTAATTAACACCATACTCAAATTTTGTTGTATTGAATGAGCAATTTTGAGTGAACCATTACTGTTGATTATTTCATTGAGGTAACTTTGAAACTGATTAAATTCAATCTAATCCTATAATGGAAATGTGATCTGTAAATTTCTCACAACAGAGAAAAAGAAATTTGAAGTTCTCTATTAAATTGTTTGTTTTATTTAACTTAAAAAATTGATTTTTTTTTGTGTGTGTTGTGTCATCAGTTTGTATTAATTTAATTTATTTTTTTACCATACTAAAAACATAATCATTGATTAATTGGAAATACAATATTTTTCTGTTTTTTTAGAGGATTATTCTTTTATCATTATTTGTTTGAAGTTAAATACATAAAAAATCATTTTTTGTTTTTTTTTTCTTTCATTTTTTTCATATTTAAAATTAATTGCTATTAAGATCCTAATAATAATGCATACATAAAAGTGGAGACGCATCAACAATTTATGCATTTAACGAAAAAAAAAGAAGAACATCTTAAACTGCACATTTTTTTATATAAAAGTTTTTCATCTTTTTCCTCTTTTTCTATTCACTCAATCTCAATTTATATATGCAAAGATTTGATTTTTTTTTTGCACCAAACTTTAAATGCTTTGTTTTACCTCACAATTAACATTTTCAGACACTTTACGTTCCTTAACATCATCATAAATCTGTGGTATATCAATATGATATTGTGGATGCATTTTGCGATTGCGATTCGTCTAAACTTTTAATTTGTTCTTGTAGAAAAAGTCTCCTACAAAATACGAGAAAAAATTGGGTCATAGAAGAAGAAGGAAGTCGTTAGCATATTATTACAATATATTGCGAATTTGGATGAATAACTTACCTTTGTGTTTGAATTGTTGTTGCAATTTCAGCTACTCTCACGATGCTCCTGGCGCACTGAATTTCTGCTGATATTTTACTACATTCTAAATCAGCCAGCAGGTACACTTCTTCTGCACACTTTTGTGCCTGCAAAAATTGTGAAAGGTTACGGAAAATTAGATTATTGCTGTTACTGTCCGTTGTGATAAAATAGGTTTTGGGTATTGGTGGGGAATGCAATTTAATGATGACACTTATATAGTTCTTAATTCCAACAGACTTCCTTAATTATTTCAATAGTTGGCAACTTGTGTGCCGCGAAACAAAATTGGATCAACTTTATTGTGATACTCAAAGTGATGTCATGAGAACATCCTGTTCTAGAAATGTATAAAACTAATTCCATACTTTTTCAGTTCCATGTCAATTTGCTTTGGTATTCCTTAACTTCTCACTATGTTTAGAAAATACCATTATAGCTCATAACACCAATCTCAGCTTTATTGAGTTCTAAATCTAATCACTTCTCAAATATTGACTTTTTCTTAAAAAAAAATCTCAAATTTCATTAATTCATAGCTGGCTAATAAAGATATTCTGCTTGGCAGATTCTTGTCTAATCTACCGAAAATACATTATTTAGGTCAGTCATAAAGCACACAAATTAGCTCAAACTTTTATCAAGAAATGAAGAAGAAAAAACACATGAAACGAAAGCAAGTCGATTGACAACAAAGTAATTTATAGTTTGGAAGTTTGTAGTGTCATCAATACGTAAACAATTTCATCCAAAAAGGAAATGAAGAATCCCAATAATTACTTCCCAAATCAATTAGCTACTTACTTGTTTCTCAAGAATTTCTGATGGCCAATTTGTTACGTGTGTTATCAGATCAGCACGAAAAAATTTAGCTAGACTAGGAGTTAAGAGGTTTAATCTATTTGATGTTTGTGATGAAGACAAAACACTTTGTAGACTGCTCACACCAGATGTAGTATCGACTAGGAATAGAGAGAAGAAAATGATTAAAATTAGCCATTGCGTTTATTTTTTCAAATTCAATAATATTTACGTCTTCTATGTTCCCCAGAATTTAAATCCATTTCGGGTGTCGGAGGGCCGTCACCAATTAAATTACTGCTACTATTATTTAAATCTAATCGGTTTACCGAATTATTTAGTCCTGCAGATGAGACTGCGTTGGTATTAACACTATAAGTAGGTGAATTCCTTAAACTACTCGAGTTGTGATGCAAATTGTTTGAATCGTGTCCAACATTATTATGAAGATTATTTCCTGACGATGAGTTCATATCATTCATGGGAGATGTCGATCGATTTCGATGATGGTGTGTCTGATAATTATGTATCGATTGTATTGACGGTGAGGATGAGGAAGTGGTTGTTGTTGTTGTTGTCGATGAATTTTTATTGGAATTGGAATTAAGTTTGTTAGTAGCTGATCCGAGGGAGGATGTTGAAGCATTTGAAATTTGATGATGAAGCTGGTTATTATTGGAGTTTGTAGCATTTATAAGGTGTTTTGCATGGCCATTATTTGGCGATGACATAATGTCGTCGTGATTCAGAGAATTGCTATTGATATTTGAATTGTTTGTGTGTTGATTGGCAGTATTAGGAGATGCATAGCTGGGCTCTGATGTTGGCGTTGAATCTGGACTAATGTTCATATTATCCGCATTTTCTAAATTTTTGTGTATATAGCTATATTTAGAACAGAGAATATACAATTTTATGGAAATAGTGAGTGCATACCTTCGTGACGTTTATGATGTGCGGACGATGATGATGCTTGATAAGATTCTTGTGGCCATCGACTTCTTGAATTAGCTCTGGAATGTTTGTTACTATTATAATTTCGTCTTCCACCACCGTACCTATCCTCACGACTCTTTCTGTCCCTTTCCTTTTCTCTGTATCCTCGAACCGGTGGAGGATATTCCTTCGACCTAAAATGAGGTCTTTATATGAATAAACGTTGAATTAATAAAGAAAACGTTCAAATTTTTCTTACATCTCATACTCAATCCACTCGTCAGGCTTATCCCACTGCGAAGACTTGTCCCGTTCATTATAATAATACTTTTTACCGCTAGCCTTACTAATCATTTCCTTCCAATCGCCGAATCGTCGCTCCTTCTCTGATGTCCTTCTAATAGCACTATGATCCCTGTCAGCAGCATATCTATTTTTGTCATAAACTCTATCAGATTCTTTGTGATCTTCATCGGAACTAGAACGATCTCGAGTTTTTGCTTTTTTACTATAAGTTTTATATTCTAAATCTCTATCACGGCCTCTTTTATCTGCAGGAACAAATGATAAGCTTGTTAAACTAAAGGATATTGAGGAATAAAAAGACATTAATTGTCGTACCATTCGGATATTTTTCTTTTTTATAGTCCCTATCTCGATCTTTATTCCTATAATTTTGATGATACCTATCTCTACTGTCTCGTGGTGATCCTGTAGTCTCTGGTGAACGATGGATTTCTGTTACTCTCTTGGGCGAATTATCTCTGTCACGATAATAATTTGAATATCGGTTGTTGCTATATTTGGAATTCTAAAAAGAACATGTATATACAAGAAAAAATATGGTGGAATTAGAAGTGATACATTTCACCTCAATAGAGATATATACTGTAAATTATGCCGAAAAAGAAAATCTAATACGTGATACTAAATGTTTGATTTTCATGTAAATATTTAGGCCTGGATCAGCAGATTTATCGATATTGATCTGATTTAAGACTTATAATTTGCCATAAATGCAATTAAAATGAGAAATTTGTGTCATAAAGTGTCAAAATAATGAAATATATATTGAATAATTTACTGTAATATAAAAATTGGATATTCATGTCAAATCTTACCTGAAAACTGCGGCTTTGGCTTTCATAATAACTACATGTAATGAAATAAGAAAGAGATTGACATCAGAATATGATTTTTAAGTTAATTAGAGTATAATTAAAAATTTTACAAAATTTTCATCAAAATCTTATGCATCAAAACATTAAATCTCCAATTTGTACCTTATTAATGCATAAAACTCTATGATTTATCATCTTACCCATCATTTATTCGCGTTTTTCTCGAGTGCATATTTAGAAAAATGCCTAATATTAAATTAAATAAGTTAAATTCTGCTTTTCTACTCTTCTGTCCAGAGGTTGAAGTCGATCGAGCGAATTCAATTCAGTTCAGTTCACTTGAAAATTCAATCGGTTTCAAGTCGACTTGAGTGAACTAGGGTTTGGGAAACCTGTTAACACAAAACAGAAAAACAGCTGTTTTTCGACAAAAATCTGTTAACAGAAAACAGGTCTCAAAAACAGATCTGTTTTCTGTTTTTAATTTTAACATATAATTTCTTGATAATTTCATTATATTTTTTAAAGTTATTTAACAAAATATTAAGAAATAATAATACTTAGCTCTATAATGTATGCTTAACTGCTTATAATCACCAAAAAGTTTCATTATCTTAGAGAAACACTTAGGATAACTCAGTTTATTTGGAATTCTAAAAAAAAACAGGAAAACAGCTGTTTTTAAAAATCAAAAACCGAAAACAGTCTGTTTTTCAAAAACAGCTGTTTTCCACAAACCCTAGATTGAACGCAAAAATTATTTTTCGGTTAATCGAATTTACCTAGATTAAATTTGTGGCAAAAATGTAGCATCATTTAAACATTTAAAAATTCGACTTTACTTCACTGACTTCGACTTCTGCTTCTGCCTAATTTCAGTATTCACTGTACTTGCAATCCCCTTCTAGAACAAAAAGCGCATAAAATAACGGGAGAAAATAATTCAAATTACACTCAAAATTTATCCGACTAGAATTTGAATTTTAAAAAACCGTTGACATTACAAAACCTTTTATTAATTACAGCGTGCAGACATAATTTTGCTAAACTACTTCTTGATGATATTCTCTAATTGTGATTTGAGTTGTGAATTTGTCTTCTTAAGAAATGCAATCTCTTCAGAATGTTTCTTTTCTTCTGATTCTCTCAATTCAGCATTTCGTCTCTCATTCTGGTCCGCTTTAACTTTCATGTCCGATATAGCTGCTTCCAAAAGTGCCTTTTCCTCTTCCAACTGTCGAATCCTTTCTTGCAACAATTCCTTACCTTCTTGTGCTTGTAATGCTTTTCTCATACCAAAAGCCACAGAACTGCAATATAAAGTTTCATAAGCCTCATCACGCATATTAATTTCATCTCTGACACGAAGCAACAATAATCCACGTTCAGTACAATTTATGGTGACTTGTCGTATAATTTCATCAAAGCATTGACTATATAATTCAGCTCTTATTGGACAAATTCCTGTTTCTCTAGCTTGTGACTGTTGCAGGCGAGTATCGAGCATTTCTTGTAAGTTTATGACATCCTGACGTGTTGCTGGGGTGCTTGAAACTGTTTGACACCACAACTGACCATCCTCTGAAATAGTTTTAGTGCTATAGGTATAGAAAATCAAGTTTTGAGGAAGTTTCTTACCTTCCCAGACCCTAGGTGGTAATATTGAGTTAAGAATCTCCTCAGTCTCTTTTCTGGAATCACCAATACTTCCAGAGACTGGTCGTGGACTTTTTGGAACTTCATCACCTTTCCTATCATCATGCTTGATCACCAACGTTGGATTATTGTATCGTACCAAAGTATTTTGACATTCTATTGACTTTTCAGCCATAATGATGCGATTTTGATGGATTTAATTTAATCAACTTGTGGACTGGAAAAAAAGAACTTCTGAAATTTACAAAATAAACTAAATGGTTGCTGTGACGAAATTTTTCGAAATAAAATAAAATACCCTAGCAACAGATTATTTTTAATGCAACAAGTGTGTGCCTTCATTTATGTATAAAAATGTTCGCATGTTATAAACTTTAAATCATAAATATTTATTCAGTGGCTGCATTAGTTTCTGATTGTTCAGCATTCTCATTTGTTTCCATATTTTTCTCGCTGATTTCAGGATTTTCTGCTGTCTGTTCTGTACCATTTTCCTCGTTGACTGTTGCTATTTCTTCTGTTTGCTTATCCGAATCATCATTATCTGCTGTTTGTACTGTTTGATTCTCTTCAGTGATTGTCAATTCCTCCATCGCCTGTTCTGTTTGATTATCAACATTCTCAGTGCCTTCATCAAGCTTTAATTTCTTCTCAACTGGACCTTGCAATTCGCCAGCATAATGCAACACTTCATCATCGAGTTCATTTTGAATTGGAATTGGAACGAATGGGACATTTTCTTTTGTCTTCTTATTATCATCTTTTGTTGATGACTTTTCATTCTTTTGTTCCTGCTCTTGTGGTATTTGCTCATAAATCTCCTTCATTTTCTCATATTCGCCTCTCATCTCTTCCATTTTGTCCATATACATTTTATAGACATATTGTGCCATTTCTGACATGTCATTTACAGTCATAATATTTCCATTAATTTTATCTTTAGCTTGTCGTTTGACTGAATAATTTTCACCTTCAACCAGCATCAATTTCTGTGGACGATTCATGAGATGCTTAAATGTTGGACGCAATTCAAAGCAATTTTTGAATAAAGATACACGACCAAATATGTACAAGCCTAATCGAGCACGACTTGCAGCTACAACCAAACGTCTGACGTCTCTTAAATGACCAACAGTTTTAGTTCTTACTAATGAAATTAAGACATAATCATTTTGCTGTCCTTGATACTTATCAACTGTTGTGACTTTATGAGGTAAACCAATTAATGGATTATCAGCACATCTACGATTAACGACATCACGCAGTAAATGTTTCTGTCCATTATATGTTGTTAAAATTGATATTTTCTCTGCTGGATATCCAATTAATCGCATATACATATACGTAGCGACAACATATTCAGCTTCACCCAAATTTTGATAGAAAAATGGATTCGGTTCCGATTCTCCTACACCATTAAAGTTCTCAACATTAATTAATTGATAATCATGAACAAAGCCTGAATTAGCTGAGATATATTCTGGCCATGCATTAATGTGTGGTAAATCGTCAAGTTTATTATAGCGCCACTTATACAATTCGCATATACTTGAACGTGCACGACCTTGACCATCGAGTTGAACAACAGGAACGCCGAGTCTGACTAATCGTGTAAACAATGACTGTTCCATATTTGAATACTTTTGAAAAGCCATATTCTTAATGACAGGTGGCAATTGATGATGATCTCCAATCATAATCCAACGCTTAAGTCTGTTGTAGCCGTCAAGGGGATTTTGTAAAAGTAATGGAATAAACGTCTCAATTTCCAATATTTGCGCTGATTCTTCCATCAATATATTATCATATTTGAATCCTAAATCAACTAGTTCTTTTCGTTTTAACGCCGCATGTGTACATGTCATCGCAATAATTTTTGCTTCTTTGACGAGCAAATATTTGGAACGGTCCAATCCATTACGGAGCAATTCAAATGCTCTAAACTCTTCCAGTTCAGTAAATATGTGATTTATATAGCGATAACAGCTTTGTGCAATTTCCAAATTCTCTTCAAATGTTGTTCCTTTAAATAAAGGCTGTGGCGCATCAATAAAGAATTTTACAAATGGAAATTCTTTAGCAAAATATTCTGTTGTTGGTTCTTGTTGATTTGCAGCCGCTTCAAGTTCATTAATGAATTTTTCCCATCTTGCAATAATCTCATAAAGATAGAAATATCCAGCAGTTTCACAAGTATATGATACATCACCAGTAACATTAAGTGAGTCTTGAAGTTTCTTAACTTTAGCCAATAACTCGATACGTTGTGAAAGTACATAATTGACACGACCATAACGACTGAAATCTTTCTCCGTTTCAAGAGCTTCTTCACCATGTCCAAGACGTAACAAGTGCCTTTCATCAATATCCAATTGCATAATTTTCTCAAATAACTGATTGAGAGCCTGATTTGAATGAGTTACAATAAGTGTTCGTTGATTTGGATGATTATGATAGATATTTGAGATGATCTGAACAGCTATGTCTGTTTTACCCGTACCTAAATTGATTGTGGATGGAGAAATTTGAACGTTAGAAAAGGTTTCATTGTGGATATTTTGCACAGATCTGCATTCAAAAAACGTTTCATGAAATAACGGGGAATAAATATTTGAAAAAAGCGGTCAAAATTTTTTTGAAAATTACATAATTAACGTAGTTTGATACCCCTGAATTTTTTAAAAAAATTACCGTTACAAAAGGGACAAAATGTCGTCAAAAGCTGCTCATTGCACTAAAAACAAGCTTAATAATGCATTAAAATAACCCAGATACACAACAAGCTACTGACCATGAAATATTTTTTTGGACACAACAATCAATTCTATTAATAAAAGTAAAGAACAAATATTTACCTGGCGGACCGACAACTAAAGTCATTCCTGGCTGCATACCAGATCGAATAGCCTCTGTTTGAGTAGGCGTGAATCGGATTGTGTTCTTTCGTGGCTCGTTGAAGTCATAAGGCCCTCTTTTGGGAATTGTATAAGGCTCAACATTGATGATTTTTTGCAATTTTTGTTCTTGCTTTTCTTCTTCGTCATCGCTGTCAACTTGAATTGGAACGTCTTCAAATGTTATTCTGAATGGGCGTTTAACTAAGTCTGGATTGTTACAATTCAATTTTACTTCATAGTCAGGAAATGCTTGGACCACATGTTGATAATCCAAGAATGTGTCATTAAAATCTAAAGATCTTGCTTGTTGTGGCATTTTTGAGTAATGTGCAGAACTTGGATCTCCATATCCTAACAATATATCATGCAACCAGTCAGGAACAACACATTCTGTATTCATTAAATGTCGAATTGTTTCCAAAACAGCTTTAAAGTTATTTTCTTTAGGCTTTCGTCGAAGGAAAATGTTGAAACTTTCATAGACATCATCGCCGCCTTCATGAAGTGATTCCATATCAGCTCGATACTGATTCGTATCCAACCAAACCCGATAAGTTCTTTTATCACCTGGCAATTTTCCTTTTGGCTCATCAATACCCTCTTCAATTACTCGACCATTTTCGTCCAATAATCCTTCAATTTCACATCCACGAACATTTACTAATCCGACTTGTTCAATAAAATTACCTCGATGATTATATTTTGTTCCAATTGGAACGGTTGGATGTACAGTAACTAAGAAGCACACGTCATGTCTTCTTAAATTCTCCCACTCTTCTTGAATTTCGCGTCTTACATTTAATGAGATGGAAACGTCAGCTCTAACTCGTGATGGTCTTCTCTCACCAATTCGTGGTTTTCCTACCTCAATTACAGCAAACTCTTGTATTGGTAATGCCATTCTAGCCCATCCACCAAAAACTACCTCATTCTCTTCAGATTGCCATGGTAACATCCTTATTACAGCATCCTCAATGTCCTGACGAATTTCATAAGTCGATTCAAGACGAAAAAGATTGAAGTTACGATAGAGATAGTCATGTAATGTCAGAAATTGCAGATTCAATTTTGGCAATGCCAAACATCCATCACCAGAAAAGTATTCATTTGGTACGATATTTTCATCCCAGATGATTTCTTCTGTTGGATATAATGGCATTTCATTAAGTGCCTCCAATTGTGAGATGCGACGCTCATGTCGAGAAATCTGTTGGAATTAAAAAACATAGGAAAATTTATAGATGAAATAAATTCAGTCGAAAAGCTCATAAAATTTTCGCAAATAGTACCAATAAATTTTTCAAGAACTCCTCGTCCAAACGATGAAAATCAAATGGCTCTTTTAATTCGTCTGGCACAAGGTTCAAGTAGCTAGCAATTTCCTTCAATGCTGTTGCATCTAATCCACCAAAATGCTGTTCCAATGCGTCACGAGAATCTACACTTGCGACATTTGATAATGCAAAACCTCTTAAACCTGGAAATTTTGCAAATGCAGCTTTTTGTAACGACGTGATTTTCTTGTAGTGAAGCTGTGCCATTTCATGATCGCTAAGGCAGTCTCCAGTGACGTCGTTAATCTCAAATCTTGCATAAAACTTGAGCATGTCCAAGAGCTGTAATGAAAAAAAAAGATAAGAATAAAATCATTTTTTTTTCTTATTCGATGCATCTTGTTGCATTACATAACGGAATCAATGCCCACGCACATGCTACAAACATAACAGATGCAATCGCGTTTGAAAATCGTCTCATATTAAGGCCCTTTAAATTTTACTTTTATGTTAATGGGTGTGGAATATCTCATGTTCAATGAACAATAGCTGATAAAAGTAAGTTATACACAAAACTTAATTTTCCATGTAATCTGTTGAAATTTGTAGCACACTTTTCTGTAAAATGAGTGGCTTCTTCAGTATGGGTATTTTAAGATATTAATGAATAATTCTGGAAGCTTATGAATAATGAGTGCTTATTATTCGCTAATTAAGAAACTTGATCATTCATGTCATATAATTGCAATAAAGTTTATGGTTGCTGCTACTATAGAATTATCTGATTCATAATATTTTGAAAACTGTTGTAGTGGCGTCAGAGAAATCGGAGATGCAAATATACTATGATGGTCTTGGAAAATACAACTTTATTATTACAATTGTTTAGGATTGCAGAAATCTTAAGAAAATCGAGAATCAATTTTAATATTTAAGTAGGTACTAGATTTTTTGACGTGGAAGAGTTTAATAATCTAGTACAGATTTGTAAACTTAATAAAATCTAGTATGTTTTAGTATTTTCGATTTCAGCTTCCGACCTGATCTAGCTCAAAATTTAAAAATCTAGTACTTCAATGTAGACTCTTTCGTTTTAATAAATCTTTTACAAAATTGTATAATCTAGTATCTCATCGATGTAAAGATCAAGTTATCTCAAAAGCGCTGTTTATATTAAACCTCAAAATAACTTCCATTCTCGTTGCCCATCTGATCATCTTTCAATACAACTCTTTGTAGTTTTTTTTCGGCAGTTCCGTAATAATTCTTTTTGATGTAAGCTTTTAATATTCATTCCGTTCTTAATCAAATTGACTTTTGACTGCATTTATTAGTTTCTTAATCAAAAAACGCTTTAGGTATATTGATGATAGGCCACATCACATTCGAGAATTGATTTAACAATAACTCCCACATCAAGTCTTTAAGTCTTCTTTTAAAGATGATATAAATTACTTTGCTTTTTTGACGTCTATCGCCTTTTCATAACATACATGTAGTGCTCATAAATATCTTTTTTTTTTAATGGAAATTCTCTTTGATCAAAAGTCAACAAGTTCGTCTGTCACTTTTTCATTATCTTTATTTACTAATGTTGATGAAAGGTTTGTTATCAATTCACTTGTGATTACGATATATTTCAGATATTTTGTATCGGAAATGACATTCAATTGCAAGTAAAGTCTAAAAGCAACAAAAACTGAAAAAAAAAAATCAATGTTTAAAAGGGAACCGAATTGATAAAATAAACACAAAATATTCTTACAGCTGTTTTCAATTGTCAGTAATTAGCAATTGAACGCGAGCTAGTGCTTAATCATTCTGTTCGGTTTGTTCTTTCTTTTAAGCTCAATTAATGAATAATTCTTTAGACAATACAATGGGAATTTGATTGATTTATGAAGTCTTAGTTATTCGGTCAACGACTTAAGAACATAAATTAGTAATAACATTTTATTTATTTTGTTTGTAAAAAGGGCGAAACATATGCGCACATGTAAAGCATTTAATAGCGATTAACTAATAAAATCTAGACGAATGTAATGAATTTATAATTTTAAACATTTGTTTGCTATTTTTCAATATTTTTTTGGATTTATAGGATTAGAATCTGGTCATAGAAATTAATATTGTCATTTAGTAATATTGTAATTGATTTATGATTATGGATTTTTGTTAATCCACAAAAATTTGGGTACGAAAATTACAGTAATAATCAGTTGAATTATGAAACATTAAAGTCAACTCAACTTCAAATAAAATTCGTGTAGACTTCAAAATCTATTATTTTGAACACGTGATGCACAAACCACGAGCCAATCAATTGATAAACCAATTCCATCTCCTTTAACGAAGCGTGAAGCTTGTTAATCACAAATTTATTTACAAAACATAAAATTTTATGCCTAATTCATTAAATTGTATGATATTCATAGTATTGTTAATAGATAAGATTGATTTCTTGGAGCCCCATTAGAGATTTTAATCTCATAAAGTCTAACATTAAGCCGCCTTTAACGGATTGATTCCTTTTTTTCTACTCAACCGAGAAATTATTTTATTTTCTCCGTATTTTTTATTTCAAACTTGTTGCTTCTCTCGCTCGCAAAGCAATTCGTCGACGACTCTCTTAGTGTTACATCGCAATTCAAACGGTTCGGACATTCTTTTTCATTTCGTCGTTAACTGCATTTTTTTGGCGCTCACGATAATATTTCTTTTAATTCGGTTGAATCTTAGTAAAAGTATTAATAATTTAATTTAATCTAAATTAAAGGTATACGATAAGATAGAAGTGATTTTTATAGCTACACATACTGTTTATTTTTTGTATGTGATTGAGCATTATCAATATCATTCTCGAGACTAAATTATTGCCAAAAAAAAAAAAAATAAAATAATATCAAAGTATTGTGAGAAGAAGAAATAAGTTCAAAGAAAAACTTATCTTTCTAGATACTCAATAGCTTGCCTCTTTCAATTTCAGCAAAATAATTGTGGTAGCTACATATCGATGAAGGAAGAAAAATAAAGTGAAAGAGTCGATTATTGAGTTTTATGTGTTGCGTGATTCTCTCATTTGAAGAACTCAATTGGAGTGAGAAACAATCAAAGTGCTAATTGAAGAATGCCCATTGATTTTTGATAAAAAGCATACATAGCATTATGCCTATCGAAATAGTCAATTCAAACAGAGATTTTCATTTATAATGCGTGCTTAGACGTTCTTAATTTTTATTTAGAGGCAAAAAAACATATGTTCAACTTTGGCTCAGTCTTTCTCTCTACTGCTTGCTTTGCTCTTGAATGTGCTGTTGAAAAAGAATATAAGAAGGAGTTCAGATATTCACATTTATTTAAAATAAGTGTCGATGATTGAATGGGCAATATATCTTAAAGAGCATGCGAGAGAAATAACATGTGACAAGTTAAAGTTTGTGGGTTGAATAACGAGACGCATTTGGAAAATGATTAAGGCAGGAAAATTGTGACTTGAAATTGTAAACTTACGTCATGTGATTAAAGACTTGTAGGATAAAGCAGTCAAAACGTGGATATCGTTATAGTAAAATGTGTTTTTCAGCAACATTGTAAACAGACTGTTTTTTTCTGAAAGTCAATAAATAATTTTGCACGAACAGCTCAATACCTCAGAAGACGAAGTAATGTTTTTGAGATGCCTGATAAATGAGTTCATGGTTTGCATAGGAATAACGTTGAATGTGACAACAAAGAAGGCTTAAAGAAGCTCTAGAATTTATTATAAGTTTCACCATAACAGTTTTGAAAGACAAAAGAGGTTTTTAAATCAGATTGATTGTTGATAATCGATAGCTATCAAAGTATTAAGTCTTTAACTTTGATTGCAAATTAAGTTTCCAAAGAACAGTTTACTTATTTAGTAACGCAATAATACTCTAGGCCTTCCCCTAATACTTAACAAGTGAACAGTCCCACGAGATAATCAGACAATAATGAAGAATTGCTCCAAAAAAAACCCTTTGAAGCATATTGATACTGTTTATGAAAACAGAATTTCTAAGAATTCTCACATAATGAAAACAAAGTTCTACCCATGCCTATCATAATTCAAGCTTAGCGACTTTAAATGAAGAAATTTTTAAGTAAACAATCGCATGCTAAATTAGTCAAATCAAACGAAATCATTTAAAAACAAATTTTTCTTCATTTAAGAACTGACAAAGTATTGTATGAGACAATTTATAAGTGTTCTACATCCGTTTTTAAAGAAAATTCAAAAAATGCAGTTTTTAATGGAAATTTATAGGATTAATTAATAAAATTTGCAGTAGCTAGGAGTGAATAAGTGTAAAGTTAATTTCTGAAGTAGTTTTAAGTTTTGAGGAGATTAAGAATGGTAAATTTACTGATTTTTGTTGAGATTAGAGTAGATTTAAATGTTTTCAGCAATTTCTTAAGTTTCTTCTATTTTAGTCGAACGAATAGAAACAGATTTTCTGCAATCCAAATGCCAAATTGCATCAATCTCATAAATTTCCTATCATATTGCGATTTTCCGTCCAAAAAACTGCTTGATAGCAAAAAGAATATTTTATTCCACCCACCAAGAAGCGAAATTTTTTGATATTTGCAAACTTTTTGAGTCACGTACACAAAAATATATCCATGATCATATGACAGGAATGGCTTGAAACTTTAATTTATGATATTTATATAAAAATATTAATAAAAATTTATCATTCTTGATCCATGAAGAATTTCATAAGCTCTTCTGCTGAGCGAATAAGACAGAATTTATGTCATTATGTCCACTCAACAGATGTGAAAATGTCACCGAGAAAATGTTTTATCAATCTACAGCAAGATAAAAATTGTTTTCTTAGGTCCACAAAGAATGTATTTTTAAGATTTTCAATCCTTGCAAAAAAAAAATGTCTGTGAAAATAATAAACAGCAGAACTCAATGAAAGATGAAAATCTTACTTCAATGAAGATGTCAATCTCAACTACATCTCGATTAAAATCATAAACAAATTCATTTCGTCCCACATTTGAACAGATTGAGGCTAAAAGTGATGACATATAGATAAATAACAGACACACAAGCCGCAAGTGAATACGCGAATAATATAAAATTAATGCACATTGTGAATAAAGATAAGCAATTAATAAATATTTAATTTGCATGACAATTACAAGCTTATATGCGACGATAAAAGTGTTAAAAAATATTTGCATTGTAATCTGTTTTTAGTCTACCAAAAGTAGTCACAAAGTAAATTTATGTAAATGCCTGATAATAAAATGTCATTAGCATAAATTAATTGAGACCTAATAATTATTGTTCTACGCATGTAGCTATCGAAATCCGGTCAGTATAAAAGAAAAACAGGTTGATCGTTAAAATATTTTTGTGATTTTTCAATTGTCGAGATAAAATGAAACAAAATAAAATTATGATCCAAATGAAAGAACATAAAATTTTTTTTATGAAGCTGTTAAGATATGATTAAAAATAGACAGCGTTAAATGAAGTGAAGGAAGCAAAATAAACAATTCATTAAATAAATTTCGACTTGCTGAGAGAGAAAAGAATGTTATAATAAAATATAAACATTTATTGCATTTACTACACATCATACAAATGATGAGTATTTTCGTGTGTCCAAAAAAAAAATGTGTGCTAATCTCTTTTCTATTATGAGCATTAAACGATATCGAATTTCATGAAGTTTATTTTTTATGATGTCATAAACTGTTATAAATATTTTTTTCTACTTAAGAAGTCTGCCGCTAAGCATGAATAGGAATTGTTTATATTGATATTTCTCGTTTATTGATGCTGTTTTCATAAATTAGAGGCAATGGGTCATGAGAAATTTATGAATGGTTAAAAACAGTTGTTGATGGTCGAGATTAAAGCAATATTGGTATTAAATTGATGTTAATCTATGATAATAGGTGCAACCAAGGGTTTGGCAAACTTCTCTATTCTTATCTCGTTTTGGTTCAGCAAATCAAAGCTAAGGATTTTATACTTCAGAGAAACTAGAAGCTCTATGATCTTAAACTAGTTGTCTTAGTTTCTATCTTAAACTTTTAGTGTCCACAATGTAATGACTTTTACGTATCATAATTAAGATGAGCTATCAATTTCCTTAGTTTTTGTTAAACTATTTTTTCAAGTTTGACGTCACTTCAACCAAAATTTATTCGCTTAGCTACGAATAATTCTAAATTTAGTAGATAAGTTATAATAAGGAAGTTTGCCATTGAAATTCTTCAAAATTCATAACTTAAATAGCTTCAAAATTTCTAGAGTCAAGTCATAAAGTCAATGACCTCTAATTTTAAAGAAAATTATTTTTGCTTGTCAAAGAATGTGTTGATCAACCCGTAATGGATTCTCCGAAAGAATTATCAACTTTTAACACACAAGATTCATGCACAGCAACATTTTATGAGAATTATAAACACTCGCAATAGATTTTTTTTTTATTGCAACTTCAACCAGCACTTTTATTGTTTCAGCACATTCTCCAGTATTCAAAAACAATTTCTTTTTTATTATTTTAAAAAAAATTCCTTCAATTTCTTCTCAAAAAATATTTTGTGCTCGTTAAAAGCATTTCGCTCGTCAGATGGTTTAATAATAAATTTCTTCTCTTCACACTAGGAGTTGCTGTTGCTCCGTAAACATGGATTATTTATGAATGAGGCAAAAAGTGGAAGAAAAACATTTTTTTAATTTAGAAAAAGAGGAAATTTTATGTTTTTAATGGATTTGTGAAAATAATCAACTATGGATCTACATAAATTCATAATAATCTTACTAATATTTTGTGTGAATGTGATACATGGCAAGCAAGAACCACAAAAGTGCTGCCGCAATGAAAAAAATTTACTAATAGATCGAAGATGTGTGCCAGATAGGACCGGAAAGAGTCCAAATATAATATTAGCATGTGAAGAGAAATACATGCTGAATCCATATGAGATGGAAGAGGATGCATTTAATGTGACTGAAGATGCTTCTCTATTCGTTCCGGATATGGGAAGCTCTTTCTTTAGAGACGAGTAAGTAGTGATTATTATTTGAATTGGAACTCCTTCTGTTTGATTTATATTACTACGCCTTAATGGTAGTAACATAAATTATCAAGTGTCAATAAACAATTAAAACTAGACTGAAATAACAGTAATAAGTGAATGATTCATTAAGATATGACTCAGGGGTGTATCCTAATTGGTTTTTTGGAAGTTCATTAATACTTATGAATTTTATTTGATTTAAAGAATTTGGGAAAATCTCAACATTGTCTTTTAAAAAACCTGGAAATATCTAAAACACACCCCTGAGTAGCTATGACACTTTAAGCGCATTTCTTAAGTATCTGCAAATCGGGTTAATGACTCATGGTCTTCTTTAGAATTTTTATGACTTTCTTGAGTGTAAAAAAGTCGATTGATATTCTATATCTTCCTTAGATGACATCAAAATGCGTCACAAACATTTCCTAATAAATTAGTAGCTACTTCCTAAGAAATCAGCTGTGTCAAAAACTTACTGAATCATTTACGACTTCCTAACTCTTTGACATTTAATTAAGATTAACTTCATTTCCAGGTATTGTCTCGTCAATTCTCATGATGAGGAATTAAATGAGACTTATGAGATAGCACTCGTATGCTTTCCCGAAAATGACACAGAAATAGTAAAAGTTTCGTTTACTTTAAAAGCAATTTTCATCTTCATCTCAGTGTTCTTCTTATTCCTAACACTTTATATTTATTATCGACTTCCCGAGCTTCGACAGACGCAGGTAAAGAAATACCTTTAAAACTTGAATTACGATGGTTTTATAAGATATTCCAATTTTCTACTCGAATATAGGACAAAGTAACAATGTTTACCATAAGCTGCTTAACAATATTTTTAATATTTTTGGGATCAATGCAAATTTACTCTCCGTATACATCAAAATACGATATTTGTTTGTTTCTAGCCTATCCAACTTATTTCTTTACAATGGCATATTTTGCATGGCTGAATTGCGTTATCATAAATGTATGGAAATCCGTTGTGTGAGTAGATATATGAATAAATTTAGAAATGCTTATCAAAATTGTTTGGAATTAAAAAATTTCTAAATATACAGCTTACGACGATGGATGATGAATGAAGGAATCTGGTATATGTTTAATCACATCTATGCCTGGACCATTCCAGCAATATTAATGGTAATTGTTGACGCAAAGCATACAATAAAACCGAGCTTAGGTGTTGAATCATGTTGGTTTCATCGTAAGACAAATATATAGCCTTAAATATGCAGTATACAAAAATTCATTAAAATTCCGTGTTTCTTTAGAAAATCATGATCAGTGGATGCTAGTTTATCTACCAATTTCCATAATGCTGGGACTAAATGTCATTCTTTGTATATGGTCGAGCATCTACCTTGTCAACCCGAGTTATACGCCTGATACGATAAAAGCATTAAGATATAAGTAATATCTCATTTTTAAATGCCTTCTCTAAAAATAATTTTATATTTAAATCCATTAATCCGATTTATTTTCTATTTAATCCCCTTTAGATGTTTCTTGTATCTTAAACTGTTGCTTCTCGGTGGATTCACGTGGATTTTTGAAGTGTTATCATACACATACAACGATCATTCACCATCTGCATGGTTTTGGGTGATCATAGATTCTTTAAATTGCCTTCATGGTGTTCTTGTCTTTTGTGTACTTATCTTATGGCGTCGACGAATACGAAAAGAATTGTCCAGGCGAAAAATAATGGGTATTAGATGGCCTAGCAGTTGGGATAATATTGATGATGACGAAGAAGAAGAAGTCTGTTTAGAGAATGAAGGTAATAAGACTGGTTCGGCGTATCCAACGAATATGTTTACTAACTGATTTTGAATGTTTGTACAGTTTGATGTTACCAAAATTTTCGTCCTATCTAATCTATTTCCTTTCTTTCTTTATCTTCTCTTTCCTTTGTTCTAGCTAAAGGCAAATACGATCTAATAATAAAAGCTTTAAAATAATCTATCAAAGAAAAATTCCTTGCATTAACATTTATAGTAAAACTGAGCTAAAATACTCAGCTGCTTTACATTACTGTAATTCATCATATTCCATCCATAAAGAATTCCTTACAAGAACTTGAGGGTAATTAAGTTTGAAAATGTTCAGGACTGTTCACTTTCGATAATCAAATAACAATTCTACTTTGACATTAAAATTAGATTGTCATAATTTTATCACCAGACTCGCTAAGTAAGCCGCAGTGTAAATCAGATTATTTATAGAATCTTGCGGTCGTGTCTGAATTTAAATAACTTGAACTTTAATTTCTATGAGAAACGGTTGTTATTTGATTATCAAATGATTCTGGTTTCAGCCAAAAGCACAAAAAAAATGTTTAAGGAAAAGAAGAAGTCTGGCACTAAATGTTGTACAATTGCTTTCTTCCAAATTAGGCAAACCAATTTTTAGAAACTTTGTCAGATGTCAAAACTGTTGATATGCAAGGTGGACTTACTTTTTAGTTAAGTTTGGTTGAATTTTGAGATTCTGAGACTGTTTTGTTTGAGAATCAGAAATAGAGTACTCGAAAGTTGTGTTTGATGGCACTTAGAAAACTAGGAAAGATGTCAATTGAAAGACTGTCTTACTATTAGACACTTAGGAAATTCACAAGTTTTACATTGGTTAAAAAAAGGAGTAAGCACATCAGAGTATTGACAGCGTTATTTAGTTCCAGCTGTTATAATAATACACAGCATTAACGAGTGAACCAAACCCCAAAATCTAAAGTTACATATCCCAAAACAATTAATCACCGAAATCAGTATTTAATCCATCCAGAAGTAGGTGTACCACCTTGTTATTAACCATGACAAAATTCGCAATACTTTCATTTTAAATGAATAATTGTACATGCTCGTTTCATGCCGATTTCGATTACTTTCAAATATTTGGCAATCTTTCCTTTCACAAGTCATTAATTTTAAAAATATCATATTTTATCATCTATGTTCCTTTTTAAATCTCATTCATTTATATTTAAGTTTTGTATCATTTAGTTAAATAAAGTACTTAGTTCTGTGTAAGAATTAGGAAAATATGAAATAAAAGTTTGAGTTTTTCTGTTTGATTTCCAGTTTGTGTATATATGAAAAGTTTGAGAATCTCAGAAAACAGTCAGTTGCTCAACTCAAACATATTTTTAGGTTTGACTGTATTAGTGTTAAAAACATTGCATCTGAACATCAAATTACAAAATTCATGAAATAATCAATTTAAAAGTAAGTAGCACAAAGTAATCCAATTTAAATCCAATTGTTTTTAACTCCTGCATGCTTGCAATCCCTTCACATACCCTATCAAACAAAACTTTTCCACAAAATCCCTTTTGTTTATACTACTCTTAAGAATGTTTCAAATTTCAGTTCTCAAAACATTTAAGCATTAAAATTCTTTTACGTTTTTACTCTCTCATCATTCGACGAACGTTAGTCATAGTGAGAAGCAGTTCATATACGTTTACTGAATTTTTATAATTTTTTTAATGACGCCTAACAATTTATTTTAGTTTTTAAAGTGCAAGAGTCAGTATGGAAGTTTTTTAAAAATTGTGCAAATACCAAAAGAAAGCAATTTTAATGAGATTAAAGCAAGATATTAAGGAATAATGAAATGTGATCGTAAAAAAATTAAAAATTAACATTAAGTAAAGTTCGAGAAAGAGATAGAAAGACAGAAACCAGAGGAAAATACCTGAACAACACTACGACAAAGAAGGAATTTAATGTGCGTTTGTATAGCCATAAATGAGTGATATTTACCATGAGTTATAGAGCAGATGCTTTTTTTGCATAAAAATAGACAATGAATGTTGTCTCGTGTCGTTTAAGTCTGTGTATTTTTGGCGTGTTAAGGAACAGTGCAACTATGAGTCATGTAAATTACGAACAATTATGATTATCTCATGATCACTGCCTCTCTGCCTCTTTCATTTCAACAGCCTTTATTTACTTTTTCTTCTTCCCTTCCATCATCGTTTTCTTCTGTTTTATTTCATTTATTTTTTATGTATTTCCTTCATGCTCAGTTTGTAAATTCAATTAAAATCTTTTTCATTTTTACTTTTTTTGTTGTTCTTCTTCGATGCTCCCGAAATAAAAAGAACAGAACTACAGTTCATGTTTGGAATAAACTCATTTCCAATACATAAAACAACATAAATATTTCATCTCTTACAAAAGTGCCGGTTGAAGTTCATTAAACTGATGATAATAAATGTATGAATGGTTATTTTTATTTCTCGTGGATGCTCATGTGTGTACGACTACATTTTGATTGAACAAAATTCTTGATTAATCGAGAAGGAAGAGCCGGCAAATGGATATTATTAGTTTAATTGATTTTCCTATGATTGTGCGGAGATCAATATTGGTATGCTGAATAAACAGTGATTAAGTCTAGATGCGGGCTAAGATTGAAGTGGAACTTTTATGTTCGATATTAAAATTTTATGTGCCGAATCTGTTGTCATTTAGTGACTGCATGATAATAAAGTCTAGTGTCTTTTATTAGGTATGCAGATCTATTGTCATCTATGACATTCTTATCCCATAGTTTACTGTCGGATGGTGTCTCAATGACATTTTAAAACCACAAATTTATCAAAATAAACTGCTGATTATTCGCAAATGAAGCATTTTTACTATATTCTCAAAAATTACACAGTAAAGCAGTTCTAAAAGCAAAATCACGAGTTTTATTCAGTCAATAATATGGTAAAGAAGAATATTGATCGAGTTCTGATAATGATGGTACGAATCATCGTGTGATATTGACAACTTAGTCTTTTCTAACGATTTGAAGATGGTTGACTAGATGTTTCGCATGGATTAGCTAGCAATTGATTGTAAATTAAACTAAACATTAGCTTTAAAGATTTGGATATCATAGAAGTACCAATGAATAAGGACTAATCATAGTTTAATTGGTGAAGATTGCAAGACTAGTTAAAACTGTTTAGAATCTTCTGTTCTAATCCAAGCCACTTCAGAACTTAAAACTCCTCATCATATAGCCACCCCACAATAATTCAAGTATTCCAATCGATATTCAACAAATTTACAGAACATAGAAAAGGGGATAGAATGTAGAGACATGTAGTCTAAATAGATTCATATCACGTAAGTGAAATAAATGTGCAAAACATTGCCAACATCCGATTTGATGAGTCACATCTCACAGATCAAGCGAATTCAGGCTTAATCATTCATTCATATTCATTGTCAAATCGAATCTACTGCCACAACTCATTATAACAAGCTATTTGAGATTGCCTGTAACATTTCACTATATACTGCTCTAGTTACGTTATCAATTTTTCTGAGAAATGACCGGAATCAATCATCGGTCATCGTAAATACTCGTAAATGAAGTTGATAAACTTCTCAAATTTTATACACAAAACATAATGTTACTATATGTCCAATACAGTAAGTACAAGACTCATTTAAGTCAAGAAATTAAAATAAATTGTATGTTCATGTATGCGACGTCGTCACAGTAAGGCACACACAAAAGAAGGCGAAAAAAAAGGCAAGAGTCGTAGTAAAAATACCGGAAATACACGTTAATTTAGACAATTTAAAATATAAAAGAAAAGAGGAATAAAATAAATTGTGTGAATTGAGGAACGACACAAGACTGTAAAGAAAACTTTTTCTTGTTAAAAAGTGCAAAAAAATCGATAAATTTTTTAAAGCAGGCAAAAAAACTTATGAAAATGTGGTTTCTTCCTTTTACAGCAGAATATATAATATATTCTTTCCATACGAAAAACAGCAAGCAAGCAAACTGACTTGAAATTTGTGAGAATAGCAATAACATAGACTGTTCACTACTGAAAAACAGCAAATATAAAATTTCTTCTTCTTACGGGAAAGAATAAGAAGAAAGAATTGGGAAGTTACTAGGAAAGCAGAAAATCATAAAGTGTAGCGATGATGATGCACACGAGAAAGTGCAATTGCACATACAACTACAATGTGATAGTAGTAGCAATAATCTTCATAGCAATCGCTACACAACAATATGTGCATGCATTGCCGAACAAAGATGTTCAACCTAGCATTAAAATAAACAAATGCTGCGAAAAATTCGAGATTTATGTTGATGGACGGTGTACGATTGCTGAGACTGTTAATGCATGTAAGTTGACAAAATTAAGTGGAAGCTGATGAGACGCGTTTTAAAAGTTTTGGATGAAATTTAAGATGTTTATTGATACACGAGAAGTGTTAACTGCTATTATTTCTTTTGGTCCAGAAGTTGATTATTTCACACTCTAGCCCCCAACAGAGACAAACTGCCTCAAAATCATCCAATAATACATAAAATACAACATCCAACGTGACAATCTAATTTAAAACTTTTCTACTTAACATCGTTACAGCTATTTGGTCACCCATATTCACCGGATATAATGGAAAAGCGAATGTTAAGGTTGAAACACCCCAGTTAATGATTGGGCTTCCCGATTGCGGTAAAATGCAGATGTGGCCTGTTTATAATGATCCGCAGGTAAAAACAATCAGCGATTAAATTAATATTTTATTCATGCCTCAATTAAAATGTAAAATATTTGTTCCTTTCACAGAACCACGACTATTTATTTTTATTTCCCGACGGTAAGCTCGGACACTATATCAGAAAGAACGAAAGGATTGAAGAAGATGAAGACTACGACGAGAGTAACGAGCAAGCAGAAATTGAGCATCTACTGAGAGAGCGTAGTGAGAAATTTTTGTATCATGATTTTGAACAGGGACATTATTGTCTTGAAAAGGCACTGTTCTCGAATAAGACATCAGATACATGGCATTTTGCTTATGTATGCTCACCGGGAAAAGTTATAAATTGGACAGACACGGATTTCCTACTTAGAAAGATTCTTAATCCATTATTTCATGGAATCTCAATGATAATACTTTTAATTGTAGCTATAATTTATTTTGTGCTACCGACATTAAGAGATTTGGTTGGGAATATCATCACAACCATAACTTTATGCTTAATTATCAGTCAAGCTGCTGATTTAGTTAAAATCTTTACGGAATACAGCAATCACATTAGCTATATGATTGCTGATATCATTTTGTATTCAAGTCTACTAGGCGCCTTCTTCTGGCTTAATAGTATGGGTTTCTACATTTGGAAGACATTCAAATCACGAAATGTATTTTTACGTGTGACGGATGGAAGGAAATATTGTTGGTATTCCGCTTATGCATGGAGTATGACGGGATTATTGACGCTACTTGCAATATTCGCACATTTCTTCTTAGACACAGGAACTATAAAGAAGCAATATATATTTGAGGATCAAGAAACGATCGGATGGTTGGGAATGGCTGTATTCTTCACACCCATTGCATTTATTATAATTATTAACTTATTTTTTTACGTAACAACTTTGAAAGTCATGAACAGAATTAATTCATACGGAAGGATTCACAACAAATTAAAGAACAAGTAGGTCAAAAATGTTGTAAGCATAAGAAAGTGCAGCAATTTTAAATATTTTTTTCTTTTAATTCGCAGTTTCATTATGTTTATCTTGATATTCATAACTATGAGCGTTGCATGGATATTCTTTATACTCTCGTGGCTAAAGTATGACTCATTACTTTACACACATATCATAACAAATGCACTACAAGCACCAGTGATATTTTATGTTTGCATTATAAAGCAGAAGCATGTGAGCTTTTTATTGAGGAAGACGTGTTGCTACAATGAGCCGGTTACTCATGCAGCTGGTGCTGAATGGAATTACGGAGATGAATTGACTTATATGAACGGTCGGAACGATTATTGAGCATTTTGAACGAGTCAAACAATCCCAAAAATAATTGTACATTCCCTGAGAATCTCAAAACAATTTATAAATGAGCCCAAGTCCGAAATAAAATGTTAAATTTGTACTTAAGAATACATTTTTGTCTTTAACTCACCTGCGCAAATAATTTTCCTTCAGGACGATTCATTAAAGGAGAGATTTGGCATCGAACAACGAGATGACAGTCATCCATGACTGTGTTAAAGAAACGACGAGTTGGAAGAAGTGCTTCTAGGTCTATTACGAATTCGAGGAACCTCTCACAATACCTTACAACTTCATTATTTAGTTCTCCTTCTTCTGGAATTTTTTCAATTATTTTCAGGAACTTTCTGATCAGATTCTGGAAACCAATAAGCATTTAGCACATAGTTACACTTTAGCTTATTTACTGGATATAACTTACTTGCAAGAAATGTCTTTCCCATTCAAGCTTCTCCTTCAATTCCGGTTTATCTCGCTTTTGGAGCTTTTTCCAGTATTTCTTCCATTCCGGAATAGAATTGAGTTCCTGATCTCTTCGTTTTGGCTGCAAACAAGTCCACATTGACAGGGAAACTAGTTTCTTAACTTGTTCACGACAAATTTCAATTTCCATGCTACGGAAACAGTTGTTTAAAAATACAAGAAGTCCAGTTTGCTCTCTGATGATGTTTCTTGTCGCATTCTGGATGTTTATTTCTTCCAAACACTTAACAAGCACTCTATTGAAGAATATTGGAAACATTTCGGAATTGACATCAAAGATTTTCCAGACTTCAATTCGTTCACGGAACTTTTCATTGAGCAGGAATATTATAGACATTAAATGACCATCAGATGAGTCTTCCTTAAAGTTTGGCCATAGAAAGTTTTCCAAATATCTATTAAATTCCAGCATAACAACTCTACGACTTTCTCCAGATGATATCTCAGTCTTGTACACTTTTTCGACAACATTAGCATCGAATTTAGTTGGATTATCAGTTGACCAATACTGATTTGCGAGCTATAATTAAATTATTTGTGTTAAAATTCTGAAATATTTGCCGATTTTAAAATTTACCTCAGTAATATGATCACTTTCGAATTGTGTCAATGTAATAGACTTTGACTGTTGTGTAGTTTCCTTTTGCTTCACTTTTCGTCTCATTTTAATGCCGTTTTCTAGTATAATTAAACGATTTTATGTCAAACGATTAAATTTTGTTTATTTTTTGATTCAAGGGGTTGAAACTATGAAAACTAGAAATTCAAATTTAAATTCAAATATTTTTCAAACGTTGAAAGAAATAACGGATATTAAGGTAATTTTCTATTTTAACTATCTTTTCATTTATTAAATTTACTCATATTAACAATAAATAATTACAAAAAAGTAGGTGAATCTACTAATCTATTTAGTATCTGGCTTATCTGTAGTTGTGCTTTGCTCATCTTCATATTCCTCAAATTCTTCGGAATCTTCATTATCGACATTATCGTCAATACGTTTCTTAAACTAGAAATTGTGCATAAATTAAAGGATTAGTGCTGTAAATTAGAGTATTTTTGAGTTTTATTCTTTACCTCCTGATGTTCATTATCAGGAACGATTATTCTTAATGGATTGAATTTCTCAGCGGTAGCAAGCACATGTAGGTCATTTATTGTTGCTTCCTGATGTTTTTTTAACTGAAGTTTATCATTGAGCCTCTCATGTGCTTCCTTTAAAATGACATCATTTTCTAATTGCCTTTGATATGCATCATCATCATAGTTTAAAAAGTTCTGGATATCATTCGATGACAAATGATCATCTGGAAAGTCAAGGAAGTTTGGTGAATGTTGATAGTTGCTTAATACTGGATTTGGTTCAAGATGTGAAACTGCTGGGACATTCTGTGATGCTGAATAATCTTGATAGTAATTAGAAATCGTTGATGGAGCTACAGTTGATGTTATAGCACCTTCTAATTGATGATAATGATCTCTTTGTGCTGAATAAATTTGTCCTAAACTAGCAACTTCATGATTTTGTGAATAAGGTGGTGTAGCATAACTTGGCTGTGTGATTCCTGACGTATCGACATAGCCTTGTGCTGGGCTGAATAAATTTTGATGTTGGAAGTGCTGTTGATGCTGACCTAATAAGTTATTTGATTGCATGACTAAATAAGTTGGATTATAAGAAGCTAAAGGCATTCCTTGCTGTAACATGGCATTTTGTTGAAGATGATATTGCTGAAGTTGTGGTTGTGCAGTTACTGGAAAACCAAATGGATCGACTGCAAAATGTTGTTGGACTAATGGAGATGCATTGAATTCAATATTAGTGTGATACAAGACATCAGCAGGTTTTGGCTTATTATCACTTGGAATATTTCTTGGATCTTCAGTTATTGGAACAGGATGTCCTCTAAAAATGTTATCATGATCAGGAGCATATAGAGTTTTCTGACCAGTATAGGCATTTTTGTAAACTACATCATTCGATGTTTCATGGACTTTGTATTGATGAATTGGCTGATGAAATTGCTATAGATGAATGGATAGAAGAGAAATTAGCAAAGAAATTAATAATTTTTTATCATTTCGACTTACTGGTTGATTTTCCAATGCGAATGCCTGAACCGAGACTTTTGTTAAATCTGAATCCAATTGATTAAGGCTTAGATTTGGCGCTGCAATTTGATGAATGGCTGCTTCCGTTCCGATAACTGGTTCTGCGTATTTTGGTAACGTGACTTTTTCATAGATGAACTCTGGTTTGGACTTTAAAGGAACTGGCGGTGGTGATTTGAACTTGATAGCTGTTTTCTGTGCTGGAGATGAAAATTTAAAAACTGGAGATGGAGTCATTGCACTAATGTATGGTTTCTTAAGAGCAGCATTTGAAGGCGAACCCGTTTTGAAAAAGACATGACTTGATGGCGATGATTTCAGTGGACGATTAGCAAATCTAGCTGGCATTTGCATAGCAAATTGAACTGGATTATTTGACTTGATAAACATGTGAGGAGGTGGCTGCTTTGCAATTATATTCGTTGAACCTGCTCCTCTCAACTGTAGCATCATTTGTGCGCTGTTACTTCTCATTGGTGGCCACGACTTAAATACAAGTGGTCTCGGATGGTACTTTTGCTGTTGAGCAAAAGTGATTTGTAGACAAAGTATGCATGCTGTTACTAGAACACTTAACTGCTTGAAATGAAAGAGAAATGAAGAAAAAATTGTAATTCAACTAGCTTTGATATTTAGCATGTTTTCTTTTTCCTCTTTCTTCTTCACACATTCCATAAACATCATGTGTCTATCTAACGAACTAGGTGGATTGACCACTATATTGCTTGCTTTGCAAAATGAGTAGCGACAGTGAAGATTAGAAAGAGGTAATGATGCAGGTAATGTGGACACGATGCATCTAATGACTTTGAGTTATTGAACAAAAGTTAAATTTTTAACTTCAATGAAGATCCAGTAACATTAAGTCTAATCATATTAATCAGCAAAGTCGACTTTCAAAGCAATCTGTAGTCAAAATATCGTGAATAAATGTCGTAGCGATCGTATCAAAAGGAAAAGAAGGTCGTTTGATTGGATATTTAAGTAATTAATGCACAGCACGTTTAATAAGAGTGAAATTGTTGCTCACACTTAGCATAAAATGATGAATTATGGTAGCAGAAATAGAAATGCGAAAAAAATAAAAGCATTTTTTCAAGCTTATTAAAATATTTGACCACATGTCGATTAGCCGTCTTTATTGGAATAACAATGAAATTGAGATCCTTAATCGTGAACTGATTTTTATTTATTTCACGAGCATTATCGCGGCTTTCATTTGAAATATTTAATTTTAATTTAGAAACTTTTCAAATCATTTCTTTCCTCATAGCTCATAATTTGTTGCAAGATAAGATTGCAATGCTGATGAAAATTTCTCATTAAGAATGCTCAATCGAGCATTAAACACGCTCAGTTTCAGTTTTTAATGTATTTAGGAAAAATTTCTTTTGTTTTAATACAAACAAATTGAACGCATTATTGGAAACGTTAATCGCCACGTGACTTGATTCTTTCCTAATTTTTGAGAATTATTATTCAATTTTCTCTTATTTAAGCGGATTATTCTTAGCTTATTAAGTCACTGAATGCAGAAAAATTAAAGATTATTGGGGTCTGATCATTCCATTTCTCATCGCATAATTGGGAAGCGATTAACAGCTTACGAAAGAGACTATTAAAGAAATTCGATAATAGTCATACAGATGGTCCGAAGATTATTGAAATAAGTAGAACTTTACATATCCAAAACGAGTCGGATTAACATTGCCAATTTAAAATAAGTTTTAGCACAAGTGAAATGGGCTAATCTTGTGTTCTTCTTAAAATTAAACGAGCTTCGACTGACTTAGAAAATTAAAATGTTAGTGAACTCTTTAATAATTATTGATTCATGACCTCAGTTTGAAAGCATCGAAGATCATTATTTATTTCAGCACTTTTTATAATGATCTTCGTTATTAATTAAATGGATTGGGATTCCCAATTGTTAGAAAAAGAGTTTGAGAAAATTGAAGGTTGTAGGCTTCAAAACATAGGTTTAAAATGGTTTAAGATTGAGGACTCAGTGGGGATCTTGATTTACCAAGGTAAACCCCTACGCCCCACAAGAATGTCAGATACAATTCAGCAACCAACAACTGATTTGACTACAGAGTCATGCAAACTCAATAAGATATGCGCCTATGTCACCACATTCTCTACAACGACACCATTAACTCTCCAACTCTTCCATTAATATCGTGTACCGTTTATTCTTGAATATGGTAATAATGACCACTATATTTTCAAAAAATCACGTAGAAATTGCTAGTTATTTGCTGAATATTATGTAGATTAAATGTTTTCGAAATCAGGAGAAATGTGATACATTTTCAATTATTATAGCATTTCTGAAAGAAGTCAGTAGTTATTAGCATGTTAATTGGCCAATAATTTCTTCCGTTTATTTCTTCACTTTCTGCTAATCACATTTATATTGTTCTTTGAACATAACATTGTTTAAATTGAGACTGACACTGACTGTATAAATTGGAAACGGTAGTTTATTGCAACTTTTCTTTTCTATTTGCAACAAGTTTTTCATCACACTGCACTTATAAATTCCTTATTCTACTTTATGTGATGTACTCATTTTCATTTCTGATCTATTTCCTACTGATCTTTGATTTACCTCGCACTTTAGCTTCATTGCTGATTTTTTAATTTTCAATTTATTCGCATGCAAATTTAAACTTTATCACTTTCTTTAATTATTTTTTTTTATCTTTAAACCAATAATTTTTCCTTCTTAGTGGAAATATCCAACTGATTCGATCAATGTCTCGCTTGCAACTGAGTAAGAAAGCTTGCTACTGTCTACAATGAGCAGCAACCGTTGAATAATAAACATGATTTCTTCGTTTTGAATGAAAAATTTACCTCCAGAATGAAAAGAAATGCGAAAAACGCAGGCAAGCAGGTAGTAGATAGATAGGTTGAAAAGTAGAAGCGAAAATGTGAACATGTGACGAATGATCAAAGCGCAAAGTGCTGGATATAATGCGATTTAGAGTGGACAAAATGAATTTAAGATTTAATGCTTAAATTTTACGTCAAATTCTTATATTTTTACGACTCTTTAAAAGATTAAGAATCAGAAGCTTGACTAAATTTAAGCACTAGAATATTGAAAAAAAAAATAATAATTAGAAATAAACTACAAATCTTTAATTTTTAAGGGAGCATAAAAGTTAAATGCTGGAGTCGAATAAAGCATTGGTTTAAACTTTCCAAGTTCCGGTCTAAGACTCAGATTTACTTCTCTAGTCCACTCATAGTGCACTAAATAACGCATGAAAATCGTGCTTAAACATATGTTGAAAGACAGACAGAGAGAGAAAGAAATGAACGAATAAACGACAATTCTATGCCTTTCATTGAAAAGCGATAGTTCGATATGGAAGAGTGAAAATGTTGATTTCTTGACATAATTCTCTGCATAATCTTGCTCTTTTTGGTAGCTTGGTATTTATAATTATGAGATTATTAATGAATATCACTGTCATTAACTCCACTGTCACGGTTATGATGTAAGATTATGAAAGAACCGCTTTGTGAATCAAAAAAACCCCGGAAACTTAATCTTAGTCATGAAAAATAGAGTCGATGCACTAACAGCAGCAAGCTGCAGATTGAAAATTATGATTATGATGGAAAAAATTTTCTACATCTTTATTTTCTTATTATATTGTTTTATGGTGGCTAAAAAGATAATTATATGCGGTACAAATTGATTTTACTTTCGTTCATGGATAAAATAGCATAAACAAAAAACAACAAGCATGGCTATATGCTATACAGTCGCTCAAATTATAGCCCCATACCCGTCTATGTACTCTTTACTGTTGTTAAAAACGTTTAACATTTCTTTCTTTCTTTTTTGCATTATTAAAAAGATTTGTGATTTGTTACTTATGAACAATGAATATGATACAATTATAATCCGGTAGTGCTTGTTTGTTTTACATTATTTTTGGATGGCTTAAACGCATGATTATGACGTACTCTATATGATTTTGACAAATTTTAGTATGTCTTTTTATGTAATGCCTTAATTGCTTGATAAGAATTAAATATTACGACATATGTTAACTATCTGACGGAAACATCATGCATAAACCCTAATTAAGGAAATAATAAAATGCTCAATAATGAGTCTCAGCTCCATAGTCCATTATCAGATGATATCAGTAACATTCAGATCCTTATTTTTGGGGATATATCATTTCAAACAGAGTTGCGATCTGTCACAGGCCAAATTTTTTCGCCTGTCACAGGTCTGACCTGTCACTTGTCACCTTTCACTATCGAAATTTTATTCCTCTTGTGAAGTATGAAGATTTCATATAAAATTCATCAATTTTTTTCTTCCTCAAGTCACTGGTTCAAATCTCACTGCAAGCAACTTTCTTTTTTTTCCTGTTTTAATTTTTTTAAACTTTTTTGATAAAATTTTAAGTTTTATGATAAATTTTTCCATTTTCCAAATTTTGATTTGTAATTTAAATTTTTTTTGATATATTTTTATACAAATTTAACTTTTTTTGTCATAACTTGTACACTTTTAAGTTTAATAAGCTAAAATTTGACATAATGGCACTATTTCTAGATCTGGATGTTCTAAAATCATAATCCTGGATCATAAAATGGCAAAAAATATTAAAAGTAGTATAGACTTACTCATTCGAGACCGCAAAAACTCGAAATATATCGAAATATATTACGATCCTTGATTACGATTTTAGAACATCCAGATCTAGAAATAGAGCCTATATGTCAAATTTTAGCTTATTAAACTTGAAAGTGTACAAGTTATGACAAAAAAAGTTAAATTTGTATAAAAATATATCAAAAAAAAATTTAAATTAAAAATCAAAATTTGGAAAATGAAAAAAGAAAATATGAAAATGGAAAAACTTATCATAAAACTTAAAATTTTATCAAAAAAGTTTAAAAAAATTAAAACAGGAAAAAAAAGAAAGTTGCTTGCAGTGAGATTTGAACCAGTGACTTGAGGAAGAAAAAAATAGATGAATTTTATATGAAATCTTCATACTTCACAAGAGGAATAAAATTTCGATAGTGAAAGGTGACCTGTGACTGGTCAGAGCTGTGACAGATCGCAACTTTGTTTAATATATATATATTCAAATTTATGTTGTCTAATCATGTGATTAATTAGAGCGTCAGTCGATTTAAATTCTTTACCACAGCGCCAGTAACACTTAAATGTGTTTGGATTTTCGCTAATTGCGCTCTTGTGTTCAATCTCATAGCGCGAATATAGCTTCACCGGTCTTGCTGAGTTAATGCCGCGGTACCACGACTCTAATCGTGCCTGGAAACATGACTTTGGGCAAATTAGTTGAAGCATATTTGTGGGAGGCAAAAACATTCGCTAGTATTTCATTGTTAATCGCTCGACTAATATTCTAAACTTCTTTAAAACTGATTCGATGCTCCTTGTTCCATACAATAGATGTTGGGTGTTCATCACTGGACTCTTATACTGACTATCCGATTTGTCAATCTCACTGATGCGTAACTTTTTTAAATCACGATGCTTTTAAGGTCTGCGTTGTTTTCAGTATAAGGATTATGACTTGGTTGAGATGGATATGGATTGAGGAATGGTGCTTGTGCGTAAATAATACGCAAACTAACGTCTGTTGTCTGCAACATTGCTGAATCAAAGTATGGATTGGAAGAGCCACAGCATTGCTTTTGTCCGTATAATGGAATCTTTTTATACTTAATCGACTTTTCGCCGTTTGCGCAATAGAAGCTGATGACGTTCGACAATGTCAAGTGTCTGTAAGGTTTTCTGACGTATAGATTGAAGCCACATGTAATCGGGTCGTAAACAGGATAAACCACAGTGGACCCAACTAGGAAAAATTGTAATTAATAAAATTAAATAGGTCCATGAAATTGACAAAAGTTGTAAGATCAAATAGGTACATACTTTTGACAGGCTTGCCAGTCTGATCCACTACTTGCTCCGCAGCTTGAAGTGCTTAATAATGTTAATGGGTTTATCCTAAAGTAGCGTTAAATTTAGTAATTTAAGGCTTATCCAAGTGAGGTTTGTTTTATCGCTCTTAGTTGTACTTCGCGAAGGCATCCAGCAAGCTTTTCGTTTCAGGATCTTGTATTGCTACCTTTAACGGGACTTTTTCTTTTGTATGTAGCGGTCGATTACTGTTATATATTCATCATCAGAAAAGTCTGCGAGCGTGTATTCGTTCTAAGATGAATAGACAACAAAAATAATATAAGCATTGCCTTTATTTTAAGATGAGAACCATACAAAGGTTCTTCTTCTTCTTCTTATTTATCTTTATTCAGGTCCCTTTTAAAAAAATTTAAGACCATTATCAATTCCAAATATGTTTTGCATTATTTTAAATTTATAAATACGATCTGCATTACAGGATATTATGTGTTTTGGTGTTAAATTTTATCGTACAAATTTATTTTTTTTACAAAATTGAGGATTTTATCTGTGACATTTTTGTCGTCAATTATTAATGATTGATAGTTTATGTTATGTTTAGCAATAGCTATTTGATTGTTTGTGCACTCAAAAATGTGTTGGACAGTGAGAGCCATACAAAGGTTATTTGAACCGAGAAATTTCTAAGGTTTTTGAATTTGAACTTTTTAAAACCGTAAAAAAATTTTGAATCTCGAAAACCGTTAAATTTTAAAGCCTTTTTGTATGAAATTTTTTTGTAACAGTCTGTTGCAAAATCAATAATCACATTATTGATGTACGTCATACATTTATACATTTCTGTTAACTACTTACTTGATAAACAGTTACTTCGCAAAAAATTTTACCGGAAACAAAAATTCAAATTTTATGCTTTCTTAAAATCAAAGCCGACATTGAAAATTTTCCGTTAAAGTTCAAAATTTCACAAGTGAAAAATTCGTCATCGCAAAAATAAAGTTTTTGGAGGAAATATAAGCCTTTAAAGTAAGTATAGAGTGAAATTTGGTACATTAAGTGTAAAGTGAAAAGAGAATTTCAAAATTAATTCAAACTTGAGCGTTTGAGACGAAAAAAATTGATAATAGATTTTCAATGCAAATTTTCATCTATATATTTTAATTGAAATCATTTATTTCTTTTAAAAATGGATAGAGCAACTCAACAAATCATTTTATTTGCATTTTTACTCCCGTTTCACTTGATTTATGTTCAAAATAAGAGTTGTGAGTTGATATTTGGCTGGATATTTGATATGGTAAGTCCAATTATTTTATAATAAAATCAAGAAAGAACAAGAAAAATGGGAAGAAAGTAGAAACTTATCGCAGCATTAAGGAAAAAAACTCTGCAAATGAAAAAGAGTAATTTCAAGAAAAAGTATGAGAAATTGAAGAATAAAACTACAATCAATCCTGAAAAATTCGATGAAAATAGACAGATTGGTAATCATACTGATTTTTTCATTATAAATTCAGGAATAGATTATAATGAAAACTGTCCAATTTCTGCTTGTCCGTCAGTTTTATCTCATATTACTTGTGATGAGAATGAGAAAGAGTTTGATGATAGCGTTGATCACATCAAAAATTGTTGAAGACATGTAGCTTTAAAATTTAATATGCAGAAATCTTGTGTCACTAGTTTATTGAAAGGAATCGGTAAAATTCATCCCAATTTACCAAAAGATTACAGATCACTACTTAAGACTCCAAGAAAAACAAAGACTAGAAAGATTGTACAGGGAAAGTAAATTCATTTTGATTTATTAAATACATTAAAAATTTTATGTCCCCAAAGCTCTCAAGATAACATAGTGTTTTGTGATTTTTTTGTGGATGGTGTATCATTTTTCGCCGACACTTGAAAAAAAAAAGCTTTTGGGTAATATTGGGACATTATCAGGGGAAAATTTTTCCAGTCGGGTTTTTCCATGGCAAAAAGCAACCACAGGATTTTAATGATTGATGTAGGGGGGGATATAAATAAATTGGCACAAGGCTTTTGTATTGGAAATAACTTATTTTTCTTGAAAGTTGGCAATTTTTGTGCTGATACACCAGCTAAAGCACACATATGTTATACAGCTCACGCTACTGGGTATAATTCATGCAAACGTTGTCATATTGAAGGATGCTATAGCCACAGACATATGATTTTTGATGAAGTTGGTCACAGAAGAAGAACTAATGAAGAATTGTCAGCTCAAACTGATGTTCAGCATCATAGAGGAAAATATGTTCTAGAACTAAAACTCGATATGATCAATCAATTCCCAGATGATGTACTTCATATTGTTTATTTAGGCGTTTTTAAGAAAATGTTGAAAAGATTGTTTGGTCAAGAAAAGCCAGAATTGCCCAGAAAATGCACAGAAGCAGTTTTGGAACGAATGATAACATGCAATCAATTTATTGTATCCGAAATACACAGAAAACTGAGACCTTTAAATGAAGTGGGATCATACCACGGGAATGAATGCAGAAACATTTTATTAAAGTTGAGGCCAGCTCAATTTTATGGATTGATTCCTTATGAATACTACAGGAACGTTTTGCTTCTTTATATCGGTATTTCCATTCTCTGTGACAAAGAACTTTGTTTGGTAGAAAATGAAACTGCAAATCTCATACTTGTAAAGTTCATTCATGATTCACTCAATATTTATGTCATTACTTTTGCTACGCTCACTACACATTTACTTAAACATCTCTCTGAAACAGTTTTGGATCAGAAAATGCCATTAGATGCATTTAGCTGCTTTCTTTTTGAGTCATACTTGTATGATATCAAAAGATGCATTCATAAAAAAGGAAAAGTTAAACAGTAAATTCATCGGCGCGTCATTGAAAAATTTTCTTACGATGTAGATAATGGTGCCTGTGTCTCACACGCAAGCGAAATTAAGTATATAATACGCAAAAATGAATACAGATCTGTTTTTTTGAATGGGAAAAAGTTTTCAACTGAAGGATGTCGCGATAGATTTATTTTAGATAGGAATAATAAAATATTTGTAATAATCAGGGGGGGGACAGAGCAAAAATTTCCATAAAAAAAAACCCAAAAATGTTTACTCTGATGAAATTTCCAAGTACTCCACTTTGTATTGGAAAAAAAATTGTCGAAAAATGAAATTTTCGCAATACTTCCTTCCGATGCAGTTTAGGACCAAAATTTTGATTGGAGCTGATGAGAATCATGATTTAAGACCTTTTGACATCCAAAAAATTTTACTTCGATGCTTCAGTTCCTTTAAATTTGACTTTTTCAATTTCGTTTGTGGAGTACTTGGAAATTTCATCAGAGTAAACATTTTTGGGTTTTTTTTCATAGCAATTTTTGCTCTGTCCCCCCCTGGTAATAATTAAAATTTTCAAGGATGATAGTAAATTGCAGTATCGTTGCTAAAGGATAATATAGGTAGTTTTATAATTCTTATGTATCAATTTTTTATTTTATTTTAATTTCTTTCTACAGTTTTATATCAATTAGCACACGCTTCAATGTTTACTCGTACATTATTCAGTGTGTGCAAAATGAAGCAAAAACGAAAGCTTATCGTCATAAGTATGCTGTTAAACGATACTCTTCTGAAAATCTAATTTATTTAAAGAAACAAAAACCAAGTACAGCTGTGACAGAGTCCTACAACGACGAGAAGCCAAAAAAAGTTAAAAGCGTAGGTTTTTGTCCTGTTTTAAAAATTTTTGTGTGTTGTTAATTTTAATTATATTATTTGTTCGATTCAGAAACCGAAATCATTTGTACGAAAAATGGATGCTAAATTATCTTCAAAAGCTGCTTCTCTGGTAAATATTAAGTTATGTTTTAATTTTAATTTCATTTCAGTCGGAAATGTCCTTTTTTAAATAATATAATCTTTTCGTTTTACAGCCATCATCCAAACTACCAAAAAAATCTTCAAAGCCAATCGTTGCCTCTTCAAATGCAACTCACAATGTAGCAACTCTTATTTTTAATTGACTTTTCTAATCCTTCCTTGATAAGTTTACAACACATCAATCGGACGATTTTAACTCACAGGAATACACCCAATCTTCTTCACCGAAAAATTATCAATCGAAAAAATATGGTTAATGTTCCAAAGGGTTTACTTTAAGATTGTCACCACATCATTCTAACGTTAACGTTTCAGGTTTGTATTTATATTTTATGAGAACCTAAGAACATATTAATGGACCTTGATATTTTCAACGCATTTTTGTAAGTTCGTTTTAAAATTCTTGAGACAGTTTTCTCGGTTTAAATAACCTTTGTATGGTTCTCATCTTAAAATAAAGGCAATGTTTAAATTATTTTTGTTGTCTATTCATCTTAGAACGAATACACGCTCGCAGACTTTTCTGATGATGAATATATAACAGTAATCGACCGCTACATACAAAAGAAAATGTCCCGTTAAAGGTAGCAATACAAGATCCTGAAACGAAAAGCTTGCTGGATGCCTTTGCCAACAACTAAGAGCGATAAAACAAACCTCACTTGGATGAGCCTTAAATTACTAAATTTAACACTACTTTAGGATAAACCCATTAACATTATTAAGCACTTCAAGCTGCGGAGCAAGTAGTGGATCAGACTGGCGAGCCTGTCAAAAGTATGTACCTATTTGATCTTACAACTTTTGTCAATTTCATGGACCATTTAATTTTATTAATTACAATTTTTCCTAGTTGGGTCCACTGTGGTTTATCCTGTTTACGACCCGATTACATGTGGCTTCAATCTTTACGTCAGAAAACCTTACAGACACTTGACATTGTCGAACGTCATCAGCTTCTATTGCGCCAACGGCGAAAAGTCGATTAAGTATGAAAAGATTCCATTATACTGACAAAAGCTATGCTGTGGCTCTTCCAATCCATACTTTGATTCAGCAATGTTGCAGACAACAGACGTTAGTTTGCGTATTATTTACGCACAAGCACCAATCCTCAATCCATATCCATCTCAACCACCGTACTCAGAACTTGTCGTCAATCCTTATACTGAAAACAACGCAGACCTTATCTACTGTCATTTCTTGCTCGAAACTGTAGACATTTCGTCCTATATTTGTTCACGGTGCAACGCCGTTATAATTGATAAAAAAAACGACTAATTGCTGCATTGAAGTGCATCGTGATTTAAAAAAGTTATCCATCAGTGAGATTGACAAATGGGATAGTCAGTATAAGAGTCCAGTGATGAACACCAAAATATATTTTGTATGGAACAAGGAGCATCGAATCAGTTTTAAGGAAGTTTAGAATATTAGTCGAGCTATTAACATTGAAATACTAGCGAATGTTTTTGCCTCCCACAAATATGCTTCAACTAATTTGCCCAAAGTCATGTTTCCAGGCACGATCAGAGTCGTGGTATCGCGACATTACCTCTGCAAGACCGGTGAAGCTATATTCGCGCTATCAGATTGAACACAAGAGCGCAATTAGCGACAATCCAAACACATTTAAGTGTTACTGGCGCTGTGATAAAGAATTTAAATCGACTGACGCTCTAATTAATCACATGATTAGACAACATAAATTTGAATATAATACTTTGGATACTATAACTTCAAACTGGACAAAAATAAAGCAGAATAATTTGATTTCATGGGTAGCTATTCGTCCAATTTTTCCTCTAAATTCACAACTACTTATTTTTTTCCATTATTATTTGCAGTTTGTTCTAGAACCACCTGTTCAAGCCACCCAATCTCGCCAAACGCTCCTGTAGCTTTTGTTGTAAATTTTATTAATTTTAAATTACATTATACGTTGCATTTTATTTGATTAGCTTTATTAGAATCATGTTATGAATAGCTTATAAATGTTGTAATTTTATATATATGGAGTATAAGACTAAGATCTAGGAGTATCAGACAAAAATACAAATTCGGTAAGTTTTGACTTGATTAACAATATTAATAATGTCTTGAGCGCTAGATATTCATTATTATTATTTTTACCACCTCCAGATTGAAATGAAAGCATCGTGAGAAGTTTAAGAATAGAAGCTTTAAGTGCAGCAATTGCAGCTGTCGAAGGAAAATCGCCAAAGACTTTAAGTGATGCTAAACTTGGACGTTCTATAATAGAGAAATTGTTTTCATAATGTGTCATATTTACCATATGATTTGCATGGTTTTTCATTTTATAAATTCGAACTGCAATACAGATGATATCAGTTACATTCAGATCCTTATTTTTCGGGATATATCATTTCAAATATCAACGGTAAATATAAATTCAAACGCCATGTGAGCAGCAAAGGGCACAACAAGTACGTGAAGTAAAAACACACAAACAAATTAAAGAGGTAAAAGATTCGAACAAATTACACGGTCCGATTTGATGTATTTCCATCGCGAGTTAATTCAAATAGAATTATTAAATTAAAAGTTCGCTAATTAAGCAGTTGCATGAGTTGTAATCATTGAAAATTTGAGGTATTTAAAGCATAATCATAGAATATATAAGAATTGTGTAATTATCCTGTGATTAAGGATGTTTTTTTAGTGTATCCTTAAAAGTGAAAAAATTAAAATTTTTAAAATGGCTTACATGCTATAACCTGAAATACAAATATGTTAAATAGCGTGCAAATCAATGGGATAGCTTGTGATGTGTATTAAACAAGTATTCGCCGGCGAAATAATAAAGATATTTAAGCTCACATACATTAATTTCTAGCTTATGCTTAACATTGCTAATTTTTTGCCCGTTCTGTTTGATGGTAAAATGAAAAATCAATAATCTCATGAAATTTAATTTTTTTGCACAATAAGATTCTGTGTGTGGGTGGTGAAAAAACATTTTTTTATTACTTTAATTAATTTTATTTATTTATGATTTGTGACAATTCTGTATGTTTATGTGTCTCTTAAATTATATTTTTAGGCAAAGGAAAACCTATACAAATGAATTAAATTAAGTAATAAGCAAGTAGAACGAACGAGAAGCGAAATGGAAGTTCAACAACTACCACAACAGAGTGTACAAATAAATCTTAATAATAAAATCATAACGTTGCATAACGTAACTATCGTGAAAAATCCAAGAATTGTTAAAGTTGATGCTGCACAATACTCTAATTTATTGAAAGGTGCAGTCAGCGGAAATGGACAACAAATTAAATTTGTTAATGGTGGAGCGGTTAATGTCAAACTTCCAATGCCATCATTAGTTCCTATGAAATCAGCTAATTCAGCATTAATCAGGACATCACCGTCGATCCTTTCATCAAATCACAATTCACTGAATAATACAGTGATCATAAACCAAAATCAAGTAATTAAACAAGGAGGAAATTATGTACAAACTCATGTCATTAAGACAATTCAGCAGCCTCCGGCACTTGCAGCAGCTTCAAATGGATTCGTTCAAATGAAACAAAATGCACTTGTTGCACCTACGAATAATGCACCCGCTTTAGTAAGTCCCGTAAAGTTTCAAGCGATTCCAATGAAACAAACCGTAATTATAAGTCCACCAAAAATATCAACAGCTTCTGCTTCTGCTCTCAGTCCTCAAAAACACTCACCGAACTTGGTATCACAAAATATTATTAAAGTGGTCCAAGCAACAACACCACCACCTTTATTACAAACTATTTCTCAGCCGAAAGAACAAATTGCTGTAAATCAAACATCAGTAATAACAAAACCGTCACCACCAATTATAGTAAATTCAACTTCCATAATGTCTCCAAACAAAAATAGTAACAATAATCCAAATGTAAATTTATCAGCGCCAGTTCTTCCCATAAAAACGAATGTAATTGTATCACCACCGTTGAAAAATAAGAATAATCCAAATGTTGAATCCTCAAGTCCACCAGAAACAAAGAAGCAATGCACAAAATTTGAATTTCAATGCATTTTCTGTCAGGCTTCATTTATTAATGAGCCAAAGTTATTAATGGAACACATGAGAGAGCATCATGCAGAGAAAATTCCTCAGCAAAATGGCTTCAAACCGACAGACAACATTGATGAGGCTAAAGTAACCTTTCAGGAACCAAAACGAGTACTTTTTGAGGATCTACCTAAATTTGATATTTCGAACAAATTATTCATAAATAATGAGAAATATGACAGTAAAATGGAAACAGATGATTCTGATTCGGCTTCGTCCACATTAAGTGACAATGAGGATGTTTCAGACGATGGATCCGATTTAGATGACGATGACGAGGAGGAAGTACGCGATCTCATAATGGATTTAGAGAATCCACAGGAAAATTTCGATGATAGCAGCGAGGATGAATTAAATGTTCAAGAAGTAGAAGAAAAAGCAAACAGCAGCAGCAGTAGTAGTTCAAGTAGTAGTAGTAGCAGCTCAGACAGCAGTTCTGATAGCGACGGAAATGACAGCGATGATGAATCAAGTCAGGACAGAAGTAATACACCAGAATCTCCAGAATTTGAGGAACATGTTCCAGAAAACATCGGTGAAAATAATCCAGAATCAAAAGATGATTATGAAGAATATACAGGCGACAATTATGACTTAGACAGTGAGTAATATCTCCTCAATTTGCTTCTATTAACATTTTCTGAGTCGCAACTTAATTAAAATTAATTAATCAATTTTATTTTTCTTTTATAAACAGTTCTCTCGATATTACTAGAACCATTCGTAGATCTTCGATGCGGCGAATACCACGAAGAAAATTCACAAGAAGAAAACGAAGCGATGAAACTGTATCGAGAAGCGATGGAGATAAATTACGAACAAAATGGAATTAAAAAACGTGGACGAAGAAAGTCACGAGCACCGAAAGCAGCAAATGAGCCGTTGTCAATGAATGGCATATTAGCAAATCTTCTTGATACTAGCATAAAAATTCCCCAAGGTCCAGGAAGAGGCAGACGAAAAGAAGTGAATGAGCAGGAATTGGAGATGGATCGAAGCAATGGAATTTGCTTTTTCCAATGTACTCAGTGCGATAAATCATTCAAATTTGCTGGCGACTTGGCCAAACATGTTCGATCGCATACAATTAGTTCTCCTTATCGATGCTCGATATGCGGCAAAGTTTTCACTCACATTGGCAGCTTAAACACTCATTTGCGAATACATTCTGGTGAAAGGTATGCAATTAACATGAATATAGCTAATAGTATGTTAATAATATTTTGTTCCTTACTTTTCTAGACCATACAAATGTAAATTTTGTGACAAATCCTTTACTCAAAGTAATTCCTTAATGGTGCATGTAAAGTCGCATTTATCAAATAAGCCGTTTAGCTGTAACCAATGTAATAAAGGATTTCTTAATGCATCAAGTTTGGCATTGCATCAAAAAACTCATACAGGACCCGTCGCAGTCGTGATTTGTCCAATTGACAATTGCGGGAAGGAATTCCGTGATAATAATTTACTCGAAGAGCACATGCAGACTCATAAGCAGTCATTGCTTTATCAATGCTCACAGTGTATGGAGAAATTCGAACAAGCATGTCAGTTGGTACAGCATGTAAAGATTCATGTTGGAGATAAACCATTCCAGGTAATAATTGGAGGATTAAAAAGAGAATAAATTGAGTTTATTGACATTTAATTCCACTTTCAGTGTACGATTTGTTCACGAGCATTCACACAACCAGGCAGCTTAAATACGCATTTAAGGATTCATACAGGCGAAAAGTGAGTATTAAAAAATTCATATCCAATTAGCCAAAACAACTCACTCTATTTCAGGCCATTCTCATGCACGTTATGTCCGAAACGCTTTACGCAAGCATCAAGTCTCAGTGTACACATGAAGATTCATGGCGAAAAAGAGTTTAAATGTGAGATTTGTAACAAATCTTATAATCAAGAAGCTTTCCTTCTTAAGCATAAGTTGAAACATCAAGAAAACAATACGGATAGTAGTGAGGCAGGTCACGAGTTGACTCTCGCATCACAAGAATGACTGATCGATCTCCAATCTTTCCAAAATCTATAGGCTATTATGAAATCAATGTGGCAAAAACTTGTAATTGGAAATTAAAACAAAAACATAAAAGCTCCTTCATGGAAATCAGTATTTTTAGGTTGTATGAAGCATTAATTATCTGAAATTGGCGTATAGACTTAAATAAATGCTCAAAAATAATGTTGAAATTTATCTCTTTCAAAAAAAAAAATGTTTAATAATAATAATATTGATGCATAGAAAATTTAAGATGATTCAATTATTTTAATTTAAACAAAACCAGTTTTTTATTTACGTCCATAGTTCATTTAATTAAATTATCAGCGATTTGGAGTGTGATTTTAGCTTTAAAAGTATGGTAATGATACTTAAGTAGTTAGCAGCAACAATTTACCTTAAATTTCTAATTTTTAAGTTTTCTTATTTTTTAACATTCTTTTGAAAAGTAAAAAAACAGTTTAAATTAAATTTCAATAATGTAATAAAAATAAAATAAAATACATCTTCAAAAATAGCTGAAGCATGATTTATATTTAATAGCTTTATTTTAGGGGTTCAATCAGAAACTTACGGTATTTTGGTCAACAAACGATTTGGCGCCAAAACTTTACTTTATAAGAAGTTTCCAAGACTTAATCAATGTATAACCTGCTCCAAACAAGTTATTGGTCTATCTTATCAATTACTTCAATAATATTCATAAAGAAACTAATTAATAAGCCACAATTAAGTCGTTCCATAAATCCATAACGACCATATCAATTCAAAACGAATGCTAAAAACTCTAAGGACAATGCTAAACCCAAACACAACATCAAAAGAGAACAACGAAACAAAAAATATCCACACCTACGCAACATTCATTAGCGAAACACAGGTAGTGTTAAGGATAAACAGACATAAAACGTGGAACCGAACGGATCGAATATATTTTACAAAACTTTTCATTCATTGAAATGAAAAATACATTTGACGTCATATTAAAAATAAATAAAAAGGAAGTTTGTGAGGATAAATTTGGTTTTAAAAATGCTATGGACGAGATTAAAAAATATTAAACAATGAGCTTTTGCAACATAAATTCAAAAAAAGGCATTGATGATGATGATGATTTCATTATTGATGATAGCTTATCAAGTGACTATTATCATGATGAATTTAGGACTAATTCAAGTTCTTCAATAAAGTGGTCGACAGATGCAAGGAAGCAAAATGAAGAGGATTGGTTATCGATTGAAGAGATACTTTATGGCGAAAAAGAGCTCCCAGAAGGTACGAAAATATGATTTATTATCATTGCTTTATGAAACCATTTTTTATTGATTTTTTGTAACTATTTATTTACAACATACAGACGATAAAACAAGGGAAGAGTTTTCATATTGGATGAAAGCTTTTCCTCACTTGCGTGTTGTGGGAAAGAAAATAGAAAATTTGCCACAAAGAAATAATTCATCAATCGAGTATGTTGAAGAAGTAATTGCAATTGATCCTCCCCTTCCGTTACGTTTTGAAGGAGAATCTTTCAAGTTGCTTGATCAAGAGTTGAATGAGAAACTTAGTATACGGAAGCAACGTCAACTTAGTGCAAAAGGGTACTCCATTAATAATGCAAAAGCTGAAAACTTGGAAAAGCTTTTACGAATTACATCATCAGGAATAACAAGAAATCAGAATCAAACGCAAAACTTTAGGCCAACAATAAGCAATAAGAAAATAGTCGATCGAACATCAACATATGAAATTAAACATAATAACTATGTGCCTACAAATTATCATCATATTAATAAGCTATCACAGATCAAAGAACGAGATTTCGCAGACTCAGAAAAGCTCTCATATTCAGCATCAAGCTCATCACGAATGGGAAATTTACTTAATGTTAAGTTCTTATATAAAAAGCCAGAATTTTTAGATAGCATTCAATCTGTCAAATCGGCAACTTCTAAGCTTCCTCTTTACGAGCTTGTTAGTCTAGATAAAAGTGATAATAATATGTCAAAATCAGCATCGATTCATAAAAAGAATCTCAACATTATTCAATTGCCACCATTTAATTACGATTTAGATTTTCCCATTATACAAGGGAGAGGAATTCAATCAGCTTTTGGAAAAAATGCAAATATCCGCACGTTTAAACACTAAGCTTAATATGTAACGAATCAAAGGATACAAATGAAAAATTATTTATGTATTTTTATTATACTACACGTTTTTCACATTACCTTTTAACTGTCTATGGTTTTCCTTTATTGTGTAATATATATATTTTTTTGTGATCTGTGATATGATAAAGAAAAATAATTTAAATAAAAATAGATGGCAAAATACGGAAAAGAAATGAACGACTTTATTTATTAAAAAATGATAATCGCATAAAATATGAAATATCGTGTCTGCTAGCTTGAAAGTTTTTCTCTTTTGAATATATTACTTGACACTAGACAGGCACCGGGATATTAAAAAAGTTTTTCTTTAGCAGTTCTATGCTGAATAGACGGCAATTGACTCCTCGCATGTTTCTTATTTTTCGACCCACTTGTTTAATGACTCGAATTAAATCGATTGAATGATTTCTCGATACATTGTGGTTGTGTCTTAAATAGAGTTGTTTTGGAGATAAGACGTTGCTGAAAAGGAGCACACACATAAGTAGAGCATTAATCAATAAAAGTATCAAAGGATGTTTTCATTTCATTATTTTTTATTTTTTTTTTCATCATTTAGAAAACAAAACTTATCGAACATTGAAGTTTTCTTTTTCTTGACTTATGTTTTGCCTCGTTAAGAAATAAATATTTTTTTTATATTTTTACTTTTTTGTTCTTTACTAGAATTTTTTTATTTTATGTACTTAATAAAAGTGTATTTTACAACATTTAGAGTGTTATTTTTTTATAATATTTTTTTAACTATTTTACTGCTCAATAAAAAATCTGTTAATTTCTTTTATATTTATTCATTTACTTTTATATCATATATCCTCAAAAATCTAAAAAACTCGAGCGTAATAAACTTAAATATTTTATGGTTTCATGTTCTTTTCATTTACTTATGTTTTTCGTTTAGATGACCTTTTAGAATTTACTATTGCAACATTGCATGAACTGTTTTTTTTTATTTTTATAAAAGTTGATTTTTTCCATTTTTTTTGAACACATTTTTATATTTTTTATGAAATTTTCTTTCTTTCTATGCAAAAAAATTTTAAGGAAAAAAGATTTTTATTGAGAAGTAATTAACATGAAAGAAAAATAAAACTGGATTTCTGTCAGATGGGATGTTGAAGCGCTGTTTGAGGTTATGTTGAATTTAAAACTAGATTCGATCAGTTTTTTAAGTCTTAAGAATTGAGACTTTTTGAACAGTTTTGAACTTAAGAATTTGCCTTTTGAACTTAAGAATGTTGTGTCTTGAACAGAATCACTTTTTTGAACTTTTTGTTTGATTTTGAACATGGCAGTAAATCATTTTAAAAGTATTGTTCGTTATTGGAATTTCAAAACCAGCTCGTAATATTTGAATTATCAAAATTTCAATTGTTTGATGCAATTTGTGTTTCAAATTTACAAAAAAAATCTTTTGTTTGTTTAGTACAAATTACTTAAAAGTTGCATATTAAGTTCATTTCTCAGTTGTTCCTTAATAAACCAATCATAATCTCAAACAATTCCCAAAACTATCCCAAACTCTTTATCATTTATCGCATTTAAGTATTGTTTTTTAAGTTCACCATTTCTTGCATTTATTTCTACCTTGTTCTTTTGTAAATATATATAGAGAGAGACTTTGAATGATTACATCTAAAAGCAATTCATCTAATTCGACATAAAAATAAAGGTTTATTGGTTTTTAAATTCAACAACATAAAATTTCTTAAAGTACATAATATTTCTTCCTTTCACAGACATTCAGTTCAACTAACTTAAATTCTTTAAATTTTCTTTTTTATCTTTTCTTTTTCTTCTTTTTTTTAAGAGTTATGTGTTAATTATTCTTTTTGTGGATAATGCAGATAATATTTATGAAAGTAGAGAGGGGGAGAGGATTTATTTTTTTTTTCATTTAATGGAAAAGCTTTAAGAGAAGCTTACGTTTTTTTCGTTGCAGATTTTTTTATATATATTCGTAGATATATCTTATGCCTCAAAGAGATTATGTCGATAATTAATTCTTCTAGAGTTCAACAATGTTTTTTTTTACTTTTATTTTTATTCCTTGAGTATTACGAATTTTTTTCTTTTTTATTAGTTTTTAGATTTTTGTTCTAATTAGAATAGCCTTTTGCAAAATTTCAACATTGAGCATCATTAATTGAAATGATGAGAGTAAGTCATTAATAATCATAACAATGAATGTAAATAATATCTTTAAGCTAATGTAAAGCTATCAAATTAAAACAACCGCGGGCGATTCCTCTAGATGGAAGTTTAGATTTGGAGATTATAAGGCTATTGTGGTGTCTAAGTAAGTAGTTTGTTGAGTTTTATGAGTAAGAGCTTAAAAATGAACTCGAAATTATTGAAAATGTTGTCCATTTTTGAAGTTTAAATTTAAATTTAAACATTTTAATATCTAGAAAATTTACAAAACTTTTAATTTCAATCTTTTGAAAACTTAGCTTAGGTCAATCTTTCAATTCAAATCTATTAAAGTTTAAAAACAGAAATTTATTGACTAAATCATCTGATCATAAAAACATTGAATCAAGCCTTCTTCTGCCCTATCGCCCCACAATCCTCCAAAAACCCCAAGAACTTCCCCAGCAAAATCGCCCAATATATTTTCATCTTTTTATATAAATTATCTCTCAGATTAATTTTAATCCAAGGATTTAAAATTTTAATCTATCTAATTGTTTTTGTATTCTCAAGCAAGCATTAATTTATATTTTACAGGTAAATGCTCCGTTATCGTCTAAAAAATGCGTGAGATTAAATTTTAAATCGTCAAATTAAAAGAAATCTTAATGAAATTTGTGGTTTTGTTGTTAATTATACAGCCCATAATTAGCTTTGAATATCAGGAAATCACGAAAATGTTTAAGGAACATTGTGTGAGGTTAGAAAAATCATAGAAGAGAATTGAGATTTTAAGGTTATGTCATGAAAATTCAGTGAATTTGAGTTTTTTGATTGAAAAGTTCAAAATTTTGAGATTTTCCAAAAAGAAAATTTAAGTTCAAAAATTTACAAATTAAGCTTAAGATTTCAATTCTCAAAGATTTGATGTAAATAGAACATTTAAAGTATTATGTTAACAATTTTTTGTTTTTTAAAAAACACATAATCTTCAAATTTTTGAATACAATCAAAAAAATTTTTCTTTTGAGACATAAATGAATTTTTTTTTGAAAAATGATTTAAAAAATGAAAAAATTCTCGCGATTTTTTTTTAATTTACATTTAATGTATCTTTCAGATTATGAATTATGATGATTTAAATGAATTTTTCTTTTTCCTTTAATAAAAAACTTTCTTTAATAACATTTTGATTGTATAATTTTTTTGTTGGTTTTAATTATTTTCATGTTTTTTTTATTTATAATTCAGTGATATTTTTTGTCTTTTTTCAAGTTTCTTAATATCGTATGTCCTTAGCATCGTGCAGTGATCACATTTGACTGACGAGCCCCTTATCTAGTTTTGTTGGAGAATCCCTTTTTGATTTAAATAATAATTGCAGTACGAAAAAAATTGTCCTGGATGTTTCCTAAGCAGCATAGATGTGCATATGTTTATATTATGGTATCACCAAGTCATTTTATGTTAAAGCAACTTAGTAAAGGATTTTAAAACATTTTTTGATGTTCAGATGGTTTTAAAACCCTATTCAAAGCTGCTATAACTGAAAAGTAGCAACAAAATATCAACACAGTCCACATGCTCCCCAAGCTATATTTTAAAGCATAATATTATGGAAATTTTTTCAGTAGTTTTGTTTTTGTTGGTCTTAATATTAAATGTCCTTCAAGTAGTCATAAAAAAGTGTGTTAGAATTTTCTTTATTATCTATAAAAATTAGGTTCGTATGTTAATTGTTGGGATTTTTGTTGGTTGGATTTTTTTGTTGCCATATCATTTATGTGTATGACATTGAACATGTATAAAGCGTCATTAATTGTATTTTTTTATACCGATTCTAATTATTTAGCAGCTTACTTATGTTTAATAGTTTTTCCTAACGCCTTCGCCTACACAATGTTGCAATACATCGATGAATTAAATTATGACAATATATTCTGATACGCTTTATAAAATGTACAATGTTATGCACAAAGACTGGAATTTTACGTTAGATGTAGCTATAGGGGCCTGAAATGAGATATGAAAAAGATTTATAAGTCATTAATCTTTCAAAATAATCAACTTAGTAATAATTTATATATGTGTAAAGTTGCTGGATATAAGATTTAAAATTTGATGGGAATCGAACCCTTTCCAGCAAATATAATGATCTACAGACACCACAATCAACAACCAAGTGATACGCATTTATCTAGCTTCACCCTCATCTACTTTAACTCAATTATCTTACCGTCTGTCAAAGCACTGCACAGCAATAGTCAAGAGTTGTCATCCTTGTTTGATCCACCACCTCCTACTTGATTTACTTGATTATTGTTTTGACGAGTACTACTAACAATATTTCCTGTGTTAATTCCTACTGCACCGCCTGAATTTTGTGCATTTGGCCTTGTTTGAGGTTTATACTCTAATCCAGGATCAAATTGCATCAAAACAAAGACCTAAAATTGGAAATACAATTTTAAAAAATAAAGTTCCTTTAAGTCAGCATAATTTAATGCTTACCTGATCAGTTGGCAGTAGTTGAAAGTCATCTGGTGGATTAGTTATTACATAACGTTTACTACTAGCATCACAACTCGAACTTGTATCACGAAATCGGTAAAGTCCAATGCAAAGCATTCCATATGATCTTAAAGCAGCAACGAAGAGGTCGCCGTATTTACCAGCTTCACCAAATTGTGCCAATGGTCCATCATAAAGTGATATCTGACCCACTCTACAACGATCTCGATTACTAAGACTCTCGGGTGTACTATATCCACCACGAAGTCCAGCACCTTCTGCTAAAATCAGTTCTAATTCAGGTGTTGCACCACCGGTAATTAACGAACGAATTAATGTTAAGGCGTTTTGATTAAAATATGTCTGTGAAATGGCAAGTACAAATGGATTAAGACATAGTCATTAAATAAGTATAAGAACTCCTTACCGTCGACATTAATGAATCTAATACACTGACGGCAAAAGCAGTACCGCATGCAAACGGCTGAGTTAAATAAAGTTCTGTGTCAGGATCGTCATCGTCGTCTTGATCGAGAAACTGCACATTACTGTCATTTACTAATTCAGTAATCATTGGAACATTTGCACCATATACAGATCCACGTCTTTGTAGTACGATTGGACTTCCAACCGGCGTTAGATTGTCTTGCTCACCTCGCTGACTCAGTACACCAATTGTATCGTCAAATGTCATGGCTTTTATATTAAGAGATGCTAAAATTGCTTCTTTATCAGCTAACGTTGGATCATCATTTGATGGCACTTTTGCTGATAAAATGCAGCACATATCACATAAATTTACATTCACGGCACGTAAATCAGCGCGACTAAGTGGTGATCCCTATAGAAATTTTTGTACATTAATGAAATTGACTTGGTTAGATGCCAAAGCACATGACTTACATTAAGCACAGATATTTTTGGTAAGTTTTGTAACATTTTCCATTCTCTACGAATGTAATCAACAGAACCAACAATAACAACATGTTTTAATTCGTGATAATGAAAATTTGATGCACGTAAAGGCATAACTAAATTTCTGAGACCAATGAGTGGACTGTCAGGATCAGCGAATAAACACACAACAACATGTCCATTTAATACTGTCATTGCTGCTTGATTTCGATCCTAAAATTGACAATTTAGAGAATTAGAACTAAATGATGAGTTAAAGGAAGATGTAAAGTTTACCAAAATGCATTCTTCAAGACTTCTAGCTGGACTCCAATGAAACATTCCTGTCGAATCATACTTCATCTCTGTCTTTTCAAAATCAAAATCTTTAGACTGATCATCTGCGATTCCGGCCTGTAGCGTCACTCCGTTTGTATTCTGAGTTCCTGATCCTCCACGAGCAGTAGGCCTAAGTAAATGAAATCAGCAAGGAGTCATTATTATTGATGTTTAATCTTTCAACTGATTGAACTGACTATAACCAACATCTTCAATAATTATCTACGGTCAAGCTACAAACTCATAAGATAAAAGGTAAATTTCGCAGCAGAGATTAATGTTTATGAGTTTGGATTGATGATTGTAAGATATGTGGATGATTGATGAACAATTTTAGAAGAGGGAGTGGAGATTTTTGAATAAAATGCTATTGATGTTATAGATCAGACGTTTGTGGACTGGAATCATGAACATTTATGAATTTATAAGTTTGAGAACAGAGTCCAACCTGAATTAATTTGCAAAATGAATTTATCCAGTAAGGAGCCGTTCATTTATGACGTCCAGGGGGGGGGGGGGGGGGGGGTCAGTAAGAAAAAAACAATAGAAACTCTTGGAATTCCATTGTTCTTTTTTGAAAAATGACCGTTTATATCTGACGTCATAAGTGAACGGCCCCTAAATGAAAAACTTAAGAATTGCTTGACTCTATGCCACCAGAGTAAGTTTTATCATAAATTCCAGCAAACTTGAATCTAAACTGCAGAACTAAAATTAAGTTTACTTCCAGTAACATCCATTAACTTCAATCATATCTCTTCACAACCATTAATCCCTGCTAAATGTATAATATGTAATCGATTAAAAACCAATTAAAGTAATGAAAAAAAAAAGAGTGTGAAATGTGACGTGGAAGAATGCAACGAAAAAATTAAATAAGGTGAGTATACTCAAAATGAAAAAAAAAAGATATAATTGTACAGCTTACATGATCAATGGACAATTCAACAATATAAATGAAAGTTCGGATTCACTTCACATTGAGAAAATTATTAACAAAATAAAAAAGTTCTACAATCACAAAATGAACGCAAAAAATAAAGGAAAAAAAGGTTTTTGAAAAAAAAAGAACTCAAAAGATATAGTAAGTCAAAATTTCTTATCGTACATGAGCTTTTTGACTTCATATGCTAGTTGATATCCCGCATATGGATTTGCTTCCGTTTCCGCAGGTCTATAAAATGTAGGTGTGTGTTAAAATGAATATAAATTTTTGCATATAAAATAGAGAATATTTTGTTGATAAAATTTGTGGTATTTCAAAAAGGAGAGATGAGAGAAAGAGAAAGAGAGATAAACAGAGATAGAAGAAGTAAAAATTTAAATAGATTTCGTTAAAAAAGCTTTTTTTTTAAATTTCGTGAGCTTTTTATTTACACAATAAAATTTCAAAAGTCATGATTTTTTTATCTCTCAAAATTTTCTGGTTCCAAAACTTGACATGACTTTCCAAAAATTTATTTTATTTTTAAAAATTGTTTAATTTTCTTCTTGTCTATGACAAAAATTTCTTCGAAAAATTATAAAAAAAAATATAACTTTCCATAAAAGTCTATGGATCTTACCGATTGTATGAGGATGGAGACACGACAACACCTTCAGCACCATTTGGTGGTCGATTAACGTTTGGTTTAACTTTGTTAACTTGTTTTGTTTGTATGGAATTTAACATTTGATGAGAACCCGAGCTTACTGATGGCATTCGTCTATTACGATTAATGACTGAAATGAAGGAATAAAATGGAGATTCATTAGAAATTTTAAAGATATGAAATTATTTTGGCATATTTGAGCGCATTTGTGTTGTAAGGATTGAAAGAATGAAGGTTTTGGAGGACAGAATATGTAATTCTATATTTGTAAGTAAACAGCGACAGGAGCGGTGAAACTAAACGTTGATATGGAAATTTTTGGATTATCTGTATCAATTTCCTTGTCTCGATAGGTAAAGGCTTGTTGTAATAATACTTTCTGTATCTTTTGACAATATTTTAATCTTTTTATCCTTTAAAATGACCTTAATCTGATCAAATAAGCATGCATTTTAATTGAATTAATTATATTGAACAAGAGTTTCCAATAGCTTAATTGGAACTTCCAGCAATTTCAATTGTAATAGCCTCAAATGACTAGTTTTTGATTAAAATGTTTCATTTTGTAAATTAATAGTAAATCTGTATAGGAAGTCAATGAGAAAAAGTGCTGAATCATGTGTGAAAAGCAAGAAAACCAGACAGACAAGCAGACATGGATGATGGGCGGCAAAAAACTATTCGCATATCAAAATTATTTCTATTTTTTTTTTTTCATTTTAAAAAATTCACTCAAAAGTCATAATTTAATTAAATCTTTAAAGTTATTAATTAATCAATTATGAATTGACACAAATTAATTAGCGATTATTAAACATCTGTCGGCAAGCACAAAATGAATGTCTTCGCCCAATTAATGCGCTTTCGTATTTATTTTCACTACATTGATTGATTTATTAGCATTAAGATTAAATGAATTAAATCTACTCACGGTTAATTTCATCACGCTCTCGTGTTACGTCCCCTATAATTGGCAATTGGCAGCATGAATTAATGAAAAGAATACAGAGATAATTTTGTAAATAACGCAATGCGATTTAAGCACATATTTTTGAAATTTAATTCTTTTTTTTTGCTGATCTAAAATTCTTTAATTCATGAATTTCAATTCTACACAATGCAAAAAAATCTATCTAAATAAAATAAAACTAAAAAATCAATAATTTGATGGATATGATTGGCTACAAAACATATGCTACATATAAAGTGCAACAAAATATAACTTTAAAAATTTGAGATTTAAAAATTTTCAACTAATAAAGCAACTATATCGTATATATATATGAATCATCACAACATCTAATTCTACTAAAGCTATTCAAAAGAATAAGAAAAGGATAAGCGGATGTAAATTTAAAAGAAAAGAGTTGAAGGAAACGGTAATATAGTCGATGAAAGGTCATAAAACTTTTTTTTTCAACAATAAATCAATTTCAAGGATGGAAGTAAAATTATATCACAGAATATAAAATTTTCGTTGATATCTTTGAAGAATTGAGAATTGTTTACTCTGGAGGATGTTAAAGGAATTTATGATCTTTTCATTTGACTTTAGTCTCTAAATAATGATTTCTGTTCGATTGTTAAGTTTGTTTATGATAATGTTTAAAAATCTACGGCCTGTTTCACTAAAGTGGATTATCCTCGATTTCGGATTATCCACTTCAGTTTTTTGGAAATATCTTAAACTTTATGGGAGGTGTGGTATTTCTAATTTTGGATTTTAATAGAGTGAACTATGTCTGAAATTTCTGTATACTATAAACTTTTACTTGTTGGTAAGAAGTATTAATTATTCAATTTTCTAGCCAAATCTAGTAGATTAACTTCGATTTTTGCTATAATTCTCAAACCAATGAAGATATAAAAATTCTAAGTATATGTTATTTTAAGGAGCAAAGTACTCTTGCTAGATCACACATTAGATCTCTTAATAACCTTAAGCGTCTGGCGATATTTTCAAAAAACTGAAGTGGATAATCCAAAATCGAGGATAATCCACTTTAGTGAAACAGGCCGGTAGTTCATCTTGTAAAACTAAACTAATTTTTATCTATTCTGATCTTTTAACCTAATTCAATGAATTTTATTTTTCATAGAATTTAAATGGATTATTGAAAATAGAACCTACTTCTCTTAGATTTGTTAAACTTTGATTTTAGTCTAATTTTTCAAAATCTTCTCAATTTGATCAAATTTTTATAAATTCTATCATTAGAAATTTTTATATTTGACAATATTGATGTATATTTTCATTAGCATCTAGCATCAACTTCTAGATTACTAAACCTATTTACTTCAAACTTCATTTATTCTAAAATTTACATCATTACATGATAGGATCAATAAAAATGATTAAATTCAATCCAAAAAGCTCACTAAATAGAGAGAAATGTGGGGTAAGGTTGGAGTATTTATGCGAAAATAAAAAGAAACTGATAATATTTACAGAAATGAGATCATAAAAATGTGAAAAAAGAAACAAAAGAGGGCATGAAAGAGTCTGCGTCTTTTGATATGAGTGAAGATTTTTTGCTGGATTTATCATGAGCAGCACAATGGCAGCCTTTGTTGCTAACGTTTGAAATTCATCCAAAAAAAAAATCCTCAACTCATTTCCAATTATTTTGGTGGAAGGACAATTAAAAATTTGCAAAAATTAAAAAAAGTTCAAAAAAATTCTCGTTTTTTTCTATTTCGAAAAATATTTTTTTACCAGTTAATCCCCGCACATGGACTCTTTTAGGAAGTTCAGGAGGAGTATATGTTGGTGCGGCAGGATGATCATCTGTAAATGTTTGATATTTTTATGACAGTTTTGATTTTATATTTTTTTAAAATGAAAGTCTATACAAGGAAAAATTAAATTATTTAAAATCATAAAAATCAAGGAGAATAAAAAACGAAATTCATCCTAATCTCTGTTTTTTGGTTCCTTTTTTTATTATAGATTTACAAAAAACCGAACTACAGCAAATAGTTTAAAAGCAGCAAAGAGATATTATTGACATCAAAAAATATACATAAAGCAAGATAGAGTAAAATAGTGAGATTTAAGGTGAATTCAACTTGCAAGCATAGAGTTACAGCATTAAAAATACAGCAAACATTAATATGATTTGCAATACATTAACATTAAGCAACATTTAACACATAATATCAAGAAGGTTTTTATGCCAAGACAATATTGTACGATGCTCGATTTATGTGTATGTTAAAAAAATCTACATAATGAATGTTTCATTAAAAATAATTCAAAATTATTAATAAGAAAACGAAAAAACATCAAGAAAAGTTTTTTTTCTTCTTAAATTGAAATTAAATAAATTAAGTTTTAATTGAAATAATGTGTGATGTTCTTTAATAATTGATATAAGGTGTAATTTTATGTATTTATATGTGTTATTTTGTAGGTGTCTCAATTTTTAATGAATTCGTTACTTTTTCTTACGGTGGAAAAAAAAGATAATTTCTAGGATACTTCCGTCGATTGAAAATCTTTGGTTAAAAATGTGTTTGTTGTCGTTATTTTTTTCCTTACATTATTTTTGTGACTATAAAAAATTTAAAGCTATGTATGGGTTTCTAATAGGTTCTGGTTTAAATCTTACTGGTAAGCATAGGTATCGAAAGTTGCCTGTGAGTCAGATTTTGTCTAATCGTAGATCAATTCTGATTTATGATCAAAATGATTTTAAAAGGAACAATAAAGCATTTGAAACTGGAATGCTGAAAAGAGCACAGAACTAAGTTCTTTAGATCTTTTAATTGTTCTGTTAACCTAGTCTTTGAGAAATTGAAATAGATTTTAGACAAAAATTAAAAGGCGAATTGGATCACAAAAGATTTTTGCAAGCAGCAAAATGAGCATTAATTAGATTCGATTTAAGAAAAAAATTTAGATTGTAACTGTCGATGCCGATTTAAAAGCCATGCTCGAGAACCAAATCCATATTTTTTGAAAGGATTTTTTTTGCTGGTATTTTTGAAAAAAGAAGTAATTTATAATACAGAAATGATCATCGATTCGCCAATTTAACCAAATCTTAATTGTTTGTTGGAAACTTAATAAACTTGAAAACATTGAAAAAATTCACTGAATATTCATTAAAATTTAAGATATTTAAAAAAAACATACGATTGTAATTCACATCTGTACAATAATCAAAAATTTACTATAATTTCTACAAATTTATCTATTCTATATAATAAAACATTGACATCGAATTAAGAGAAATATCCAATAAATTATACAACACATTTCAGACCAACAAACTCTCATGACGACTGAAAATCCTAGAAAGAACTTTTTTTCTTTGGAATAATTATAAGATACAAGATTAGCTTCCGTTGAAAAAATAGCCTAGCCTACAAATGTTACGAATAAGTATTTATTTACGATAAGTATAAAGTGTGTGATGTCTACGTAGCAACGGACAAATAAGCGATAATCGAAATTTGTTTTTTTTTTATTCCAATCGAAGATTCTTTTTTTGATTTTTTTAAATGACAATTGAGAGAATTTACATAAATTTGATTGATAAAATAAATGTGAAGTGAATTTCACATAAAATAATTTTTTAATAATTTTTTTTGGATCTTAATACTTTTTTGTTGGAAAACTATTTTAAATTTGAAGAGGGAAACGTTTTTTGATATTTAAAAATTAATTTATGTGTTTTTTTGATTTGTTCAAGAAATAATGCTTCAAAAATGATACCTGTACTAACATCATATATATGGCCACAAAATTTATTATATCCTATCTAATAATTTCAAACAATGAAAGCAAGTTTCACTATACTGTATATTTAAAAATATTAAAATTTTTGAATTTTTTAAGATTTAAAAAAATTCTTTGTTTTTTGAATTTTAATTTAATTTTGAATTAGTTTAAAAATATTTAGAAGATAATTTCATCTATCACAATTTTTGAAAGAAAAACGAAGAGGAAAAATATTTGGAACGGTAAAAGCTTTTTTGAAATAAAACAAAAAAGTTGTGAAATTTTGAATTTTAAGGATCAGGGTAAAAACAACATTTAAGGAAAAAATTCGGTTAAATCTTTAAATTTTTAAAAATGGAAAACTTCAAAAAGATACATGCAACGTCATGAAAACTGCATGCTCAGGTCAAATACATGGCAAAACAATCAAAAACATTAAATTTTTAAAAAAGTTGTTGTTTCCCTTAATAAGTTAAAAATTTGAATTTGAAAAAACGGTTGAATTTTTTAAATTCCAAAAATCAGTTATATTTTCTAAACTGGATAAAATTTTAAATAACTTAGAAACCGATAAATTTTGAAATATTGAAAAGATTTGAACATTGAAAATTTAAAAAAAATTACAAAGATTTGTTTATTTATAAAAACTGATAATATTTGAATATCAAAAACCGTAAAAAATTAAAATCTTAAAAATACGTTAAAAATTTTTCAAAAAAGCTTTTCGCCCGCTACCCATGAAGAAAGATGAACCAGCCATAAAGTATTCTTTATAAATAAAAATTATAATTTGACGACTTTATAACATCCATTTCCTTCACGCAAACACAATTTGTGTCAAAAAAAATCCATATATCTACCGAAAAATTAATGTAAAACTTTAAGGATTATTTATTCAAAATATATTTTTTTTGAATAGATTAAAATTATCATATTCATTCACTCATTCAATACCAATTGATTATTTTACGATATATATATACGAATTACGAATTATAAGTAGATATTTAAAAAATATATATGACATTACAGCATTTTGATTTGAGTAAATTAGTTTTTGTTTGAAATACGTACTTGATGGACTTATTACTTTTGATGGAGAAGGAGGAGCTCGAAACTTTTTCCTCATTAAAGCCACTATAATCACACATGCAATAACAAAAGAATTTATAAATTTTTTTTCAATATGATTAGTCTGCAGTAGATAAATAAATCATTTGTTAAGTTTGGGAGGGTACATTTAAAAAAAGTTTCACATTTTTGTTATTTTTTTAAAATTGTTGGTTTTTTTCGATTGAAATTTGAAATATATTTGAATATTCTTGATGAGCTTACACATCATTAAGTTTGAGAGATAGAGAGAGAGGACAGAAGATAGATATTGTTGCTTTATGTAGTCTTTCATTTATTATCATTCTTGTCATCACATTATTCGTAAAAAGGAAACTAATTTATCACAAAAAAGAAAATTATATGATTGAAAAATAATAAGGAGGAGACGATTTGGGAGGAAATTACACTTTATATTTAGCCAATGAATGAGGAAGCTTTAGCTTTATGTATACATATATAAATTTATGTACATATATAGCTAACAACATATACATCATGATTATTTTTATCTAACATCATAATCAGTCTTACTTATTACTTTTTATTTTGATTTATTATGTATGCACCATATCCATATCATAATTAATTTTACTATTTACGTATAGATCACCGCTACAACAGATATACCAAAAGCTATGTCAATAAGAAAAAAAATCATATAATTGATGATTCTTACGCTTACAGCATTCAACTTTCATGTATATATTGCTTTATTATTGTCATATTATTATGCTCATGAATATGATTTTTATCATGTCACAGCTTTTGCATTTTTATTCAATCAATTCTTTTATTGTTATTAATTAAATGATTATGGAAATGGTCTCTTGATTATTGATGATTCTAATCGTTTGGGAGTTCAATGACTGAATTTGGTTTGATTAATTGTTAAGATTGAATAATTTTAAAGGTTTTACTTTGAATAATTCTATTGTTTGATGTTTTGGTTCAATTTTTTAAAATCTGGGAGTTAATTATAGTTGATGTTCTTGAAAAATGAAGTAATATCTTAGTGCAAAACAGAAGTTGTTAATTTATCAATCATTAATTAATGTTAATCGATTGAAAGTGAACTTTAATCTATTTCAAACAAGAATGTCTGAAGACAACTTGATATACTCCGGATACGATTCTTTAATTGTTCAATGAAGATCAGTGAATCTAAACTTTAATTATAAAGGTTTGATTGAGTCAAGTCTTAGAAACTTAGAAACCAAATTGGAAAAGATTCTTTATTGAATGCAAAACAATTCTTACAGAGTTTGGTTCTGAATGCAAAACAATTCTTACAGAGTTTGATTCTTAAATTTGGATGATTTTGAGAAAGATCAGTAGATTTTCTTTTAGATTAGAATGTATTCAAAGAATTTACACGAAAGAAACATTAGAATCCATCTCCAATAGAATGAATCATCAATTTGAAAGCACTTTAAATCCATAACCATCAATTACTTTGAGAATGGAATACTGATTTGTAAACATTTTTTTAGCAATACTTCCAATCCATTACTTTCTTCCATTCTCAACGAGGAACTATTAGAAAATTTAATTTACTTTATATTTGTTGTTGATTAGCAATAAGAAGTATAAAAGAAAAGTACTGCAATAAAATCTCAATCAATAAAATTTAGCAATAAAAATTAAACATTGAGAGCATTGGTGATCAATGTATGTAAAAATTATATTTATATAGATTATAGTATATAGATAGATTATTTAAAATATGTGCCCAAAAAAAGTATAAATATATAGGTTATATCGCAATTAAAAAAAACTATGAGCATTTTTTTATTATTATCGTACCATCCAATGCTTTAATAGATGAAGTGAAATCAATGCTTTGTTTTACCATTCCTGTTTGCATCATTATCATGCCAACATCTGAAAAGCCATCAGATCAATATAAAAAAATAATTTTTATGTTTTAAGCTTATTATTTTTTTTTTGAAATTTATTTTTAAAAAACAATTTCAAATTTAAAAAATTTTCTTAGGTTTTGGAATATTTTCATTAGTTGTAGCATAAAATGGAACTGTTAGTAGCATAAACTTTGTCATGTTTGTCAGAATTTTAATCTATAAATAACCACAAATTAGTGATGCATTAAGCTGAAAATTTTCATTATTTTAGAGAATATATAATTTTTTTACATATGATTATTCAGGAGAGTGTGAATCTGTCTTATGTTTCGTATGTAGGAAAAAATATGTGATTAAAGTCTTTTTTTTTCAAAAAATTCAACAAAAAAATTCTTTTTAACTTAAAAAGAGAAAAAAAAACTGAAATAAAATAGAAAAAATTAATTGATTTAATTCATAGAGTTGGTAAGTTAGGGATCGTAAGGATAATTATGCTAAAAGAATCCATGCTGTTTACTAAATGAAGAATAATTAACAGAATCTAATGGAAACTAAATTAATTTAATTAATTTTTTAAAAACCGTAGAAAAATTTCGTATTTTCCTTTGTAATCGATTTTTCAATTTTTAAAATTCTAGATACTTGCAATACTTTTTGTTTCATTATCAAACTATAACTTTTTTCATTAAACTTCTCTCTAATCCAAATGATAATAAATTTTTAAATTTTATTTGATTTTTCTTATCTTAGTTTTCTACAGTTTTTTATTTCGTTGGTTTTAAGTGCTGGTTGAAATTTATTAAAATTGAGAACAATTTTCTCGATTATTTTATCACATGCTAAAATTGAGGTTCTCTTGTTTTGGTTAAAATAGAGTTGTTCTTTGATATTTCTAAATTAGAAATATTTTTAACTTAATTTTTACTATTTTTCTGACTTGAAAATTTAATAAGAAACTGAAAATAAATTTTTGCCAATGATTCAAACATGACAACCAACACAATCAAATATTTCGACATAATATTTTCATTTGTTATGGGTTCGAATCCCAAAAGTTTTCAATTTAAAATATGTTTGAAACTACTTTCTCTATTTTTTTGTCAATTTTAAAGTTCAAGTCAATTGGATTGAATTTCTTGATAGTTCAATTTTTTTGATGAAGAATGTTTTTATTCCATAAAAAACAATTTCAACCCGCACTAATCGAAAAAAAACCAAAATAATAGATGTTAAAATTTTAGAAATTATGTAGAATAAATGCTGAAACATAAAAAAGGAGGAATTATTTTGCATGAGAAAATTTAATTATTTGCAGAAAAATTTTTGTTTTGGTAGAAAATTCACTTCCAAAAAAGATTTTTTAAAAAAATGTGTGCAGTAAAAAGAAATTTTAAAACTGAAGGAATTGATGAAATAGATAAGAAAATCTCTAGACGAATGTATATAGATCCGTTGATGACATTAATGTAGTCATAATTCGTCTTTTGTATGGTTATATACATATGTTAATGGAACAAAAGGAAGTTAAATAAGAAGGATAAACGTAAATATACAAATTCATTCCAAAACATCATTATTATCTATCAAAGTGAATGTTTTTTTTTCATAAACTTTTTTTGACTCAATTTTTTTGCTTCATAAAAAGTTTTTTTTTTGTTTGCTTGATGGATTTTTTTTGTATTTATATATAAGCGAATGCATCATAACAAGATAAGTAAACTCTCAATCAGAAAAATCATCAAAAATAGCATAAATATAAGTTTTTTAAGGTTAGGTTAATGAAAAATGTTTAGGAAAAATTTTTTTTACACGAGAAATCAACATTCCACAAAAAAATATATTTAGAATATAGGATGTATGTATAAGTTATGTAATACTATAAAATGTAGTATGCAGTGAAATAAAATTGATTATAGCAATGTAAGAAAATGCATTTTTTTATATATATATATATATTGCAAAAAAATTTAATGCCAAAAAACTCTGTTCACACACATTATTATTATCATTTTCTCAACAAGGATGAGGTGTGTTCTATAGGTCTTAAATTTATAGCCTCATGTGAACATGAGTTTTAATGAAAAATTATTAAAAATTTGAAACTTTTTTTGGAACATTTTTTATGGTTGTTAAAAGAAAAAAAAAGTATTCTCATCTAAGTTTTAAAGAAGATTAAAAACAAGTGTAGACTAAAAGTCATTCAATGAAAAAAGTAATTTGTGTGTACTTTCAAAATGCACGATATTCACAGTTAAAATAAGAACTTTTTAAACTATAGTAGATTTTTTTTTTGTAAGAATTCTTTATGTATATAAATATAACACTCTAGTTTAGCTCTTTACCTAGCACATCATACTTCCTCGCTTGCGATGTCACTGTCGAGTCAAGGTTACATACAGAAATTATAGTTTTGTAATATTTTTTTTGGTTGATTTTTTTTTGATAAAATTTAAATTTCAAAATAATTAATATCTTGATTAGATAGATAAAAAAATATAGTTGTTTTAAAAATAATTAATATAATTAAGTTAAGTTAAAAATATAGAATGATAGACAGATAATATAGGGTTAGTAGTATTCATGATGATATACAGCTTATATTATGGAAGTGAGTATAGACAGGGGAAATATAGATTTAAAATAAAAATTATACTTAATTATTGGAAAAAGAAGGAAGACTTAAAATTAAGTAACATAAATTTCGCATATTATCTATGTATAAGGATAAACAGCTTGAGAAGGAAATCCTGTCATGTGACAAAAAATAATTTTTAACGGTTAAGTTTGAATTTTTATTTCATTCAAAAAACATTTTTAAATCTGCATCAAAATTGAATAGTCTAAGAGAAATAAAATATATCATAGAAAGGGGGTGTAGCCAGAAAACATATTTTTTAACTCTTCCTCATGAGCGGCGCTGTAACGTCGCTGAATGTCATAGCTTTATTGTCATACAGAGTTCGATGTCAAAACCGAGTTGAGTCAACTTTCCCATACAAATTCAAATTCTGGTTTAGGGTGCAATACTGATCAAATAGTTCAAAAATGATCAAAATCAATCGAATATGATCTAAATCGACTAAAAATGATCCAAGCATAATTGATCAGCAATTCACCTTTGTTTCTGGTTAAGTTTCTCGGATTTACCCTATTCATATATTATATTTTACGCTAGGATATATCCGAGAAGCCAATCATGGGCAATTTCAGACCAAAGATTGTCTTTAGGACACCATTTGGGAACGTTGTAAATTCAGGATGTCGACAAACATGTTTTTATTTTCGTGCAACCCTAGACTGATTCAATTATTTTGATTATATGCTTTTTATATAAGAACAAAGAGAATAATAAGTTATAAATTTATTAACATTTAAGATTTTAACACAAAATAAATAAAATATCAGTAATTTTTTTATTTTGAAGAAGTTTTGATACTCCTCTGGCTACTCTAATGATTATAAAATGTGAATTGCGGTTGAATAATCTATAAATGACACCTACTTGTCGATGTTATTGTCACTGGTGCAGAGAACTCAATTTCACACATTCTGTCAGCTCAAAAAAGGTATGGAAATAAAAAATTAAGAGAGTTTAAGGATGCCTGAATTGATCAGAATAAGCCTCTGCACCGGTGCTATAAGATGAAGATGGAAATTCTTAATACAAAAGATTTGTTAAGAAAGATAAACGCATAAAGGATGGTAAGATACCTAATAACAATTATTTTAGAACCAAACAAATTAAAATGAAGGTTCTCGATTCTCAATTAAATATGAAAGCTCATCGAAAATTTCAAACGACCATTAAAAGTTTTCTATCACATTCCAATCGAAATCCCTCTCAAGATATTGATAGAGTAAGTAGATATAGTAAGGGACAAAATGAAAACGTATAACTGCAGGTTACATTAATTTTCAAATCGCATATTTAAAAAGGATTTTTATTCCCTTTTAATCCAATTTAGTTTTTTCAGCATTTATGCATTTTAAATGTCAATTTCAATATTTTGATATTAAACTTTTTTAAAATGCATCATTACATTCAACATTTTATTTATATATTTTCAAATTTGCATCATATTAAGTATAAATTTAAGGAGCGGAAAAGGTAGTTAAAATTATAGGAATATAAAAATTAAAATATATAAAATAGACACTTAATAGCTTTTTTATATTTCCATATTGATGCGGTTAATTTAAATTTTTTTTTCAGGTCAATCGTCAATTCAGTTCAGATTTTTTTTATGTCGTTAAGAAAAAAATTCATTTTCAATTAAGGTCGACAAGCGATAAAGACTTATATTCTTTGAATTTATATTTTACACTCAAATATGAAAGCAATTTATTTATTTCCATTGATTTAAGAAATCGAAATAAATTGCCCCGAATAAGGATAGAAAGATATATTCTTAATTACGTTAAGGCAAGGAGATAGAAAGAAGGGGGAAATAGAATGTTAGAAGAAGATAGAACATAACTGCATAAGTCTTAATTAGTTATGTTAATTAGTATTTTTTTACAATATTGTAAGAATTTCAATTAAAATTTGAATTCATCACTTACAGTTTTTGCACTTGCACTTCTTTATGAGAGTTTCATCCTTTATGTCCTCATGACATGCCTTACAATAGAACCAAGCTCTGGAAAGGAATTGAAAATGGTAAGGATTAAAATTCTGCTTTGATGCGCATTTTATAAGTTTTTCAATGACACCCGAATAGCACAAGTCGGTTAATCGAATAGCAATTTCGATTTGAATTCAGCACCATGCCAGAGTCACACCGACTTGGTGTAGGATTTTTAGTAGATTAACCAACTTGTGCCATTCAGAACAACGAAACAGACAAAACGACAACTTCAACCATTTTCTGCACTTCAAATGTTACCCATAAGAATTATTCACATTGTTACACGAGAACGGAAATTACACATTCAATGATTTACAATTCAAATTTCATTTTGATTACTTCCTCACCTTTTTACTTCGTCAGCACTTTGTGCAATAAAGAATCCTTGTGTATTTGCTAATATTTTCGCACCACGTGGATTGATTGAAATTTTACTATCATTACCCTCTTCTCCGCCTTTTATTTCTATCGCTAACAATAACAATTTGAGTTTTGTGAAGCAAAGCCTATAGCGGAGGAACAATGAGAAATATTATATAGATAAAATAATATCATATTAATGATTGATTGAGTGATTTGTGTATTGATTTTTATCTTCAATGAATGTCTACATAAATGCTATGTTTTATAACATAATTAATTAATTAACAATCAATGATCAATTATTGATTGAAAACTAAGGAGAAATAAGTAAACAAAAATGTACACGAACATTGCAATTGAGCTTTTAAACATGTATACATGCAGAACATGGCTTAAAAGAAATATCAATGGAGGGAGTGTATGAATGGATAAATAAATAGGGTGTAATTAAAATGTTGGGAATGCATTTTTCTGAAATATTGATTGACTTTGAAACTAATATTGATTGATTCTTTGTGTTTGCATACTTTTAAGATCTCATAGATTCCAGTAGTTATTTAAAGATATATTCCCTCATTTCTGTGCCAGCAGAGCTATTTGCTTGGTTGGAGTGAAAACTTACTAAATATCAATTCTACATCCTTAACAGATCTTATTAAAGAATCCATTATGTTTCTTTACCCAAAAATTAATCTAGCTCATATCTGTCTGAATGCTTTTTATCCCAAAATACCATTATTGGTCCAGAGAATGCAACTCACTGGATATTAGACTTTTTAAGATGATGTTCACTCTTGAAATCAATAAAATCCCACTATCTTATAATATGCTCTTCAGAACCTTCTAAAAGCATTTAATTAAATTCAGTCAGTAAGTTTTCATTTCCATCTTCTGTTAATCACATTACACTTTAGGCATCAGATGCCAAAACGAGGAGCAGATTGAGGAAAATTCAAGGACTAAAGAGATATAATAATTTTGAAAAAGCCAAATCCAAAAGCAACCTTGAGACAAGATGCGAAAACATCAGACGATAGCAATTCGCTGAAAACATCAAATTCCAAATCGATATTTCAGAAAAAGCGCGTAAAACATAAAAAGGATGATGAATAATGAGTTGTGATAAATGATCAATCAAATCTGTATAAGAATTTAGCGGAGTATGAAAAATTATGTTGATGCTCTATGACATACTGGATAAATATATTTTTGATGTGTCTCAACCTCTACGTTCTAGCTAAATGTATTGTGTCTATGTATGAATGGATGTGATTTAAGTTTTATTATTTTAGTGCTTTTCATTATTAAAAGCTTTAAAGTTTTGAATTTATAGCGTTGGCGAATTTTTTAAAATTTTTCGAATTCTTATCTTAAAATTTTAATTTTCAGTTATTTTTTAAACGCATTCTATTAATTCAAAAACTCTGATAATTATTCAATTTTAATTTTAATAATTTTAGTTAAAAACTTCAATGCGAGTTAAATGGATGATGAATAAGAAACTATAGTGGTTATAATAATGATGAAGTGTTAATCGTTCAATTAAAATACATGAAATATTATATTAAAAATATATAAAGTACATTGAAAGTAAATCTTACTCGCAGGCTTGTGGAAAAGTCATTCCGGTGAATGAAGGTGAAAGGGTTTCAGTATACATCTCACATCCGGTACCTTGCAAGTAGTCATTTTGCCATATTTGCATATCAGGGGACTGAAACGGAAAATAGCAGCCGTACACAAAACATTTAGATCTGCTTGATAATTTTTTGTTTTTGTTTTTTTTTTCATAATTTTTCTTTTGATGACAATAAAGATTGATGAATGTTTTTAGTCTTTAAACTGCGAATAATGAAAGCTTTTCTGATTTCTTTATGTTTATATTGTCTTGTATTTTCTATTAATCATGATTTTGTAAGGAATTTTTCCTTTTGTGATAAAGTTTTTTATCGATTTTTTTGAACGTTAGTTGATTTATATACTTTAAGCTAATTAAGCAAGACATTCTTTGTCCTTTACAAAGTGTTGAATAACATCGATAGCAATTAAGCAATTACAGCTTAGACTGATCATTAAATAATTAATTTCGTTTATTATATTTATAAAAAAATTAAAGCACAAAGATGATGAATAAAGTTTTCAAATCGTTTTAGTAATTAACATGTTTCTAAGTCCCAAAGGTAAATAAAATTGTCAATTTTGGGCAAATGTCAAATGTTGAATCGATCAAAAGTGTAGAATTGAGCTTGCTCCTAAAATCAGAATCATTTTCAGTTTGAATATTTTAATTTGAGGTTGTAGTTAAAATTTTAAAGCTTAAAAAACTTTCGATGTGGAAAGTCCGCAAAAAAATAATTGATTCAATGTCAGTGATGAAATTTTTTTAATTTTTTAGAAGCATTTTTAATTTTAAAGCCAATTGAATGATGGCATTACGGTAACAAGCACTGTAATTAGCATATCATATAAAAAATTAAAGCACTGGTCTTGAGTACAACAAATGCAGACGATTTAAAAACTTTACGGCTCATTCCTCACTTGATTTTACTTCTTCATTTTAAAGCAAAATGAAGTAAAAGATGCATTACAGAAGGATAACAAATGATTAAACAAAACGTATATATACGAAGGGACTATGTACTTAGAACAAATGTTAAGAGAAAGAAATTAAGAAACTGAAGTTATGCAGCACAATTGTATGAGAAAGCTGTCTTTCTTGACAAAAGCCTGATTTGATACATTTTTAAAAATAATGAAATGCATATTATTACCACGGACTGTCTTACTGATATTTACAAAATATATAATAATATAATATAAAAAAAGAGATAGAAAATAAATGCGATTCACTTTTACGAACAACGAATTTATAATATTTACACAGTTCGTCTTTGTTAAATCGATGAATAAAACTTACTCTGTGGCACAACTGAATTTCATGCCCACGAAAGAGGGACTTAAAGTTTCTGTGTACATTTCCATTCCAGTACCTCTAAGATAATCATTCCATTTTTGCATCTCTGCTGACTATAATTATTTTTTTTATATACAATGTTCTTTTGTATGCTTCAAAAATTTTACTTTAATTAATTTTCTCATTTTTTTTTATTTTTATTGCGACAATTACTATTCTTAGCTTTCAGGTAGATATAAAAAAACTTATTGCAGGAATTATGAAGAAGAGAAGAAAACAAAATTACATGAGATAATGACAACTTACCGTTTTGAATGATCTCATGGCAAATAAATTAGCCATCATCGTTGAAAAACCAGGCGCCAAACAACTTTGTGCAATGAAGCCCAATTTTAACTCTGCTAGACAAATGACATCATCTCCTTGCTTCCAATCCCACGACGGAATATTGAGTAAATATGCTTTATTATGATATTGCATTAACTGAATAATAACACGAATGTCATCGCTATAATTTTTGATTGAAATAACGCGCATAATGTTGGCAGCATCTTCTGCATCGGGATCTTGACAGTACTTATTGGCTAACACTAAACAGGCATCAGCTTCATGAACCTGAAAAAAATTTGGAAAAGTTTTGGTTGTTATGTTGGTCCGAAGTTCTTAATTTACTTGTTTTTTTTTGTCAAAAATTAATATTTGCAATTTTTTGAACTGTTCGCAATGAAGGTTGGGAAGTTTAAGCAAAAGAGGTGCTGATAGGATAGAGGCAGGTATGAAGTTTTAGTTAAAAGTCACCAGATTTTTCTTTGAAAAGTTAAGTTGAACTTCCAAAACTATGAATATTTTAGCCAGACTAGATAACTACTCATGATTCATTCAAACATTTATCTCTTTTTTGGATATTTTGGAATTTAAACAAAATATTTCTGAAGCTAGACACGTCAAAGAAGTTTACATTTCAATGATTGCGTTTGACTAGATATGACCCAAATAATAACTTATTTCAATATTTCCTTCATTAAAGAGGAATATTGCTTCAATTATTGATTTTTGGCAATGAAAGACGCATCAAAGCGTTCTTTTGTGTCTAAAAATCCAGAAAATTGTGTGGAATTCAGAAAAGATAAAAAAAACTATTTTCTATTGCTTGTAGCAGTGCTTAAACTCTTTTATAATCAAAAATCCTCTTTCAGATAAGATTTTGTTGGGAATCAAACTTTTGTCATCATTTTAGCATTATTAGTCTAATGTCTGACCACTCTTTTGAGTGAGCACATCAGCCTTGTATGGCTTAAAACCTTAGATAATATCCTGGTTCAAAATTTCATAATCTTCATTGCAAACAGTTCCTTAATTTAGTCAAACAAACTCTACAGAAAAAAATCACTTCTATGAATTAAAAAAATCGCTCTACCAGCTTCCTTAATTGTGTAGTCACATCTACAATTACTAGCTTTCATGCATTTGTGCAGTAAGGGGAAAATTATGGAATTTCCTATTATTTTAATTCTTTTTTATTGTTCATCACTCTATTAAAAAAAATTCTAATTGCATGCGAAAAGAAAACTTCTATTTAATGTTGTGTATAATTAACGAATTATGTGAAAAAAGTTTGAATTCAATAAAAAATGATTATTTTTTCATTTATTTGTCTTTTTCCAGCATATTTATGAAACTTATGTTTTTTTTAAGACGGTAAATTTTGTTGTTGTTGATTTGTTGTTAACGTAAACAAAAGTAGGAATGAAAAATTAAGTTTGAAAATGAAAGCTTAACTTACCATCACTTGAAAAATTATACAATATGTACATAAGAAATAATGAAAACGATTTGCTGTATTTCTTAATGTGTATATAAAAAAATTGAGAAAAGAATGAGAATGATTGATGGGAAAAATTCATCGCAAGTGTTCTGTTTTTGGCTGGAAGAGCCAGAGCTCATGTACAAAAACATAACATACACGCATGTTAATAGATCATTTTCTTCATGATGCAATTTAGACCAAAAAACAAATTGATTTTAAAATCATTTAGATGAGTCACTAAATTATTAAGTAGGTGCTGTTACACTTTTCAGTTCTACCACACTCAATTTGGTGTTAAATGGATATGGAAATGTCTCTCAAACTTTTGAGAATCATGAAATTCTATTCTATCGATATTTACAAACGAGCTGCTAGATTCACTCAGCGAGCACAAAAGAGTTAAGGAATTATTGTTATTAGGGGAACCAAATTTTTTATCATCTTTATTTACAACTGCTGATGTGGTTTGGATTTCAAGAATTAGAAGATGTGGTTTCCAAAGTGTTGAATTTATATTGATTTTATTGTAAAATTTAAAGCTGATTCAAGTAAATCTAATGTTGCAACACTGAAAAACTAATGACTTGCTATGCCTTGACTATTTGAAGATTCAAATTTTGAACTTAGACATCTAGATTTGATCTAGTTGCACAAAAACTTAAACAGAATTAAGATTCTATGATGTGCCAAGAGACGTTGTCAACGTTGATTCGAAATAAATTCAAACTCGTTTCGAATGTTTTTCGAACAAAATTTCGCAATTTCGAAAAACTTTTTTTTATGAAAATTTCAATTTTTCGCAATTTTTGACTTAATTTACTTATGATTACAGAATTAAATCATTCTACTATGTCTTTTAACACTAATTTAATCGTCTAATCGGTGATAAATGCAGCAAACATTAGTTTAAAATGCTTTTTTTTCAAAAATATTATAAATTTTTTTTGTTGTTTACATTGGAAATAAAAATGTTATTAATTCACTTGCACTAATTGTTTAGTAAATCAGTAATGATTCATTACATTTGAGTGGATTCGTTTAACATTTTGATGATGAAAAACAAATATTTAAACTATTAATTAGAGATATTAGACATTAATAATTTAACGTGTGAAAAAAATTTGAACTTATGCTCGAAAATAAGGTCCCAAAAAAATTCAATATCGAAAATAAGGACTCGTTGGCGTACCATAGTTAAGATTAAGATCAAAGCTAGTCCTCATCGGATGTAGATTAGTTCTGACAAATCTAGATTCTAGCAATCACACTATTATAGCTGATCTCATTAGCATAGTGGAGATATGATCAGTTTAAATGTCTACGATATTAGCTTAACCTTTAAATGGGTTTACAACAAACATAAAATCAAAAGTCGGCTGTTATAAGTTATCAAAATCTTTAGCTATCGTCGAGTTAAATTCTTTGCAATATTAAAGTTCAGTTCCGAGCAGCACAACTTAATGTTGCTCTGATAATGAACAAATAAGAATTAATTTTAGACAGAATTTTAAGAAACCTTGAAGTAATCTCTTGGAAACCACATTGAGTAATGAGAATGAATGAAAAAGTGTACACGACAGTTGTAACAACAGAAATTTATAAAAAAATCATAAAAACTCAAAGAAACTAATTTTTATGTATGTAAATTGGCTGTTAGTTCTATTGGTTTTTTACAATTTTTCTGTTGGATTAAATGATAACATAAAAATCATTGTTTTGGCTCAATATTATCAAGGATTAACACTTTAATATTTAATGGTTAAACAAGTATTTTACCATTACTTTTTTTTTCATAATAATAAACAACAATTTAACACCCAGTTTAGTTCATATATTTTATATAAGTTGCCCTTAAATGTCACCTACAATACTTTTTCCTCATTATCATAATAATAACTTTATTGCTTTAATCATTTTTTTTCGTAAGGTTCGCAATAAAGATCTAATTGAGGAAAATTATTGTAACTGCATTTAATGGATCATTTATGTATTTTGTCAACTTATAAAAAATGTTTGCTTTACCTTGACTCGCTGTAAATCAATTGGATTCATGATAGTGCCTTGAAAGAACTCCACCGTAGTAAAATGTCTTTTGAAAAGGCCCTCGAGTTCAAGACCAGGAACGTGCCTTTTCGAGTGGTTTAATTTTTTGAGCCAAAGGTAAAAAAATTGTTTCAAGATTTTTTTTTTTTTTGTAAAAAGCAAAATGTAAGTTTTGAAGTGGTATTTTTTAATCAAAATTAAGTGTTTTATCATGTTAATTTGATTATTACAGCGGATGTCAGGATCAATAGTGAAAAGTAATAAACATGAAAAAAAGGAAAAAGAAATTATTTAAAAACCAGATTAATAATAAAAATAATCATATTTTTTTGCACATTTAATCGTGTCTTTTTTTTTGTTAACCATTTGTGTCATTATTATAAAAAAAATTATATATTGATGATATTGAACTTCCTTCGAGCTGTTCCTGGTATCCATTATTCATTTTTTATATGATTTATTTTATGCTTTTTTTTGTACAGAAGAAAATTATGTTACAAAATGCTGATTTGGGGATTGGTTCACTTATGACGTTTGAGTTTTAGGAAAAGGGGTATATCTTCAAAGTATTCATAATTATGTAATTAAGATGTGATATGTGCATCCGAAAATTTCAATCATAAGTGTCCAAAAACCCAGGATGATTCATCTTTCATTATGATTTTAAAAAATATAAAAATACAAATGAAAAAAATTCAATGCATTTTTTGTCTGATAAATATTTATAAATATGCTGTTTAGTTGGAGGTCTCATGCATACCAAAAAGTAAGGAATTATATTTAAAATAAGATATACAAAAGACCTACATGATGTTGAGTTTTATATTTTGTTCTATTATTCTATTTTAGAAATAATGAATGAAATTGTCTTACTGTGAAAATCTATTTCATGCAAATATAAAAAGAAAATTCTAGGAAAATTCAATATAAAAATGAAAGATAGAAAATAAATCTATGGAATAATTTCGAATGATTTTGCGTACTTTATATAAAAGGGATAACGCGAGATATAAGAAGAAATTTTGTTGAAATTATTTGAATAAAATTATATATTGGACTGTTTTTAATTTTTAAAATAGGTTTCTAATGTTTCACATTCTTCGATCATATTATTATTTTGTTAAATTGTCGGACACCTTTTAACCTTCCAAAATCTATTTATTATTATTAAAAATCTGTTTTTGATGTTGAAATTTCATTTCTTCAAACACCGTTTAGGTTCCGGAAAGAAAATGATTGAAGCATTTCATTATAATATTTTTCTAAAGACAGGAAATGATTGATGTTCTTTTTATAGAATGAAAATTTAATTTCCACATTTAGGAAATGTTTCTGAATAGATTTGCACTTCAGAAAAGTTGAAAAAATCTTAAATTTTTCTATGATTCAATGTTCTTAAATTTAAATACAATTTTAAGAATCAAGGACTTTGGTTGGAACTTTCTGGTTTTGGGAATATTAATTAATCTTCCAATTGAGTCTGTAATTTGGCAATGTAACAATATAGTGTATATGTACGAAAATATCTCTAATAATTATGGATATGGTGATTAACTTTAAAAATTTAGTAATCAAAAAGGTGATTATAAGCAAACGTTGAGATGTCCATGACTCAACTTGAAAGTATTCCTATTCTAAAAATGATGTTAATGTACTCATTCATGTTATATCAAAAAAGAATAAGAAAAAAATTTCATTCCAAATATATACACATGTATAAAAATGACAATCTTAAGTTATATTTGAAATAAGAAATGTGAAAAATTTTCAAAAAAATGCCTCAAAAAAACTTTAAGGAAGATAAAAAAAATGCGTAATTGAATTTTGCTGAGATACCAGTAAGTTGTGTGTACCTTTACTCTTTCCAAATCGACAGCATTCATCATAGTGCCTTGAAAAAACGCCACCGTAGTAAAATGCTTTTTTAAGAGCCCTTCGAGAGTTAAATCAGGCTCCTTCCTATTATTGTATTATATCCACATATTATATTATTATTATTATTATCGTAATAAATATTCTCAATTGTTCAATTAATAATAATGACACTTTTTTGATATAGAAAATTATGCTATAATATTATGAAATTTATTGAAATATTAACTCAAGTAGCAATGATCAGCAAGTTGCTGTAGTTGCATTATAATCAATTCTATTTAACTGTCATTATCATAGCTTTCCGTTAAGACTTAACTATAGTAATGGCAACCTCAAGAGAACTATGTAAATGACTAAATCTTGTTGACAAATCAACAGAGGTTCCGTCTTCGGAAAAAAGACACAACAAAGTAGGACTGGAAGTCACTTTGGGTATACTAATAAGCATTTGATACTTAGAGTCAGTTACTTATAGCTTTAATGTCACTTAGATCAACAAATTAGTGACCATTGCTGCTCGGTTAAGATGAAAAATTTAACAAAACAAAATGAAGACTCAAAGTCAACTCACCTATGAAGAAATACAACTTCCACGTCCACATCCTCTCGATCTTCGTGCAGAAAGTCTTTCAGGAAATGCGATACAGACTCATAAGTTATATGTCCACAAACGACGATGTGTCTATTCACATTTTCATCAACCAAACAATGAAAATTCAATTATGTCAAGTTTTTTTTTTCGGTGATGAAAATCGATCAGGTAATTTAATATTCCACAATGTCAGACAATGGTGATTGATGATGATGTTTTCCAATTTTTTTCCGTGTTAGGAAGGCGTCGAGGGATAATTTTCATTTTTTTGTGTTTTTTGTTGGGAGAATAAAAGAAAATTGAATATTAGTTTTCGCTTTTTATGAGCCAGACAAAAATATTTTAAAAGCAAAATTAGGAAATTGATCTTGAACAAAAAAAAAGAAATATTATGATTATTTCAGCCAATTTTGCTGTGAAATTCAATAGAATATATAAAAACTTTCATTGAATTTCCCTATCAAATATTTTTAATTTTTTTTAATTGCATGCAATATAGTGAGTTTTTTTATAATAAAAATATAAAATATATTTTAAATTATAAGGTTGAATGAATTATTTGTTATCAAATTAAAAATGTTCCATAAATTATAAAAGGAAGTTCGTATTCGTATTGAATTATACGAGACCTTGAAGCTTAATTTTTGATTGATCAATCGAAAATGTATCGTTGTTCGTGCGTAAATATTGATGTCGTTTATTTACGCTTCTGTTTGGGTTTGAAGCTTGATGTTTCTGATATTCTTTGGGTTGATTTAAAGACAATCTTCAAGACTTTATTGACTTTAGTTATTTTAGAACATAGAAAATAATGCCTAAATTAGGTTCTGAGGTCAGCAGAAATCAGATCAACTATATTTGAAATTATTCATTTCTTACTCAAGTAAATCTTAAAAATCTAGAAAAATAAATCCAGAAACTAAAAATGTTTCAAATGATAGAAATAAATTAACTTCTAAAATCATGAAATCTGACCATAAACTCTTTAAAGAGTTTTAACAAGTTATATCCTAGACTTTGTACAACACATCATCAACCATTTGCAAGAAAGCAAACATTTTCCACTCAATAAATGTCAAAGAAATCACTAAATCAAATCAAGTAGCCTTCACTTCCCATGCACTTCATAAAACAAAGTTTCCAATCAATTTGAATTGATTTATTTGTTTCAGAGCATGATTTTCCTCACTCAATTTTGTAAGTAATTTGATACATTTTCGTCTTATCGACCTTCAAAAACACTTCAAGTTTCCAAAGAAAGGAGAAATTTTTGTTTTTAAAATAAATTGTATTTATTTGGAAAATGAATGAATAGATTGTTAAGAAAAATAAAGAGAAATAAAATATAGTCTGTTAACCATTATAAGATCATAAAGTAAAGTATGTAATAAAGTAAATAAGTATGTACTTAATATCTAAGGTTTGTAAATTACTCAAAAAATCTCAAACTGTGAATAAATACAACAATCAAGCGGTTTTTGCATATCGATGACCAAATTCGTTGAATTTATGGGTTCTTTGTAAAGTTTTTGGAGCTTCTGGAATAGTCATGCATTTACTAATTTACAAGCTTAACCTAACGTCAAACCACGACCTTCTGAAACTCTGTAATCAATTATATCTTTATATTATAAAGATTTTGTCATAAAGGACCTTATGGATAGATTATATTAAAAATCATGCAATTCACCATCATTTGACCATCAATATGCAATTAAAAATTTTATATATGTTCAAATACTCATGATAATCAAAGTTCTATGCTCACACATGATGTTATCAAACATTATTGCAACTTTTATCATTCAGAACTACTGGATGCATCAAAAATTATTAAAAATTTGTTAAAAATTTGTACAACATTCGTCTGTAAAAGCTATATTTATTACAATATGATGTTATACAAATAAGATTAAGAATACAAAACAAAATCAAATACTTGCAAAAATTGATCCACCCGAGCGACACAGAGAGATGTAAAGGCAGTTATATGATACCCTAATTTGATCACCATATGTACTCCTTATTGAGCCTTTGTGTCACTCGAGTCAAACTAACTGTACAACTTTTTATTGATACTTGTTACTTCACATGCAGTAAAAACTGGAAGCTGGGGGAGGGGTAGGAGATTTTATGATGATTCTTGTGCAGATCTTTTGACCTTCTTGTTCGATATACCACAAAAAATTTGTACGTAGGAAGTAAGAAGAAGTCAGAAGATCTCATGAGAGATAAAAATATAGATTTTCTTGCTTTGATATTTTTTCGATTAAAAAAGAATGTATGTGTTTCCTCTCAAAACATGCATGATGAAATCAAAACTATATGAAGAAAAATACTTTTTGCTTAGAATTAATCGAAAAAAAAAACTTAATTTTCATCTACAGGAGATTTTGTTTCTGTACAAGTCGTTTTTTTACTTTTTTACCGATTTATTTTTCAAATTCGAATTTTTAAATATTTCAACATTTTCTTTTATCTTATTTAAAATTTTCTGATCTCTAACGAATTTTGAAATTTTACTTTAATTCTTCATAAATTTACGCACATTTGTATAAATTTTTTTCAACTAAGTTTCAATCCTTTCACAACAAAAACACTCTTAATATCACTTTAAAAAAAAACTTCGTAAGGATTCTTTACATTTATAACTGAAATTAAAACCTTTAAGAATTCTCATTTCAAACAAAAAACTAATGGAATTTAAAGAAATGAAACAAGAATATGATTTAGCTTTAGATTCTATGAACGTTTGAAAACGTCTACAAATAAACTAACACAAAAGTCATCTTTTCAACTTGTCTATATTTACATTTCTCTCTCTTTGTTTATTAATTTCTTCATCATCAAAATTATTCATCAAGTTGAATTCCATAAATGTGTGCAACTAAAGGCTTAGGATTCTGTTTTGTCAACAGATAAAAAATTTTAAACTCATTTGTGGGGTGTCGAAATGATTTCGGGAGATTAGCAATATAAATGAATAATTGTTGGAAAAATTAAAATCCAGCCAAAAACATATTCAAGAATGTGATGAAATTCTTTTACATATTCACTGAAAATGTTCCTTACATTCTCTAATCGAGTCATGAAAGGTCTTATTTGTCACAATTTTGTAAATTCATTTTCTTAAAATTGACCAATTTTAAAGTTTTAAGTCTTGTCTGTTTGAATGGATCAACATTTAGAGATTCCACATCAAGAATTTCTTTTCAAAACGTAGATGACATTAACGACTTTTCGTCTTTGGGAAAATCCAGCTCAATTTTTTAAATCTGGTTTAATTACTCCGAGATTTATCTCACATGATTTATAATTCTGGCAAATATTTTTCTTAAACAGGCAAAAAAGTTAAATATTTACATTTCGTATCATCGCTCATTTTCACAAATTAACTGAGATTCATTTAAAATTAAGCACATAATCTGTTTTAGAAACTGTTTATGAAAAATCGCGAATATTTGTGACGCAGAGAAGCTGTAGTTTTGGTGAATTAAAATTGATTTTTTTTGAAGCGTTTAAGAAGTTTTCTTTCCAACCATTCAGCTTTAAAATTTGCATTAAAAATAATCTGATAAACATTTTAGCCTTAATATCCAAAGCCATTCATTTAATATGAATTATAAATCTCCCAATTAGCCATTTCAAAGCCATATGTTGCACAAAAATTCTCTCATGCAAATAATTATATACAATATGTAGTCACATTTATGGAATTCAACCCAAACCAAAAGTCTGTTTGAAACTTTCTTTCATTTTCGTTATGAACAGTAGAAAAAAATATAACACAAGTGAATAACTTTATTTTATATACTTATCTAAGACTAAACTTTCAAAAAAATACCCTAGCTTGTTATGTTTCTAAATGCCATATGCCACGCATTTCTTTCTTTTCATTTTCATATTCTGAGATTCCTCAATATATGTTCACAAATACTTTAATTTATATTTATTTATTTTTTTTGTTCATTAATATCTTTCTTTTTTTAGCATTATTTAAACTCTTTTTTAGATTGCTGCTAATGTAGAAAAATAATAAATTAAGAGCTATCTAAGGTAGAGATTACAATACGACACGACACGACACGACATAGAATATATACTTTAATATCAAAAATAGACTTTCTTCAGTGTTGTAGCGAGTGTTTTTTAGTTGTAACAGGATATTATGTGACTGCAGCGACCATTAAATGGCTAAACTAGCTCCATCTACATCCATTCACATGACCAATGTGTTGTTTCCATCATCGTCAACATAACTTAGTTGTAAAAATGCTGTAATGGTAATTAAAAACCATTTAAGCGTGTGGAACAAATCAATATGACAACTTTGACGACAGTCATGTGGATGAATGTAGTCTCGGTACTTTTGCGATCCAATAATCATTGCTACCTCGAAACTAATATTCCAATTTCAAGTTCTTTCAACGCTGACACTCTAGCAGTGTTCCACTAAACTAGCACTCTGTTACACTAGTTTTATGTTACTCTATTATCTAAGTACTCTAGTCCTCAAGTAGGTTGTTATCCTAGATCCTTGTTTTTACTTCCTCGCTACATCACTGACTTTCTCGATCCCTATCAATTTGTATATATGTTTGACATTAAAGTATATAATATACATTGTAAAAGCTGAGAGTTTCACAAAAGCCAGAACATAAATATAGGAAGCTTTCGCATCGCTTAATTTTTTTTGTCATTTCTCATGTGAATTCGTCTGTAGAATTGTCTTGGAAATGCTTTTTAATTCTCTTTATCTCTCTCATAGTTAAATAAAGAATAGAGTAGGTTTTGTGGATAGTTTACATCATTAATTTTAATTCATATTCAATGCTGAATAGAAAAATAAAGTTAATTTATTATATATTTTCGATATAAAATTAAGAAATAGAGAAATAGAAGAATAGAAGAAGATAGTGGAAGATAACATTACAATTAAATATCATATAACTCATTTGTACCTTTTATATTGTGTCATTCTAATGATAGCTACTAATAGAATTCCTAAAGAATTTTTATTTATAAACACACATACATTTTCATAGCGTCTCATTGGACTTCTATTCTCTTCTAAAAGATTTTTATTATTATTGTTATTTTTTAGTAAATGCCAATTTTAAGCGGGTAAAATTTTTGTAAATTTTAAAAACATTTTTTTCTTAGAAAATTAATAACGATCATTTTTTATAGTCAGAAGTGTATAATACTTAACAAAATATAATAATGGATATGATTGAAACTTAATAGAAATATTAAAAGAAAAAAATAAGTTTCCAAAAGGTAAATTATTTAAAAAAGAACTTAAAATGTTTTAATCTTGATTCTTATTAAATTTATACTATTTGAATAGGTTTTGATGAAACTTAGACTATTCATCTGCGTTTTAAAAATATAAATCTTTAAAAATATAAGCTTACAAGAATTGAAAGCTCCTAAAAATCAATTTTCAAGTTTATGTTTCCCACAAAAATTAATTTGGTATCATTAATTGACGATTAACTCAAAAACTCTAGGAGTCACCTAATGTAGTTCTATGTTGCTCAACCTCATTCATAAGTTGTCTCTTAGTTTTCTAAAGTCATCGAAATAATTTAAATTAACTTTTGAAGTTCTACTAAAATATTCGAATTCGTAATTTCTTAGCTTAAAACCAACAACTCCAGTAAAGCAATTCTATTGAACATCTCAATCAGTAGCTTTGACTGAGTTATCAACATTGACTTCTTTGCTCATTTTTGCCACTATCCTTGATAGTTAAAATTATTTAAAAAATAATATTTTTATGTAATTTATCACAATTTATTGATTTTTGAAGGTTTCCAGAAACCCTTGATCTGCCTAGCTTTGCCTCTGTGTTTGCTTCAAACTTTCAATTAAGTTACCAAACTCTGACAAATTTTTTCTTTAACTTTAAATCTTCAAATTTGAAAATACATCAATTTGTTTTAAAATCAATTTATGAAGACATCCTGAACAACTTTAATCATTTAAAGGAATACATTCCCAAAGAAACAGTGATGAAATAACTCGTGAAACAGAAGGATAGGGGCAAAAAAATATTGGAATTTTGTGGTTTACATTCCTGTGAGGTTTGTGCTGCTAAGATTTATATTAAAAATTCATTGCAACCGTGTAATATAATAAATCGACATTAATCGATAAATCGAAAGAGTTGAATCATTGCCAACAAAAAGTTTCTTCCTTACAAGACGCATCGTTATGCTGCATATGGTATTTTGGGGAAATATATTGTCTGATATTTTTTAAACATAACGAAAAATAAAGAAAATAAACAAGAATCAACGGAAATTTAAGACTCAATTGTTAAGACTTACTTAAACGAACTATAAATTAGACTAAATGATAAGTGCATTTAACGGAAAAAGAAAAGAACAGAAAAAAATGATTGTTATTAATAATCTCAGCACTAATTGAAATTATTTTAAAAAGCTCTGTATGTGTGCTTTTTCAATCAAATAGATAGAATAAGTTTATCACATATTATAGGTTATAAGTTTCTAGCTAAATAGTATTAGTTTTTGAGGAGAATTAAGAGAGTTAACATCTAATTGTCTTTTAACTTATATATTTATTTTATGTCACTTAGAACCACACCAAAAAACCAATTTTATTAAAAACAACAACATCAACAAAAATTATACATTATATATATGTTTTATTAAATAGACTATGCATTGACATGAAACTTTTTTTATATATTATCTTTTTTTTTGACAAAACACTTATATAACGAAATCAAGAGAAAAGTAATAAAAATAAAAAGAACGATGAACAATAAAAAAAGGATACATTGAAGATATGCAGAAATAAAGTTAATGGCGAAGACCAGAACAAAAAAGGAACCGGATTGTATACAAAACGAGAGTGGAATTTGTAATGCTGCAATAATATTGAATTGATTATGGATATTTTGAGTTGAGAGGCTTTTGAGATGGTTTCATTCTTTGTATTTTGTTGGATCAAGGTTATCTCATTTTAACAATACCATGCTCTATATCTTTCAAATTTTGTTTTTTGCCAACTTATTTTAAGTTTTTTTGGTTTAACATAAAATAATTTCTTAATTATGCTCAATAAATCATTAAGTAACCTAATTCATTATCTTTTTAATTATAATTAGTAGTGCCGAATCCATATCTTCACTAATCTTCATTTGAATAGCTTAGCTACAGATTTATTTCAAAATGCTCCTATTTACACTATAGCAACTAAACAGGTAGCGCATTCAGTAGCGGCAGATAGCTTAAATGAACTGATAGCAAAATGATTGATTTTGTTCGTATGGATAAGGCTTAATAATTAAATCTCATGACTTAAGTTTATTAATCAATGAGTAAGAAGTTAACTTTCTATGAATGGTAGCTTTGAATTGATGATTCAACAATCAATGTAATTTTATCATTGTAAGACATTAACCTGGGCTAGTAACCAAGAATAAAACCAATATTTAGATAACTGCCTCAAAACTAGGGAAAATACAATTCTATTTAAAATTTTCATTTGTTAAAAACTTTATGCATCAAAATACATCGCATCCACTGCGCAGATCGGGAGATATCATCATCATAGATATTTGAGAATATAAAATAAAATTTATTACTTTGCTCTGGCTTTCGAACAATGAAAAACGAATAACGAATGATATTTTTTTTTCTTTGTTTTAACTTTAAACAAAATTTAAATTAAGTAACGAACAAAAATGAAAAACGAAAAGAAAAAAGATTGTCAACAAATTACATAAAAAGATAACATGTTTATGCAGTGATGTATAAGTAAATAATGTAAAGTTGTTAAAGAGTAATGTAATGTGATTTTGCAATTTGTCAACTGAACTTTGTTTTAATTTGCTTTTTTCTGTTTTTTTTAAATATTTTTTTGTTTGTCAACACTTCTTACCTACGCCCCCTCTCATTTTTTAATGTTCCCCCATACTTTGGTCTCGTTCCAATTAAATCGATAATCTCAGGAATGCAACTTGCAAATATCGCCTGAATAGCAATAAGTTTTTAATGATTGGTGAATAACAATGAGAATGTAATAATATTTTTCATGTCTTTTTTTGTATAAAATTTTTTTTCTATACTTTTCAATTAGGATTTTTTTTTCTTTTTTAATTAAGAAATTTTTTTAAAAAAAATTATGAAAAGAAAAAAATTAACAAAAAAAAGTTTCTTCTTGACGAACAACTTAAAATTATACATAATAATTTTGTGTGGTAATTAAGAAAGAAAATTATATAGACAATTAAATTATAAATTAAACTTTTTTTTGATGTCATTCGCTCATAAAAGAATCTGGGCGATGCATTTAAATAGTTCATAGACTTGTACATGACGAAATTTTGTTTAAGATTTCTAAATACTTTTTAGCTAGTTTATAAGATTTTAAACTGTAATTAAAATGGGATTAAGGCAAAGCGTTTTCCCTATAATTTGCAAAAGGATTTATGGTTGATAATATTAGATGTGACTCGAGATTTTTGGGTGACTTTATAGAAATTTTAATAAAACCTTTTAAATTCTTTTAAAACATTCCAAAAGTCACATCAAAATTTATTTGCAGAGCTAGAAGTTGATTCGAATTAAGTATGAAGTCAAATCTACTCGAACTGACTATTTTTTACAAAATTCGAATTAAATTCGAGCTTTGTCAACGAGATTACACATTCATGATAATATAAATATCTGGAATGTCGTTTAGAATTGTGAGAATTCTTGGATTATCGACTCGAGCATCATGAAGACTATTCTTGTGCGATTTGAGAAAGCATAATCCAGATTCAACACAATCACGGCACCTCAAAAATTAAAATAATAATTCGTATGGAAAGAAAATTTTTTTCAAAGCCTTTTCTTAAACTAAAATCTGCATTATAATTTTAGCAAATTAATCATGCACAAAGTAAATTTAGCTGGTAAAATAGCCAATCATAAAAATATAAAGTAAACAATCTCACAGAAAATCACCCAGATTGTTCCATGAGCAAATGATACATGAATTTAAAATAAAATTTGATAATCAATAAACCGGATACATATTTCATGTTGATTAAAATTTAAGAATTTTGTATGCTTTTTTCACATGTTCATTATTTACTAAAATAGTTTTCATTCATATCCTCCCCATAATATTATTTCTTGTTTTGGTTTTTCCTGTATTTATTGTTCTTCATGGCTACTGGAAATTTTTCTATCAAAATAGAATATATGTTACATAAAAATATATTACAGATTATTGTATTTTTTACAGTCTAGGTGGTTACAATACAAAGATTTATTCATCTTGTATTTTTTAAGGGTCGTAGTCAAATGACTGTTATAGAGGAAGTCTCATGTCTCAGAATTTAGGGAATGTGGTGGTCATTTTAGATGTTTTTAATGTTATTACATGAGCTAGTCTTGCTTATGTTAATTGAAATTGGATGTTAAGACTTCTAATCGAATATTTAAAATCAATTTCGGAATTCAGGTAACACTTTAGGATGAAATGAATTACTTTGTAAAATTTTTATATCAATCTTGATCCAAGAAAGGTAGAGGAATCTAAGATAGCCATTACAAGTTCTTTTGCAATTCAGTGTTCGACTTGTTCAAAAAAATTAATTAAATTTGAGTCCGAATTATCAAAAAGGGACTTCTAAAGACTCCGAAACACAAGAAAATAAATTTAAGTTCAGTCTTTAATCTTCAGAAACTTTCCAATGACTCTATCTATCATAATTAACACTTGGATTATCAACAAATTTTCATGGATTTGTAAAACTCTTTAGACATAGCTTAAGGATATCTCAGAATCATCCACAAAATAAGAATCAAAGCACAAGTCGAGAACATATTTCCATCGTACCTATAACTGTCATTTGACTACAATAGAATTGCTAAATTGAAGAAATTTCATAAAATTTTTGGCTAATTTATTTTCTATGAATTTCCTCAATTTACAATTAAAAAAAAATCTTTTCATGTCAATTTAAAAAGTAAATTAAGTTAAAATGAAGTTCAAAAAAGGACGTTTGATTTCTTGGATCTAATGAAGACTACTCAACTCTATATACTCTCTATAGATATACACATTCTTCTTCTTTCTTATGTCTTTTTTTTGTACGTAAATTTAGATTTTTTTAAAAATTGTAAATTTCTTTTTCTTCTAAATTTTTTTCTCTCTCACAAAATTTATTTGCAATCTTACGAAGTTGTGCAGAAATTCTTTTAAGGAAAAATGGATTGAAACTAATTACAAAATTTCTCAATCGTTTTTTTAAAATCTAATTAATTCAATCAAATTGGAGGTTTTTTAAAAGAAAATGAAACAAAATTGCATTAATGAGTTAAGGAATAAATTAAAATGAAAAGAGATGTAAAAAGGAAGTCAAAAAACTAGAAAATATGTGAAGAAAAATATTTTTATGTTAAATAAAATTAGAATTTTTTTTCAATCAAATTTTCAATATATGGAAAATGGAAATGTTGCAAGTATCTAAAAAATGGAAAAGATCAATCCATAAATGAAACTTCTTTTTTTGTCAATTCAATAATTTTAGCACTGTCGAAAATTTCCAAATTTTTCTAATCAAACTTTAAATCATTTTTGTCAATTTTGTCAGTGCTACAATAATTGTCAAATTTTTTATTTCGGTCATTCGATATTAAATTCAATTAAGTTTTATGGATTAGATCGTCTAAATGCGTGGCTGCGGCATACAGGCTGTGCAAGCAAAAATTCATTATTGTAATTTGAACAAATTCTCAATTAAAAAAAAATATGTATGTATCTACTATAGTAAATGAATTATCAATAGTAAACTCTCAAATAAAACCAGTTTTTTGCAATAAAATATATATATAAATGTATCATGACCGTAAAATGGTAATTGTGAAAAAGGGCAAGGAAGTGTTTTAAGGAAGGTATTTTTTTTTATAAAAAATAACAAGAAAAGTAAACTTAAAAAGTTGTTGGATTTAAGGTTAAAAAAAATTGTCAAATAAAACACAATCTCAAACTTTCACTGACTCTTATTTTTTGTGTGTCATAAAAACTCATTTTTTCAATTCAAAAAATTTTCAATTCGTTATTTTTAAACATCAAAAAATTATTCTAACTGCAATATTATAATTAAATATATACACGATGGTATGTGATGATGATGGTTCTACGATGAATGGAATTTATAACAACAAAAACTTTTTATGTTGACAGATACGCCTGATTAATTAATCATAATTGTCAATTAAATTATATCGGAAAAATTAAACTATCAAAAAATTATAAAATATGAAAAGAAATCAACCACATTTTTCTGTTTTTAAAAAAACCAAGTTAGATAAAAGAAAACTTAAAAAATCATTTTTGCACAATTTTTTAGGTTATGTTTTTTTATATTCAAAATAAATATTTTTATTGTTAACGATAGAAAAAGTGTGTGTATTATCTTTACAAATTGCATGAAAAGCAAATCAAGTATATTAAAAGAGCTGAGATGAGCAGATGCCAAGAAACCAACGCACTTTTTTTTTGAAAAATTATAAATTTTTTAAAATCTCAAATTATTTTAATTGGTGGTCAAAAGTTCAAATAATTGTAATGAATTGAAAAATTAAATGGATATAGCTGTCAACCAATATGGATACATGTATGAATTTATTTTTATGGCTGTTGCCATTTCGATTATTTTTTTTGGGTTTTGTCGCGTAAAGGACGATTGGTTGATGCCAAAAAAAATTGAACTTATATTTTTTATGTACCTTAAATATATAGAAAAGAGAGTAACAGAGTAAATTATAAAATCAATGAATTTTGATGCTTAAAATAACGAATTGAAAATAATAGTTTAAGTATTATTTAAGGAATTAAAATAAATTAATTCAAATGATAAAAAAGAAATGAAATATTAGGGAGGACGATTGTCGAGATGGTGTCATGAAATTGACAGAATGCAGTGATGTAGCAAGAGAACCTCTAAAGAATGAATTTTTCAAACCGAGGAGGTTCGTTCAGAACGTCGACTAAGAGGTGTCACAGAGAAGTAACTCAATAAACTCAACAATAACCCTTGCCATCCTACTTTAAAATCAAATTTAATAAAAACTTATGAAGAATTCAGTGCAAAACTCAGAAGTGAGTCAATAAATTGAAACTCAACTTTCATGAAACCACAACAATTAATCCTCCCTAATAAAATTCAAAATAATACCTCAAAAAATTGAAATAAAATCAGGAAAAGCTCTCTAATGTAGTTCTGTCATCATAAGAAAAATAATTGAAAAATTCTCAATATTTACACAAAAAAAATGTAAAATGTTATTTGATTTCTTATTTAAAAATTTTGAGTTATAAAAAACTACATTAGTCATAAAAAAAAATTTTAAATCAAAATCTTTGAGCTTCATACGTGAAAAAAATCAAAGAAATTAAAAGTTTTTAATTATAAAATTCACTTATTCGGATGAATTCATATTATCTAAGTGTTGTTTTATACGAAATTGAAAAATTTCTATAAAAAAGTCACTCAAAAATTTTTCAACTTCATCGAATTAAAAAAAAATCTTATTTAGATGTTTGCATAGCATATAATATTAGTAAAAATAAATGATAATGCTTCGTATAAGAGTAAAAGGAAAATGATAATTTTAAAGTTAAAAATAAAGTTAATTATTTGGTACAACATTTTCCTGTGTACCTTTTTCGGACGTCCTTGTTATATTTTCCACCGTATTTGCTACGCTGTGCGGCAAGTTCTGTTATCTCTGGAATCCATGAGGCAAAGACCGCCTTTTTTTGGGAAATTAATATGAATTATTTAAATTATTATAGTTTTTCTTTCAATAATTTCATATTTTTTTGATTTGTTTTGTTTGTTATTTTTTCATTTCGATCACTTAACACTACCCAAATTTTTTCGAATTAAATTTATAATACATGTTTTTTTAATATTCCTTAAACATATTTCAAAAGAATTCTATTAATTTTGAAAATATTCTATAAAATACATTATTATTGAAATATTTTAATCAATTTCGTTACAATTTGTTATTAATATTGTGTTTTTTAAATTCATTAACCATTAGTCAAAATCTCCTGAATCCAAAAATTATTTTTAGTAGTACTTAATCTGTGATAATATACTAAGTTGCGCTTGAATTAAGAGTTTGTTTAAAATTTAACACTTGAAAATAATTGCAATTTCAAATATAGATAGTAAGGTTTTTGAGATTTAATAAGTAACTTAAATAAAATTATTACTGTTTAATAAGTTAATTTAATAATCGTAGGTTATAATTAAGTTTTGGTTTGGAACTTTTAAAATTGTTTGGAGTTTAGAATTGATAAAAAATGATCAAAAAATATAGAAATGAATTAAAAGAATTAAATTTGAAAAAAGTCAAAAAATGATCAATTTAATCAATTCAATCAAATCAATTGGTTTCAAATGTTAAAATTTATTGGAAACAATTTAGAAGATTTAGAATTGTTTACTGTAGAATTTAAAATCAATGTTTTGTTTCGACAATATTCAAATTTTGAACAACATTACTATTGTTCCGAAACCAGCCAAAATGATTTAAATTTTAAAAACCCGTTCAATTAAATTTTCATACTTAAATCATGTTCAAAAAGGAACTTTAAATCAAACATTAGATCGATTTATGATTGACTCAAGTTATATTATTTTTTAAAAAGTTCAAAACAATTACTGAAATTCTTAGTCAATAATTTAACCATATTTGACCAAACTTAATTTTAAAAGTTCCAAAACTCAATAAAATATTCAAAAAATGAAAAAGGAAATAGAAAGAATAGGAAAAAAAGAAAATCAAAAAGAAATTACAGAACAGAGGAATATTTAGCAACAGGGGATCAAGATTCCATAAGAAATAAGATACTTTCCAAATTAAATTCATTTCATACAAAAGAATTTTAAGAATTATAAAATCTTTAAAAAACCAAAAGGAAAGAAAAAAGTTGTTACACAATGTGTTAAAAAAAATCTCATGATGTCCAAAATTAGATAATTTTTCGTTCCTGACTATCTGTTTTTACATTAACAATTTTATATACATTGACATTAAAAAACATTTTCAATAAGTAAAAATCATAATGAATTAATATCATAGTTAGCACAATGAAATTCGCCAATTATTACAAAATTTATACATTTTATCTTATTCAAAATAAAATTTAAATAAAATTATTTTTAGATTTTTTTCAAAAAACATAAAAATAACTTGAAGAAAAAAATATATTATTTTACGATACATTTTATTTCAACTTTTAAAAAAGAATAAAAAGAAGACAAAAAACTATAAACTATCTATAAGAGAATAGATTTCATAGTTTAAAAAAGAAAATGAAAAATGAACAAAAGATTTGAGACAAAAATATCTTGAAAGAAGGGGTTAACAGACTATATCTAAGCAGATGAAAATAGCCTAGAGGTACTGAATGACTATAGAAATGGAAATAGAATAGTTATGGGAAAAATCATAAAAAACAGGGTTGATATGCTAAGTGTCTGTAACTGCAGGCTAGTTGTGCTACAATAATGACAAAGAGCACGCTAAATAAAGCCATATGCTGCTTAGTGAGCATACTCTTTGTTTACTAAGGAATAACTAAGGAAAGGAGATTGAATCACAGGCACAGCTGAATTGTGTTGTTCGATGATTTGTCATCGACAGTCAAAGATTCAACAAAGTTTTCGTTCATTTTCAGTAGTTTTATCATAGGTCCAAATCCGATAAAATTAGTTTGAACAGGGATTACGAAATATCTGGTTGCATCAAAACTTAAATTGTCATATATATTTATAATTAAGACAAATTTAAGTTTCATCAATTTGTCCAGTTGTCAAAAATGACTAGCCAATACAGCCACTGTATAGTTTTTGGAGATAATACCCTACCGCCTTGTAGAGTGACCGAAAAGTGAAAATGTGAGAAGCATAAGTCTATATTCTTATTGTCGGATTAAGATACATTATTTAACATATGTTATCTTTGTAAGTTATGGCTTGCAATGCAACCAAGTAAAGCTGTCTGTGCCTGGGGTCTCTGAGTCTGTCTGTTCTTATTCTGTGAGAAAGATTCTACAAGATTGCAGCTACATCGCAACTACACAACTATCAACCCTGCAAATACTATATAACATGGAAACAAACAACTCGACAGCAATCGAGTTTACTCTCAAAATACAATATTTCAATGATATTATAAAAAAATAAAGAATATGAAGAGAAATAAAAACAATAAAATATTTTGTGGGAAGGTATAATGGTGGATGATGATATAAAAGAAAGGGGAGACGAGAATATAAAAAAAAAAATTGCACAGCCACATATTGTATTAGCATCTCTCAAGTAATCTCAATAGATTTATAAGATAACAACTTATTATTATTATTTTTTATTGTATTTAGAATGAGAAGAGGCAGAATTGACTGAAATAATTTTTTTTATGATGAACCGAATTGCGGTATTGATGCTTTATACCTCTTTCCATGTTCTCTCTTCAATTCGCCACCATATTTTGAGCCGCTTCCAACAAGTTCTATAATCTCCGGAATTGAGCTCGCAAACATTGCCTACACATATGTACACACACACATTGAATTATTTGTTGATACGATTTTTTAAAAATAATTTTTTTTTATGTCAGATGTTAGATATGGGGAAGTATGATTTTGAGATATAAAAATTAAGTCAATAAATGAATTCTAAAACTACAGCACACAAATTAATGTATTTTTTTTTTCAAATCCCTTAAAGTATAATTTTGTTCCGTATTTAATTTTCAATTGCTGCATCTATGCATTGTGATTGATTTTTTTTTGAATGAAATAAATTTTTTAAAACCCAATAAAAATAAATATTTTACTAGTTGATAGTTTAAAAGAAAAATTTGCAACAGCCATAGATTCTCTTGGTTTTATACATGCACCGCAACTTACAGAGCAAAATAAAGAAAATATAAAATAAACAGATTTGTTTAAAAAAGAAGCTTCTCTATAAACTACGGAAATTTCCTTTCAGGATCTTAAAGACTTTTTGTATATTTTTTTTGTTACTTGTTTTTCATGCAAAATTTGTTTTTTTTTTCTGTACATTTAATTTTATCACATTTTTTTTACAATATTTATTTTTTTTTATATTGTGAATGTGGGTTCAAGGTTTGAATGCTTTGTAATATTTTTATTTTTGAGGGAATCTTAATATCTGGTTATTATACGATTTTGATACAGTTGTTTCCAAGTAAAGAATAAGAAATGAGAAAGATATTATTTACAGTGGAATAAAAGTTTAAGTTTGAATTCTGCTAAGCTTATTAACAACCCCCGATAGCTCAGTGATAACATTATGCAACCAGAAATCTGAATGATGGTTCAATTCCTACTTGAGAGAAGTTGTTTCTGTATTCTATAAAATTTTCAATATTTGAACTCAAGAGCGGAGCCAAGTAGTCGAAAATTTCTATTTACGGCCTCTCCTCAACTTAATCTACTTAAAAAGCTTAAAGAGTTTACCGGAGAGCAAAATCTTTACTTTGATTCGAAAAGTCGGAAACCAATGTCCTCAAAAAATTTAAGAAACAAACAAGAATCATGTAAAAAGTCTACTAATCTACAGAATCTCCATCAGTTAAAATTAAATTTTTTTAAATGGAAACTGTGATCACATCTTAAGATACACCATAAGCCAATGTGGAAATTTCCATCTTCTCTTATTAAATCTGCTGCTAATCAAATTCAAAATACAGCTCAGAGCTCTTTTTTTTCTCTGCCTTTAATAGACTTTCCGCTTCAAAATTCACAAATGCGCAATTTCTTGATATTACTTGCGAAACATTCAAACCTTGACAACAAAAATAAAAATTACACAAACATAAGGTTAATGTAGACATACAAACAGATACAATTTCATTATTTAATTCTTTTTCCTCTTGTCTATCATTTAAAAGCTATCTAGGGTAAGGTCAAATAATAAAGGAAATAGTCCTAAACACAACAAATTGGAATTTTTTTCTATCACATTATCAGCTTCAATTATAAATAAAGAAATTGGATACAATAAAAATTAATCAAATAAATAAAGAAGAAAGAAAAGTTTTTTTTTGAATTTGTTGCTGAATAAGTTTTTTTAAAAATAAATTTTACAATAATCTTATTGCCAATACATTTAAAATTAAAGCTTAAGAGCGCAACTTTAGCACAAGCTCCTCATAAAAATAATGAATTATACCTCAATAATCTCATTTTTTTGATATTTATTAAAAAATTGTTAAAAAAATCATATTATTCTACTTATCTTATACAAAAAAATTAAATTATAGTTCATCAAGGACAAAAAGCTATGCAGAAGCATCATATATAATAATTATGATCATGTATAAATCGCTATAAAAATATGAATGTCATGTTTCCTTTTTCTTCCATACTTTTTAATTTATCGTGAATTAGAATTAATTTTTAAAAAATTTCCTCATTCGCCATTGTGCTAGTTTGTTTTTAAAAAATATTAAAATGTATAAATTTATTATTGCTGGACGAATGGAGTCAAGATTATCATTATCCTTTAAGAAGAATGCAATTTTTTTCACATTTAACTTTCTTTTCTGTTTTTAATGATTATCATCTACGATTACATTATCATTAACATTTTTTTTATATCTTTTTAAAAAGTTTCTTAAATTCCCATAAAAATTATCATTAAATTATTATTTTTTCGTCTCAATATTTTTTTTTTTAAATTTCTTCCATTAACATTTTTAATTACATATCATTATTTTTTTATATAAAACTCAAGTTACGTCAAGGAGTTACAAAAAGTAAATAAAATAAGTTAAGGAAGAAGAAAAGTAAAGAGAATAAAAGGAGAATAAAATCATTCATGTACTCACCAAACCGACGAGTAAGAAGAATACCAAAAATGTTCTGCCAAGAACTGTCTCACAAAATACGTCACCATAACCCACTGTTGACATCGTTACGATGAGAAAATAAACACATGTCCAATATGACAATTGATGAGGATTGTTAAATTCCAATGGATCGCCAGAATTTTCAAGCTATAGTTTTAGGAAAGAAAAATATTAAAAATTAATTTCATTTTCATTTCTGTGATTATCCATGGATAGAAAGTTTAAGACTTTTTTCCCATGTGAATAGAAATTAATAAGAATTATTGGAAACGACACATCTGTTGCAGTCAATTTGATATATAAGGTAAACGACGGGTAATTTTCATATAGACAGAATGACTAAGCACTTTTTCTTGGCATAAAATTATTTAAATAATGTGAAAAAAAATTAATAATACAGCGGTCATTCACTTATGTCATTTGAGACAAGAAATTGAGGATTAGTCGAGAGATGAGAAGGAATAAATTAAGCTGATAATGAAGTTAAATCGTTATGAAGTCATAAAATTTTAGTGGTCTCGATCAAAGCGCATTTTCAAAAATCTATTAAAACTTAGGCATCAAATAGTTATGTAGGTAATATCCTGTTTCATGTAAAAAGGAGTAGTGGGAATGTCTAAAAATTTCATTTCATTGGAGGTCCTAATTAAAAACAGCCATGAATTCAAAAAATCGACTGCAAATTTTCTCTTACAAAATTGTCTAAGCACTGCTTAAAATCCATATAAACAATTTCCGTATAAATCTCATCTCACAACAATTTTTGGCAACAAAATGATAGATTGGAAAACCCCTCAATCTCGAGTGCTGAGGTCATACTCTACATATTGTGAGATGTAAACAACTTTCAATCTTGACTATGCAAAACAGTTGCCAAGAAATACTGACGAATAGATTGATGGACGGATAAGACAAGCTTATGGAAACAGCCCAGATAAGGTCATTTGTTTCGTACGTGACACTGCACACGAGCATAACTTACCAAATGAATGATTCCAGCGGCTGTTAACCAAACGGATATAAAAATTGATACTAATTGCGCTAAACGAATAGAGCTTGATGTTTTAAGTATATTTAGATATTGTAAGATATCCGGAACGGTCATAAGTCGTAGTGCTCGAAGGAATCGAAGACCTATGTAAATGATAAGAAAATTGGAGTTAATTAAAAGGGTCCGAAACAAAATAATGACAGCCAAATGCCAACATATTTATGTACTCACCAATCCACGTGCGGTCTAAATATATCGACACAAAGGACGGGGGTATTGTGAAATAGTCGACAAAACTGTACATTTCTAACATAAACCAAAATTTATCAGATGCTGCTATGAACTGAAAATGGATGTAAGAGTAAATAGGTAAGTAAGTTTTCAATAATAAAACAGCACGAACAGAAGAAAGTGCTGGAAGTTATTCAGATGTTATGTAACGAATTAGAATGGAGTTCGATATACTGTAGGTTGAAGCATAACTGAGAATTTGGTTATGCTTAACTGATTAAACAGTTAAGATTGATTTTTAAGATACAGAACGGGAAATTCTCGAAAGTTTCAGTCAAACTTTCTTAATTGAGAAAGCTAAGGTTTATTCTTAGGCAATGGTGCATCTAGAGGCAGGAAATAATTTTAAAGTATCTACTTCAGAGCCTTAATAATTGATGTACATAAGATTTTCCTAAGATATAGCAAATAACAGGTCAAAAATGAGACCACAATTCAAGCATTACATAACATCCAAATGACCCCAAATATTGAAAGACGTCTAATTTTAACTTACTCGTATAAAAAAGTACACCATAAAAAATATATTGAATGCAAGATCGATTTGTTGTGTAGTATTGTCGCTCCATTTTTGACAACGTTCCACTTTTTCATGTGTTGCATCGATAAAGTAAATGATGAGTGATGCGATACTAAGAATAAAAACAAGAACCACCTGCAAAGGACATAAAAGAAAGAGAGGAAAAGTAAAATAATTGTAATAATTTGTGTAATAAAAACTTATTAATAATTCATTATGTATGCAAACACATTCTCCATTATTAAGCATGGAAATTGCTCATTTTTAAAAAAAAGGACGTGAATATTTAAGATTCCATGTCAAGTGCATTTCCACCATTTCCTCTCACGCAATTATTTTTGCATTAATAAAATTACTTTAGTTTTTTTCAAACAGCCACAATTTTGTTTAAAATGTAAACGAACAGGAATATTGATGTTTAAAGTCAAAAGGATGAGTTTTTAGACTCGACTGTATGGAAATGCTTCAAAGCTTCACAATCTCTATCCCAATGTATGCTTGACGTCATTTTTGAATGACCCCATTTCCTTACTTCATATATAAAAATCTTTAAGACCTAAAAATACATACTGTATTCCAGTAGGAAGAACAATATAACGTGGCAGCTCATTTTGTGTATATATACAATAAAAAAGTTTATAATAAAACATGCTTTTCTGACTCTCATGACATGCGCAATACTCATTATTCTCGTTATTTGAGTGTCTTTACTTTCCACACACAATGACACAAATTGAAATATTTTCGATTTTCATCATTCAATGTTTTCATACTTCATTCATGTTGGATTTATAAAAAAAAAGCTCCCTTCCTGATATATGTTTTATTTCTTTCCCTGCTCTATATTTTCCATTTCAAGTATTTCTTTCTTTTTTACTGTCGACTCAGGGATGGGAGAACTTTTATTTTCGGTGTATATTGAGAACTAGCAACATTTACTTGCAAAATAGCACAGTCATCTTAAGTTTGTGAGAAAAATATCACTGTCATTATTATCATACTGGAGCTGCCAACAGCAATTTTTGTTGTAATTACTACTATTTCTTATATTATGCTGTTGGCAGTAACTGGGTAGCTGCCATTTTGTAGATTCATAAGAATTCTAAACAGCTGTCTGTTGGTAGTTTATTTTTTCTTCAAGGAAGTATTGATTTCATTGTTAATGTAATATCTGTTAAACAGATGTCAGAATTTAGGGGTTCTGAATTATTGTCTCCATACAAAATGATTTGAATCTCGGTAATGACGTAGACTTGGGGACTAAACTTATAAATGAAGGATAAGCTGTCAAAGGACGAAAGGTTGTGAAACTGATTGACAATTATATAAATCGCTTTGTAAGGAATTATGATGGCATAAATAAGCATTAAGGAAGTAAATTTGAAAGCCCAGCTAGAAACGGTGACCGGCTAGATCGAGGTCTGAGTTGTCCTTTACTTTGAATGTGAAAAAACTTCTTTATTTGTTCTTATGAAGCTTGAAAGATTACTTACTTAACTTGTAGGCACAAAAACGCCATCATTGACAGAATATCCATTCAATTGACATAAAATTGCTAAAGACAAACTCGAAAACCTCCTTAAAAACTCTCCATCCACTCAAAATAAGACCATTTTGAATGCTTTTTATCTCTTCATATTTTTAAAGTGCGTCTCACAGTCTCAAATCCCCCTACATCCTTCAAAATATTAAATTCTATATTGTAAACGACTCAATATCAATTCACTAGCTTATAAAATAATCATGAACATTTTCCAACCCCTGACAATCTTTTTTACGATATTTTAGTGATGAATATCTCTTTGCCTGTCTTAGAGCGACATTTCAAAATATTTTATTTTATTATTGACTGAAGGATGTTGATATAAAATAAATAAATTTTCCCATACGATGAAATAAAGATTAATAAAATGAGTGTCATAATTTTAAATAAAAGATCATTTACAGCTGGGTCGTGAGTAGAATTTTGTTCATACAAATTTTTTTATCTAATAAAATAAATCAACAGAAAATCGCAATTGCCGTCGAGTATTAAAGATAATCTTCTGTTGCACATTCAATTTCCCAATCTAAATGTCTACTAAAGCGATTATTTGTGAATAAAAATCAAATTTAAAATTATAATGACGTGAATTAATCTAAAACATATCAACAGATTTGTTTCAATGAAGTGTGTGCAATTTTCTGCCATTTATTTATCTATGAATTAGTCTCAATTTCATAATATTCAGCTTTTTTTATGAATAAAATGTGTAGAAAAATATTGGATGAACTCCAACAAACTGCCTCGTAGTGCTTAACTGTTTTTTTTTTGTATGAATAATAATATTGAAAAAGTCAATGTACTCATTATAATCGTATAGGAAAAAAATAACAAATAAATCGATCAGACTGAAGACAGTGAAAAAAAAAGTTTTGAAAATGGATTAAAGGACTTGAATCAACAATGGCAAAAAAAATGTTTTATTTCAAATCGATATCAGAGTGTTCATGAAAGAGCATTTTGTAGCCGCGAAACTGAAATTTGTAAACTCGTATAGAAATGAATAGCAAATTAAAATTGCTGTTGGCCATAAATCATATCAATTTTAGAATTTATGCAAATCGTTGTGCAGCTCAGACATATCAAATGCGAGCATAAAGTTGAAATTTATTATCGCATAAAAATAAAATCAGCGCATTTTTCATGCGAATCGAAAATTGGGGCTGGATTATTAAAGTTCAAAATTACATAGGCATAGATTTTTCGACATACATAGGTCAGGATTGATTAATATTTGTCAATCTAGCACTTGTTGCTCTGTGTACGACACCCTTCTTACTTCTCAGAAATTGGTTGACAGATTTACATAAATTTTTCCTTATCCTGAATGGCATTGTTCGCTGGAGTTTATGGGTGTTGATGCTTTTTTTTAAAAATTCAACATGAAAACTTTTTTTTTATTTCGGGTGAGTGTGTCAACAGAGTGCTAATTTATTTCCATCAAGCGAGTCGAAAAGCAAACTTTTTTGCAACAGTTTTTGATTCTCTTTTGGTTGGAACGCGTTGAAAGTTTGTCTGAATGCATTTCTGGTGTGAATATTTGCATAAAAGCTTTTAATTCTGCTTTTTTGCATCTCTTGATTAAATTTTGCATCTATTTTAGCATCTTTTGATTGAGTTTTGCGTCTATTTTAGCATCTTTTGATTCCGTTTTGCGTCTTGTGATTCACAGACACAAGCTAATCTACAATCAACAATTCAAAATCACTCAAAAACCTGCAATATCCAACACAAACTCGAAATCCATTCACTCATCCTGGAAATCTCATCAACAATTTATACATGGCGCCGTTTATCTATTGTATATAGTTTTTTCAAACATCTTCAAAATCTACACTTAAACAATCGAGATATAAAATTACAAATCCACTAAAGACACTCGTGCACCGCACTGCAAATGCCTCGCAATTTAGAGAAGAAGAAAATTAGCTTATTTGTTCTTTAAGCACACTTGTGCGGCGAAACAATAGCTTGATAGAAATTTCACATAGTGATGCATAAATCATAGCTCATGACATTAAATCCTCGTATGTGTACATTTTTGAATTCTGTCCAAGTTTTTTCTTTTATGTATGAATGCAATGTGCACACAAAAAAAAAGATGAACAGCTGATGAAATGACTAAACTCTAAGCAGCTTAGCATATATGTTAATTTTCAACATCATCGTATTATGCTTTTTAACGAATTTTTCATCGCATTTAGTTTCATATTAATTTATTTTTTATTTTGTTTGGGGTATGTCTGTCGTGAAGGAAGTCTCTTTTTTCTGTAAACATTGATTTTTGTTCTGAATCAAGTGTACATGTTATGTGATACATAAGATGCAAGTAGTTCAAGTAGATCAAGACATATTCACATGAACTTATTAAGTTTATAAGACAACATATGTTATATATCGACAGATGTACTTGTATAGTTAATGTATGAACAAATGAGCAACTTTATGTAATATGTGCTATGTTGCAGATATTGGTGGATGAATAAATTGCTAGCCGAAAATATAACAAAGGCGAGGAGGCTAAACAAATTGTCTATTGTTTTATCTGTCTACAGGGACATTTTAATTTATTGGTAGATAAATTTTTAAAGAGGCTGCTTTTGGTTGGGCTTGACTGTTGGATGTTGATGCTATCGTTGGATATAAGTTGGCTTTAAGAATTAATTGGGGTATTATCTCATGCATGTAATAAATTGGTATTATATAAGAGCATGAATGTAGAAATTGGTGAAGATTTAAGCTAGCTGATGATTGATAATATTTCTTGGGTATTGTAGAGCTATCCTTTTTAGAATTGTATCCATTTAGACTAGTCGAAACTTTTAGGAACAAGCCAGATACACCATAGACATAGCCTATGTTCATTTAAAAGAGCTTAGTCATTTGGTTAGAGACATCATCGATTCAACAATTTTAACGACCTCTCGTCGTTCACATCAACTTAACATTAACATCGAAAAAAAAAAAATTAATGTTCCACTTGATATTCAAAACACATGTTTGAATAGATATTGCCCATTAACAAACAGTAAGCCTTTATGTACAATCTTGGGTAAAGAGTCGAATAAATTATCAGTGTCGCGCTCTTAAATAATAAGTATCATAACAGTAGCAATTTATGCAAATCACTCAAGAACTAGTTTCTATCGAAGTAATTACTATGGCAAGTGTAATGAGAAAATAAATGAATATTAAAAGAATATTTATTGAGGTTCTTAAGTTTGGAATAATTTTTAAAGGGGTTGGATAGAAGTCATGTCTTTGGTACAATAGACTCTATCGTTGATCAAGATTACAGTGCTTTCGGCATATCGCATCGTATAGAAACACATACGATTTTGCTGGAACTCTTTTACATTATTTTCAGTATAAGTTTTTCGCAAAGAATTTAAATTACTTAAAATCTCTGCCTGCTGCCTGCGTTGGGGTTATTTTGGGTCAGTGACACATAAACCAACGGCTTCTGACAATCAAAGACGATTGAAAATGTTGGCTTCTAGTATAAAGACTTAAGCTTCACTGTCTAGAGCTTTTTGGCATTGCATTAGAAAATTGTTGCTAGGAAGGCGTAAGAAGAGTTGCATTTATAGTTTTTAGAGCCAGTTTGGCAAGTCATATATCTGAAGCAGTGTTGCATTCTGGCCATTTGTCTAGATCAGATAAATTCTGAGTCAGAAATTTCTTCATAAAGATCGATTCTATATGAAGATAGAAAATCTAATCTACGCAAAGATTATTTCTACATAAAGAATCTGTCTACATAAAGATTCGATGTAGATGTCTACAATTCTATATTTTTCTCTGATGTAGACCTGGAAAAAATGTAGAATTGAAGACATCTACATCGAATCTTTATGTAGACAGAATCTTTATGTAGAAATAATCTTTGTGTAGATTAGATTTTCTATCTTCATATAGAATCGATCTTTACGAAGAGAGTTTCTTAGCTAGACAAAAACTATTGAAGAATCTACATTCTTCATCTAGTGTAGACATCTACATTTGCAACACTGATCTGAAGTCAAGCTTAAAGTTTACATATGTACATCCTCTAAATTGACTATACCATACATGCTCCTCAAAATCCAATTTCACAGCAGATGTTTTCTAATTTCTATAAATGACCCTCGAAGGTTGCATAACAAAAAAATCTTTTCCATTTTTACAAATAAAAAAAAAATTCATGCCATCAAAGCTGTCTGGCTGATAGTAAAAGTTCCGAAATATAAATTATGCCACGTCTAAGCCAAAATCACTAAATGCACAACAAAATCATTTCCGTGTTATATCCAAAATAAAAGTTCATGAAATAAAAAAATTTATAAAAAATCAAAAGCTGAACTTTTTCTTTCAATATCAGGCTCATGACAATTGACACATTTTGTATAATATTTTCAATGATAAATATGGAACAACAATGCTTAATAATAAGGGAGGAAAGAAATCGATAATCGAGAAGATAAGCATTAAGGTTTGATGAAGAAATCAATTGTAAAGTATTGACACAATGTGACGAAAATAAGTCATTCATCGTCATGGATAAAAGAAAAAAAAATGGGGACAGACATGAAAGCAACAGCAACAAACTAAAGTCATTTATATTCAGATATCTAAAATTGTCAGCTTTATGTAAGATAGATAATGTACACATCATTAATGCTTCAAAAAGGGATGTTTTCATTTTCATTAGCTTTCATGTTTTTTAGATCTAGTGTAAGTATACGAACGAGGTTTGAGGTCAATGCCAGTAAAAAGTGGTATCACATGTTTATGCATCATAATGAAATGATTTAGATTGAAATCAAAGCCCTCATTTCCCTTACTCGGTTTTGCATGTCCACACAAAAAGTGAAGGAAAGAAGGAGGAAATATATGGTAATTAAAATTGTGGTGGCTTAGGGTATGTATGGAGTATAAGTGGAGCTGTTAGTTGACAATATTTCCTATTCTCGTTTTAATTCTAAATAGCTTATTGTGTTGTTGTGTAGTGGAAGTGTTGCTTACGAGGGGGAAATTATGGGCAATTTAAGGATAGAATGAAAATATGATGGATGGAGAAGGCGTTGTTCATATGTTATGTATATTAAGATATTTGAATCTTTTTCACAATTTTCATTCACTGATATATTTCTGGATGTCATAAAGTCCATTTTAAATTCAAATAAATTTGTTACATCATAGTTGTTTGCCCCTTTTGAAACAAATGATCAGTCTAAAGTTAGAAAATCGAATTCGTAACCCATTTTATATACTGGGGGTCCTCGATTTGAGTAGATTCTATTTGAGTAGATTCGATTTGAACAGAAAAATTTTTACCCACCAAAATATTCGATTTGAGAAGATTTCTTCCTGTTTTCTTCGATTTGAACTGTTTACAAAACAAACATTTTTGATAAAAACATTTCAGAAAATATTTTTAAAACATAAATTTTACTGCAATAAGCGTGAACTTATCATATTGATAGAAAAATCAATACTAAAGTTACAAAATTAAAGTAAAAATTTAAAAAATCGCTATAAAATTAAAAGTTCAAATTCAAAAACCTTACAAATTGTTCAGTGAATTAACATTTGCAAGGTTCTCATATTTTTGTTTTGTTTCAAAAACATATTTTTTGTGAATTTCTGTTTAAAAACAATATGAATGTGCCTTGAAATAAATTAAGTTATCTAAAACACATAGGAAAAGTTAAGCAACGAAGTAAAATGTGCAAAAAATGATCAAAATTTTCATTGTTTTGATATATTTTTTGGACTCTGGAACAAAACATGTAATTTTGTATTGATTCTTTGCCTCGATTTGAATAGATTCGATTTGAGTAGAAATTTTTTGGAACAAAACAACTACTCAAATCGAGGACCCCCAGTATAAACAATGATAAATGAGAACCTTTAATTACAATTAAAGTGTAATCAACCAAGATAAGCAACATTCAACCATTCATTATTCTCTCATTCACTAATCAGCCAACCAATAAACATCAAAAGAAGGCTCAACAATACGCAATTGATAGTTAAAAATAAGCAATAGAACTTATTCGACTCATTAACTCAAAATTGAGATTCAGTGGAGTGGGAAATGAAAAAAAAAATAATCGATAAGCTCGGCATGATATTATTTTTTGAAGTTAATGATGGCTTGCACGAGTCATGAATATATCACACGTTTCCTTTCATAATATTTTTAAAGCTTATTAAAAATCATGTCATGTGCAGAATCATAATGGCACGCAATTGCATTCTGAAATATGCATAAATTCTCTTTTTTTATGGCATTTCTGTGCTGAACATTTAATGCGTTTGGTTCTTAAAAAATTATTGTTATTTTTTTGTGAATTAATCCGTTTAATTAATTGAAATTGAAATTACGGAAAACGCCTTGTTATACTTGACATTTGGGGCTTTATTTTCGTCCCAAAGAAATAAAGTCAATAATTATTCAAAACGAATAAGAAGCTAGAAAGTACTTACCAAAATACGGCCAGTGGTTGTTTGTCCTGATATAAGTTCTCCAGCCCAGTCCTTGGCTTCTGTCATAAAAGTCCCCTCAAACTCCTGTTTGCCACGATTGGCTTTGAGCTCCTTCTGTTTCGGATCATTTGGAGAGAGTTCTGGCTCTTTACGGCAACAAATGAACGCAAAAGCTCGCCACAAAAGAACAATGAGAAGCCCGGCAAGAAATGTAAATATACTCGATAATAGAAAACACCACCATTTTCGGACTTGAAGGCAATCATCAAAAGGTGCTTCTGTTGTTGCTAATTCTTCTTCACAACCCGACATCCCCTATTTAACATCGGCAATATAATGGGGATATTTTCTTATTTTATGTCTATCACTTTTATTAATCATTTGACATTGTCGATGGATTTATGTCGCTATGCTCGTTGTTAGCTCCTCCGATACAAACTGTGCAACATTTTTTAATGGATTAACATTTATTTTAATAAAATTCTGCTTTCTTTTCAAACTTTTTTTTTCTTCTTTTTATCCTTTTATGAATTTTAAATGAGTAACTTCACATTGATTGCACTATATAAACATTTATTCAAAATATATATTTATTATTATATATGCTTCTCGCTCTTATCTTTCATCTTCTAATCCATTCTACCATATAACTCTGTGCACACTCTTATCACTGTTAAATGATGTTGTTTATGACCAAATGATAAAAAGAGAGGAGGAAAAAAACAAAAAAATAAATTTTTCCTTTCTTTTTACACACATAAATTGAGGGGTGAGCTTTTAAAGTGCATTTTTCTTTAGGAAAGAACTTGCTGATGTTAGGTTTTTAACTATTATTTAGTAATTCAAATGTTAAAAGTTTAAATTGTGCTTTCTGATAATTGAAGAAACTTTCTTTTGATATCTAATTGAGGTTTGTAACTTTATTGTATATTTGGGTTGAAAATCTTTGGAACTGCTTACTTTCTCTGCAGGAAAATATTGGAATTACTTCGAATTAGTTTATGGAAAACATGATTTTAAAACACTTTTGAATTGATGCCTTCTAGAATTAAGATTGAATATTTATATTTTTTAAGATATAATGAAAACTTTAGGCTTTTACAATATTTTTGGGAAATCAAGATCTTCAGCTTAGTACATTGTGTTTTCAAACTATATAAGTTTATGGTATTTTAATCGCCATTTTGAATCTCGTGACACACTTAATTCTTAGAACAGATCTCTTTGAACTCAATTTTAATTTGCAAAGAAGAACTTTAGAAAAAAAAAATCAAAAGAATCCAGGTGTGTTTTAAGACCTTTAGAGCTCAATAATCACAAATAATCCTGAATTTTGGACTTTCTGAAAACTATTGAACCTCAAATTTAGATTTTTCATGATTTTTAAATCAAAAACTGTTGTTTTAGAATTTTAATAAAACAACAAAACTTCAGTTTGATTTTAGAAACTTTAAAAAAGCTGCGAAATTAGAAAATTTCAATAAAATTCGTAGAAAACTGACAAAATCTTTCTTTTCATAGAAGCTCTGCTAATATTTTATCTTTAAAGTTAAATCTTTGGTTGTTTGCAATTAAATTGATGATCTCAAATTGACGAAGTTTGAGGAAATTAAGAACCTAGTTGAAGAAAACTTATGTGAAATTTAAAGATTTAATTTTCAAAATTCGTCAAAACTTTAATTCAAAAGTTTTTGGAAACAAAGATTTAAATTTAAGTTGACAATAGATTTTCAACCTGAACCTAAAAGAAGTCTCTGGTTTCAATAAGTAATTCTTAGAATTTCAAATTTCATATTTTCAAAGAATATTCAAATAGAATTCAAGTCTCTATCCAGAAAAATGCACTTTCAAGCCACGTTCTCTTTAAAAAAACTCCCGTGTCTTCTTTTTTCTTTGAGGAATAAAAAAAAACATGATGAGCATCAAATGAGAAAATGGAAATGTGAAAAAATATTTCCCAGAGAATTTTCTCTCTCACACATATTTTTTTGTGTTCTTCTCAAAAAAAAGATTTTTTAGAGCTTGTGTGAAAAAGAAAAAAAAAGAAAGATTTTTTTGTCACAGCAATATAATGCTATATAGTGGATATTATACATATATTATCATCATTACAAAAAGGGATTTTAAAAATAGTCACATTTGCTACATTCTTTTAAATTTTACATCTTTTTATTTTATTTTGTCAAGTGCCTCACATTGCACATAGATGACAAACTTGCAAGTTTTTTTTTTGTTTAATTTAATTATAGCGTCTCTCGCTTTTTATGAAAAAAAATGTGAAAATCTAATTTGTGTCCCACACTAAGTTGATGAATATATTAAATAATAGAATTAAAGGTTCCTTACTTCGCAGGAAATCGATGGAGAAAAAAAATAATTGTTTCAAATTCAGGATGAATATATTGTGTGTATATATCCTGCCCTAATATATTTTTTTGACCGAATTTCTTCTTTTTTGATAGCAAACTCTTCTATCGTAGGTCACAAACACAACCATAAACTTTTTTTTTCTTTTTCTTTTTTCACAAAAAAGATTTTTTTTTCTTCGAACTTTTTTTTTCTTATGCGATTTTCAGCATTTAACGATAATCTAATGGATATTAAAGCACTTTAATTGCGTTTTCAAGGTCAAAAATAATTCCAATAAGTATAAATTATTTTACAAAATGTTTGTTTTATGCGACTTTTTACTTAATTTATTTTAACTGTACTCCATTTTTTCCAAGAGAAAAATTGATGGGGAAAACGAGAAAAACAGTCCGATTTTCACGAAGTTCAAAGCGATTCTGAGTGTCGCTGAGAAGAAAAATTATATTTTTTGTGGAAGTAAGCGAGCGAGAATCAATATACATATAGTTTTATGTTTTATTACTAGAGTTTGCGCACAGTGAGCTTTTTATATTAAAAACGTATGTTGGGGCTACAATTTAATTCGATAATTTTTGTACTTTTCTTATACTTTTCTATCTAAACGTTGATATCACTTAACATTGCATTAGCTTTAGCTCTAAGAAATTGCTAGTTATAGACACTTTTGCACTTTACAACTGCTTGAATTTTAATTATGTTTTTCTATGATACAAAAATTTTATGCTCAAAAAGCTTTCATGGGAAGAACGACTGAAAGCTCTCGACTCTGATAAGAAAAGCTTACTTACTTCCTGTGTTCCATTCCTTACTGCTTATTGTTGTTTTTACTTTTTCGTGATTTTCACATTTCAATTAATGATTTAAGATTACTGCAGGTTACTGTGACTAATATTATATATCTCAAATATTCTTAACTTTCAGAATTCAATTTTACAACATTAATTGCAGCATATCCACAACATATAAATGATAAACATCCTCAACGAAGCATAAATTTAACGGCTGAAATTTCAAAATTCATGCAAAAGCTCTGACAGTTTGAATTTCAAAAATACGTTATAAGATTTTACATTTTATTAAATTAATCTGAATCTACATCTTTTGCAGCTTGTGTTTCCAGTGCTCCAACATTAACATTCATTGCCAGATCATTCTCCTCGTTCTGGTTTTTGAGCCTTTCTCTAATTAATTCACTGATCGCCTTTTGTGTACGGATTTCAAGTCTATGAAGCTTCTTTGCTATAGCTCGCTTCAGATCAAAGTCTACTTTTCGAGGAGCTAGATTTGATACATCGATGTCAGTAATTTCCAATGGGGTCTTCATTTCTTCTAGTTGTTCCTTAACTCCTGCAACTTCAGTGATTTCAACAATATTAGCAGTTTCAGGGATTGTGGATTTTTCCTCGTCATTCTTATAATTTCTGAATATTGGTCTGAAAGAATCAATAACATTAGGTACAGAGATGTAGTTTAATTAATGATTTTTACTTTGGAATCTCGATTTTTGCAATTTCTGAATCATTTTGTTTATCCTCATTCTTTGAATCGTCAAATTTCCTCTTTAAATTCTTCAATCTCTCCTTTCGCTTAAAAGCTTCATCTTCCAGATTACCCACTTGCTTTGACATTGTCATCTATACTTTACTTTACTGGATATATGCTGTATTTTAAGAGATAATTAATATTTTGTATCTTTGTTTACTTTTGAGCTAAAACTTAATATAGAAACATGCTAGAGGTTGTTATTTGACTGAATGTCTGAAATTTCAAATTTTTTAAAACCGTTACTTTTTACTCTTTGCTAAAGTAAACCACGTTAACATAGAATAGTGTATCAGGTTGATCACTTTGGGTCTATTTATGATAAACAAGTTATGACAATATTTAAAAGACTTGAAATAAGACCAAAAAAACATCATTTAAGCTTGAAAAATAATTTGTATGGTTTTGAATTTCATGAAAATTTGTACGGTTTTGATCATTTGTTTTGAAAAGTGTAAGGTTTTGATCATATGTTTTGAAAATTGTAAGGTTCTGAAAATTGAAATTTTAAAAATGCCAATTAAAGTAATTAAACTACAGTGAAGAAATAAGTGAATAACTTAAATATGCTAACAAAATACGCGTTATACCTTACCTCAATTTGTAGCAGTGACTTTAGTGCTAGTTTTTTTCTTTTCTTAGGAATTTTTTTATTATCCGAAAATATCATTTTTAACATTCTTACCAATCATGAATATATAGCTAACATGTTTGAAAATAAAGATTACATTGCCGTCAATGTGTTTGACGATTCAGTCAGAAAGCGGAGCTTGAAGCGGGTAAAATATAATTAATTTCATCAAATCACAACAATGAAAAATTTATTTCTCGATTTAATTAAATTCACCGACTCAAATAAGCAGCAATGGAATCAATTATCGAGATTTCAAAAGAATCTAGTTGTTGTCATAGTATTTGGAGGCATCTTGCTCTGTGGATTTTTGCTGTATCAACGTCAGCTATTGAAAGCAAATAGTCTGGATGCTTTCTCATCTGAACACGTCAAATCTATGAAGACGAATGTTGTCGACACTGATAAGATTCAAATCGTTCCTTTCAAAGTAAGTTCAAATGCTATTTCTTTATTATCACATTCATTGGGGTTGGTGATTGGCTTTTTGTCTGATTTTTATCCGTTCATTGACTGTGAAGTACACTCATTGCATTTGCCAGACATCTACCTTATTTATCAAGCCACGTATATCCTAATCTTACTCTCATAATCTTTATATCATGCCTATCTATCATCACACATTCTGTTCCACTTGTTATTATTGTGTGTCAAAAATGTAGGAAGACATTTCATCCGTTCGTATGATTCAGAATGAAAATCAACTTCCAAGTGCTGATGAATGGGTACAAAATGCAGTTGATAATAATCATGATACAAAAAATTCGATTGACAATCCTCAAGATATCATAAATGGTGATATTGAGTCCGATAAATCTGAGGTCAAACGAGATATTAATAATGAAAATGAAGACACCAAAACCCGTGGCATGTCCTTTAAGGTAGTACCATTCATTTGACAATATGTTTTTCTGTTTGTTCAGCACAAAGCTCTTTTGTTCTCTTGACAATTATTATTCTCTCTTGTTTGTTTATAATGTACTGAATAATTCTATTCTTTTAGGGTCCAATGAATGAAAGACAGCAAGCTGTAGTCAACGCTATGAGACATTCATGGACGGGTTATAAAACCTTTGCTTTTGGCCATGATAACTTGAAGCCAATAAGTCAAACTTACAGGTAAGAATAATGAAGACATGGATTTGGTTGACTACAGCGCATATTCTCAGGATAAAGCAACTTAATGCTAGACAAACTACAGACAATAAAGTTCAATATCCTTGAAAATATGCGCTAAAAGTCTCGCACAAAAACATGTATTAAACAGCCTTCGTGGTCTAACGGTAAAATATTTCATCTTCATTCATTTTACAGCGATTGGTTTAGCCTCGGCCTTACAATCATAGATTCTTTAGACACACTCTATATCATGGACATGCAAGAGGAGTATCAAGAAGCTAGGAAATGGGTTGAAGAATCGTTGAAACTAGACGTAAATCGAGATGTCAATTTATTTGAAGTAACAATTCGTGTGTTAGGAGGCTTATTATCCATATATCATTTATCTGGAGACGAAATTTACATGACAAAAGCTTTAGAGCTTGGAAAAAGACTTATGCCATCATTTGACTCGACCAGTGGAATTCCATATTCAGACGTTAATTTATTCTCAATGCAAGCTCATTCACCAAAATGGTCGCCTGACTCATCAACTTCCGAGGTCACAACAATACAGTTAGAATTCAGGGATTTATCAAGAATCTCGAATGATCCAACATTCGAAAATGCAATAACTCGAGTTAGTGAAAAAGTACATGAGCTTCCAAAAACGGACGGTCTTGTTCCAATTTTTATCAACGCAAACACAGGAAGTTTCAGAAGCTTTTCTACAATATCACTAGGCGCACGCGGTAAAGTATCTTATCATTTTACTTAAATAACTTTTTAAACTTGACGAATTATTTATTGCAGGCGATAGCTATTACGAATATTTATTAAAACAATGGCTGCAAGTCGGAAAAATACCTGAACATTATTTCATTGAAGATTACAAGGAAGCAATAAACGGTGTAATTAAGCACTTGAGACGGAAAACTCCTAATGAACACCATGTGTATGTTGGTGAATTGATCAGTGGAAAGGACTTTAAACCAAAAATGGATCATTTAACATGGTAAGTTATCTTAGCAAATTATACAGGAACTTAATTAATTAAAAACCTAATCATCAATCTTTGCAGCTATTTACCTGGAACTTTACTACTCGGCCATAAAAATGGCATGCCACAATCTCATTTTACTTTAGCAAATGAACTGCTCGAGACATGCTACCAAACATATATTAAGCAAGCGACTGGTCTGGCACCTGAAATAACATATTTTAATTTAGAAGGAGAAAGTGCGACTGATATTTATGTAAAAGCAAACGATGCACATAATCTCCAGCGACCAGAATTTATTGAGAGTCTTTATTATTTCTATGTGATAACAGGTAATAAAACTTATCAAGACATGGGATATAAAATATTTGAATCATTCGAGAAATATACGCGCGTAAGTCATGGATATACGTCAATATCAAATGTAAAGACACCGAATAATGTTCGTCCGAAAGACATGATGGAAACATTCTGGCTCGGAGAGACATTAAAATACTTTTATTTGCTGTTTAGCGACGATCGTAATGAAATTGACCTGGACAAATTCATTTTTAATACTGAAGCACATGTAATTCCAGTGCGTGAGAATTAATTTAAAACAATCAATATTGTTCCAATTTAAAAAACATTTTTTTCGACTTTTTATTATGTTCATTTTTTGAAAGAAAGTTATGTTTGTTAATGATATATGTCATGTGAGGATGTTCACATGTGAGACATTAGTTCTATGCAATAGGGAAAATGAGTTATACAATATTTATGTGTGTTTTTGGACGAGATTAGGGAATGCTATTATGTAAAAAATATACAGAGACACTGAAATTATGATTGATAGCTATATTAAGGACTATTTTGTTAATTTATAAATATACTAGCGAAGTTTTTGGATAATTCACATATAAAGAGGCTTATTAAGCTGTAATATAGCTGATTTATCTCTTAACAGGCGAATTCAGCTAAAAGATGGCTTATTCAGCTCCTTTTTGGCTAATCCAGCTGTATTGTTGCTGATTCAGCAGTTTTGTGGTTAATTCAGCACTCTTCAGCTCATTCATTATCTATTCAGCTGAATAAAAGAAACTATTCAGCAAGTTCAAAAACGTTTGATCAAATTCAGCATTTATTTGAGTGATTCAGCACAATTCAGCAACTTTTGATGTAGACTAGATTCAAACGGTTATCATGATAATTCAGATAGCTAGCTTTAGATTTTTGCACAATATCTGTACAATTCTTTTGAGTACCTTGCGTGATTAGTCGTCTTTATCGTCGCTAGAGACATAGTTTTCCAGCTCATTACCCGGAATTTTAGTTGAACTAATAATTCTAGATCGCCTATCAATTACTAGCGATGCACACTCGTTTCAAAAACACGCATAAATATTGAATTTATATATTAAAAAAATCATACACTTATGATTGTGATTTTAGAAGTTAAAGAATCCTTAATTAATTTTTTTTCCATAGATAGAACAATGAATGGCTTAAAGAATTACCAAAATAGTAATTTAAGTATTTAAAAAAAAGATGAAAAATATAACTATGATAATTTCTAACACAAAAAATATGGAAAGTGAGATAGAAAACTTAATTATGAGATGATATTAAGACACTTTGTTGTTAAATCAAAAGAAAAAATGGCATTTTATTAGATTTTATAATTTAGCAATACATACCATTAATGTTAATTCTCAATGTTTCAGTTTATATATATTTTTTGCCTATGTCTAGTCTTAATAAAATTTTTTTTTTTGTAAAAAATAATAAATCAAATCAAATGAAAATCAATGTGTGTGACTTACGATTTAATTAAAATTAATTGAGATTTTATTAAGAATGATTACTTCGCATTGTTGAACTTACGAACTTAATCTTATTGCATGCTCGCTTTTAAGGCCATTAAATACTAAGTACAATCAATACTTAATAGTAAATTTTGTTACAAATTCTTAGATTTAAATATTTGGACGACTTTATTAATCCATTTTAATCGATATAAAAATTTCCATTCGATATTATTGATTTTATTAATAAATGCTTAGGAATAATTTATGTTACTGGGAAAAATGCTGATAGATTGTATCAAATTTGAAATTAATACCGCTGACGGCAATAAAAAATGTGCTGTTATCATTAAAATCGCATTGGAAGTGATGATGCTAAGGTTAGCTTGCGGTTTTTGCATTGAAAAATTGTTTATGTTTGCTTCTAGTCAAGTCTAGTCAGAGACTTTCATTGATGAAATGTATTAATCTTTAACATTGAAAGTTAATCTAAGGATCAAAATTGTTCGTTCTCTAAAATTCTATTGTCAATTTTCCTATTGTCCTAAGGTACTGCTTATACGCTTCTTTTGGTTGTCAATAGTCTAGAGCTCAGCATGTGTGACTTTAAGTTTGAATTTTTTCAAATACTAAGTTATCCTGCATAAAAACTAGTCACAAACTAGGAAAAATCCATTAAAAATATTAGATAAGCAGCAGCAATACAAAACAAACTCAAAAATCTGCCAAACTAGCTTTAAATTCATAAAATTACCAAAACTTCATCAAATTTCATAATTCTATGCGAAATTTCAACATAAAATCTCATTAAATTGATTGATACATTGACGAATAATTGGAAGTAAGCATCAATTGAAGAGCGAACAAAAGAAAATTCCAAAAATTCTCCGAACAACAACACATTATAACTGTATTAAACAGAAGAACACGAAAAGCAGCAATAAACTACGCAAAAACATGCGATTTTTGATGATTCACAGCATTTGCTAGCCAAAAATTCTTATCGTACATTTTAAAGTAAAAGGTTTCAATACATTATGTCAATCAAGATAAGGCTAATTAAATTTTTAAGAATGGATCGAAATCATAAAGTAACTGTATGCTTTAAAAAATGCATCAAAATAAGGAAGGAACTGCAAACGTCAAAAACCTATCCACGCATACTTCGAGAGGGTCTGGATCCAGTTAGAACCTTCTTGCTAAACCTATGGTCTAAATGAAAGTCTAATTCATTTAAAATACTATAAAGTAACACAAGATGACACTTTTAAGAAGTGCCAAGTTATTAAGTATATGAAAATTTGTCAAAATAATGGGGTTAATAGCTTGCCAATTTTGATACTGTTTGTTGATAAATTGTATGAGATCCAATCTCAAGATATACAAAAAATAATTATCACATTTGGATATCGCTCACGTCTTCAATAATTCCTTTAAGATCTTCTTAAGGAGAGCATTTAACGTGAAATTTCAAAGCTTCGTGTGTATAAAAAATTAACAGCAATTATGCATCCTCAATGTAATCTTTTCCTTTTAACACTTTTAACTCTCCGTTCTTGATGTCATTATTATTTGATTTTCCAATCTTATCTGCGTCTGCTAATGAATCTGGTAAATCCATTTTATAAGTTTCAGGCAGGAACATTGAAAAGAATCCACCACAAAATGCAGCAATTCCGAAAATAAGGAACGGCAGTGGTTTCCAAGTTTGTGCGAGATGAATAAGGAATGGAGAGATTGTGGCACCAACACGTGCACTCATTGAGCAACAGCCTAATGCGACGTTTCTTATTACTGTTGGGAATTGCTCGACTGAGAATAAATACATAGTTCCGTACGAGGCAGTGATGCTCATTTTTCCTAACATCGTCAATGTATTAACAAGCCAGTTGATGTCACTGGGCACAAGGATTGATAACATAAGCATTATTCCAGCAAATGTTAAGTTACAAGCTAATACCTTCTTACGTCCAAAACGGTCCTGTAGAAATTTTAAAAATAGCATTCATAGATACGCAGTTCCAATCAATAAATTCCATACTCACTAATGTCAATATTAGTATAATATATCCAGGTATTTCTACAGCACCTGACATAATGTGATTCCATCTCGGATCACCAGATAAATCACCCGAACTCCAACTTAGTCCATAATAAGCACCTGAATAATATTTGAATAACAATTTAAAAATTGCGTCGCAAAAATTCTCAACAATTCCTTTTTGAGACGTATATATCCGTGCAATTTGGAAAAACTAGGCGCGTGACTTTAAAAACGAGTCTTAGGTCAGTAAAAATCATGAATGTCAAAATTATACGAACTCAGATTCGATCTTGAGAAATGCAAATAGCTTTTTTTGCTCCAACTTTAAGAAGATTTTGGCGATTTCAAGTTGTAGACTGGAATTGAGGAAAAATGTTCAGGATTTTGGAGTTGGTAAATAAATTCTAAGATAACTCTTAAGCACTTTTGAATGAGATTGCTTATCACTTTAATTATCTTGTTCATCAATATCCTGATACTAAGCATGAGAGCTGAGACACCAATAAAAGACATAATGCTAAGTAGATTCGTCAAAGCAAAACTGCATTGTTACAGCCTCGTCTTAATTAAGCATGATTTTACACTCAATCATCAGTCCCCTCATAGCTTCCCTCCTGTCCTATCCCTTTAAAAGTATTAAATCCAAAAATACAGTCCCCAAATTTCTGAACATTTTTCTTCAACCTCAGTCTAGCCTGATTTTATTCCTTAAGAGCTTCGATTGTCTGATTTATTTATTCTTTAAATAACAAATTTTTTTCTGAATCAAAAATTAATTCGTAACTCACCTGACACAACAAACCAGTTAAAGAAGATAAGCAGAGCTTTTGACCGAAGGTGTGGTTGTCTGAAAAGATCTAAAGCTGTTGCTTTCTTCCCTTTATTTTCAGGATCTGTATTGTCTGTCTCATTCTCGACTAATTTATCAAGCATTTCTTTTGGCACTTCGACATTGTTGGACAGAGCAATTTTCTTGATTTGTTTAATAGCTTTATACTTTCTGTTGTTAGCGAGTAGCCATCTTGTGGACTCTGGGATGATCCACCAGTAAGCAAGGAAAATAAGTCCAGGAATTGTCAAGGAAATTTGATAAAATCTCCAGTCAGTCACAAAGAATGCTAAAACACCCATCAACATGAATCCCAATGAGAAGAACATCATAAACACTACACCGGCAATCATGCGAGACTCTTTGCCGACCATCTCAAGTGATAAACAATAAGCAACCAAAAATACGCCACTTGTTGTTGCCCCAACAATCTAGGAAAGCGTTTATTTTGAAAATAATACATTATATACTGTAAAATTACACAATCTTCTTTACGTATGTGACCTAAATACAAAAGTATTTTTGCGTACCTACCATTCTAAAAATAGTGAACATAATAAAGTTTGTCGATAGAGCAGTCAGAAGGCCAAATATTAATTGGCATATAAGTGATAGAACAAACACTTTACGACGTCCAAATTTATCTGATAAATATCCAAATGCAAAGGAGCCCAAGAAGACACCAATCATGAATAAGGAGTCACTCCAGGCTTTAAAGGAATCTTTGTCGCATGTCAATTGAAATGTTTGGACAGCTGAAGTTTGAAATTTTTCATAATCCCAAACATATTCGCTGCACTTTCGAATTTCACGTGCTGTAAAATTATTACTTGACGTGTAGTAGTTGCCAGTGTAGTACTCGCACTTTGAGAATCCTTTCTTGATATCATATGGATATGAGGCATTAAGGATCTCATTTAATACTGTGGAGTCATTTGACAGTCGAAAAATCATGTCATTTTCATTTAATTTACATCGATGGTCCATTTTCCCGAGTATAAAGACACTTGAAAGCTTATGAAAGGCACACAAAATGACTGGGATGCATAAAAGTACGAAATTTCGTATTTGGTAAGTACCGAAAGTTCCAATATGCGCTAGCAAATCATCGTAATTAAATTTGGTCACCATTTTCCTGCCTTTCTCGAATGTTCTTTCACTTGCTTCTTATTTTATCTTTTTTTTTCGTACTTAATTAATGCCTTGTCTGTATTATTTATTACACAATATTTCTCTTTATGCTTTAATATCGATGATATTTTCAATAACATTAAATTGGTCTTGCACGAGCCGATAAGTAAGCCGGTTGGTCGTAAACTGAAATTTTTCCATCAGTGTTGTTCTTATTACTCATATGCCTGACTCTCAGTTTCGCAATTAAGCTTCTTCTTGCTGATTTTTATACACTCATAGAATTTACTCTCATGATTTTATCTAAGCACGTGCTTAGCTCTCTCGCTCAATTTTTATTCTCTGTAATGAAACTCTAAAAGTGATGAGCATGCGGGAATCGGAACTGCTATACTTCTTGTTTTATTCACTAAATTTTTATTATTTTTATTTTTCTCATGTTTTGCTTAAATGCAACTTTTTTTTGCAAACTTTCAACGTTTTTTTTTTCCTTGTTAAATACATTCACATATACAGTAAGTTACTATTATTATTATTTTGATCATATACATCTATGTCGCCTTCAGTTGCATTTTCTATTTTATTATTATTTTTTTTTTTTTCATTTACTTAAAAATGCTCAATCGTCAGACTTTTTTCAAACGAAAATTATAAGCTATAATCAAATTATCAGGCAGGAAACTAGTTTTTGAATATGAAATGTGATTTTCTTTTTTAGATGGGTTGATTTAAGCGTATTTTTCGCGGTCTTGATCAGTTTGAAGTGACATGTGAGTTGGGAACTTTTAACGGTTTTTGAAATTTGAATTAGGTACACGTGGTGGTTTGAGTTTAACAGTGATTTCTTGTGAGATTTGAATTAAATGTGGGCTATTAGAACAGATTCGATGTAATTATTCTCGAAAAACTGCAATTCCTATATGGTCAAACATCCTTAAAGAAGGATATGAATTTGTTTTTATTTTAACTTTTGAATATTAAACGGACTTTTTAAATTCAAAAATAATTATATCCTCTCGGTAACAATTTAAAATAATCTTTAACGTCTTAATTTGCAAGGATATTCCGTGATTGAGACAAAATCTAAGGATCAATTGTTCAAAAATGGTTAGTAAACTACAGGCCCGAATATAATTTATCCAATATATTTTAGCATTAACTTCTAATTCCCTCGATATCGTTTATTTCAGGTTTCATCGTGACTTATTCAAACATTCGAACCTTTCTATCCATAAATTCAAACCCTTCCCAGATGTTTTTCCTGTTCTCATCATTATAATTTTTTTATTGTAAACAATCGTGTCACCTTCCCTCTGACAGTAATTAAACGTAAAGTCATGAATACAATACTTGAAGGCAGATCTAATATTAATATTTCATTTTCAAGATTCTTGTAACTACACAATAAGAAATAGGAATAATAAAAACAAACAATAAAACTCAAGTTTGCATGCAAATCTGAGAAATTTCCATGTCTAATGAAAAATCAATCATGAACTAAAGCCGCAAAAAGTCATAAATTAAGATTTATCTTTCTAAATTCAAGGGAGAACTAGAGAGAAAATGATGTAAGATTGCGAGAATCTGAATTGTTTTTGTGTGGCTTTGCATGATTCTAGGTAACAACGAGCATCTTGAATCAACTTTCCAGAGCCTTTAGTGATTCTTTTCGACCCTAGTTTTTAATCTTCACTGAAACTCTTTCAATAATTGAATAAGAATTCATTTCAATTCTAAGCCACAACAATTCTCATTCAGAAACCGCGTCAAAAATTGAGGAAATAAGTAAATCCATCAAACTATAAAGAAATAATCAAATTAACTTTATTCAAAAAAAATTATTAAGAATCAAACAGAAAACAGTGCATTTTGAAATAATAAAAAAAAATTAAGTAAAGGTTTTTTTTTGTCTCTATTTTGTACTTTTCCTTAAATGTAACAACGTGTGTGATTCTTTTTCTTCCAATTTTTTTTATATCCTCAATTATCACTATATATTTTTTTAATTCTTTATTTATAATCGCAACTGAACATAATTACACGCAAAATTACTGCGTATGACTCCAATTTAATCAGTTTTACTTCTTTTTATTTTTTTTTCAATTACATCTTTTTCATTTTTGTATATTTGCAGAGGAGGGAGTAAAAAAAACGTAAAATAAGTAGAAACGTTGAGGAATCTATGTACAAGAAATGAAAAATCATTAATATTACTATTATTATTCTTTTTTTTTTCTCTTATAAATCACGGGATCTCATCGTATTATTACTTTATTTAAATTTTTCTTAGTTAAAAAATGTATTGTTCCAATAGTTATTTTGGCTGAAAGACCGCTTCATTGTTTTTTTTTTGTTTGTAAAGAAAAACCCAAATGAAAAACGAGGAAAATTAAAACTCAAATTCAGTGTCAGCGAGATCAGGGCATACTTCCTTAAATACTTCCGTAATGAGTTTATATCTAAAATTGAACAAAGAGAAAAAAAATGCATCAAAGAATTATTAAATTAAATACAGTAAAGGCTAATAGCTGATAATTATCAAATAAACTGTTTGATTTGCACTTAATGAAGCTTGTAAACTACTATTGCAAAATGACTTAAGCTTTAAGACAACAAATGACATGTTGACTAAGTGATGAGGCAAGAGACTAGAGGGGGTCTGACTAATAACGCTTTGGGGGTCTTATAGTTAATCTTTAACTAGTCAAATTCCTTAAAAATGCAGAAAACAAACAAACACGAGAGTTTGAAGACACGAGAGATCAAAAGAGATATATCATTTTTCTACTCAGAGAACAAAAGAGAATTAACTGCAATTGAGCACAAAAGCTTTAAATGAAGATGCACATGTTTGCAGAAAATAAATCTCTTCGTGTTTTGATGCAATAAAATTTCATTAAATTTATGAGAAAGTCGTTCATCGAACTTTTCTTTTAAAGGCGGGAAGAATTGAACATGGGTAGCTTTTGAGAATTGTGACAAGGAATTTATAGTTTTACTTTTCATGAAATAAAAAAGATACGAGAGTTTCTTGATTGAAGTTCACTTGAATGTGAATTTAATGGCATTTAGTGATGATCTTAAACTAAGCTCGTCTTCGTCATTCGACTAATCATTCTGTTCTTAAACATCTCAATTCCATAGACGAACTCAAACCTGTAATTTCTTACAGCATAATCTCAATACTTGGATAATTGTGGAAAATCTAGAGCTATTATATTCGTAATGCCCATCAATTAATATATTTGTGTAAATATTTATACTTACTTAGATTCTATTCCACCACCTTCGGGCCACTCAATACTACTACCGGCTAAATAGTGCATTAGCGAACTCACGTCATAAACAGCCTCCGATTTTTCTGTGAATTCTGCAAACGAAAAGAAGATGAGAGAGAAATAGTAAGAAATGAGTTATAATTTGAAGTATTTAGGTTTTCATATACAGTTCAGTAAATACTTTAAAGACTAGTTTTAACTAATTTTTCTCGTTAAAAAAGAGAAATAAAACAAAATTGTTGAAAAGAAAGAATTTGATGCAAAATAACAAGAAAGAAAATAGAAGAAAAACACAAAAAAAATGTTTATTACTAAGAGAAGAGATAAAAGCTTAATTAAGACTTAGTTTTTTCATCATTCATACCTCATGCTCAAGTAATTATTTTTTAATTGACGATATGCTAGAAAGAAAAGCTATCATCACAAGTAAGAGAGAGAGAAATAAAATAATAAAAATAAATAAATCTCTATCAGGGTCATAAAATTCAATGATGGATGCTTCAATGGCACAACTATCAAGACATTCTTAATCAAATTTTTTTTGGCCAATGAATCCTAACTTAAGCTCTCTTTTGTGCCACAAAGATCCTTGATTAAATTTTTCTATTCCCTGCTTTGGCATTTGATTCATTTTTTGTTGTTCATAAGTTTTCAAAAATTCCAGCATTTATTGAGAATTTTCCATCAATTTCTGAACATTCCAAAACTTTTTTTTTTATAAATTAATCATTATTTTCTTGGTTTTTATGGATCATGGCGGAGGTGAATCCAAGAATTGGTTACCTGATGTACATTGTCATGAACTATAACAATTGACAGCAGCCTTAACCCACTCAAACATCAAATAACCTTCTGGATACACACCTCCTTTTTTCTTTGGGATCATATGGCTTTATCATGTTTGAAACTACTCATTCTAAATAACACGACTTGTTTTGGTTCTACCAATTATTATATTCTTTTGAAAATGAAATTTTATGAACTGAGCATGAGGTACTTTAGTGATGAATGATGATCATAAGATGTGACTTTTTAGAATCTACTGTAAAAATAATTTATTAATCCAATCAACAAGCACACAAAATTACTCCGTTCCACTTTTTTTTTGCTTGATTCTATTCAAATTTGATTATCTCAATTTTATTTTAATGTGATGATTGGCACTAAGGATTTTGTTTTCTTCTCTTCATGATTATTTATGCTATTTTATGAACTACATTTATTTATTATTATGTTACTCGATTGACACAAAATTGATATTGCAGTTGATTTTAAATCATTTTTTAATTGGTTCGTGAGCGACGTAAAATTAATATATATGGGCATGTAGCTTTCAATCAGCACGACACGTAAACAATGAAATAATAATAATAAACTGTTGTTTGATAATAATCACTTAATAATTAATAAAAACAAATTTATTGGAAATATTCATTAATAATAGATATTTTTTATCTGGTTCTGATTTTGTGGATCTAGATTGCGAATTTGATAGCTTGATGTGAATATGATGCTAAGAAGAAGAAACTGAATTGCTATGGCAAGTAACAAACAAGCAAGTATCTTGAAAATGAGAATCTATGCAAACTCTATGATACACTTTGTCATAAAATTCATTTGATCGTAAAAAAGTATGGAGTAGATCCAGCAAGCATTAAATTGTCTTAATTATTTGTTTAAAATTGATAAACTTGATTTCTGTAGATCAAACAACATTTCTATTTTTGGACAAAAAAATACGCCCCTTACAGCTATAGATCATGATCATTGACAGACCATGACTAAACCGCTATTTTTGGATGAGATTTCGCAGCAGTTTAGGTTATTCAGCAATTACAGTAAACTCATATTTTTTCTCCGAATTTCACGATGATTGTGGTTTCAAAACTGACATAATATTTAAATCCAATCCGTAAGATCCACAATCTATCATTTAACATTCTTACTTTCAAAACATTTAAACATCAAATTAAAATGAATAATAAACACCGAAAAAAAAAATAACAAATAAATTAATTGGAGCATTGCTTCATAAAATATTAACAATAACAAACTGCAATTAACAATTTCGCATCAATCATATAAAAAGTTTTCTTTTCAATTTCACATTCAAAATTATTTTTTTCATTCAATTCCATTGACAACTCTTGAAAGCTTTCCTGTCAAAAACTTTTGAAAAGATTTATGGGAAGTTTATAGAAATTCAGTCGGTTTTTAAGAAAATTTTTTTATAGCTAGGAACTCAAAGTTTGTGTATATATTAAGGATCTACAATACTGATTCTTATAATGATAAAGTTATTATCGATAGAGAATTTGACAAGAAAGCTTTCAGAAGATTTTCAAGGTTTTTAATTCATTCTTTCGTTCAAGTAACCGGAATGGTCGTTAAAAAGTTTAATGTGATTTTCAACTTATCTAGAGCTTATTAAAAATAGCTTCCTTTTAAGAATAACTTTTAAACTTCTGAAAATTTCCAGATCCCTTCCAGGAGCTCAATGCATGCCTTAGACATGCTTTTATCAACACTAGATTAGCTTTTAGGTAAACCTAGTGCATGCTTAGGCTTTACATTTCAATTTACCCAAACAACCGACTCCATACTCTCTAAAATGTACTAAAAGCTCTGTTTTTGTGCTGTGAAAAAGGTTCTATCAGCAACTATAGTGCAATTACACCTTACTATCGTTCCCAACCTCCTCAATAACGACCATTCCAATTCCAGGACAATAATATTGGTGACAACTTCGAAAGGCAATAATTTTTTTGAAAGTTTCATAGAAAGTTCAGGGGAATTACAGAAAATTTAAAGATTTTCGCCCTCACAGAATCTTCAAAGTTGTCCCAAAAAGGTTCTTAAGCTTAAATATTTTTACAAAGTTTTCTTCATAATTTTCATAATTTTTTTTTGGTTCTGTTTCATTTTTATAGTTAAAGAACAATTCTTTTGGTAGTTCTCAAACACAAAGGTAGAAAATGTACGTAAAAATCAGAAAAGGCAAATAAGTTTAAAGGTGGGTTCAATATTTTTAAGGACTAGAGGAATTTTTATGGCATCTCAATTAATATCAATAAGGAAATAATTAACAACATTTATGTCATTATAATAAAAATATTGCTCTTGGTATCATTAAATTCAATAAAAATATAGATTCTTTGGTGTAATTTATATTATATGCGATAATATCAATTTATCTCATTTTTAAAATTAATTTATCAATATCATAAGAATAACTTTAGTAATAGATTATTATGTGGAATCATTCTCAAGAGGATCATTACTACAGATACGTATTAATCGTCGTGTCTCGACGAACTTCTTATGTCTCTTGAGAAATTCTTTAAAAAGTGATCAGGTGCAAAGGAACTATTAAACTTACTAAGGAGGAAGAATCAAGGCTAATTGGACAGATTTGGATCGATTTTAAACAGCCAACATACTCAACATAGATCTAAGTGACTCAATGACTATCCAAAATCAATCCAATAATCATATTTAGCTTCGAGGAATAAATTTAACAATTTGTTTTTATAAACTAGTAAGGACAGACTCAACAAATTCATTTCACAACAATAAATTGAGAAGTAAGAGGTTCCAGAAAATACTTAATTCTCCGGAATAACTAAATGAGACTTGATGAAGTGTCACTAGAGTCGTTTATGAAATAATTGGTATAAAGTCACTTGCAATGTACGATTCGTGCAATGACAATTGCAGATAAGATACTTATTTTGTAATCGTTTGGAACGTGCGATTTTTGTAAAAATCGATCTATCTACTGTGACATTAAATACTGGTGTCAATAATCGTTTTAAGCGTACGATTCTGGTGTTCTACAAATTTTTTGCGTGATTTTACTACAAATTCATCATGAATCTAACGACTTTGTTTGCATTCTTTTAATTTTTAAGTCTCACAGAAGTTGGAACCTCTTGGATAAACGTATTGCTTTACAGATAAAGTTAAAATACTGTACTAATTATATCTTTTTATAGTTATGTAAAATATTCAATCAATTTGCTAAATACTATAGTGGACTAAAGAAATCACAGAGTTTTTTATAGTGGCGAAAAATTGTAATCACAAGAGATGTATTTTGATTCGCTATTCAAAAAATTGCTACTATTCAAAATATATAGGAAGTGAGGAATTTATTATTTTGACGATTTCATCTTTAAATGGCATCAAAATCATTATTTTCTTTCATTTTTATCGATTGACGTGTGTTCGATAAAGAGCAAAAAGTTAATTCTTTGTTTTCTATTCGAGAATAATAAATTTGCGAAAAATAAACAATTTTTCTTCGATTCTTAAATATTCGTACGAACTCTACGACAAAAATATTTTTTATAGTAACCTTTTATAGTTTTACGTATGTTCCGTTCAAGTTCCTCTTCCTTTTCAATAGTTTCTGGCGATGGTTTTGGCGCTCCTGGAAATACTATTAATATGATGCTCATATTGTCGCGTGATCCCTGAAAAATGATGAGAAATTGTCAGACAAACTTCATTTCAAAATCATAACAATATTCTTACTTTGTGCAAGCATGTGTCGATGACTTGATTACAAATCCATTCAAGATCTTCTGAAACACGAAGACGACTATGAACAAAGCTGCAGACAGCCTCATTGCTCATTACATCCCAAACTCCGTCACAAGCCAAAACAAGGAAATAATCTTGGACGTCACGTTCTTTACAAAATATTTCAGGTTCCGGCGAAACCTACAAAAGAATCAATAAATCAGAAATAAGACAAATAAAACATGAATTGAAGATATTACCAGTTGTTGACACTGCCCTAGCTCTGAAACATTCTTATAATCATAATCTCCGAGAGCTCTCGATACCGCCAAACTGCCATTAACTCGCTGTATCATGACAGAACCGCCAGCATTTACAATACGTTCTTTTTCGGATGGCAAAATAGGTTTGTGATCTTGTGTTGAAAAAACTGGAACACCATTGCGGCATATAACAGCACGCGAGTCACCACAATTTGCAATATAAATATTTTCATTTGATATGAATGCACAAACGGCAGTAGTTCCCGATTTGTCAGCACCGCTTGCTAATTCAGGTAGGTCACGCATTTTACTATCCAATTTTAAAAATCCAGAATGAATGCCTTTAACGACATCGCTATTTCGAAACTCTTCCGTGTGTATAATCGCTTCCAATAAATGTTTTGCACAATGTTCCGATACTTTAAAGCCAGCATGTCCATCAAATACAGCGAAATAGCTCCAATCAGTCAGATCGTCGCCTAAATTTGTTCTTGCAAAATGAGCATCTTCCATTTCGCATCGCCAACCTTCGATTTACAACCACAATAAATTACAATTAAATATTAATTTTCATCAAGTCATAGATGACAATAAGTAATGAAATCACGGATATGATTCAACTAGAATCCAGTGATTCAACTATCAGCGATTCATTAATTATTACTATTATATACACACCTTGCATAGAGCTAACTCCATATCGAAGTCCATTGCCTTCGCCGTTCTCATTGAGTTTACTTGTAATGGGCTTTTCCAAAAACGCTCCCATTATTTGATCTCTTCCAATTTTATTTTGATTGTAATCAGTTTAAATTTAACATTGCCCTTATCTTTCGTCAAGAAAGTAAAGGGATTTTACCGCTTCTGTTCGTCCTGTTTAGGTGCCTTAAATCCGTAAAGGTTATTCTTTCTCTCTTTTTTGCTCTTTATCCTTATATGATTTGTATTATTGAAATGTCATGTATTGCGAATGTTTTTGATACGACTTGTCTATAATGAAAAGAAGTGTTAAGTTGGAATATTAATGGATTTTTCTCACATACATTAGTCTAATTAAATATTATATTTATTTTTCATTCATTTGTCGGATATTGAAGATGCTAAAAGTAAACAAAATTTGTAACGCCAATTATTTGGAGGTCGTTCGCAAATGACGTCAATGGCATGTTTCTAGGTAGAAGTAACAAATTATCGGTATAGCTTGGGCTTTATTAACGCAGTTTTACTTAAAATATGCTCCGTGTTATATTAATCTAACTTATAATTGATTTACGGAGACGTAGTTTTCCAAATGTTATTTAAAACCGGAATAAGGAACAGTAATTGTCCTAATTTAAGATAGTTCTATGACTACAATTGTCTTAGTCACAGACAGCATCTCAGTTAAGTGTGTCTCGATCAGATCTATGGCTTAATAATATATTGATGACTTTTCATTGATTTGCGACTCTTTTAAGTTCCAGAAAACATGACCCACATTACTGTTCACATCCACAAAATTAAAAACTCTAAACAACAACCTTAAGACGTCAATAATGTAAAACCACTTGGATAATTTTATCAAAATCCAAGTCAAGAAGTTTAAGCACCAATTATCCAAGCTAGCGCAGTTTAAAGCAACCAAATAACAAAGAACAATCCGCACAATTCATGAATCTTATCACTCGTCCGAATCAGGAAGTCAATAATGCCAAAAATAGCTTCACTTATTCCATAAAGAGCGCTAAAATAATTCTATTATCATAAAAAGTTATCAGCAGTAAAAGATCAACAAACGTTTGTTAAAAAATAAAATAAAAATATGGAAGAGATATTGCCGCACACAATAAGAATCACATATATACAATCGAAACTTGAACTCGACTATAGCCAACGAGTAAACAACGAAAATCGCACGAAAAGAGCATGAGTCATAATTTATATTTTTGTTTTTCTCTATCACGTGTTTTGTTCTATAAAAATGTGGGCAAAATTTCAATAAAATAATTCACTATTTCTCGTATAGTTCAGCATTTAACCAACCGACTTGATTTCCTTCTAAACAAACTGTTGCAAGCCAAACAGCACACAGAATTTACATTAATAAATGAAAATAATAGTAAATTACACTTGCACTATACAGATTGAAAAGTGCATTCGCGTGCACTCGTTTATTAAACTTTACTATATGTCCTAGGCCACATTATTTATTAGAGAGCAATCATGATGACGGAATATGATTCATTTTGATTATATTCAATTGAAATTCATGTAGAATTTTGAACTGGGTGAGAGCAAAAAAACACAGCAAATTAATTGAAATAAATTTTTTTTTCTGCACATCTTCAAGTCAAGAGTAGCAGGAAGGGAAGTAGCTAGGATTGTTTTTTTTTTTTGAAGATGTAACCATATTTAATGTTTAAAGTAATATTCAAAAAATTCTCAACCAATTATTAATCTCTTAACCCCCCTTTGGAACCCACCTAGCTACATCCATACTTGCCATGCCCATGAAAATGAGAAATAGAGATAAATATTAGTAAGTTAGATCATCACTTTGGATATAATATATATTTAAAATTGTTTTAATTATGAAAATAGATTGGATGATTTCATACGCTCTTTGTAATCCTCTCAACTCTCCGCGCAGCTTCAATTCAATTCTTACAAATATTTACACTAAGTCTTAGTATGTAGTTATTATTTTAGAGCATGTAAGTAATGTCACAAAATATTTGCAAAGTGACCGACAAAAAAAAAGTGATGATGATTTCACAAAAGCCCGCTCTAAAAATAAAGATGTGTCTGTATGAATCTTCATGTAAGATGTAATATCGAGATTAAAAGTTTTAGAAGTAAATATGGGAAGAGACAGAACTATTAAAGGTCACGCTTGTGTGGTGTGAAAAGCGCATTTGCTAAAATTATCAATGACTTAATATTGGAATGTATTGAAATTGTTGCAGACAAATAGGAAATTAGCTAAGGAATTTCTAGTTTTTATTTTTACTTCTCAAAAGAAAGATGATTAATAGCAAGGATAAATTTAACCATAAAGTGCTTTTAAAGGAACTGGTTGATCAGCAGATTGACTAGATATGAAGATATTGTCAACTATTTTTATATATGAAACGGAATGTAGGTATGGGGTGTGAAATGCTGATGCACAATAGTGGTAATTATGCAATTCTTTGTTGCTTTTTTGCATTTTCAAGCTGTTGCTATCTCAAACAATATTAAAACTTTACAGAATATTGCAATTGTAGTCAATTTTAAGTTCTACTGTATTAAATCTTAGAAAATTGCAATAAAATTACTTGTTATTCTGACAGCAAGATACTCTAGTCTTAGCTGGTTATTGCTTGTAACAGAACAAGCTAATATCAATGATTTGTAGTTTTCTTGGAAATTTTTGGCGCTAGCTTTAGTTTGGAAGTAATTATGCCCAATTTACACTTTCTGTTGCTTCCTAAAACGAGACAGCATGGCAACAATTAGACAGACAAACAAAATGCACACAAATCTGACATTTAAGACCAAAAATATATCACAATTAAGTTACATTTTGCCTTCAACCAACTATGCACACATTAAGAATCTCTTTTTCCAGTAATGAGTTTGTTCAATGATAAATGATATAGAAATTTAATGTATATTTGTATACAAAGAAAGAATAAGAAAGCATCATCAAATGACATGAAATTGTTTAAGAAAATCAATATGGATTATTGTGTAAAATAAACACTCATGACAATAATGGCATTTTATTCTCTTCCTTCCTTTTCATTTCATTTTCTTAGGTATCAGAAAAAATGTTTCTCTACTTGAGGCTTTTTTTGTTTCCCTTTTTCCTATACTGACATTCAATCGCCAAAAAAAATAATATTAATATCGATACATTTTTATCTAATCAGCTCGTATATGCTGTTTATTATTAAGTAGAATTTTAATATATATTGTTGAATATTGAGTAACTTTGTAAAGGTGATAAGAGAGCTTCTTATGTAAAAATATCTTCTTTTTATTCGCAAAAAATGCCCACAACATAAGTTTTTCATGCCTTCTTATTTTTTCTCTCAGCATTTTTATTCTTTCACATATGTTGAATGCAATTGAACTGAGGCTTTTTTTCTTTTATTAAGTGAAACTAATGTTAAGAACGAGCATTTTTTTTGCTCAATTATCTGCTTCCTTTGTAATATTTCTTCATGAATTATGCGAACTTTTTTTTTCACATACAAAGCATTATTATTTTTGTCTACTTTGTGTGCTGTTATTTTTCAATTTAATTGCTATATTCCACTACTTAATTATTTTTGTGCTAATTCTTTTATACTCTTATCTGTTAATTTCATACTTTAACTTATTTTCACTGATAAATTATTATTTTTGCTTCACTGATAAAAACTTTTTTTATTTTTGCGGAATCATTCGTTATTTGCCACTGCTGATGTGTATCCACACTTATTGAGTTCTTTAGTAGCTTATGTTTGTGATTAAAGTATTTAAAAGAACTAAAATAATTTACTAGAACGTAATTAATCCATTTTTCTGTTTTAGTTCATCCTTTTTAAGTTACAACTTTTTTCGCTCTTTCTGCCTTTTTCTTCTCCTCCCCGATATGTGCGAAATTTTTGCGGCTAGGCAGCAACTCACAATTTCTATGACATCATTTCTATAGAATGATTGTATTATGTTGTTCACTTTGGACTGGCTGGAATGCGTGGGATATTCTCGGAATCTTACAATGACTAGTCATGACTGAGAATATGACGTTACAGGTGTCATGACTGTCGATGGATGTTTTAGAACATCCAATTCATACTTTATTAACTTTTAACTGATTTAGGATTTTAACTTTTGTTATTTTGTTATAAAATTTTATTCATTTTAACAATGTTGAGGCATTTTAAGGCTTGACACTGTATGTAAGCCGCGTTGACTTAAGTAAACAAGCTTTAGCATAGAAATTATGTAAACATCCAGAAATGCCGCAGCATAAAAGTCGATACAAATTGTTTTAATTCATTTAGCATAATCAATTTTATGAATGAGAACTAGACATTCCATAACTAATGTAATTAACAGAAAATGCGCTAAAATTAATGTTTTTATTTTATCTTCAAAATGATATTGTTACTAATTTCATGAATTTAGCTTCAAAGTGCACAAATTATCTCAAAAAGTAAATGGAAATGTAAGTAAAGTAGCTTAACACTCACCTACAATGCTCCAAAGCAATTCTTTGAGTCAAAATAGCTTTATTTAACTTTTATGAACGAAAAACTCTACGAACGAACTGTTTAGTAAAATTTTAAAAATAAAATGACCGTTGTGATACTTTAGTAAAATTTTAAATATAAAACGACCGTTATGCTACTTTAAGAAGACAGAGCTTGCAATATATGTGTTTGGTGGAGTCGAAAAAACTTTAATTAAAGTCAGTTTAAGAACTTTAAGGACGCAAGGAACAGCAGATAAGCCACAATCTTTGCGAACGAACAGTTTTCTCTTGAATTCTTCCTCTCGGAAACTAGTTGAATTTTTTAAAGCCGTTGATTTCGATTGACTAATCAAGTAGCATATCAGCAGTAAAAGTGTTCGCTTTATTCCACAAAAAGCAGCTAAAAACAGTGAAGATTTTAGAAAACATAACGTGGCATAAAGGAAATATTAATTTTAATAATTTCATAAGGAAATTGACGTATTTTCCTATCTAGAGTAACTCTCAATTAAGTGATTAGCAACAAATTTATCAAATAAGATGTCAAAGTAAGTAGATAAGTCTAGGAACTAGTGAATTTCAATGTTTACATTTTTAATTTTTGTGATTTTAAAATATTGAACATATTTCAATTAAAACCTCTTATCTGTATTCTGAACAATCGTGAATTTGCATGCTCTAAGTATATTTTAAACTATTTTGTGTCTATAAAGTCATCCAGGAAGACAGAAATTGCATTATTAAGAATTTCATTATTGTTCGAAATTTAATAACTTTGTTGTTGTAAAACTGTCATACTCTTGCTATATCAAGGATCCACATTAGTTCTACCTCAATCTAAAAATCCCTAAAATGCAGCTACCCTAATATGCAGATAGTACTGCCAAGATGCAGACGGCACTGCTAAAGTGCAGATGAAATTTATTTTCCCTAAAATGCAGATGAAATGCTGTTGCTTTAAAAAAAGGTATAATACAGATGGTTTTTATCGTATAAAGTGCAGATAAGATGCTGCCCAAATGTAGATCGTATAATTTTATTAAAATAAAGATGAAATGCTGTTGTAATGTAGATAATTTAAGGTTGGATATTAATTATACCATCTGCATTATACCTTTTTTAAAGCAACAGCATTTCATCTGCATTTTAGGGAAAATAAATTTCATCTGCACTTTAGCAGTGCCGTCTGCATCTTGGCAGTACTATCTGCATATTAGGGTAGCTGCATTTTAGGGATTTTTAGATTGAGGTATTAGCTCTGGTCTATTTTTGAAATATCTTATTATTCAATTTTCAGAGTAACATTTAAAATTACACTGACAAGTGATGCTAAACTTCCATTTAAAGTGTAAGTATAAAGAAACTAGACAATCCTAGACATGAATCATAATGAAAGTTCTTTGCAGACTCTCAGTTCCCGAATCAACACCATTCACAGCTGTTTTGAAATTCGCAGCAGAAGAGTTTAATGTCCCAGCAGCAACTTCAGCAATTATTACTGATGACGGAATAGGAATCAACCCATCACAAACAGCTGGCAATGTCTTTCTCAAGCACGGAAGTGAGTTAAGATTAATTCCAAGAGACAGAGTAGGACACTGAAATCGTGATACTGAAAATATTATGTGGATCAAAATATTGATTTTATTTTAATTTTATTAAAATCGAAAATTGCTCTTTAATTAATTTTTTTGCAAGTGGACATTCAAGCCTCTTTTATTTAGCTATTTAATTAATTGTTAAATCTTTATATTGTTCAATAATAAAAAAATTGTAATAAATAAAAACAATTGTTGAATGTGCTTTGGGAAAAAGTTCTTTGGATGCAAGTAAAGCAAGGAAAATGTTCATTGACTGAATGGAGTATAAATTCCTTTCTTGATGGCTCTGTTTCTTACATTCTCCATTGTCTTCAGTGTCATGTTTGACATATAAGTTGGTACCAAGAACTTGCTCCATTGCGCAGCAAGTTGAAGTATGGCATGTGGATAATATCCTGTCGTGTAAGGAGCAATTCCGACTGTTTTCAAAGCTGATTCGACAAAGACATCAGCCTTTGGTGCCATCCAAGTTCCTTTCTTTAGTCGTGTCATGTTTGTGGCTACTGGACCTGGCACGACTGACTGAACAAGGATTCCATGTTTCTTATATTCCATTGCGAGATCTTCTGAGAATTTATGTGCAAATGACTTTGTGGCTGCATAAACAGTCAGGCAACCAGCAGGAACAATGGCAGATAATGATGAAATGTTGATGATCAGACCACGTTTGCGTTCAAACATTTGTGGCAAAATTATGCTGCACATCATTGGAATTGACAAGGCATTGCATTTGACCATATCTGGAATCATTTGATCGCGATCAGGCACAGCCAAGAAGTAATCAGGTGCTAAAATTAAGAAAGATATAATAAAATTGTTCAACTAGTTGAGTATATCCTTTAACTCACCTACGGTACCCATTCCAACATTATTAATTAAGATTCCAATTTCCTTTCCTTTAATCTTTTCCTTAATCTTGTCGTAAATTTCGAGACCTGATGTAAAATTGACATCAATCACCATTGTCTGTACATTAAATTGCTCTTCAATTTCCTTTGCGACTGTCTCTAACTTTGAGAGAGTTCTTGATACTAATATTATATTGAGTCCTCGTTTGGCAAGCTGAAATTATTAGGAAGCATTAATAATTTAAAAATTATCCCCGTAAAAATGAAATTTAATTTTACAGCACATGTGCATCGACATTCATTAGTGATAGGCCTTTAAAAAGCAATAAACCTTTTTCATTGTTGCATCTTATTCATTGTGCTTTATGAAGTGCTGTTGTTTACAGCCTGTTGACTTGAAAGTTTAAGATATGGATATAATGTCATTATTTGGCAATTAATCTGAAGATGCAATTGTTCTACAAAATTTGTGTCACGCTAATTTGCATTCTGAATTCCTGTGCATCAATTAGTTTTAACTCGTTCTTAAAAGAATTATTAACAAATCAGTGGAAAGTCATCAACAAGGCTATTGCTATGTCCTGAGATTACAAATATCTCCAACTGATCATCAAAACCAAGTTATTCCGATTTATCATCAAGTAGAGCTGAATTACAAACAATTTATAAGAAGTTATAATTTTAACGTAGCGATTATGTAAAATAAAGCTCAATAGACTAAAAATTTGTGCTCCAGTGTCTCTTCACAAAAAACTGATCTGACAGGCTGCAGCACTTCAAACTTTTAAAGATGCAACAACTTAACACTATTCAGTCATCAATTCATTGGAAGCATTAATAATTGTTATTTTTAATGTCAACCTTCTGACAAAGTTTCATCCAATCTCGTGAACAAATTGCAGCTATCTATAGTATAGGGTGACCATCTGCGTAGTTTTACAACGGACAGTCCTGTATTTCAAAACCCTGTCCTGTAGAAATTTGAAACTTTTGTTCCAGGTCCTGTATTTTTTTCACGAGAATTTCCGTTAATTTTCGAATTTTACTCTGTGTCCTGTATTTTTCAAAAAAATTTACCAAAAGTCCTGTATTTTCATAAAAATTAGATGGTAACCCTATCTATTACTAGTCTCCTATTTTTAAACCCAATATCTAATAAATTTAATAATTACTTTTACATCGATTCTACTTCCTGATTTATAAATGAGGGGTATATCCTATGGAGTTATTTAAATGAGGTTTTCTGAAAAAACTAGTTTTTTTGACAAAAGCTTCTAAAATTTCTCTGGTGTCACAGAGTCTGACAAGCCACTCCTATCCATCAGAAGGTAGACGTCATTTGCAAACGACTGACTAATACATACTCGATCCCTGATTGCTGAATTAATTAATCATTAAAATATACTTACAGATCTGGCATATTCCTTTCCAATACCGTCAGTTGCACCAGTCACAACTGCATAGAAAAATAATAGAAAAAAAATATTGAAATTAGAGAAAATATTAACCGGTAAATAAATTGAGCTAGGAAGAGAAGTTGTCAAGGCAAATGACATAAAATTGAAAATGTTTGCATTGCATGCCTGTTTACACTCGAAACTTAATTATTGGGATACACTTAATTTCCAATATTTATCAAAATCATTAATAATTTCGATTCCAATTGCATAAAAAATGCTATTCCTGCAATCTACTTTAATTGTTTGTTCTGATTAATAATTTAATATATTCAGGGAAAAGAATTTGACGATTCAATTCGATAAAATGAATATGCGAGCAAATAGATTGCAGTAATAAAGTCACAACATGCGATTGACTTAAAATGCATTCTTGTTGAATTTATGCAGTAGAATTTAAGGAGAACTAAATTTGTTTTCAATAAATACATATTAGACTGGGTTTACATTCCAGTAAACTCGATTTAGGGTTTACCATTGGGGCGATTCCATGGGTAAATGAAACTGAAATTTTTTTTTTCAAAAACTTTTTTAGCTTTTTCTGCTTAAATATACATATTTCAACATATCTTTTCACTAAATAAGACTTATTATTCATCAATTCATGTGTTATTAGCATTTAATCGTCTTAATTATGCTGCATTTTGACAAAAATATGTAATATGTTTTGCAATAATCGGTTGAAAGTTGACCGATTAAGTGGTGTTTTCCCCAATTTTCTCCTTAATTACAGTAGAAAGACATACAAATAAGATATTGTTATAAAGCACAGACGATTTCACGTGTGTTTATCATAGATTTGTAACACAACAATGGATATTCGAAGAAATATTGATGAAAATTTAAAAATCAATTTTTCGTAAAGTTGACCGATTAAGTTTGGTTTTTTTAAAATATCTTTTGTCAGACAGATTTAACTAAAAGATTATGCACTTAAATACATAAATACCATAATAATAAATAAAATAAATCTTAAATATGGCGTTAAATGAAGTTAATTAAGGAAATATTTACAAAAAATTGAGTTGAGAAAAAAAAAATCACTCATGGAATCGCCCATTGGTTCTTGGATCTTTAAAAAGTTTCATTGAAGCGGTTTCAGATTAAGAATCTATAAAATTCTTAAAATGAGACAGATTTTTAAAGAGCATAGCATCAAGTGGTGTTATTGAATTGATCGAAAAAGCTATGCTACTGCACATATACCCTTAATTCAGATTAAAGACTAAGCCAAAGATAAGAAGTCAATAAATTGAAACTACTGCTCATATGTTTTAGATTTAAATCAAATGCATATTGAAGAAATTCATTCGATAAAATTGCACCAAAACAAATATAATCAGGTATATTTTGGGCAATTATCATTAACAAATTGCAAAATAATGGGCACTTTAGGATTCATTGTCCACACAAAAAGTCATTTGCAGTCATTTGTTGAAAGAATTTTTTTTGAAAGAATAAAGAACATTTTGGTTCGAACTATGAAAATAAGTAAACTCTCAATTGAATTTCATTTTGATTTTATTTGAATTGTGGAGAAAAAACAACTTTAGTTTTGGAAAAGTTAATAAAAATTGTAAAACTAAGGCACTGTATTACATCGAAAAAAAAATGCTGATGCTGACAAATGTTTTTCCTTATCAAAACCGTATGAATCAATTTTTGAACACATTATTTTAAATCAACTTAATAAAATCGCATGTCAAAGTGTTTAAACACAATCAGTTCCTCGATAAAAACAATCAAAATCAAAATATTCAATTATTCAGAATAAAATAAAATCGATAAAGCCACGTAAAGGGCAAAATATTCACAGAACAAAAATAAATTTTCAATTCAAATTGTTGAATTTTTTTTTTGTCGTTCATGAAAGCGATTCCGAAGTTCATAAAATTGATAAGAAAGCTAGTTTACTTTATAGATAACACAATGTGTGGATTACACAACACTCGAAACTTACGTGCCCATCCTCCATATTTCTTAAAATCTACAGAACTTCCATAAAGTGCAGGTCCAATAATTTGTTGATATATGAATCGGAAAACTCCACAGAAAAGCTGAACTAAGACAGTAAAGACACAAAAACACCCGAAAAATCCACAGCAAGACATTATTGCAAGTATTTAGAGGAACAAACTAATCTAAATTAATTTAATTAAAATGCCGGCTTCAATTTTTTTTTCACTCTCACTTATGAAAGTTGATCAATATATGCGACGAGTGTGAGGGTGATAAGACGACTGAAAATTATTTTTAGAATATTTCAAAACTGAAAATGTGGTCTCTTCAATTGTACTGCACATGTGCGAGGAGAAATAGCTGAGAGTGAGAGCACATTAAACATTCTATCGTTACAATAAAGGGGGAATGTTGCTGTGAATAATGCACGCAAGGATCGAGAGACTAAGTTGTGATTTTAGTAGATGAACAAGACAATGTTCTTTTGATTCTGAATTGCAGCAGCATGTTTAATATAATTAATCATTTTTTAAGATTATAATAATTTTCACTTAATCTAGATGACGATTTCATTAAAAAAGCTCAAAAGTCAAGTGGATTGATTTTATTGTATTGAAAATTAATTTGATAATTTGATTCTAAATTGACATTTTGATCTCTTTATTAAGTGATTCAAGCCGTTTAATTCAAATAGAAACATTTGATCGGTTTTCATGAAAAATTTTTATGGTTCTCAAATATTTTGTTTTTTAAAAACCGTTAAATGGCTTCGCAAATTTTATCATCATTTTCAATATCAACTATAACATAAAAATTACAATTTATTGTATTTAATAACAGCTGTACATGTGTCTCGTGCTATAAATTATTCTGCAAGCTTTTTGCACACTGCTATTTAAGCCGCAATTTAATATTACATTCGCGAGAAAGTTTGATTCTTCAATTAAATTGCGATAATCGCATCGTTCAATAATAAATTAATTTGATACTTTTTCATTGACTTTTTGCATTGAACCTGATCATCATCATCATCTTGTTTATTGTCCATTTAATTCAAGCAGTCAATTCTATTTTTGGTATAACACGCATTGTATGTGACTGTAGTTTATTGCCTCATATTATGTTCTTATTTCCATTATTATCAGCTCAATGGCTCATGTAAGCGATTTAATGGATCTTTTGTTGTACTATTTAATGGAGATGAAGACATGCATGAATATGAAATAATAATAAAAAGAGTCATCATCATCGTCGAAATTTGATCTGAATTCATGCGGTGGAGTTTGACGTCAAACGAGCAAATATTGAAAAGTGTTCTTTTCAATTATGAAATAGAATTACTGCAATAATGAATATTAACTAATAATATAAAAATAAAATGTTCTATTTAATTTGATGTGAAAAACTCAAATGCTTGTGTGAGCCTCTTTTTCATTATAATTTAGTATTAGGAGTCGTTAGCTAAGTAGGATCATTGCAATTTTGGGGATCGGATAGGGTAAGGTTTTGGAATGTTTTTGATCAATGAGTCAGCAAGATCAAGTTTCAGGGTTTGAATAGTTTTAAATATTATTTTCAATTCAGTAACATATGGTTAACCCAACAAACTAGGAGGCAGTCAAAGAATTTTTCCAGACGTTCCCTAATTAATGAACAATCCCAACGCGTTTACTTTGATATTATTTGAATATAAAAAATTTTATTAGCACGAAAAACACGATAATTTATGTTAAATATATATACATAACACGATGATAATACAGAAGGTTATTTAATTTGAAGAAATGGAAATAAATTCCTTTACTTGATATTATTCATCAGTGCAAATGAACTAATTTGTTTATCAGAAAGATTAAGGCACAAAGGGAACAAGTGAATTTTTTTTTATTATCTAATGCTTTGCTGAGTGATTTTGAGCTTGATTTGTCATGCCTTCAAGTTTACCGATAAGAAATATAAGCTCATACGCTAGAGGTAAAATAAAGGTTTGATAAATGTTTTTAATTTTTTTTTTTGATAACTTAGACTTAATCACTTGTCATTGACGCAATGCTGAGGGAAATGAGTCATAAAACTGCAGTTGACAAGGAGGCATTTTTCATTCATAAAAGCCACTACTAGTAATACTTCGACAGCTGGGTGTTGCAGGGTGGTCAATGGAATTTTCAGCTTTTGGAAATTAATGCAAAGGTCTGTAACTGGATAATTAGTGACTCGCGAGTTAAACTGCAGACCCTGTACCCAGGAGCTGAAAGATAAACAATTGGTTTTTATCCTAATTCAAATGTAGAAACCTACAAGGATAGACTAAATTTCATTTGTTAAACTTCTTTATAATCTTTCTCACTCTAAATGCTTTTGACAAAAGTCATTAAGTTCTATTGTAATCTGCGTCACTCTCAAGACTTAAGTCCAGAAAAACCCACTTTCAATAGTTTATTTCATCCTGGTCTATGTACCTTCAACTTCAAAAGTAAATACCGGCAAAAGACGTCACCATCAGCATTGAAAATATCAAATTAACAGAGCGCATCGCTTGTGCCAACAACTGTGAATTTGCTTCTCAAGAAAGAAATTCATTCAACTTTTGTTTTTGATGTTTTAAACTTCAATTAATTTAATTTTATGAATTAAACAAAGGAGAAAGTTTTTCCACACGATTCTAACTGCTGGTTAGATACACAAAGGCATTCCAGTTCTCATTCAATAAATTATTCAAATTCTTAGCTAATAAACTAGTCAGTAATTTAAAACAAATAATTGAGTACATCTGCTAAGCACAAAATATGCAATAAAATGTCGGAAATGACAGTTTATGAGTTTTATAAGCTTATAATTTGTTTTTTTTTGGATTTTATAGCTGACCTATTGAAATTAAAGACATTCGCAATTCAACTTTCCATAATCGCAATTTGGATTTTGATGTAAATTTGCTGTCAATTCTTACTCATGCAAAATCTTAATTACATTCAAGTTGATCCCAATAAATAATAAAATAAAATGAATATTCTCGCTGTTGTAGACACACTCAAGTTAATGAAAATCGAGCCTCAGCTGCTTAACGACGTAATTGATATGATGGCAGCATTCAGTGAGATTGTAAACATTGAGAAATTAATATTCAAATAATCTAATTGATCAGCAATACTAATTACCATATGCGGTCAAAAGAAATGAAAAGGAATGAGAATTAACGACGCAATTGTTTCGATTCTGTCTCGTTCTTTCGTGTATGATGTATGATTGCAAACATTATAATATTCCTCCTCAATATCCCCATTTTCGTCATGAATTGTCAATTTATTATTAAACATTCATCTGGAAATAGTTTCTTTTAATACAATGAGATTTTTTTCTCGTGAATCAATGATTAAGAACTTTAAGTAGAATCGCTCATCTCATTTCATTCATAAAGATTGATGTCGCTAACACAATCGTCATTAAACGTTTTTCTTGGTCAAAAGCACTAATGATGCTTTCACGAGCCTTTATTGTTATACACGCCTTTTGATCTCATTGAATCAGAATATGAGAGAACTTAGATCGTTGATTTAATGAGGATGTTGTGTTTTGAGTTTACACTTTGTCTGTTGGAATCGTCTGTTTACTAAGGTAGTCAATTTGGATAGTCAGACTAATGTGAAAGTGCTTGTTGGATGTGAGCTAAGGATTGTGAATTATTTAGAAAGTTCGCCAGAAACTGGAATTAAGCAGCTTCAAAGGATTGAGGTAGATCAGAAGGTAAGTCAAGAAAATATTTAAGTCATCCAGTTTACACACAATTCGAGGAATTTCAAAATCATTAACATTAAATTCAAACGTAAGTCTTTCATCTACCAAGAAACTTTAAAACTTGAAGAATCCACTCAAAAAGCTATTTTGCCTCAAAAATGGATTCCCCACAAATCACTTCATTACCAAGTCAATTCATCCACTTCTGTCAAGGGCGATAAGAAATCCATCTGAAATTTTATCTATAAATTTAAACATATGTCATTGACCCACTGAAACATAATATGATTCCATAAATACAAACATTTCCGATGATGATCACGTAATTATTATCAAAACCAAAGCTTTCAATTTCCAAACAAAAAAAAAATCATTTTTGATAGGTCAAATTCTACATGGAGTTCGAGATCGTCTTTCCATTTTCAGAAGACGATTAAATTGCGCTTAATTCGCTCGATACTTTTTAAAATTTATTTTAAGTACTAAAGTTTCACAGCATGTATGTAAAAAAGGAAAGAAATATACGATAAAAAAATGGCAATGACGTAAATCGGAATTCTTTTAATGTGTTGGAGTTTGTTGTTTAAAATTTTACACAAGAGATGCATTCAGCTGTGATCTGTCAATGAGTCAATATGCCTGATTTCTACACTGGCTCTTTATCTGTTTTCAACCGTTGTTCAATGTGTGCGCGACGCTATAAATTCATCGTGGATTAATACAGCTACACAAACATGTATGTATGTATGAATTGTGGAGTTGTATTTCAAGTTGGGGATTGATTGGAAGTTGAGTCAGAGATTATTTTTTGTTTGGGATTTTGATGGAGTTATAGCTTTAAAGATAGTTGGAAGTCTTATGAAAAGGAGAAAGATCATTAATGATTCTTTTAACAAGCTAGAGGCTTTTTTAAGGCTGTTAAGCCATTTTCATTTTAAGGTACCTAAGTGAGTCACATCATAGAAGTTCGACATCAATGGATACAAGAACTTAAAGTTAGAGTTTGAATGACTCAAACCATCAAAAATTTAATTTACTAAGCAGAATTTCAATCCATTTCAAATCTCCATAGCACATTAATTGCTCCAAAACAATAAAATTAAGAATTAATCAAAACTTAACAACCAGCACATCCCATAAACGATACTTATTCAATAATTCACATTAAAAGCATATCATGCATGACACAACTGCCGCACGAGACCATGACGTTTTAAAAAAACTAGTCTCATATTTTAAAATTCACTTTTTACTCACTTCAGAGCACTTCTCAACTTCAACTCGAAACGACGACATCGAGTCTTAGTCGCGCGCTGTGAAAAAAAAAACAGGCAAACGGTTGTTATTATTTTTGTCAATTTTGGCAACATTTTGGAGACGTCAGACAGAAATAAAATTTGTGAAAAAAGAATGATTTTGTGAATATAAAGAAGAATCAAATTCCAGCAAGAAGGAAGTAGAAATAATCTCGCTGCTCGTGTTTCTTTTTCTTGTGAATTTTTGTGAACCAAAAAATAAAATCAAAAAAATATCTCAAAAGAAGTAGAACAATCATACAAGTTCAAAACATCGGTTCCTCTCGCAATTTGCATTAAAATCTTTTGTGTGTATTGTTCTCCATTCAAAACAGCCGAAAAGGTGAATTGTTTTCGTACGGTGCACATCAAAAGCCACCTGTTGATTCATTTGTGTATTTAAAGTGAAATTTCTGCCGATTTTATGACGTCAAACTGACAATAGTGCTTATTAACATTTAAATGAATTTATATCTAATCTCTATTTAAGTGATGACAGCATAGAAATAGAAAAAGAAAAAGTTAATTGAGTAATAGCTGCAAAAGAGACAGAATGAATTCGCGTGACATTTTCGATTACGTTTAACGCGTGTTAGCCTACAACTTTATGTGCTCATTTTCTTCTTCTTTGTCCTGGACGTAATTAAGGAAAAGTAATGATATATCTCACATACCATAAAATTTAAAGTAATAAAGCATTGATGTCGATGTGAAATGTCAAAAAAGTGACTGATCAATCAAATATTTGCCCCGAGGACTCGAAGTTGAGTCAATAATATAAAAAAAGACATAAACCATTGTGTTTCTTAGCTATTTAAACACTACCAAAGTTGCGAATTATAAGCCATAAAAAAAATTGTGTGTACGGACTAAGGAGTGTGTTGATTCTAATTAAGAAAAACGTGAACATCGTTGTGAATGGTAAACAAAATATTAATTTAATGAATACGACTAAAGTGCATTTTTGATGTTTATGAATAATGTCTCCGGAAGTTCTGAGTAATATGAATGAGAATTTTTACTTTGTTATGACGCTGAATGACAATAAAATTCGGCAAAGTGTAAATTTTCAAAGAAAATTTAAATTTTAAATGTGATGAACATTTTTATTGAATATGCCTTGAAATATTTGCATACTCTGACGTTTGTTATCGAGATATAAGCTAATGAAAAGTGATAATATCAAGGTTGGGTGGTGAAATATGTTTATTTCAAGTCGATAGATAAGTTTGATAAAGATTTTGTGAATCTCAGGTGGATAAAGGTTTATTTTTGTTGTTTTGTTAAGTGCAGATGTACTGGATACATAGTTTTTATTGCAATCAAACATTTAGAAAAGTTTTTTTTTTTAATTTTGATGTTAATGTTGTCTTACCTTTTAATGCTCATTTAGTATCCTGTACTGTCTATAAGTTCGTAACTTAGTTTGGGCTTAGACCAATTAGTTCAATCTATTTTTTTATGCTAAATTATTTATTGGTTTATCCACTCAACAATAACAAAACTATTAATTAAACTTAAAAGTAAATATAGAACAAGATCCAGATTTTTAAATGAGAATCTGAATTAGGGCTCAACTATTCAGTTTTATGAAACCTAAACATTGAATTTTTAAAAGTTTGGGAAATCAGTTAATAAAATTCGATCAAAGATTTTTGAACGGAGTTTCGGGTCTTGTTAGAAGTTTAATATTGAGAAAACTTAATGATTTGTTTCATAAACATTTATATGTTCAAATTATTCTACTTTCCGTCAAATCTTTATAGGACTTCTATTTACATCCTTACCTCAAATCAACAAAGATCTAGATCTGAGTTTGATATTCTTTGTATTATCAAGTAAAGATCAAACTCTTTGTTCAATTTAAAGAACTCAACCTTTGCAGTAAGAAACTGTTAATCCTAGTACTTAAAATATTAGGTGTTGCAGTTTGAATAAATATGTTTAAGTCTTTAATAAGAAGTCTGTTTCACCAAAAATGCACTTTAAAACACCAAAAACCACAAAAACTTCCATACAAGGAATCAATCTTTACAATACAAAGATCGCTGACAAACAAAACTATATAATTTCAGGTTGGTGTACATCAGGAAACGCCACAAGTCCTCAACTGCTCATATGAGAGTCTCAATTTCTCTCGCTGTCTGTCATCTGCTTCCTACAATATAAATATTTTTTTTTCGCAAGTCTCATTTATAAAAAGATACAAATGAAATTGATTTCATCCGGTGTAAATATCTATGCATATACACCGCATCTCTCTTTCGAGTATGAAAAAAGATGACTTTTTACAAATGAATATGGCAATTAGATGATCAGTAGAAATGAACGAAGGCATATCTAAATGCAATGTCAAAGTGTGCTAAATGTGTGATTTAAATTTAATTGAAATATAAATGTGCGTGGATAAAGTCAGTGATCAATGACAAAAACATGAATTCGTGACAAGCAAAATATAAATTAAACAAATGCCATAAATTGAGTTTGTAGCTTAAAAAAAGAGAAATTATTTAGGTTAATAACCGCAAAAAATAATATTGTGTCTAATACATCGCAATTTATATATTTCGTTCTGAGCTTTAAACATGCAATGTGATGATAGGATAAAAAGCGCAAGAAAAAGTACCAGTCTAATTAAAATAAAATTTATAAGCATTTTAAATGAGAGTCTTAAAGTGAAAAGAGCGACAAACAAGCTTTTAATTGAATATTGATAAGCTAAACTAACAAAATAAAAAGTGTATATACATAAGAGGTTACACACGAACGTTGCGGGTTTAAGCGGCATAAAAAGAGAGAAATAATGTACATGGCTTTGCCGTCTCTCAATAGTAATAATAGTTCCACTCCAACCACCGAACTTCCAACAATTAAATTCAATATTCCAACTTTAACCATTATCGAGGATTTTGATAAATTAATTGCCAAAGAAGTGATTTTCGACGAAACTGGTAAGCTATATATTATATTAGCGGATATAGAGGGCTGAATTTATAAATGACGGTCATTGAAAAATTAAATTTATAAATGACGGTTATTGAAAAATTAAGATTTGAGAAGAAGTGCATCATCGGTCAGATCTACTTTAGTATGGTGTATCATACAATTTCTGTTGCTAATAACATAAGATCTAATCTTGACACTAGGGTATGTTAGACAACCGGCTTCACAATCCACCCCAATAAATTCCAGTCGTCATTTGTCAACTACCTCCAGCAAATTTATATGTTTTGTCGTTTTTATATTAAAACCCCGAATGACGTTGGCAAAAAAAAATTTATTTTATTTGAAATATGTGAGGAATATAAAATTCAAATGAGATGAAAATGTGGTTCCACAACAACATTTAAATAATTTTTTTCTTTCTTAGTATTATAAAATTTTAAGCAGTAAGCTCTTATCAAAAAATGGAAGCGAAAAGAACAACGCAGTAAAGACTCTTGACGCATTTACTCGAAATAATATGAATTTGAAATTTTAATTGCTACATAATGCTACCTTCATGTGCTATTTTTAGACATACTGAATAATTGTTATCTGGGTGGGTACAGTTGAGCTGATATACGGGAAAAATAAAGTATGGAATTAAAATTGAGAGAATTATTAGAAAAGTGTGCGGATTGTGTAATAGTTGGAATAGTTGTCACAAGATTAATGGCAATAGTCAATGAGATCTATTTGCTAATACTTTGGCTCGTTTATATCGCATATTAAGCTAGTTATTCTAGTTCTGGTTTAAAAGAAAAATTTGTTTAAGCTTTTAAATAAAAAAAGAACTTGATAATTAAATTATAAAAAATTTGAACGGCAAATCACAAGGTGTAATATGTTACATATGGAATAAAGAAGATTCAGATACAATCCCCTTACAAAATAGCTTCAGATCTTCCACTTCTTTAACTCCAATATTATTAAATTTAAAGAAATCATGCACATAACACTAGCCTAAGGCTCAATATACTCAAATTCATGTCTTTTAAATTTTTTACAAAAAATATGTCCCCAGGACAAGCTATTTCTTCTCAATAACCCACTAATTTATCTAAATGTGTTAAACGCCTTGTCAATCTATTATGCAATTTTTTTTTGTGAATGAAAAATATTCAATAACCTGAGAGGACAATAATCGTTCAAATTGAAAGCAAGACACAAAATGAGCAACATCATTTAACAGGCAGATCACAACCTTAAATCAAAAAATTACCATAATTTTCAATAGAAACTCGTGTTTTGTTCTTTCTGTACTTTACTGTATCCCATTCATTAAATATATGAACTCTGGATATTCTAGAGTTAATAGCTATCACTTCTGTTGGACAAGAAAACAATGGGATAGAAGTTGCGTGATTTAAATAGCTATTATTAATAGGATTTCGAGACTTTTGACTTTGCTATTGAGTTAGTAAATCTACGAATTATAGATTTGTAGTCAAGTAAAGAATCTGTTGCAATCTAGTTGTAGACAAAGTATTCTTTCAATAATTTACAAATGTTAAAGATTTAAGTGAACAAAATCTATATCGGAAAGGATTAAACAAAGTTTTGAACATTTATTCAACTTAAAAATCTCTAAATGTTTAACTGGTCTATTGGTTTATTAAAGCCAAAATATCTCAAATAGAATAAGATTTTATAAGTTCATGATCAAATATTTCAATAAAAGATAAACTAAAATAAACTAATCTTGCTTTTAAGTTCAAACCAATAATCTGAAGTTTTTCCAATTACGAGACTATAATTTAATTTCCAATGAGCTTGTAAACAGTCATCATTAGAATCTATTCAAAAATTTCAATATCTTTATCTAATTTCCAATTAAACATAACCAAATGTGAAGCCTTTTCCATATAAAACCATAACTTTCCAACAACAAGACTCAAAACATTAAACAGCTGTTTTCTGATAAATAACATAAGTTTTGAAATGCGTAAGCAGACTGAACCACTTCTTTTTATCAATTCCTTCACTTTTACACGAATATTTTGATAAAATTAAGATAACAAAATAACATTGTCATGCAGCAAAATTTCGAAATACCTGCTCTGCATTGTATTCTTTAAGCACTTCGAAACAATTTGTAAGAGAGATGATATTATTCTTTTAATGACCTTTCAGTTTTAATTACTTAATGAAATAAATAGCGGATTGTTAATTCAAGAGCAATAAACCACAGACTTAATGTATGTATTTTTACCGAAACGTAAATTTCTTTGTGTTTTCTTACTTCTTCAATGGCAAGCGGTTGTTTTTCTTCGCGAATCTGATTTCGAGATTTTTTGTGGTTTTTGCACAAAAGAAGTTTCTACAGCTTTCGATATTAGAAATGAACCGTTGTTGACTTAAACTGGAATTTTTACCCGAGAGGCACATCATTTAAATGTTTGTTGAATTGCTGCCACAGATCAATTTTAACTCTTGACCTCTCTTAGCTGTAGCTAGCCCCTAAGCCACATATGACTGTTATCTCCTGATTAGGACTGCCAACATGTTCTTATAAAATATTAAGAGTTGATTCTAAAAGCTAATTCTTTTCTCTCTTTTTGCCATTCAGGTGAGAAGCACATAGTCAAACTTCTTCATTTCCCAAATATAACACCGAGTGAACAAAAACGCCTACTAATGTCTGGATCAAGTTCCGCAAGCTCAGACGATGAGCAAGACCCTAGTCAAGATGGTGTTCAAAAAACCCAAAGAAAGAAATCATCAACAAAGCGATCACTAGACCTACAGCGAAAAATTTCGTTAAGTAAAGTACGGGAAGACAAAAAAGAATCGAGACTTCAAAATGCAGTCGAGAATCACAATAATAATAATAACAATAATAACAGTGCAGGTATAACCGATTCTTCATCGGCGACATCAATCAATATTGAAAAATCAGCACCAATTCCAATTAAACATGGAAAGAGTCGTCAGGCCAAAAATGGAAAAATTTCGGGTGGTTATGAACAATTTTCAATGTCACTGCTTACAGTGCCAATGCCCAAAGATTATGGTGAGCCAAGCAGTGACGATTTATCTAGTGAATGGGATTCAGATACTGTTAATGAAGTTAACAAAACAAATGGAACTGCGAATAAAGAATCTAAGGTGAGGCTTTTGGCTATTTATAGAATATTTAAGAATATATTTACAAACAAACAAACCAGATTATATGCTTTGAGCTCATTTATATATGGATCTGTTTTTAATGAAAACAATAATAATATTATCTCACAAATTCTTACTCAATTGACAGCTGTATGCTTACCTTAATTTTTATTTTGAAATTTGAGTTAATAATTTCATTTTTTATTTCTCGACACAAGGCGAGCTATTTCTCTCACTTTATAGTTGTATAATTAATTGAAAATAATACACCACCGAAAGACGTCAATCAAAGTAATATTATTGGCTGTTACGTTCACTTCTCATTTAACGCGTTTTTAATAACGATTTGATGATTCTAGCACACGATTTTAATGCACTATGTTATTAAGTCATCCTTAACTATTTAAATTGTATCTTAATCCAAACGATTATTAAATTGACTCGATAATTCAATAAATAATTACTCTTTCCTTTTACGTAATTCATTAAACTTTTATGCAAACTAATCAGTTATTGTATGTATTTTATGAATACTTTCGTTTTTTATCGTCAATTGAATTTTATTTACAATAATAAGCTTGCTGAATAAATATTTTCAATTTTGAACAGTAAATGCCTTCTGCTTGGTAAGCATTATCAGTAGAACAAATGGAAGTTTTTTCACTTTGATCACCTTTTAAGTAGGTAAAGCTTTTACTGAACTAATTTGTTATCAACTAGCTAAGCTTTTAACAGAATGAATTAAGTAAACCGCAAATTTCAGTGTACGTTGATTGACATACATGTGTGATTTTGCATTACGTCTTAGAAAATAAGCTGTCAATTTAGAAGAGTTGGATGATAATTAGTCATTCGATTTTGCTGTATCTTGGCATTGTTATGGAAATTGAGTGATTTGTTCGAGATGTTGATGAACTGTTGTAGTTTATCTGCAAATCTCTTGTCTCGTTGCTTAAGAGGCCGTTCACTTATTACTACGCAAAAAAACTTTTTTCACCCCCCCCCCCCCCCTCCTGAACGTTCATAATTTATTTTATTTTGATAATTTTTTATAAGTTTCAAAATTTTCATTAAAAAAGTGGAAAATTTAACACCCCCCCCTATGTTACATCATTTTGTAACAATTTTTCAACCCCCCCCCCCCCCCCCTTTGTTAATTTTTCAAACCCCCCCAACCTCCCCCCCAAAATGCAAACATAATAAGTGAATGGCCCCTAAAAGGATTAACGATTATTGCTTTTTTGAACTTAGTGCTTAATATTACCTGCTTTTGGGATGTTTATTCTTTAATTTTGGCTTTATAAGTTAAACTTTTGAGCCAAAAATTGTTTAAAATTTTAAAGCAACAAATTGAATTTAGAGATACAAGAAAACATCAATCCCAAACCACCAAGCCTCTTATAAATTCCCAAATAAAAATCACAGCTTCGTTTGATTGACATTCGATAGCGAAAACCCACAACCATACAGCTCAACCGTCTTTCCTTAATTTAAGACATAATGATTAATTGTTTAAGAAGTCTGTGTCGTTTACTTGCCTCCGCAAGTGTGACGTTGCTGCTAACATGTGTACGAAAAACAGCTCATTTGTTTTAAGCATATAGTCATTTTTTGGAGAATAACAATTTTACTTAGTCGCCTATTTAAACTTTATAGCTGAATATGTTGCTAATTTCGTTGTTAATAAAATTACAGAAGTCCATGATTGGATGGAGGAAATTAAGGAACATAGTACAATGGACACCTTTTTTTCAAACATATAAAAATAAACAAAGATATCCCTGGGTACAGCTAGCAGGTCATCAAGGAAACTTCAAGGCTGGCTTAGATGCAGGAACAGTACTAAAGAAATTAACGCCCAAAGAAGAAGTATGTTTTAAGGAATTAATGAAGGATGTCCTTCGACCTTATGTGCCTGAATTCAAGGGAATCGTTGATGGTGATGACAGTGAATGTAAGTTTATTTTAAAAAGGCATTAAAATCCATTAATTTTATTGACAATTCAATGTGCTCAACCATCAACCATTTTTAGCTCAATATCTTCAGCTTCAAGATTTATTGAGTGACTTTAATAAACCATGTTGTGTTATGGATTGTAAAATAGGAGTGAGAACATATTTAGAAGAAGAGTTGCTCAAGGCTAAAGAGAAACAAAAACTTAGAAAAGTGAGTGGCTTATTAAATTAATTCAGAAAAATTCGAAAGTATGTCAATGTTCAAGATTAAGCATGTCATTAACACCATAATTTCTCCATTTACTTAGGATATGTACGAGAAAATGATTCAAATTGATCCAAATGCACCAACGGAAGAAGAGCATCAAGCCAAAGGCGTCACAAAACCACGATACATGGTAAGATAAAGCCTTATCATTTAATTTTCATTCATGTATGCCATACTGACAAGTGACATTGAATGTGCGTTTTTTTGGTTTGGTGGGAAATCAAAATTGGGATTTAATGATCAGTCTTTGGTATGATTGGAATTTGAAAGGTTGGGACTGTATTGTTCATTGGAATTTGGATAGGTCATTGTCATTGAGTTTAGATATATTTGAAGCAGGTGTCAATGTGATTCAGAATCAATTAATAATGAGAGTTTGCAAAAAGTTTGTAGTTGCATTGCGACTGAAGAGAGGGGGATAAGTGATCAAGATGATACATAAACGAACCTATGTCCTTTTCCAAGTCCTATTTTAGGTTAATCAGGATAGATCTCTCAAAAAATGCTCACAAAACATCCATAAACTCATGAGTAATCAACTTTCCTTCTTCGTCCAATCATCCAGGTATGGCGCGAGACAATATCGAGTACTGCAAATTTAGGATTTCGTATTGAGGGCATTAAAAAAGACGATTTAAAATCTAAAGACTTTAAGACGATTAAAACGCGAGATGAAATTGTTGAAATGTTTAAAGAATTCATAAAAGGCTATCCATTTGCGCTGGTGAGTAAAATTGAGTTATTTCGAGATTATTTGCACATGTTAATCTTCTTTTCCTCTCCTCATATAAAATAGCGGAAGTATATTCAACGTCTGAAAGCAATTCGTGCCACACTCGAGCATTCAGAATTCTTTAAGGCTCATGAGATCATTGGAAGTTCACTTTTATTTGTTCACGATCGAGGCAATGCTAGTTGCTGGCTCATTGACTTTGCTAAAACGGGGAATTTACCTGATGACATCAAGATCACTCACAAGAAGAATTGGGAAGTCGGGAATCATGAGGATGGATATTTAATTGGATTAAATAATATTATTGAGCTGTTCTGTTCAATAGCTAGGGAGACAGAATATTTTGATAAATCAGACGAAGAGGATGATGAGGAACTCAATTCAAGTGATTAACGCTTAAGTACTTTATGCAAATATTGTAAATGAAAGTTGGTAAGGGCATTGAAAATGAAGAAAATCTCCACTAAATAAACATGATAAAGTTGTATATAATAAAGTTAAAGAAACTTTTAAAATTCCATACATGTTCAACCTACACTGATAGCAATTCATTCTTAGGATAAGCGATAAGAAAAGAATTAATATTTTTATAAGATTGTTATTGTACAATAAAGACTTTGTTTATTAATGATAAACCATTTTAAGAAATTCATATTTCTTATTTCTGTGCAAAATATTTACCTTCTTTTATTTTCAGTGCTTTAATTACAGTACATGATTCAATGAATGCAAAAATTGCGTTTTTAAAGTTTGACGGTTATTTGAGGATTCAAATTTTCCCGCACATTTCAAAGAATGCGTAACGTTCGTTTAAAATTCAAACAAAAAACAAAACAAAACATTTTCAGTGTCAGTTCTATAATTTTTTTAAAATAAATTAATATCGCGGTTTAAATGAATTTCTCAAGTCCAATTACGGCGGCAATCCTTAATAACATTAATGGAGGAACTATATCCAATGTTCCGAAGGAAGTGAGATGTGAAGTCTGCAAGTAAAATCAAAAATTTCTCTTTTTAACAAATTCTCAGATATAAACAAACATAATTTTCTTAATTACAGCATTCTGCTGAGCTCGTACATAGTTCTAAGGGATCATATTGCTGGGAGGTGCTGACAACAAAATTAATACACAATCATAAGTAGCTACAGAAAAGAAATTGTCAATTTTTGTGCAATTTCTTTTCTTCTGGATCTTTAAATGTTTTTAGTCTCAATAATTTTCCCACTTTCTGCCTGTTTTCTCTTACTGGATCAGTCCACTTATACATCATATCAAATATATTTCTTCCTTTTCATAGAAAACACAAGAATCAATTCAAATTCTTATGCAGAAAAAAGAAGAATAAGCTAGATTTGAATTGTGTAATGTGCAATTATTTATGTAAGGATAATATAGACTGGGAAGTACATGTAACGAGCGAGTCACACGTTGAGAAGGCAAAGATCTACAAACCACAGCCATCTGTAGAAATTCCACCTCCAATTACAGTCGATCATAATGTGAATATACATCAAGTACAGTCAGCACAACCTACAGCTACATCGAATATTCCACCTCCATTGATTCCATTTAATGAGATGCAAGAATTACAGTTAAAAATGCAAGATAAGCTTAATGAACAAGCTTTGAGACAAATTTTAGCAAAGGATCGTAAAGAGTGGAACTGCATAAATTGTAGTGTGACATGTCAATCGATACAATCGTGGGAAGCTCATCTAATATCTAAGAAACACAGGAAGAATAAGCACAAATTTCATACATATCCAGGTTTGCTTAATTGACTTTGTTATAATTTCTTATACTCAAATTCAATGTCTTACCAGGAATATCAAAAGAGTTTGTCAAACGAAAATATCAGAATAGCTTCGTTCGTGCAAATGAGACTGTCGGCAATGAATTTATTGAGGATGGAATGGTATTTTATTGTAAGCGTTGTGATGTGAGAATGGAAACAAAATTACAGCTTGAAATTCACATGTCATCGAATCAACACAAACTGAACCATCCAATAACTCCAGTTCCTGTGGCTAATCACTTTTCAACATCTTCTGAACCATATACTGCTGTTGAACAAAATCCACAGCTTTTTAACTTTGATAATTCCAGTTATGGGTGAGTTTTATGATGATTTGGAAAAAATTGGCGGATTTAATTAATTTATTTTACTCTACAGCTATGGATTTAGAAACTGGAGTGCTGAAAATTATATGTTTAATAAAGCATACGTCCCACCAAATCAAGCAGAGCTACAAAGACAAACGGAAATGGACAGACAGAAGCAACTAGTCGAAGAAGCTAAAAGCAAACTACTTGCACGATTTCCATTTTATGCAATTAATTTACAGAAGCCAGCTGAAAATGAGCCGATGCCAGTTCCTCCTCCTATAATGGATATGATTCCTATGCCACCTGAATAAGATTAAAGTTTTTTTTTTTATGATTAATTGAATACTGAAATGAATTGATACTTTATTGAAGAATAAATATGTAATGCATAAGTGTAAGACTTAAGGCTTTTTGGAATATAAATTGGACTGTGGTTTTAATTGCTTTATGCTGCTGAAATTAATAAAATACCAAAAACGTATAAAAATAACAGTTACCTAAGAAAAATTCAAACGTGCATAATCATTTTTTTTTCATGCTAATTTCAGACAAGTCATATTGTTTTCAAAGTTTAGACGAGTTCGCCGGTAAATTTAAATTTGTTTCGCGAAAAAGTGTTAAATTAAGAATGGAAATGGAGACAATCTTGTTGATATCTGATGAATCTGATCCTGAGGAAACTTCCAGCACACGTCGTCGTGCGGAAGAGCAAGATCCGTTGGGTGGAAAACGAAATTTAAGGAAAAAGAAGCCAAAAGTAATTTTTGTTTACTTATTTTTTTGCAATAATTCAATTTTTTATCAATGACTGATTAATCTTTTAGATTGACAATGACAAGAAGGAACCAGTAGCATCAACAAGTGACAAAAAGGATGACGAGGAAGTTAAGCTTCCTCCAGATCCAACTGAATTAGAAACGGATGCTCGATATGAGATATTGACAACTTTAGAAGGAGCTTGCTTTCAATCTCGGTTCCCTTATGACAAGATGACTACGTATGATGCTGATTCTTTGTGATTTTAAGCATATCCATTAATATCATTCATACTTTTCAGATACGAAGTGGTTGCATTCCCAGAATTCACAAAAAAGACAACGATCGAACAAAGGAGAATTTACTTGGGAGTCAGGAATCGTATCCTTAAGATGTGGCTGGAAAATGTTAAGCAGCAATTGACTTACGATTTTGTGTTGAAAAATATTGAGAAGCCATTTGATATTGATCCAGTGCTGATTAAACGAGTTTTTACATTCCTTGAACGTTATGGATATATCAATTATGGAATATTCACGAAGCTGCAGGAATTGAAGGTCAAAAGACCCGAAAAGATTATTGGTAAGTTTTTTTCTTGAATTTTAATAAATAGCTTCCTTTTTAAATCCATGGCAACCAATTAATCTCTAGTATAGTTAATCTTTACTCTAGAGCTGAAAAATTTTTGATCCAAAAAATTATTTTATGGAGAGTTTTGAGAAATAAAACATATAAGTCTTGGCTTTACACAAAAGTTTCAGTTACGAGCCCATAACAACTAGTATCTAATATTGTTCCTTTTCCTCTATTTCTTTACACAACAGTCATTGGAGCGGGAATCGCTGGTTTAATTGCAGCACAAAAGCTTCAAAGTTTCGGTTTTGAAGTTTTAACATTAGAGGCACGTGACAGAGTCGGTGGTCGTATTGCAACATTCCGTAAAAGCAATTATCATGCTGATTTGGGCGCTATGGTTGTTACTGGAATTTACGGTAATCCAATTACAATTTTGGCAAAACAACTAGATCTCGAGCTAAAGAAGATAAAAGCTCAATGTCCACTATTTGGACCAAATGGCAAACTCATCTCGAAAAATAAAGATGAGATCATGGAACGAGAATTTAATAAGATTCTCGAATGCACAAGCTACTTATCGCATGTTCTTGATTTTAATTATGTTGACAATCAACCAATTTCGCTTGGTCAAGCTCTCGAGTGGATTATTAAGCTACAAGAGAAGAAAATAAAGATAAAGAAAATTAATTATTTGAAGAACATCAAGGAGATTCAGCAAGAAGTAATTTCTAATGAGCAAGCAATTGCAGATTGTAATACGGATATTGCCGTCCTCAGAGATACTCTCCAACGCATTATCGACCAACAGAAAGTGACTGAAGATGACGAGCAGCGTCTTGAGCTCGAGTTTAAAAAGCGCGAAATTGTCAGAGATTTGACAAAGAAGAGAAAAGAAAAAAATGACAAAAAGAAAAGAAATCAAGAGCTTGATGCGAAATTAAAGCAATGTGATGAGGAAGAGGCACCCAGTGACGTTTATTTAAGCTCCGAAGACCGTCAAATACTTGATTGGCATTTTGCTAACCTAGAGTTCGCCAATGCTGCTCATTTACAAAATTTGTCGCTTAAACATTGGGATCAAGATGATGACTTTGAATTTATTGGACATCATACAACGGGTGAGTGAATGATTATTCTTAATTTCTCTTATTACCTCCATGATTGATCTCTCGAGAAAGAGACGCGAGAACAGTAGAAAAAGAGCAAAAAAGTGATGCGTCATGAAACCGTAAAAAGTAAAATTCCATTACCATTTGCTTCCCTAAATTTAATTAACGTACATCCAAGAACTCTTTTATTTTTTTGGTGATGGTAAATTACCTTTAACGCCGTCGTCGATACAACGTACGTATAGAAATTATTCTTGAAAAATTTGTCATTTCCGCTCGCACTAGATTCGTCGTAATTTTTTTTATTCATTCTATACTCATTTTTATTTCCCTTTCAATGCGCTTTGATGCGCTTCAGATGATACATTATTAAAATTTAATTTCTCTTTTCTTTATGACGATAACGTGAATTATGTTCTGTGGCTATGATTTTACTGTTCTGTTGTGCTTTAAATGGGTTGAAAATTAAATTAAGAAAAATGTAAAAGAAATGGAAAAAAATGAAGAATTTAAATATTATCGTATTAAGGAAGAGAACTCAAGTGAATTAAAGTCACGGTGCATTACCAAAAAATTAAAGTAGAAGGTTGTAAATTTTAGGGGGAAAAAATATAAAATATAAATTGGAACAAAAAAATATTGGCTATTCACATTAAATATGCATTTAATTTTTTTTTAAAATTGAGATTCGAACTTTAGCCATCTTAAGGTTCTTAATAATTTTACAATCTTTAATAATATTTGCTTATAATCAATTTGGATTAAATATAATAATATAATAAAGTCACGGTGCATTACCAAAAAATTAAGGAGTCTTAGGGAAAAAAAAACATAAAACATAAATTGGAACAAAAAAAGTATTGACTATTCACATTAAATATGCATTTAATTTTTTTTTAAAATTGAGATTCGAACTTTAGCCATCTTAAGGTTCTTAATAATTTTACTATCTTTAATAATATTTGCTTATAATCAATTTGGATTAAATATAATAATATAATAAAGTCACGGTGCATTACCAAAAAATTAAGGAGTCTTAGGGAAAAAAAATATAAAACATAAATTGGAACAAAAAAAGTATTGACTATTCACATTAAATATGCATTTATTTTTTTTAAAAATTGAGATTCGAACTTTAACCATCTTAGGGTTCTTAATAATTTTACTATCTTTAATAAAATTTGCTTATATTTAAATTGGATTAAGTTGCATCTGGTGACATTTGCTTGAAGCTAATTAGTTGCTAATTATAAGAATTAAGGAGTATGAGGATCAACAATCATTTCTCAAAACTCTAGCATCAGGTTATTTAAGTACTAAACTTTGAATTATTTTGAACTCTTTGAAGTCATCAAGAGGGCTATCCAACAATCTAAAACTTCCCATCTCTGCATCAACAAATTCTTTTTATTGCTGATTACTTTTTTACTTAATATTGCAATCAAGTCGATTGTCGGTACACATAAAATGGAATGTTGATAGACTTACAGTAATTATTTTCTCCTAGACTTTATCCAATACTGTTCTGAGTCATTAAAATTCTCATCGTCTTTTGAGAGGGTTTAGAAAAGTAAGGAAGTTTTGATCTTGTCGTTTGAACTTTAAGAACTCACTTCCAGATGCCCTTTGTCCACCTTTTCTATTTGTTTATTCCATCACATAATAATGTACTATTATGTTGAAAGAATTATGTTCATCGTGTCACAAAAAAATAATTCTCACAGATCACATTTCAGTCAGCTTGATGTTTCCTGTGGTTTTAATGTCCGTTTAAATATTTTGCGCATATAAAAGAATATTTTTAAGAGATTGTAAAGCCATGTGTAATTGATATCTCTAGCCATTAAAATGAACCCTTTTTCATTTCGTATAGTTTTTGTTTTGAATTCTTAATTATGGAACCGTGCTATACAGGATTTTATTTATAGTCTTGTAATTAAAACCGGAAATATAGGAATGGGTTTTTTTATTTCTTTATATATTTTTTGAGATTTTTTTATGTATCTCAGCTAGGTTTCGGCTTAATATAAATTTATACGTGGGCAGATATTGAGCAGTTCTCTTCACATGAAGCAACTTTATATCATTAAAAGTTAACGTTGGTATCGAATCAGGGTTGTTGACTAGATGGATCTGCTCGAGAATCTATAGCTATTTTTATTTAGGTTTTGGCTTGTCATGCTGGTTGATTTAAAGACATACGCAGCTTTTTATTGAAAAAGATAAACAAATTGTTCTTAGCGGGAATCGAACCTGCAACTTAGCAAAGGTTGTATCAAAGATAAAGTTGAAAACCTTCAACATTTATGCATGACTTACAATAAAAGAGGGTCTATAAGAGTTCCTTCTAGTGCCTGATTTCTTCTGAAGCCTAATCTCAAAGCCGCCATCTCGTTGCATCATCGGAACCCTCCCACGATTATTACTGTCAATTCCTTCTGAATTCTTTCCTACATAACTCAAGCTTCCTATCAATACCGAATCTCTTTCTCATACAATCCCGCACCACATCATTGGCATTGTGCTGAACATAAAAAATAATAACTTTGATTCAATCGTTGCAATTACTTGCTTGCGATAGCAGAAAAAAAAACAGCACTAATGACACAAGAATTAAATGCTAGAGGAGGAGGAGGAAAGAAAATGAAAAGACAGCAACAATTAATTAACGATTTTTCGAAAGTTTTTCTTTTACTTTGCTCAATTGTTATGTTCATATGTATGTACGTAAGACAACGACGATATGTGCTTACAAACTTAAATGCATAATCTGCTTTTTATATATGCTTAAGACAATTGTCTTTTAATTTCGATTTAATTTCAAGATTCTCTGCTGATGCTCTCACAATAGGTAAATGTTGATTATTGTGCAGCGATAGGAGAGTGTAATTGATGATTTGCAATTATTGTTAACGACGCCACTGACATGATGCCAATTGGAAGTCTCTCGAGATTTTTCTTTTAATGACTTCATTTTTTTTATTTCGTTCGGACTTGTTTAGGCCTCTTGCTTTATATAATGAATCTTGATTTCATTTTGGCTGTGCTCTCGAATTCTTTTTGATTTTGTGCGACAATATGTAATTCGGGTAATGGGAAACATTCATTGTTACAATTTTCATGTTTGTTTTGCCTCCGGTGCATGTTAATATTTTTTTTTTATCATTTCTGAAATGACTTGAAAGACGCAATGTCATAGGTTTTTATGTGCTTTGTAATAGACATTGGAAGAATGAAAATGTTTGACAGTAATGATGACAATACTTTCCATGAATTACATCCTAATTTCACCCTACGGCTGCTGCCTTTTTTTGGTGTGGTTTTATATGTGAAAGATGAGCTATTGTCTGTGTTTTGACTGTTTGTTTGTCTGGTTTTGGCATCCACTTAACATAATCGAACTAAACTTTGTGACTTGTTTATTGGTGCAATTCCTTTGAGGCAATTTCAGTCTTTTCAGAAATATTAAATCTTTATTATGCTCTAATAATAGAACATGCGTCCTCATCGGTCATTAGTAACCACGTCTTTACTACTTCCATAATGAACTCTTTCTCCTAATTCATAAAGATATTAAATAATAATATGGATGCTGGGTTATAAGTCCAGAGATTATAAGTCCAGGTACAAAAATCGTGCACAGAAAATTATAAGTCCAGAAAATCAAAGTCAGCAGGAATTATAAACTGCACGAGAGGTTTTTAAGTCCAGGTACATTTTATATCTGGACTTATAAACCTCACGTGTGGTTTATAATTCCAGAAAATTTAAAAATTTTACTAATTATCTCCCAGTGCGATTATAAGTCCAGATACATTTTTCTGGACTTATAATCCTTGAAAATTATTTGATTTAAATTGATTTCATTTAAAGTAATTCTTCACATGAATTTTTGAAAACTTCACAAAAAAAATTCACATTTCTCTGATTTTTTTTTCCTCTAAAGTACCATATAGGGCAAATCATTTTAAAATTTGCGTGTTTTCACTGAATTTTCAAACGCTTGTAACTAATCGACGAATTGACATTGCTCTTGAAATGTTGAGAGTCGTCGATATTTTTATTTTTGATCATGTAAAGGTTTTTGTGCTGCATCAATTCAGAGAAAATTGACATTAAAGTTTTCATTTTGAAATATGCGCAGAAATTTTAAAAATTTGAGCAAAAATATTTTGAAATTTGCGCACTTTTTTGATAGTAATCTTTACGCTATACAATTTAGCATCAAATTACAGCTGTACTAAAATTACAGCTGTAGATTACAGATGAACTTACGTCGTTACGTAAAAATCAATTTACAGCTGTAGTTTAATGTGTATAAGTAAAAACAGTTGTAAATACAGATGGTGTTTATAGCTTAGACAAGTGCTTAGCTGTCCTTACAGTTAATGTAATTTTTCGTAAATTCTGCTGGTTTTGACTATTATTTTACCTTTTACAAAAAGATTGAATAGAAAACAAGGTACAGTAGCGTGTAAAAATTTATAAAAATCACATTTTTCGCTCTGGATGTTAACATTTAAAATATAAATAATACAAGAATAAAAAGCGGAAACAAAATCATCTGCTTTGTTTTCTCACAGAATGCAAAAAACTGATTTTTCAATCTGAACAAAACCAATAGATTCACACGTGAATACGGGATGAATACAAAAATTTGAAATTATATCAAATAATTTTCAAAGATTATAAGTCCAGAAAAATGTATCTGGATTTATAATCGCACTGGGAGATTATAAGTAAAATTTGTAAATTTTCTGGAATTATAAACCACACGTGAGGTTTATAAGTCCAGATATAAAATGTACCTGGACTTAAAAACCTCTCGTGCAGTTTAAAATTCCAGCTGTATCTGTACCTGGACTTATAAACTGCACGTGAGGTTTTTAAGTCCAGGTGCAATTTGTATCTGGACTTATAAACCTTTATTGACTTTGATTTTCTGGACTTATAATCTCTGGACTTATAGTTTCTGGACTTATAACCCAGCATCAATAATATGATATGCG